GGACGTAATGTTGTCCTTGCAGGGGGACGTAATGTTGTCCTTGCAGGGAGACCGTAATGTACGTACTTAAGCTGATACCCTGGTCTATGGATGTGCTTGTATGTCGTCTCGTTCTCATATAAACCGTGTGTTGACAGCTTGAGAATATGACCTATAACAGCAACGAAATCGACAGCCTACAGCAACATGTGCAAGCAAATAGTTACCCGCCTCATCTGCATTATATGTTCTCGTTTGCTTACTACCGAGACGTCCATTGAGCGTTGCTCCTTGCCTATCCTCTGCAAGTCACCTGAACGTATTGTGAGCAGAGAATATTGCCCGAACTGTGACCCGGATCATGAAATGTAAGACATTTGCATAAACTGAATCGTACAGTAACTAATCAGAAATGGTATTAAGAGTGGCAAGGGTTCATCCTCATACGAGCTTGCAGGAGGAGAAGGAGGGGCTGGGGTGAAGAAGGAGTTCAAGCGCCGCGGATGGCGTGGGAAGCTAGTCTCAAATGAGCGATACCTGGATCGCCCAGCTTGGTATAGTTCATGTTGATCTCTTCTTATCACACTTTGGCCATAGTCAATTGATCATGACCCAATGAGTTGAGACATGAGTCGATGTCTAGACCCTGCCCTATAATGAGTTATCATATGCGTGAATACAGGCCTACAGGCATCATCGAATACAAATACCATGGCCGTCAGGCATCTGCATATGCAGTTGCCTTGCTGTCGACTTACATCTTCTTTCAACCTCCTTGACAATTGAAGTAACCCCAAAGCACAATGGACTTTCGTGACCACGCACTTCCCATCACACCGCTTGTTACCCCTGTGATCGATGGCGACGTCCCTGTTACCCCTCTGACCGAGACTGATTCGCTTGAAGATGAGGATGATAACGCCCCTGTTACTCCTCTCATCGAGACTTATTGGCTTGAAGATGAAGATGGCGACGTCCCTGTTACCCCTCTGACCGAGACTGATTCGCTTGAAGATGAGGATGATGACGCCCCTGTTACTCCTCTCATCGAGAATTATTGGCTTGAATATGAAGATGACGAACTGCCAATGAGTCGAAAGGATGTTGACAAGCTATGCGGGTGAGTGCGTCTCCTGTTTGCTTTCAAGCCCAGCTAAACGAAATCATAGGACACACCCATCCACTGTCGAGCTGAAGTACTTTACCTTGCAGCTGAAGCTCTTTCAGGGGTTGGGCAGTCTCGCGGAGACCATCAAGGTCATGGAGGCACAAAAGAGTTGGGAATATACCATCAAAGATCGGTTTGTAGCCAATCAGTACAGAATTGTCGAGAGCCAAAAAGTGGAAACTGGATTCTACTGGCGCTTTGTAAGGGGTCTGGAGAGCTTTGCAAAGTTTGTGCCCGATTGCGATCCCGACTTACAAGCCTTCCAAGTGAGGTCTGAGCTGGAGACTGCAGCACCCACATCACGATTGTCACTGTATGTATTATTCTTGCTATCATGAGCATCCGTTACTGATCTATTTAGCAATATGCTAGTTTTTAGTCCTGTCCCCGAATGTGAACGGGCTGCCGCGCTGCCTTTCGAAGAGTGATTAGCATTGAGAAGGGGGGACGTCATAGTTGAGCTATATATATGTACCTAGTAGATGGATTCAAATTAAATGATGGACACAAATTCACCCAGTTTCTCAAATCCCGGCAATGGCCCCAAATTCACCACCTAGCGGTGTCTTTGCTAAAGAGTTATGTGAGCATTTAATGGCCTCATGTCTGAGAACCTACTCACAACAAGAACAGCGACCTGGCGGGAGCACATAAACGAGACAGCACCCCCTACGGCGGTAACAGTTGTAATTGACGAAGTATACCAAGTATTCAGTAAGCAGGCAACACTGATATGTTTGAAAGCGCTTACAAGAAAGTTAGGCCAATTGAGTTCTATACATGGCACTGACTGCCGATGCTTAGAACTTCCGCTGGCAGACGGCTCCACGCTACCGATAGCACTTTGGACTGTCCCAGTCACTGTCAATCACTTCGGGAGGATACTGAGAGAGGAAGGATATGACCTCAAGTTCGCGAGTGACTTTTTGTCATTGTATCCTGATGAGAATGACACTAATGTCATTTTGGCACTCACTTGGCAGGGAAATTGGCTACTGGGTTATTATGGGGGGAGAAGGCAGAACTGGGTGGTGCTCAAAGACGGCCTTACGGACATAAAGCATTCCATGGCCTTTGTATCTTAGATATGGTACAATATTATGCTGTCATAAAGCGCAATTTATTCCATATCGGTAGCGTGCTAGGCGTGAGTGCTCTCGCAAGCCACATTCTACATGGGAAAAGAGATAACAGATGCGACCGGCTTTGAGCCTGCATACCCCCGAGATATGAGACCTCGAATTTCGAAGATGGTGGGGGAGTGCGGCGTCCAAACTGTATCGAAGTCCTTCATTCGAGGTTGCTGGAAGACCAGGGTCGAGATCGACACCTACATGACAGGAAGGCCAGAGGGGTCTCGGAATTCATTGCCCTAGGATACAACAACCTGGAGGTGTCCGTGCCTTCTTGCTAACGGTGAGCACTGCTCGCCGACTAAAAGGTGTCCCGTTTCTCGACTCGTGGCTTCCCTCTGTTCATCCTCAGACTCTCACCCCACGAGCACCTGAACTTGGAACCATCATCATGGCAATCAAACCTATTCAAGCGTTCAACCTCAACAAGGAGAACGGAGATGCCGATTTCCTACCTATACTATGCTCTTTTCTATCACTCTTGTACGGAACCCGGCGGACACCCTGGCTCACACCCTCTGAAATGACATTCTGTCGAACTCAACTAGAAAAGTTTGGTCCACAGCAGTTCACTGCTAATCTTCGAGATCGACTCTTCAGCCAAATGAGTATGGCTATCATGCCCTGGTCCAGTACCAGATACGCATTACAAGGCCATTTCGAGATCGCCAGCAAGATCATGACTCGAAAGGGAAACCCTTTCAAGATCCTTCGCGAGATTCCATCTCATCCTGTCGATCGCAGCAAGCAGGACATCCTTCGACATGTGAATAAGGTCGGGCGGTTCAACATCCCGTTGGAGGAAATCAACGATAGCAACGTTGATGCTATTCTGGTGCTCTGCATTGGTTTACTGGGAGGTGAACGAGGCGAAGCATTCGTGATTGAACAAGTGGTTCATATTGCGCCAATTGCTCTATCTTATGCCGAACACCACACAAACAATCCATTGTTCTTTGGCCCTGTGGTGTCACCACCTCCCATCGCCCCTCTGTTTCAACAGCCATTGCCATCCCCAGCATCGCCTGCAGGGCGGTCTATCACTCGTGGTCGGTGTCGCCGTCGCTCTCTCTCTCACTCCAGGTCTCGCTCCCGGTCTCGAGAAAGCTCACGATCTACTGATCGCTCGTGTGCTCCTCCCTCTGGGTCATGGCGGCATGACTTTCACACTTGGATTGCGAGTGTGAATATATACAAGTTTGGGGGCGTTCTATTCATCACAGGAGGGCTTCTCTTTTACATGCTTGCGCTGTTTCTGTCTTCCAGTAGAATTATCGTGTTGCGTATGGAAATGTAACTTGAGTTCGAGTTAATTGATTTCGCCATTCATTTTCACCTCTTGAAATGTGATTTCTGAAGTTAAGAGCACTTTGACTCTCTGCCTGAGATGAATACGTGTAGTTACTACCTTTCATACGCTTTTACCACTATAAATTCACCCCTGAGCTGGTAAACACAAAAGAACATTTGACATTACACCGTTTGCTTACCTAGGTACGTAGATACTGCGTGACACGTCACAAGATTCTCGACTTCCTGGGAAGTCGCTGTGCAAGGGTGTTCCATCCCTGCTCTGATGCAAGCTCAAGGCAGCGGTAAGGCATTCTTGGGAAGAATCTTGGTTCGCCTTTCTCCATCTTTGGACTATTAAAGCCAAGGTCCTTCCCAGAGAGAGGCAAATTATCCAACTCGAATCACCCTTATCAACCATTCTTCTGATCAATCATGGACTTGTTTCAGAGACTCCGTCATAAGCGTGATGATCAACGTCGATATATTTTGAGCCTGCAGTCGAACAATGAAATAATTTCTGTGTTGATATACCTTCATGGAACCCTCGGAGAATTCGACAGCTTTGTGAGCAGAATGCCCAACTTAAGTTTGAAAGCCAGTATGGAGTTGCTCGAGCATGTTGCAACATCCATTTACTTGCTCATTTTGGGTTCATGCAATCCACTGGTCACCAAAGGGGACCGGATCCTGGGGCATATTAAATCTCAACTGAGTGTATTGTCGGCGGCGCGCCCTTTGATTGAAGCTCTCTGGGACAAGGAACCGATGCACGTACTTGAGTTCCTAAACTTCATCACGTCGGAGATATTGTTCCTAAACGAGGTTCTTCAACAAAAAAGGAGCTTGGACTCATATACGTATTTCTATATTACCCCCTTCGATTGCAGCCTGATTCGAATGAGAGAATATAGGGGGTTTGCAGAAAGGCACGCCGCAGCACGCCTAAGGTGGCATGCTTTCCAGATGCGAGATTATAAAGAGCTAGTAGACTGCGTTCCAGATTTCGGCATACTCTATAGTCACTTGGCCACCCGGCGCCAAGGAGACCACTTGCGGATGCTTTCAAAGTTGGCAAACTCCTGTGGAGTCCGAGAGGTGCTCAATATGGCCAGTTTTACAGCACTTCCCATTCACCTACCTTATCTACAGTATGTTTTATCTTCCCTATTATTTCTATACTTTGTATTGACTATGAATAGTGTTGAAGATGTCGCTAGACTTTGCCAGCTTCTCTTCAGTGTCTCAGGTAGCAGTGTTGGCATAAGCAGTGAGGATGTCATCATTTCATTCTTCAAGGGATTTGGGAGTCAGGTGCCTCGATAGTTTCAGCAAAGATTACTGGGGCCGAAGTTGTGAAAGTCAACGGGGGTAAGGAGTCCCTTGGGAGAATTGCATGTAAATAAAGAAGGAGAAAATCATATTTGCCACGTATCAATACTTTGTTCTCAGTTCTATTGTAGGGAATGTTTGTTCCTGGCATGTCTAACGAAATGAATGTGTTGAGTCAGTCAGATGACGTTGGAGAGGCTCTGCGTGGGCCAACAGGGTCAGGTTGCGCTGTGATGCTGCTGTCACTCAAACCCAAAAGTGAACTTGTACTCTGCAAACTGAACATTCCGCACAATAGCTTATGGCCAGAGATACAGGTCTGGCTGCACTAATTCCTCTGTCTCCTGGTCGCCATGCACGTCCGCCAATTGACGTGCCCAGCACAACGCCGCCATAATAGCTGGCCTGTCCTCCATAGTCCGCGTATCGAGGGGCGACCGCCTAGCCTTGCTGTCCAGGGGCTTGTCATCGTCGCTGATGTCATCAACCTCAACGTCACCAAATCTTAGCTCCGACCGCGCATGATCCAGATAGGGCTTCATAGCATGACAATATCTCCACGACGGTTTGTGGTATGACCATTGCCGAGCTTTCTTAAAGTTGAATAAGGAGTCTGGCGGCACCTCCTCCATTGTCGGTATCTGTGGGTGGTTAGTTACGTGGAGGATTCTGAATTTGGTCCCGATTACGTCAAAGACCGCAAGGTCGTGCATTTTCCTAACCCAGAGAAGATAGTTAGTCTTTTACGACTATCCAGTATCTAAGGGCGCTTTACTTACGGTGCATCATTATTGATCCAAAACTTGAAAGCCTGGCGGAAATACTCCACTTCAGCCTATGCGCATGCCTCAGCTTCGGCCCGCTTCCATCCCTCAGAGGTATCCTCAGATACCAGCTTAAATAAGGCCAAGAATTAAACTGATCTGCAACTGCTATCTGGCCGCATGCGGGAGGCTATCTGGAGGTATGTACCGAGTTGCTGCCGTGAAATCTAAGCCCGATATGTGCGGTCTATATTATTGAAGTAGCAAGACTGGTGAACTCTGCAGCCTCCTATGCCTGTTGGTATGAAGAACACGAGTGCATATAAGACCATAAGTCCTCGCGCTCTTAGAGCGATGCGATGCTTATATGGTGAGCTCAGTACCTTTTCGAGTAGCTCCTAGTTGATACCTGCTTCTTTGAATGGCTGTCTCTAACTGGGTTTGCTAGTCAGGAGCCTGCACAAATACTTCCTTTTGAACTCTTCTAACGCTGCATTAGCGAATCCATTTGACAGGGGCAATTTCACGTCTGTCTTGACCCGCAAGGGTTTAACCCATCGCTCCCAGAGAGAAGATGGTACTCTATTAGACTATCACGACTTCTTAGATATAGATCTCTGCTTCCCCCTTAGATCGCCCTGTTCTTCTTCTTCAGAAACTCGATACATTCTTGCTCCAATGTTGAGATCAAGTCAGGGTTCATTGAGCTTAGCATTGTTTCAACCGCTTGAAGTCCCCTCTTATTTTGTAGCAGCCGTATGATCTCCTGGTCAACTGAGTATACGGATTCAAAGTCACCGATCCAGCACCTGGACATCAATCCCCCAAAGAGAGCGTCTGAAGACGACTCTGGGAGTTCACCGTTCATGATCTTCTGAACTCGTGTTGGTGGGTCGAGATCATGCCAAGGAATTCTCTGAAATCGAATCGTGTAAATGCAGGAACCAAGAGAGAATTGTTCGGTGATGGCACTCCCTTCTGGCAATTCGTAGTTCTTGAGTACTTTGCAAAACGGTTCGCTTGAGGCAAGTAGCTGGGATCCCTTCTCAACCGCGCAGTCAAAATCCCCCAGTTGGATATCGCCCTCGTCACCGCGGGCAGCAAGAAAGATGTTTGTAGGGCGAAGGTCCCCATGAATCAGTCCAAGGTTTTCTAGCCAAGTCAAAGCGCTCGAGAGTTGTCTGATCCACCGCTCCTGTATCTGTTCCGGTAATGGCTTGCTAGAACACTCTTCAAGTCGATCGTTGAGTGTCATAGCTTGTCTATGGAGAAAGATACCCTGGGGAATATAAAGAGGACTTATGAGAATATGGGGGTGGGGTTTCTCTCGCAATAAAGAGTAGATTCGTTCCTCATTCTTCATTTTCTCAATATTTTCCTTCATGTCAACCTCCTGCGAAGGAGCGGGGTTGTCAAATGTTGTTGGGCACTTTAGCACGATACGCTGGCTGATGGCAAGCACATGGCCGGCGGCACCTGATGCAATAACATGATCACTAGCTAGCGAGAAGGGCAATCGCAGATGCGCGATCATATTAATGAAAGTACTGACAGGACGTTTGAACGAGAAGGAGAAAATATCGTTGTAGGTACAGTGAAGGTTGGTAATTGTCAGATGGAGCACAAGCCACCAGTGCCCCAACAAGGCCCACTAAGCCCACTAACCGAGCCCCTCGTTCCCCAGAATGATTACCCCCGGGCAACACAGTTAGGGCATTTATCTTTCTTAGATGACCATGTTCCAATTATCCTTTGGGTTAGGGCAATCAGCGCCCCTCTGCACAGCTGCAGCGCACCTGTTCACGTACGACACCTGCTCAACCTCGTGGCCGCACACATGTTTGGCGCGTGGATGTATGAGCTCGCACATCTTCAGGTACCTTTCGATTTGTCTGGGCGATATTAGTGAATTTCTTTTCGCCGAAATGTTCAGTCCCAATCGCAAGCAGCTTACAGTGATGGTAAAAAAAAAGTTTGTCTTATTGATTTGTCCGTACCATGGGATGTCTGCAGGGTGTGAACCTTTTATATCTCTCATCTGACAGAGAGACCTGGGTTGAGGCTCTGAATCTTGTCGAAAGGCAGATTGCAGCTGCAACAGGTAGGAGCGGACCAAACGCATAGTCTGCCAACCAACGTCGCTTGGAAGTGCCTCCAATTGTCATGATCAGATATGGTTTCGTTGCTCCTAAATCGTGAAGAAATTGATACACTGCATGGTTTTCCAGCAAGTATAGCCCAGGAAGCCCTGGGGCGCTAGATCGTAACTGAAGAAAATGGCAGGCCATAAGTGGTTTGGTTACTAAGGGATTATTCAGGAAAAGTTCCTGAGCTTGATTGTGGCAGGGGGAACTCATGTTCGAAAGCTTGTGTATTGTCTTTCTTCTAGAAGAGGGGAAATTCTGTATCTAAATCCCTCAACTTCCGGCATCTTGCCGAGGTTTTACCTAGGTACAAGCGATCATTTCATTCTCCTAATCTGACATTAATCCCTGTTCTGACTTGTTCGCACAGCCGGCTGTGCGGGTATGAGTCGCCTTGTGGCAGGGCACTGCTTATTAATAAGACCTGTCAACTCTTAGACCTAGACCCCCAGACTGTGATAGCGAGCCTAAAACTAAGCAGTGATAATCTGATTTAATGACTTCAACTTATAATTTGTTATTATCATGTCTAATAAACGTCCCTCATTGCTAACACCAGGCAAAGTTTCCATGTCCCAATCTATTCACTATGGCTTCACTACATGAGTACCTTGAGGGGTAATGAAGGTGCCACTGTCACTCTTGACCTCCGCAGGGTTTGCAGAATGCCCTTCACGGTTTTCCCAACAGGTAGACATCCCCGATTTTGAGGATTTTCTTATCCATAAGAAGATCACTGGTATAGTAAATCCCGAGACACTGGACGATATGCTTCGTTCTATTGGCACTTCCCATGTTCAGTTCCATGAGACCTTGGGGCTGGAACAGCCGCCATGTCTGAATCATACCACGACTGTACACTGCCTGCTCGGCCAGACGTGCTTGGATAGGGCTATAGCTTCTCTAGGGTCTAATTTTGAGTGCACGGTACAAGTATTCTGTATCCGACCCCGTAAGCCACAACGCTTTCACAGCAGAACATCACTAACCATGTTTATAGTTTCACAAAGATACACTGACGGTGAAATTTATCAAAAAGTCAGTCGGCATATGGGTACAAGCCGGCTGGGACTTGCAGATCTGTGGCTAGAGCATCTTCAAGAAGGTAAACGAAAGCATCTCGCTTCGTTACTTGGTCACCGACAGATTATGGCGGCGATGGGAAATGTTCTCCCATTTGCTGGCCTATGGGATGAATTTCTCCTAGGAAACTGGGCCAAACATCTCACAGCGCACTGTGACGACCTTATTAGTAAGTATTGGAATCACATCAGTCGAACATGGACCGCCATCTTCAAACAACTTGAACACCTCAGACACTTGATCGACATCCAAACCCGTGGAACGCTTGCGCTACGAGGCGCCTGCATGGAGCACTTTAGATCGTGGCAATATCGAAGAGGGGTTTAAAGATATGGAACCATTCCCTCATATTAAGAAGAAGCTTGACAGAGTCACTTCAAAAAGAAATATTCTGTCGTTGGATTGCACAATCCCCAGCATACGCACATTTGGCGAAAATATGCGATATCTCACAATTCCAGCAAAGATCATTGAAAGACTTGTTGAAATGAAGCCAATGCGCAGGCGAATGCAAAAGCGCCTTGCACCGGTTGGCCAAGCAACACAGAGTTTATTCGAGAATTTGAGGAAGGACTGGAAGGCTCTAGGAGGGTTCTATGAGGTAGCCGAAGGTCAATTCTACAAGATCAAGGACGGACCTTCACCAGAGCTCGCGTTTCTCCAGCTATTTCTGGTAGCCTGGAGGAACTTTCCACGCTTAAGTACTGAGGCCCCTCCCCAAGATACCAAGGGAGTTGGTATGATAGCCTTCGTGGATAACGAAGAAGTTGCGCGGCTCTGTCAAGCTGCCTATGTGCTCGGGTTCAGTAATGCTAAAATCATGGAAAAGCTCAAGATTAATCCTGAAGTTAGAGCGCGTTCCATGAGGCATAAGAAGGCTAAGCTAACTATCAGAACGCTGCGGTCGCTCAAGTTTTCGGCTTTCTACCCACAGCTTTTTCGCCAGTATAAGCCAAGAAGAAACCCAGAACCTGTTTCCATTCAAGCTGACATTACGAAAGCTTTTTTTGGTGAATGGATTGGCATTCTAGACTTTCAGGCCAGCTATGCAAATGCCTCGGACAATCTGCCTCAGGACTCTGATCAGCTTGTCCGTAGAAGACACATGAGAGAGACCTTCAAAGGGAATGGTTTAACAACAAGACTCGAATTTTTTCAATTTCTCAAAACTACATAGTAACGTGCATGATAAGCGAGTGCTCCACCAATCTACACTTGAGGACTCAGAAAGAGGAATTAAAACACTACAACCTATCTGATCAATCAAAATTAATTGCTAGACTATTCCCTATTGACCTCAATTGACTCTTGATAGGTCCTTGTAGTATGCCCAGTATTTCCGCAAATACTACATTGCCGAGGCTTTGATACTCGGGACCTTCCTTGAATACCTCTTGAGGATTCAGCTGTCACCTGCGCATCAATATCTATTTGATCGAGTACTTGTGATGGTTCCGTTATAGTTAAAGCACCTTCCTTCCGTACCGTAGTCCTTCTTCCCCCCTGGCGCCGCCCTACTGTCTTATTCTGCTGTTCAAGTTGCTGATTCCTCTTATATAGTAAGGCCATCTGATCCATAAGATTARTTGTTGACTTCTCAAARTACTTGACGGCTTGAATTATTGACTCAGGGGAGCTGCTTTTATGTGTTCTGATCCTTCCTTGCAGATATTTAGAATGCGATTGGGCTTCTACTACTGTCTTTGGGGTCCTTGAAGTCTAAGGGTCGATGGTATTGTGACCTCGACGGGAGGCGTTGGAGTCCGTAGCTGTACATCAAGCTTTGAGATGACATGTTCTGGGTCAAAGGGAGCAAGCCTAGCTCCTCTAAAGCCTCCTTTGATATTGCTTTCTGTAATCGCAGCCTGGTGGGCGGTATGAGAGGCAGGAAGGAACTCGGTCTTGGTGATATGGGTTATAAAACATCTGATCAGATGCTCTATTTCTCGACTATAGGCCTTTTTCAGCGATCCAAAGCACCCTACATCAAGAGGCTGAAGTAGACGAGAGGCATGAGCAGGCATACAGAGCGTGATAATCTTGTTCTCCTTGCAGTATCCCTCGAATTCGACGGAATGGTGACTTTCATGACCATCAAGGATCAAGAGTCGATAGCGACTGTTCGCCCGTTTAGCTGTAGCCCGATTAAAGTGCTTTAGCCACTCGAGACCCAGATTGTTATTAGTCTATCCATTCTCGCTTAATGCAATAACCCAATCGCCAGGGAGGTCGCATTCTTCGTACCAGGTGGCAAGGTAATCTTTACCTGCACCAATGATAAACGGCGGGATCGATTGACCTTCCGCGTTGATCCCCTCGATCACAGGAATCCATTCGCGATTTCCAGGCTGTACTTGCTTTGGTAATCCTTGCCTATGGGAGCCTGTGACGACTGTTCCGGGCTCAATTATGCCCATCATAAAGCCGGTCTCATCAAAGTTCCAGATATCATTTGATCGGATACCATATTTCGCGATCGTATTCTCTACAAGCCGAAATCAGCCACGAATAATAGTCAGATCTTCGCATTTAGCTCTTTGATAGTCATATCTGCGATACCGACGTGTCCTTAGCTCTGGTGGTCGCTTGATGAAGTTATGTGCCCATCGCTTGCCGACAGGTGGCGCGCCGCGGTTGGCACGTAAAGAATTCGCGATATCTTCCACATATGATAGTCGCGAGGGAAAACCTCGCGAATCTAGGTCAAGGAGGTATTGGACTATCGTACCCTATTCCTGATCAGAGAATAACCGTGACTTTGTGAGAGTTTCACGCTTTGAAAGAATGCCTTGCCGGCGGCGACTTAAAGCAAAGCGATCAATATGAAGGGCAAAGAATAATCTTAGCTTCATTTAGAGACTCTAGCATATTGGGTCATTGAGAAATATCTAATTGAAAAGTGATAGTGTAGATTGAGGGATTCTTGGAGCACTCGCTTGTCGGGAGCACTCGCTTATCATGCACGTTAACTTATAGGTGGCCACTGCCATTATGTCAGCAATCAAGTTGAACTTCTTTGCTGACATAATACCGAAGCACACCACTCATCATCACGCGGTAATTTCTAACCTTCCACAAAGCCAGTATTCGAACCACCAATATGTTTGCCGACCACTCGCTTCTCACCCAGTCACTTCTCAAGAAACTGGAAGAATTGGGTGCGGAGGTCTCCTCGATTCGGGCTGACCTTGATGCCCAAATCGTTTCGCAATCGCCATCGACGCGTCCAGTAAGCTATGATGGTAGTAGTGAGGATAACCACGAAAATCAGCCATGGACACAGATCCAGAGTAAGCTTGATGACGTCGAAAAATCTATCAAGCGGCTCGGTCACATCGTGTCAGGGATTGCCAGCAACACTCAGATCGATCCATCACATAGACTGGAAGTTGAACCTGCAAAAGCGGGGACGTCATCGACATCACGATGCCGGAGTCAAGATGTACCGACCAACCTTGAGCCCCAGTTGACTCCCGATACGCGATACCGGCCGCCTCTTAGTTTCGATTTCAATCTACAAGACGAGCATACAACGACGTCCCACCGTCCAACACTACAACGCCAGCGCAGCACGAATGTTGTTGATAAGATACAGCCGTCAAGTCCAGTATCTACCCCGGACTCTGAAGGTTGGACTTCGGGCTTCCCTGCGGAGAGCGACGATCTCACCCATATACAAGACTCCCGAAAGCCAGACACGCTGGGTTCGACGCCACCTTACTGCCCGACACCGTGCAGCTCCTCAGAGGCAACAATATCGGCTGAGGAAATGATGACGGGGCTGGTCTCGAAGCTTACAGAATTGCAAACAAAAGATGCTCCACAAAAAATGACAGTAGCATTGAATGATATCAGCCTGGCCGAAATGCAACAGCATATTGATATACACGATAGTGGCTGGCAATACACAAGCATCAAATATAAGCGTGGGCCAAAAGGCAAGGGTTTCTTGAAAGCGCACTCATCAAGCGAAAGGCCTGTTCTCGACTGGTCTGAATTTTCGACCAGAGTGAGGAGACCGACCTTTGAAGAGGCCAGTCAAATTTTTGAGGACGTTGTTGCTAGCCCCCCTAGTAGCAATGTGCCCTATATTACTGGTCATGTCAAGTTTCCCTCTCTCAAACCACTTGACCCTGGTTCACGTATCACGAACGACCAGGCTCTTCAGGATCTGCACTCCGAGTATCATCATATTGGCTTCAATCTTTCTGCTCAGCGAATGCATTGTGAGGACAGGACATACCGAGAAGGATCCGTTTATCATGGCTTCCGATCCTACAACGAGGTCTATGCCGGACCTGGGTTCAAGTTATGGTTAGTTGTTGCAAATCACCATATCTCTAAATTTGAGGATTTCTTTGAGCAGAGCTTCAGCTGCGGTACATGCAATCAGAGATACGGGCATGAATCGGTTCTTCTTGCACCTTCACGACTTGAGGAGGAGGGAATTGACTTCTCAATTGAGATCATTGGACGCGGAGAAGCCTTTAGGACATTGCCAGGGCAACCACACCAAATCATCAATTACGGCGCCTGTGCTGCACGATCCGTAAATTATTTACATGATGATGAAGAGTTCTCACCCGAAAAGGCGTCCTGCTGTTGCAAATGCGGAGTGTCTGAGAATTATGGCAACTCTCTTGTTCCCGCTCCTCCGGAGCTCGTCGAGCCTGTGCGAAAGCCTCTACCGAGCAAGAGGCAACACCCGCATCCTGCTCAACCTCCAAAAGCAACACGTGCTTGCACCGAGGTACTTAAGCGGCTACAGGATGATATCGATAGGGCTAAAACGGCTGATCCACATTGCAACATTCCATATCTTAATAAGACCTACTTGTCGGTTACGCAGGTGGACGTCGTCTTGAGGGCTGCGTCCATTCGAAGTAAAGTTGCTATGAACCAACTATCATCATTAACCTATGAGCTTTTACACAAGAGACAATCCGAGACCTATGATGACAATCAGGGAGAGGTCACTATCGATCGGCAAATCATGTACTTGAAGGAAAAGGTTGGGCAGTCAATCTTAGCAAGCTATCTTGTCCGACACGCCCAGTTATGCCTGGCCCGGGTAGTTGATAGGCAAACGAAGAGTCAAAATCGCAAGGCTGCGAGTCCTAGTGACCTTGACCGCCGAGCAAGACAGCTTGGGATCAACAACATCAATCATCATCTTCAAGAAGGACGGAATTGGATCATAGTGTGCGGATCCTATGAAGGACTTCATCCACTCATTCTGCTAGGGTCTAAAATATTGGGCAACAAGCTTGTAAGTTCCAAGGATGGTTTTGGTGTTACCAATAAGAGCTGGCACACGCTCAGAGACGACCATCTTGCAGCTTTTCACAGTCTAATGGATGATTCATTTGCGCACAAACTTGCCATTGCTGGAAAACTCTTTCTCGACCTGCTGAACAGGTTGATCCAGCCAGTCACAAACTGGGAACAGATTCTCAGCAATGTGGTCAACTCGGAGGACCTTGAAGAATCTATCGACTTGTATACTACAATTAAGTCAGCTTGATTGCTCTTCTGAATCATCAAGCAGCCTATTATCCCTTCAAATGTATGTAGTAAGCATGCCGTGCGATATCATGAGACAGAGCAGTTCTTCTTCCGTCATGATGTCGGTCTCGTACAGTCGTCGCGCATCTGCCAGGATGCATCGCTTAAGGTCAATCGAAGCTGCCATTGGCTTCCTGAGGGCCGCACATTCGTTACGGAGCTAGTCGAAAGGTCATACAGCCATCACAAAGCCTCAAGGTAGTGGCCCTGGCTGTACCCAGGGCAGTCGATCGAGGATTATTGGCTCCCAGGAGGGCATGCAGCTATTATGAATGCCTCGGGACAAGTTTGTCAAGACTCTTGTAGGTCCCAGGGGACAGGACCAATTCCCAGTATGACTCCCTAGGAAGTCAAGAGCAATGGCAGTGACTTCCTGTTGGTTGAGTTGATCTCAGGCTCTCATGCTTTTCATATCAGTCACGGTGTCGTGGCTAGACGAGACAAGGATCGGGAAGTATAAAGCTTACCATCCCCCTGCGTTCAGACCCAAGTCCTTTCTGATTCTTCACCTACCTTTCCTGAACAACAGCCTGCCTCGATTCACTGGAGTCTACACAATGGCCTCGATGCCTTTCTTCATCCCCCTGCGTCTCCTGCGCGGTCTATACACTATGAGCTTGACTTTATTATCAAAAAAATCATCGAAATTAACCATGAAGGTGAAGTGCTCGACGGAGAGATAAATACAGCGCTATCCAGGTACTCTATCGAAGAACATCAGCGAGTCAGAACCTTCACACAAGCTCTCCTAAATACCTGCAACGCACTACTTGGGCAAGGTCATGCTTTTGAGCAGGAGGCTCACAACGTCGACAGCAGAAGCGAGCCTGGCCCGGGCATTTGTTACCGAAGGTCCATTACTTCACCTATCACACAATGTTGCTTGTCGTCCGCCGACCAAGAAGTTGCCGTTGTCGCTAGTGAGAGTGGACCTGATTTAGACATCCTAGGAGAAGGCCAGGCTTCCGAACAAGAGGCTCCTGCTGGCGATGGCCGAAGTACGCCTGACCTGGAGAGTTATTGCCAAGGGCTCCAGTCCATTACTCCGCCTATCACACAGGTTGGCTTCTCGTCCGCCGATCAAGAAGTTATCGTTGTCGATGGCGGAGGTGAACATATTTTGGATAATCGCTACGCAGGGTTCCAATCCCTAACACCTAAGCTGCTACCTCACCGGACCCCCAGAGTCTGCTCAGTGAGGGCAAACTCTTGGACAGCATGACAGAACCAACACCTGAGCCCTCTCTAATGACTCCCAGTAGTTCATACTGCCACCATCTCATCAACCAGACAATCGGCGACTTCTATCATGAAACCTATGCGATGCTTGAAAGGTTTAGTTTCGATGACTTGGCCCTAGAAACACATAAGACCGTGTTGGAATCGATCAAGCGTCGATTAGATCACAGTAATACGCTGAACCAGGATCAACAGCATGATACTTCATGGTCTGACGGCTCGCAATACGTTTCACTCATGGATTCTGGGAAAGGATCACGATATAAGGGTTCGCTTTTCTCTGCCTTTTCAATCACGGATTTTACTGGTTGGCACTCATCTCAAGTACAACTACTTGGAAACGAGATGCACTGCGGATATACTGCGCAAGACGCAGCTCAGGCAGTAACGGCGAGGGTTATTAGGCGCAAATTGGGGAGCAAAGATGAAAGCAACAGGAAGCATTGGGAACGAAGCCGCAAAAGGCTTAATACCGGCCTTGCTAGAGGACGAAAGTGGCTCTACCTCAGTGCTAAGTTCGGTTGTGGAATACTGTTTAAGGATGTGTGGCAAGCCTATCTTGTTGCCGCATGAAGCAGATGAACTGAGCTAACGTCCTTAAGAACCTCGCAAAATCTACCCAGTCAGAACTCGATGAGTTGGCCGTGGGGCTCCCAAGCGATCCCGAGAAGGCAGCTCTGCTCCGTTTCCTCGATGAACAGATGGATCTCTTGATAGAAACTGGCAAGACAAACCTCACTATCCTCCGCGAGCGCTTAATGGCCAAAGATTTAGCCTTTGCAATTCCTCCTTTGCCTCGCAGTGGTACAGGGCTTCACAATGACATATACACGCAATTTCGAGACCGGGTCCACAGCAACGAACTTGTCATCAAAGGAATCGATTTCAAGTTTAGCACCGAAAGCCTGAAATCTCTTAGTGACAAAACTTGGCTAAGCAGCGGCATCGTCACTGCCTGTCTGCATTTATCGCACAGAATTCCGTGTGTCAATACTGGCATTTACATCCCTACTCATCGGCAAGAGGAACGCGTTGATCTTCTACCTCGACCATTCCAGAAAGCGAACAGACAAATGAAGATGTGGGCTGAAGAATACGAGGAGAATGGCCCTGTGGTCGGGTTGTTCCCGCTTTTGCTCACCAATAACCATTTCACCCTCCTCGAGATCAACGAAAGGACAGGGTATATCTACCATTATGACTCGTTTTGTCAAAAACATTCTGCTTTACAGGTTTGCAACTAGGTTCCCCGTGGCACGATGTTGAGACTGACTGTAATGCAGAGCGCGTGCCAAAAGGAGTTTCCTCATCTCAACTATATTGAGAAGGTAGACCGTCCCGGCCTTCCACAGTCTTCCTCAGGCTAATAGGGAGTAGCAGTGTATACGACAAGTCGATGGCACCAGCTGTGGGCTAATGGTGACTGAACACGCGCGCCGTCGAATGATGAACCGGCCTATTGTTACCAACGAGGATCACAAATATGAGGCGAGAGAGCTCAGGGTGAAGGGGGCTGAGCTTTTAATTCTAGCACTAGATGAAGGCAGGATTGAGAGTGTGACGGAATGCGGAAAGCGCAAGCGGCAGACGGATACTGGAAGGGACGCGAAAAGGAGGCAGTTGAACAGACTGAGCACGAGAGATGACGAACCATGTGAAGAGGATGTCATAGTTATCGACTAGGTTAGCTTGTGGGGAGACAATGACCTTTGGTTACCTGACACTGCTATTAAACAATCGAAAAACTTTCCAACCCTGAGAAACGAGGCAAAGCTGAACGAGTGCACCATTCTTGGAATGCCCCAACAAAATGTTTCCCAACATGGTATGCGTTGCAAACAAGGACTGCATCGTCAAACGGAACATTTGTACTGAGGGCTGAAGAATTCCCTTTGTTCAAGACAGTTCTCTTCCCTAGCGTTTGTTTCCATTTTGCTGTCCACAAAACTTCTCTTTTTTCAATGTTCATAGCCTTCAGCACATGAGCGACGTTGATAGTGTCTTCCTGTTTGTTGTATGCAATCCAGCAATTTCTCCAGAAGAAGAATTTTATATAGTCAAAAGACTTGGGTATTTTTCCTGGTCTGGTCTTCTGCACACGGCGAAGCTTCTTCTTTTTGGGGTTAAGGCTTACTCTGCGATTTGTAGATTCACTCGCAAAGCTAGCTGCAGGGTCTTGTGTAGAAGGGAGCGAGACATTGGGAGCCCAACATTTATAATTTCCTGACTCCCAATCCACCCATTCAGGTATTTGGCGAGAGGAAGCTAGGGAGGGCTGATGCCTCGACGCGGTGACCCAGCGTTCAATATCCTGCTCATTCATGAAAGACGTTGCATTGGCGCTCTGTTCAACGCCACTTGTCTCTTCAACCCAGACATCCACCCCAGCTCTGGCCGTGGAAGGAACGGAGCTAGTCATGGCAGCAGACGCTACCACAACTGTGCCTTCAGGCCATTCCTTCGTGCTGCACCAAGTTGTCTGGTCGCCATGCCTGTCATCGAACAAAGGCAGCTTGACATGTGTAGGTTCGCCATGGATAAAATTGTGGCCTAAACAGAGTTCGGCTGTTGGGCGTTTTCCGCAGTCAGGCTCTAGAAGCCAGCTGAAATAGCTTTGATCTTCGGAGGTCAGAGCCCTGTTGTCGCGGACGAGTTCTGCCAGATTGCGCCATTCCACTGGATCACCCTCAGGCAAACCTATCCAAAGCTCTGTCCCAATAACACCAACGGACCATATATCGATTTTAAAATTATAAGATCCGTTTGGGATTTCGGGTACCATGTATTTTGGAGTGCCACAGTAAGAACTCGGAACGTCTTTTGTTGTTGACGCGGTGAAGTCAGCAAGTTTGATAAGTATCGGCTGGCGAGTCATAATAAGGATGTTGGTCGGTTTCAAATCCCGATGGATGATATCTTTCACATGAATAAATGAAAGGCCTTCGAGAGTCTGGCGGATAATTGACCGGCCATCTCGGTCCCAAAATCTTTGTACTTGACATTGCTCCTCAAGGTTCCCCAATGGGGCATATTCCATAACAAGTTCAGGCCCGTCGTCGCCATCAGTCTGACAATATAACTCGATTATGTGCACCTGTGGATGAGACAGAAAGTCAGGTGCTGTATTCAAATGTTTCAAGTCAGGTAGGGCTTTCATGATGGAGCAAATTGAGGATATTGCCCTCCGTTTTCGCTTCTTTAGTACGCTTTCCATAAACTTTGATAGCGACAAGTTCGCCACTTTGTCGATGCATTCCTTGGTAAACGACACCAGATGATCCCTGTCCGAGTCTCGTTGTGGTTCGAGTATACATATTCAGGACGGAGGCTGCTGAGGAGCCTGTTGCGGCAGATGATTGCAGGCGGAGGGCATTGATATCTGGCTCAACTAATGCAAGCCTTGCGAGATAATCGCTGTACACAGTGGAATATTCGCCATCTTGCCAAGGCTTAGATATGCTCAGCTCTAAGCCGGGAAGATAGATCGACGTGACATTCGTCCCAAAAAGAACCTTCTGAGATCTGAGTTGGGTGGGCTTGTCACCTTGCTCCTTGATTTTCGTCCTTTGTTTGGAAAGGTTTCTAATGATAACAGCGCCTGTCGTCGTCTGGAAGGTAGTGACGAACTGCTTGCCACTGATTCCTGTGTTTCTGGTAGTCGTGAGCAGAACATCGCACTTCTCTCTGTCGGTGCCAAAAATGAAGCCTACACTGGGACTTTTCGGTTTGTGCGCTGTCGTGAAGCGAAGGACGAGCATTGCCTGAAATGACGGGGGGCAGGTGTAACGCTTTCACTATAGTGCTCCAAGTCAATACCGGGCTCCTCTGGGGCAAATTCCATCTCCATAGAAGAGAGGTACTCTATGTTATGTGATAGAGTGAGGATCTCGCGAGGAGCGGAGATGGTGAAGATGGTCCACGACATGGTGTAAAATGATGTTATTCTATTCTCTAAATGACAGGCCTAGATGAGACAATGGATGCTACTTATACGAAGAACGAGAGTCACCAAACTAGTCTGAGGAGCAACGTTGGGCGCGTAAGTGCAGATGCATATCCATCAGACACACCATGGATCATTGTTTTTGTTTGTTTGTTTGTGTATTTTTCGTCTGGGTGGCTGTAACGCAGCCAAATCTCCTACTGGAGCAAAAGACGTGCTGAGCTAGCTAGGTATAGGGAAACCCCGCTTCCTTCACCATCCAGCATACCAATGGCACAAAAAGTGCTGTGTGTTTCCCAAGCCCGTCACCCGTCAGCGGGTTCGGGGGCAATATACTGTCGAACTTTTTCCACCGACCAGAATTCTCTCGCGCATCACTACATCTGCTGACGCAGTCCACAATCCCCAGTAACCAAGTTGTAGCTCGTAGTCGAATGTCGCGGCGGCAGGGAAAAACCTCGGGAAGGAATCAGAGGCCGACGGTGCGGCTTGCCTTCAAAGGAGAAAAACCCATCGCAATCGGCGTCGTTGATCGGGAGGATGTCGTTACGAATGCCCGGGGCATCGCCCTCCGATATCTAAGGCGTTCTGGTTCTGAGGTGCCGCCATTAGATCCGACAAAGGTGTTGCCAGAGAAGGCGAGCTCTCCAAAATTCCTTCTCTGAAAACTGCTGTTAGGGAGCCGATAGCGTCCCCGCAGTTTTTGTGTGGTCGCGTGGCCTGCGGAAAATCCCGCTCTTAGCACCGCACTAACAGTGCGTGCGAAGAAAGAATTTTTACAGGAGAAAGTCACCATGGATCATTGGGTATGGTATTAGTGTTGGTGTAGGGTGGGTGATAAATATGGTGTGCTGTACAAAAACCCAATGCATGATAAAACGATAGGTGTAAATCCAATAGGGTAGGTACCAAGGAATTAGTGGGTTGGCGATGATCTGAGACCAATCATAGTCCATTAGCAGGCGCCTGCGCTAGAGGCATTCGAGGGTAGCTAAATGCAGTATATGTACTTATGCAGTAGCTGTAACAAGCCTTACCTGGATTGGCAAAGTAAGAGTCAAGTCTCGAGACACTGAGCTCAGCCAATCAAAACGTGTCGTTTGTGCAGTAGTCTCGTGATTACAGCTACTTTCCCATGCTACGCGACATCAATCGTCAGCTATCACCACTTTCAATGCGGAGAACGGTATTCAAGCTCCAAAAAATGGATTTCCATTCTTCCTGCTCCGGGATCGCTGCATCCACCCAAGTCTGGGATAGCGATGCAGACAGTGACTCGGCTTTCAGAGATCCTACTCATCGGTTACGACGCTACACGTCCACGGTCGCGTCTAGCATGTCCTCCCTTTATCGCCAGGGACCTTAAGGCATTGCGATCCTCCGCCAGGACGAGCTGCTATTCCGTGGCTTGTAAGACCCAGTCATGAAGGACGGCACTTTAACGACGGATGATATAGCATTCTGGAAGGGCAAAGAACAGTTTTTCGCCAACGAATGGCGCCGAATCGAGGCGAAAAAAGGAAACACCAAGCTGCCGCAGTCCACGATGATCGGTGCTGCCGCCGAGAAAATACATGCTTGGATCCCAGATCCATCCCTACACGATTCAGTAACCAACCAAAGAGCCACTACACGAGTTGAACAACAAACAGCAGAACATACTTTAAGCCCTTCACTTGATCGACGGACTGGGAAGCATAAGAGGAAGCAAGCCGCTGCAACCCAGAGGATACGATTCAAGCATGCGGCTATCAGAAAGAAAAAGACGAGGGCTTTAAATACTCCAATTCGACGGAGCGAGGCATCAGCCAAAGCTATGGGGTTTCAGGTTACCAAGTCCGTCGGAGCAGAAGATTAGCGCAAAAACCGCCAGAATATCCAATGTTGGTTTGTTGACTAGTATGCTGCATCAATGCTGAGTTCATGGTCCCTGCAGACACGTACTCCAGAGTGACATGCCACTTTTGTGAACAGATTCCACCTCAAAGTTGTAATTTCTAGCTATACCTATTGAAGGTGCTTCACTGACGTGGAGGGAGGGAAGACCATAGAAAATAACTATTTGCTACTGTGTTGAAGATGATTATGATCCCTGGATCTAATCAAAATCGCCATTCTGAGATGACATTCTTGTCTGATAACTTCCGATGCGATTGTTTTTCCAGCGAAGGTAACTTTTCCATGGCCCTTCATTCTCCTGAAACCGCACTCCAGTACGGAGCCTGGGATCATTTAGTTTGATTTTGTAGTCACATAGCTGGAAAATGCCAGTTCCATCTTTGCGCCAGCTATATGATGGTCCACGTGTGAACAAACACTGCTTGAAAGGGGGAAACGAGCGCCGGCATGTACAGTCCGGGCATGGCTTGGATAACTCAGGAGGGGTGACTTCAAATGGAAAGTGACCCTCGCGACTTAATGCCCTTGATTCACGGAACTCGATTTTGCAGTCTGGATTCTGCTCATTGTGAGAACTCATCCCAGTGATCATGGAAGATACTGACGCAGGTATACCACTTGTGGATGGTAATCTCAGTGCCTTGGAGTAAGCTGATAAATTTGTCGATACTCTGCACAGTTGGGAACTCGTTTGGCAACCGAAAACCCAGCTCTCCATGGATCGCCGCCGTAATAACAACCCTTCTCAATGTGTATGTATTGTCGTTGGTCTCTTTGGACCTACATGGGCCCAAGTATTGGCCAACCTTGTCGATGTACTCGATGGTCGAGATCTTGGGAGAGTTTTGGATATTTTTAAGAAGGCACGAAGGGTATGTCTCAACCAGAGAAATACGTTGGTCGATTGCTGCAAGCGAAGTAATCACTTGATCAGGGGAATCAAGCGACTCGTGTACACCAATGGATTCGTTGTATAAATCGACTAGACGCCGTGTTGCTTGGGAAATGTCGTCTTCTGCATATTCGACGATCTTTGAAAACGGCAGATCTACGTCGAGGGCTGCTGACAAAGAAACAGCTTGGCACAATGCACGTAGCTCTGCGGAAGACGCTTTCTCGAAGATTGAACCCATTGTGATGTGGCTGTACTCCTGCTGACAAGGCAGGGTCTTGCTGCATTTAAGTCATTAGGTCTTTTGGCCGTTCCGACCTTGCCTACGGGGCGGCAGAAGAATGAGGGTGTGGTTGGTTTCCTTTCGTTTTTAGTATTTAGGGATCTAGGTAGTTCTCTATTCGCGGGGTGTTGTACGCAACAGGCATGCCTGTGGCCATAGTGAGATACTTGTTTTACCTGCTTCAACACTGCAAGCCCATTCTTCTTTGTCCAGTGAAAAAGCAGTAACACTGATCTGTTGGTCGATCAGTCGAGTTTAGAAGACGTGACTGCAACCGGTCCATGCGGTGTGCTACATTCCCATATGCATCGATCTGGATTCGGCATTCCATGACATCCGTGCTAGGGACAACCCAGCATAGTCAAGGTTTTGTGAGAAACAACAAGGCTGGAGAATCACCCTGCATTTCACGCTACTGTACCAAAGCCATCCAAGCAGGATAAACCCCATGCTGCCCGATAAGAGAACGCATCTCGCCTCATAGTTTCCTAGCCCGATTTGGTGATACCTGAATGTCCAAATACGAGATGATGGAGAGGAAGTGAGGAGTGACTGCACTACAACCTAACCCCTCACCCTTGCATGATACATGCCTTGTCCCCATCCGTACCTAAGAGGTCTTATCTTTCACATCTCTGAAGAGGGACGCTAGATCCTGACCCTTTTGTCTAAGCACAGAGCTGAAGGTCTTGGGGCAGCAACTATAAAACTTCCGTATGACATCTAACGCAAAGTACGCACCAAGAGAACGAAAGGGGACAATACACTGATCAAGCAGCAAATGTCCTTGAGAATTCAATCCCTGCAATGCAGTCGTTGACGCAATCAGACTGCTGGTGTTGGCCTGTTGACTTACAAAAGGTGGTGGGGAAGTTATGCATTTCCGCTCCTCAGGGGTAGAGGCCACGTCCTTGGTGTTGCTTCTCCAATAGAAAATCTCAACAAAACTTTCTCACACCATCTTGCTATCCATGCTACCGTGGGATAGTCAAGTAGCACCTCAAATAAATAATATCATGCTAGGCCCTGGCGACATAGAGCATGTCTATTGGTTTCCTTGTTTCCTCTTCTCACAGTTGATAATGGCCAGCTTACTTTAAATATTAGACATGTTTTCACTTCGTTTCGAATAGTGTAGTTTGCATCTCTGTTTCCACTTCCATTACTTAAGTACTCCGAGCATAATGTCCCAGCCGCAACATGCCGTGGTTTGTATAGCCAGACTTTATAAATGTAGGCGCTAACAAAAAGCCTTACAGTTCCCAAAGGAGCAGCGAAGAGAAAGCCATGTCAAAGTTGAGGAAGGCGATATCCTTTGGATGAGGAAAATCCGCGAAAGCCAAGTCGGGATGAAAGAGCAGCCCTCGATGCATGACAGAGTTCGAAACAAACCAACCGCGGCAGGACAGGGATGGCGAATGTGGGGGTTGGGAGGGGCGGAATACATGATCGTTGATGACTGAGTTATACAATTTGCTGGCGATCCACCCACTTAAGGATGGTGTTTTGCTTTCCCTGAGCCAGTGCTGCACCATAACTTTATATGGGTCTTACCAATCGATAACGAATCATCATTAGTTTTGGATCTTCGCTACTAGCCTATATTAGGCGATCTCAGAGTAGACAAATTCGGCCTAGCGTCACCTGGTGCCGCATAATCTCAACGTCGAGAATGTAGAACCACTCATCTCATACACACACACGTTCTGATGGATCCTTGGATACCAGAAACTCCCTCAATAGAGGATGAATTAAATATTGTGATTGAAAATCCTTTAGATCCGTCTTCAAGTAGGGATCGTCAGCAGTCTGAATTCACGATACCGACAACAGAACAGCAATGGCGAAGCTGCAGGCTAGCATGTGGACTGGCGACCCCCTCGGCCTTGATGAACAAATTGCAGAGATTGGAAAGTTGGGATAAGAGAGAGCTGAAAAACTGGGAAAAGGTTATCGTTATTGCTATTGCAGTGGTTGATCTGGACAGAGGGCAAGATGAAGATAACTTAAAGTACGGCAAGACTTATAGCAGCCGCATGAGTTCGATCACCTACCGTAAAGACAGAGCTGCGGTGCTGAACCTGATAAAGATGCTTGATCGTCTCTACTTCAGATTGGAACACCGCGCCTTTGAACTTTTGGTCATCTGGGGTTCGTACATACCATCTCTCCTGATTACTGGCATTACTTATCTTTTTTCTTAGATATACCTTTAACGAAGCTCCGTAAATGGACATCAAGGACTTTCGACGAGTTTTTAAGTAGCCTCCCAGAAGTTTCGTTCAGGCCTACAGCCGAGGAGCAAGCCTCTCTGGCCTTCTACGTTCCCTTTCTGATCCAGCTCATTCGACCTCAATATAGCTTGCAGGTTATTCAGAACGCCCTCAAGACGCGGACTTTAACGCAGCAAGATTTAGATCGATTCAAAGAGAACTATAGAACTCGGCAATGTCCACCTAGCCTTCTCGGTACTTTGGGTGACTTCCGGACTCCACATTGCAAACTTGATGCGACATCGTCACGACCATCACAACAGCTGCTTACCTCGAACGAAGATGACTCTGACTTGGATAGCGCCTTACATCTCGATAAATTGTTTCCAGCTATTGTTGGCATACACATTGATGGCTATACTACATTTGATTTGTCACTAGACCTGCAGCGAAAAGCATCACTGGCCCACAGACGGCAGGAAGTTTGCAACAGGATCGAGAGACATAACACTCGCATACACCAGTATGAGTGGTCCGAGGAATTCCACTTACCTGTGGCCAATCAAGTCATTGATGATTTGGTACGCATTATTTTCTGAGGTAAACATATTCATACAAGACTAAGTGGAAAGGTGCACGCCGGGATCCTAAGCCAGACTGATATCCTAAGGCAAAAGGCCTACCTCCGACATCGCGGCCATTACCGCGTTGAGTCCCAGCGCTTACAGATAATGATACCGACCACACAACTCGATCACTGCTCGTACGTTGTGTTAAGTAGCTCAGAGCTCAGCATCTCAAAATTTGAAGATAGGATCGCCTGGAGGGCAGACCGAGGGTTACTTCTTCAACAAGGCACTGTACTGTCAACGAAGAGCAACCTTTTCTTTATTTCAATTGTTGTGCCGATGAATTCAGATTAACAGGATTTCTATGTAACTGCCCTCAACTTTCACTTGGACTTGGTCCCCCCCTCCATTGGTTTATACACATCGTCATTCGTCTTGATTTCGTTAGAAGTAACTACTTCCGTTTCATTAGGCTGATCCACTGGAAATGTTAAATTCAAGCAAGTTAAGGTAAATGGTGTTATATCCTCACTTTGTCCTGATTGTGTACCGCTTGTAGTGCTGTCCATATCTAGGACAAGGTCGTGGCTTCGTGATTCTAATAATATATACAACGAACAATAGTGAAAGGCATGGCACTAGATGTATGCCCCTTATTTATAGGTATCTGGAGCTCACTTCATCTAGATATGGTATTGGGTGCCGCGGCCAGGGCTACAGCCTGCAAGCCTAGAAACCAACGCGTTCACCAATTAAGACAGACATGTATTTACTCACAGATAGACTGGTCTGTATGGGTTCTAATTGTATCCCCTAGAAATGACAATATGATGTCCTTACAGAAGGACAAGATTATGTTCCGACAGAAGACCATCATTGTATCCATGCAGAAGACTAACATTACGTCTCTGCAGAAGACCAGAATTACGTCCTTGCAGATGGACAACATTACGTCCTTGCAGATGGACAACATTACGTCTCTGCAGAAGACCAGAATTACGTCCTTGCAGATGGACAACATTACGTCCTTGCAGATGGACAACATTAYGTCWCYRCGTCCCCGTCATTGGGGTGTAATGTTTGTACCTATGTACCTTTACGCTAATTGGTGCAGACTGAATGAAACCCCCAGTTTTCCACTCTGGAGAACGGTGCCGGAATATCACACCATTCCGTCATCGATCTGGGATATGTAGGTAACACAACAGAAGGATTGATTTATGCGCTTATACGATCAAGGGACAAGCTCAAGTGGGGCTGGCTCCAGTATTGATTGGATGTTAATTGAACAGCTTTGAGGCACAGCAGCTATATTAACAGAGATACTTACATCTTCGGTGAGGAAAACGACAAATTATAAGTACCCTTGATATTGAGAGTTCAATTGGTCTAACCTGACGTAGCGGGGTATCTCGTTCTACCTCAGGTTTTAAGGGATTAGTTTTGCGGCCCGGGTGAGTGGACTCTTACCCCTCATTGCCCGCATGCTTCGACAAGTCAAGAAACATAATGCCATCCCCTTTCGAAGATACACTGGAGGCGATCCGGACTTCTGGGGGTATTGCACTCCAGAGTCGCAAGGTTGGAGAGGAAGTAAGTGGCTTTGACTTTAAAATCGTCACACCGGCGGGTCTCGAGTTCATTGCGAAACATACGGTAGCGGACGAGGTCAGTCAATCACCAAATATCTACATTCTACTCCCACTGAAATCTACAAGGAAATACATGAGATACTCTACTCTATACTCCCCGAGCCCCGTCTCGCTTATGTCAAGGTATACGGCGACAGGCATTCCCCCGACCACGCGTTCTTCTTCCATTTAGGCTTCCCCTCGACTTTGTCCCTTGTGGTTCAGCTATGGTGTTCGGACTCGACTGCTATAATCTATGAGACGTCTCACTTGCAATCATTAGAGCGTTCTTTTGATAAGGATATATCAAAGCAAAAGGGTATTCTTGCTATTCACCGTGACAAGCTAAGAATGATGAACATCCCTGGCCGAGAGATCAACATGGACGATGGCGGAATGTGAGTTGTCAAGCCTTGAATGGTAGTTGTGACTTGCTCATTCGTCACAGTGTTTTAGCTGATAGCCAAACAGGCTTTGGCGTCCATAAAGGCTTTTGCATCTGTATCGGGTTTATTTCAAATTCCAAACACCCAGAGATCCGCGTGGGGAAGATTCAGTTACACAAAAGCGATGCGATGATCGCAAAGTTGCAGGAGCTTGAGGCAAGAGGACTCATCCTCAACTACGAGTGGATCACATGAAATACAACCGCCATCAACCTGGCAACTCATGAACTGAGTAATGATTCCAGACACCTCATTAATCGGCCTGTCCCAAAAATTCCGCGGGCTGCGGTCATGGAGGATGGCGCTGTGCTCCATAGTCCAGATAGTCCAGCTGCAAGGGGTGTCCACTAGCCATCTTGTCGTTGTGTTGCGTTCCGAACATATTGTCAAGAGCAACTGGCTGGTCAACTGGGTGGTTGTCGAGTGCTGGCGCCTGCGCATATCTAACATCGTTTTCGACGAGCAAATAATTCGTTGGTGCTGGTTCCGGTGCCTGCACAGCGCCTGGAACCCAACCGTTTGACTGTGGTTCCAGTCCTTCGGCATGGTTCCCATATGTGGTGGATGGCGCCTGAGCAGTAGCAGTAACTTCAGTGTTGCTCCATGGGTATGGATGGGAAATGCCATTAATATTGAAAGACATTGTTGCCTCGTTCCTTGAAATGAGGATGGTAGGACCACCGGATCCACCACCAGATGGACCACTATCGAAGAGAGAGTTTTGAACGTAAGAAAAAGGTTCTTGTTGAGCTGCTGGGATATTCTCGTATGCTGAAGAACACTGCCCCTCCTGTCTGACCGTATTTTGCCGAGCCGTCTGGTCTTTGGATGATGACATCTGCTCAGGTCTCAGGTTGTCCGAAGGGGTTAAGGTCGAGTCCTCAGACTCTTCGTTGCTAACTTCGCTCTCTCCACGCTTACCTTTACCAACTCCGCGATCTACACACGAGCCATTACTGCATCCACGCTCATCATCAGCGCCTTTGCCCTCCTCGCATTCTTCTCGAGTTCTTTTTAGATGTCGGCGCATGAGATTGGAATCGTCGAGGACCCGCTGCTCGGTGTTGAGCTCCCCTTCTCTGAGTTTAGAGCCATTCCGGCCGGGACATCTATGGGAGCGCTTATGAGCAACACTTGCTAAGTGCTTTTCGCAAAAAGGGCAGTTGTATTCAGTGGACACGTCTGTCGAACATAAGCAACTGCCTCAATTAAGAAAAAAAAGTCTTACGTTTTTCATAGTGGCGCTTCAAATTCTTTTCACTGTCGAATCTTCTTCCACAACGGGGATCCGGACACGGTATGGGAGTGTGCTCAAGTGCTTGTAACAAGTTGGACAGGGACGTTCGGAGCGGAGATGGTTCTCGGGGCTCAGTAGAGTCAGACTCGAGGGCTTGCAGTAGATGGTGCAGGCTCGGTAAGAGGGCTTTTAGTAAGTCGTGTGGCGAGTTGGCCTTATAAGTTAATAAGGAGGGATTCCAGCTTGGGTTACGTTTTCATACAAGACTAGAGGAGAATCGCTGGAATGCAGTAGTGATGACCCCCTTAGAAGAAGAATGAGTTATTAGGCGCTTAAAATCAACAGCAGGGAGTACATACCGCAAAATTCTTCTCGTGCACATCTAAGGCCTTCTTGCTGCCAAAGACGCGTGTGCAACCACAGCATGCGAAGCTCATCGTATTGGCGGTAAATATGTTGTCGTTTGATACCTAGGTAGTCAGAGGGAAAATGAGGGGAAACTTTCTACTTACTGTATTGGTTATCAATCTCATGTCATCTGATCGGGATTAGTGGGGCCCGGGGCAAATGACGACTCACCTTTTTCCTGGATGAGAATAAAAGGCCACGTCGCTGCCCGATTTACATTATAGCTAACAAAAACCACCCAACTATTGAAACGCTCTGGTTATAGAAATCGTTGATAAGGTCAGTTTAAGTTGTAGCATTAACGAGGAGCAATCTTAACTTTTTACAGAGATTCATCGTTGGAAAAGATGGATGAGACATGCAAGCTCTGTGGAGGATCTGGTAAAATGGGTGACTATGACTGTGGCCTCTGCGGTGGAAACAAGAAGTGAGATATCGCTGGCATTAGCCAAGACCTTGATGTCTCTGCGCCATGAATTTGTGTAGGGATTCAATAACAGCTTTAATGATTTCTAACTGGCAAAACTGTGAGAACCAAAACGTCTAAAGTCGTCTGTGCCTTTTCTCCCAAAGCATTTAATTCTCAAGCTCATTGTCATAACCCATCCCTGTAGATGATCCGCATAAACACTAACCTAATCTTGAACTTGTTCAATTAAACCTTGACGACCAAACCGCTCCTTCGACATTCCTCGTGCCCTTTCCTTCAATGGACCATTCCCCAATATCTAGAACTCCTCAAACTCGATATTATACCGCATCTTCTATCCATCTCTACAGCTGCTCCGAAGTACAACGAAAGCCATGAAACTGAGGGCACCATAGATTATCCCAAAATTTCTGGATATTTCAGCTCTATGCGTTGGTGTGGTGGTTTCTATTGCATGCGCACTCTGGAGTCATAGCAAGTATGACCGTCCATGATGGAGAGCGCGTCAAACTAGACGTAGTCCAGCAGCACCAGCGCAGCTATAAGCCGTCTTTATCCTACAAACGAGAGTGGTCCAGCTTCCTAGGAAGTCAGGGTGGAAGGTGGAGTACAGCTACGGCCATACGGCTAGTAAGAGCAGCTATTAGAGGAAATATCAGATGTGTATTGTAATCAAGCTAAACTGGGCAAACGTATGTCTTTCATTAAAGAACCCACGACCAGGGGTTAGCATCTCGAAGGGCACAATAAATCGTTCCGGATCGTGCCGCCTCAGTGATGTGCCATTTGGTGCCCGAGATTGTCTTTCGGATCGAGCTTCGAAATGATCGATCTCGCGATTCATTCGATCCTGGATCATTGAAAGCTATGATGTCTGCAAGTCGGCGGAGACGAACCAGAGGAAGACTGTAAGCTGCCACTGCATATGAGTCTTGTCGTCTGAGACACTTGTCTATGTAACTTGACATGTCAAAAATATTTCTATTGAACCCGATCCATTCCACGCCATTCAGATTCTTGCTGAAAAGTTTGAGGTGTAGAAACAACAAAAATGAATGCTTTCACCATCTTGGACTTGAGGCAACTCAGTAACCAACTCGAAGAACTTGAACAATGAGACGAGCCAAGCAACGAGTGAGCCATTGAAAGTTTGAGACCTGGCCAGCCGACCCCTTGCCGCAATGCCAGCCACTAATCATCTGCTCCGCACCCGCCTGCATTATTGATCTGCGTCCATTGGCTCTCGAAGACATACCCCGGCAATCGCGATTTGTTCAGATGGGCCTTCGGCCAGAACTAGTTCGCCCTGCATTAGCGTTGTTTGCCCTCAATCGGCAACTCGAATCATTTTACACACCCCTCCCGTGTCACTTACCGGCTCTCAGGAGCAGTTGGGCTTGTCCTACCCCATTCGTAGGATAAGATTAGCTCTCTTACAAAGGACAGTCGCTTGTATCTTCATATAACTCAGGGGCCGATGGCAGCATACAGCTTGGCTACACTTTAGTTCTTGCATCTATCGACCATCAAGTCGGCTACAAAAGCCATGGAAGGCTATATGAACATACAATCCAATTTCATGCTACTAAAGTTTGGGTTCGGGGCTGATCTCATGTGCTGCGAGTTACCGTGCATTTCTACAAGTGAAATATCAATACCAACCAGTAAGTCAACTTGAGTTCTTAGAGAACAGAAAGCCGATTTGTCAACTAGATTATGTTGTCGAAAATTTCCACGACTCACTGCAGATATACTGCGATGCTCTGTCGAATGAATTCCTCGCTTGTTTACAGAACAGCAAGTCGGGAACCTGGCCACTGGATCAATGTTGTCTCATGTTGGAGCTTGCTGTATGCATACAGCAACAACGTACTACGTAGACATTGTCGGGTTGGGCTGGTACGTCCACAGGCACTGCTGCCTCATCCTCGGGAACCCTGATAATCATACAGGCCACGACTCTGACCGCATTTCTCGGTTTTTTTTCTGCACAGTGGGCATTTATCGATGAACCCTCGCTTCAGGCTCAGCCGCCTCTGTCGTGAGCCGTAGGCACACCGCGAGCACAACGCATGGCCCACGCGAAAAGGAGGTCCGCCGGTGTCTGGGCGAACAGTCGAGCAGGTGTAGTGGTGATCCGGAAAATCCTCGAAGCATACCACACATTCTTTCCAGGCGATCTGCTTCGTCTTTGGTATCCCTTGCAACTTACGTTTTGCACAATCGTCGCAGAAAAGCTGAATTGGATCAATCGAGACTGGAAAAATGTAATAGGAAACGGAAAACGAACCTTGTGATTGCTTGATGCTCCATTTCGGCTCGTCGTCAAGATGTTTGAGGCAACGCCAACAGAGGTCCCGATGCCGAGATTCCATGTTGATTCGATTGTCCCAGGAGGTCAAGAGAGTGGAAAGGGATGAAGAAGCGAGAACAGAAAATGGAAGACGAGCTGTCTTTAAGTACTCAGAGCTGCCCAGAAACGTACAGGACAGCTGTGACAGGACGAGGGCATCGTGCAACCCACAGCAGCAGCCAGACGTCGATAATGATACTGGTGATGAGGAGTCGGCCGGTGGTGCCAGACGATAGGGTTACGGTCTACAAGCGTCGCTTGAAGCGAAAGCCCCCGACTCTAACAAACGTAAGGATATTACATCGGGGAGCGAGGAGGATCAAAGCAATGAGGAGTGGGAACTTGAGGCCCGCCCCTACTGCACCCAGGACTGCTTGTTGGGCCTCAAGAGAAACCGATTTCTTGAAGAGAAGTGTCCGAACGTCGCGTTACATCGCAGTGTCACTGGAGGTATGGGACATCCTATTGATGCAGCTCGTCTCTTGGACCTCTTACGTGAGGACCTGACTCCACTCGTCCGCCGCTTGCGTTCCACCAGACCTCTGGATGGTTGTGGTAAATACGGTCGCACAGGGGCTCTCTTCAAGATACCTTCAAGCCGCCACGGCTATACTTTTGTCGGCAAAGGGATGTTCGCTGCAGCCGTCAGCAGTCTAGAACATGAAGAGAAGATTTACCGGCGAATGGAACCACTACAAGGCCATCATGTTCCTGTCTGCTTAGGAAGTATTGCTTTGGTTACTCCATTTCCACTACAAGCACCTGATATAGCTCATATGTTGCTCATGGCATGGGCAGGAGATGCGGTCACGATCAAAGATAATGGATTATCTGAGTGGCTGCGATTTCGACAGCCACTTTTGACTTATGGCGTCGTTCATAACGATATACGGCAAGAGAATCTCCTATGGAATTCTGACCGTGGACATGTTTTACTCATCGACTTCGATTGAGCGACTATCTTAGCAGATATGCGTCAAACGCAATTGAAGTGGCTATCCAAGAAGAGAAAAAGGCACTTCCGTAACCCTGTGGCTATAAAATATTCAACAGGCAGCAACCGGTATCAACAACTGATCATATAATCAATGCAAAAGAAACTTGATCTTCCGGTCTTGAATTCACCACGAGTCAATGAAATTGTGGATGGCTTTCCATGTTGAGCTGAGCGTCTTTGAAGGTGTGACAAAGCACAGTCATCCTTCGCGGTGACGTCAGGCGGTGAGGTGCGGTAAATCACGATAAGTTAGATAGAGTACCAAAGTTCCGCTCATAGAAGCGCAAAGTTATCTGATAACGGATCATATTCGGATAACAGAAGAGTAACTGGCGCGTTAAGAACACGAATTAAATGGCGCATAACGCGAGTCGTGTAGGCCCTTGAATAACAGAGCATCAATCCATCACGCGTCAGCCTTAAGCCACTATCCGCAGAGATGCCTGGCTCATCTTCGAGCAGGGGACAGGGTGAGCAAGCGACACCTTAGCTCACCCGGCTCCCCCAAGTCGCGCGATTGGTTGTGAAGCCAGAGTTGAACGCATCTTCTCCCAAGTGTCTACAGCCTTAGCAACGCCGTCGTCGACTGCCTGCCTGCACCCTCCAGCATCATATAACATGGCATAGCAGCATTTTCTACTACGTAGAACACCGCCGTTGGTGTTCCGAGACCCTCTGCCTTAACTAGCGCTCTTGGCGACACGGTCGACATCCCTATCTAGCCGAGACTCGCTCGACAAGACCGCCTTCTACACAGGACCAAGTTCCGCTAGGCATGCCTCGTCGCCACCCACCAAGACCTTCAACCACGACCCCCCTTCCGTAGCGAAGCCGACCTCTTGCACCATTTAGGCTCAGCTAAGTCAGGATGACGAGAAGGGAAGACTAGTACTATAACTTCAAGCGGAAGAAGATGTCATTGCCGGCTACCTTGAGTTGGCGATCTGACGCTGGATATTCAGGCTTAAAGGTATGTGAATTCCTGGCCACGACCTAGTTACACTGCTGACTTGACACCGTGCAGACCGATATCGAGATTGTCAGGGCTATGTCAGACGTCACAACATAACTGATTTGTGCCAAGATAACCCTGTCCTACTCTCTATGCGACACCACGTCGACCAGTGTAACTAGGTCGTGGTCGTATTGTCGGAGAGGCCCAGTAGATCGCCAGCGATCATCGACCTCAGCGCAGACCAAGAAATACCAGCTGGTGACCGACTGGGTCATCATTCGGGTGCTCATAGCCACCCATACACCCTCGACGATGCGTAACCTATAGAGTGCTTGAGGTGCTTGAGCAGCAAGTTCGAGGCAGGCTTTACTGACATCGAGATAGGCGCATTCCTCCAGAAACGCGACCGTCCAATGGAAGACGACTGAGTTGCACCTCAACCCAGCCCCGCAGTCAGTACTTCTAGGGACGACACCACGCCGCAGCGCAGCAAGTTGAGCCTAGATCTCGTCCTCTAGGCCAACCAACGCCGACACACGACCAGCAGTGCCCTTGGCACTGGCCTGATTGCTAGCCGGACTCGACCGTTCCTTCGGTCCCGTACATTGCTACGGCCCACTAGGTTGTTCGGGCGCGAACCCGGGTGCGACTTCTCGTTACAAGCAGAAGACTCTTTTTGACCTGTCGACCATGTCTCGCAGCCAAGGCTCTGTTTACAACCACTCAGCCGGCGTGCTGGAAGAGTGGATCTCAACCACTAGCTAATCCAGCCTCCCCGTAAGTGTCATCCTTACGGTGCCCTGTAGCCTTGCAGCTCGATCGTTGGGTGTTCCGTAACCACTTCGGTATCGACGACTCCTTCAACAATATGTTCACATCTTCCATTACACACAGGACGAATACTTGGGAAAGGGGTTCGCGCCCTCGCGGTGTGCGTTGCGGCCTTTGGCATAACGTTCTAATGCCACCGTCTCAGAGCCGGTCTGGGTGGGAGGGTGCCCTGTCTTTTGTAGATGGCTCGCCAATCTCTGGGAAGGGGGTTGGGGGATAAGAGCTATAGCCATGATACCAGAGTGAGGTGCAGGTTTTTGCTGCATATCTCATCTACACCATGGACCATGCTCCTCGTTGGCTTTCGATAATATTCAGCAACGACTGAACTTCAATCGCCCATCGGAGTGTACCAGAAATAAGAGGAGTGGATCCATGCAGCATCGTATGTGTCTAATGCTATTCTCCCACCTGCAAGCCAAAAGCAACGTGGTGGCTACATCACTGGCATAATGGCTCGTCCGCTCTTGCTCTGATTCGTTCACATCTCATATTGAGCGGTATCAGTTGACCTACTTGTACACCTTGGCAGTGTGACAACTCCCAACCCGACCTCAAGAGGCGCGTAGAACATCCCGCTAGTGTTGCCCCAATCTTTGCCAAGTTCTCAGTGCTGGCCTTTGCTTCCACCCACAGGTCTCAACTGTAAGTAGCACATATGACTCACCACTTAGATATTATATCAGGATGCCCAACTGTCGCCCCGGTTTTGACAATAACTGAATGAAAGATCTCGTCCTCGGTCTCTTCCACGGCACCGTTCTCCTCCGTGATCCACCCTGCCTCCTCCTCGTCTGTCTCGATACTCATGTAGACTACAACCCGAGGGACTGTATTATTGGTCTTACTGGTGTCGCAAGATTTGAGTTCTTCGGAGACGGCTAACTTGTGCTTTTCGAGGTAATTCAGGAGTCCCCGGGGCGACGGTAACAGGATCCTAAAAGGGGCTGAAAGGAGCCCGTACTCTGCCTCGGACCGTTGTATGGCTCGACAGCATGTAATTGAATGCAACTTGCATGGTCGGTAGGATTCGCGTTGATTGTATAATGAGTAGCTAGGCTAGAGGCAAGTGATATTTATTGTAAGCACTGTGGTGTAGGCGCTTTTGTTTCTTGTACGTCTGGGCATCAGCGGGTGATTTGTGTTGCGATAATGGCCGAATGTTTGATCGAAGCTTTTGAAGAGGCTGGCGGTTCGCTGTGGTGGCTAGAGCCGCCTCTTCATTTGCCCCGACAGCAACAGCAGACTCTTCCCATCGCATCCAGTTTTGCAGTCCGACGCCAACTACGTGCGCGTTCTTCCTCTGCTGCAGTTGTCGCTGGCGACGACCGATTAGTCTATAGCATAATTCATCAGCCGTAATCAAGCTTCATCATTTGCCTCGACACCGGCTTTGCGAATGGCTCCCCTACAGGCGTGGCTCTGTATCGGTCTCAAATGTAACGCAACCAGCATCGCGTTACCACCACTCATATCAAATAAGAGAAGCCACTGACAGGCGCTACATCGACTGGGTACTGGCTACGGCCTCCATGTCGCCAGCACTGAGCAGACCGAACTTGCCAGAAAGGAGTGTATATAGCCTTGTCCTTTGTAGTGCTCGGAGAACATTCTCGCCAGATAAGCGACCATTCCCCAAGCACTTGGTCAACCTAGAACGTTTGTTGCATCGCGTAGTTGGATCTTTGATCATGTTTGTGTGTCAAGAGGCGAGGTCTCTGACGGAAGGTGACGCCCGAGTCGTTGGTTTCGTTGCTCAGCCGCTGGCAGACTCCGACTCTTGTACAACGCCATGTCCATCGATGCCGCCGTGTACCAGAGGGCAGCATGACGGACATACCTACATCGGGAACTACTAGAGCCCTCGACGGGGAAGATCTGTATATGTCGAGGAAGACAAGAAGGGCAATGAAACGCTGTGGTGGTGGGCGAGCGCTGGGTCGGGTGCGCTGACGGTCCTGAGCATGGACTTGCACGACAGTTTCAAAGTCTGCGACTGGAGAGCACTGCCCATTGACGTCCTCGACTCAAAGACGACTGGGATGCCGCCGACGACTCTAACCTGGGTGTTAACGAATGCCCACCCTCTGAACAAGCGATATCCCCGGGTTTCTCCTTAATTGAGTAGAGGATGGTTTGGATCTGCTTCAAGACACCATTATATTGCTTCTCTCGCTCTGGGTTGGTGAGTAAGGGGCTGGGCAATTTGTCGTTGGCTGTTGGTTCAGTCAGTACGTCTCGACGGCGTACTGGATGCGATCCACCACAACTGCTTCAAGTATTGCACAGAGTTGACAGTAGTGAGGTGTGCCTCCGCGCTTTCGCCTGCTTGCAGTCACTTTTGCATGGCTTCGTGAGCGGGATGATCTTGGCCGTTCCCCACTGATGCGGTAGTTGACCTTCACTCAGTGATGTGCGGAACAGATGCAGCGCCCGCTCCTTCACCACCGGCCACGGCTGCTTCCACACCATCGCTGGTAGGCCTTCTTGTCGGAGTGCCTTCCACGCTTTGGCTTCCATCACTTTCTCCTCCACCTCCTCCGCTGTCAGGTTCGGCATGGCCACTTCTCTACGCCGCGATCGCGGGCCTTTGTCTTCTCTATTTACGGATAATGGGGGGAAGAGGGCAGTGAATAGCTCTTCTGCCTGCGCAGCTTGATCCTACGTCGTCCCGTCTATTCTCTTCAGCGGTGGCACCTTGTCACCATTCGTCTCGTCTGCCGGCGCGAGGTACTTGGCCGCTTGCCAGATGTTGGTCCCGTCAGCAAGGAAATGGTCCCGGTGCGCTTTCGTTTGTCGTTTGATGATATCTTGATACTCCTTGGCTGCATCTCTTGCTCGATCCTCTAGGTTCTCGATTCCTCGACCAGCCCGATGTCGAGCCCTCGCCAGGTTTCGCCCGAACGTGTATGTTCTACGAAGTTCGGTGAGGCCTGTCGCCCACCACCTTTTGGCACATGGAGACGACTTTGCTCGCGGGGCGAAGTCGTGAATAGTGTCGAAGACCACTTCTATCAACCTGTCAGTTTGTGTCTGTACACTGCCATTCCACTAAGGTAGTGCGAATTTATCTTTCACTCTCTCGAATCGCCCTGCGGTCCGACATATGCTCGGTCGTGTGGATGCTGCAGTGAACTGTCTCTTCGGCGTGCTGAGCTGGTGTAAGCATCGGGTCGGTCGTGCTCTCGCTACCTGACCTTTCCCACATCTTCGTCCCTCGCGACAGAAGACTGAGCAAGCCGTGCTCGTCCACCAAGTCGATGATCGGCCCCGTCTCGTCTTGCCTCCTGCTGCTATATCATCACGTCCTCAGAGCTGGTCGTGGCGGTGAAGTCGCCGGCGAGGGTGACGTCCGTTCTTTTTCCCGTGTTGCTGCGAAAGCTTCAGGTTGTCGTGTGTAGCTGCTCCATGGCTGTGTGTAGTGTATCCTTGTCCTTGCCCGCCACATATACTGCTACTATCAAGACTTCTCGATCCAGTCACCGAGGGATCGTTGCGGTCAGGTCGGCCGAAGGGATCGGCCTATTCTACCTCGAGATTGCTCCGGGCCCAGAGCATACTTCGAGCCGGCCACTACATCTAGTGTCTCTTCGACGGTACGAATTTCATCCAGGTTCTGTGTTTGTTCGGTGTTGTCTTCAAAGCTCCGTCAACATTGTGCACATATGGCTCAGTCACTGTCAACACTGCATAGTCCTGCAAGTCCTTGCCGTTCATCATGCTCAACGGCACCACCTATCTTTTCCACACGTTGAGTATAGTATCGGCAGGCTAGTACTCATCGGAAGTGACATGTAGTTGTCGCACCCGATAGTTTCGACTGGCTGACTCATGCGGTCTTCAATCGGGCTCAACCGCCTGACAGTCTCGATGGTGATGACCAGTATCGGCACACTTGCTACATCGCTGTGCCCTGCTGTAAGCGAAACCCTTATGTCCTGTCTCCCGGCAGTTGTAGTATTGAGCAGGGCTTTGACGTCGTCACTTCGTTTTCTTTCCCCAGCGCCTCTGCCGCGCCCGGCAACACGTTGCCGGCTAAGTCCAGCACTGTCGTTCTATTTGCACCATCGACCTTGGCGGGATACATCCAGTCTCTGAGCACTCTCGCACCCTCGCACCCTTGGCTGCCGTCTTCTCGGCCACCTCCCGTACAAGTCGCATATCCGCCTCGTCTCGACCCGTCACCTTGATGCAGTCTGGGTTTCTCGCATCCTTGACCAAGGCCGCGCACCGCCAGCACCGTCGGATATCGTCCTTCGCCCGTACCTTCTCTTCGATTGCCTGATGCACTTGTCCGACTTACACCTCATCTCTGTCCTCTGACTAACCCGCGACGTGTTAATGGTACAGATCAAGCTGTCTGTGAACGAGAGGGTGCGGACGTTGCCCGGCTAGTTTGTAGGCGGAGCGCGGGCTACGTCTGCATGCTATGGCTGCGGGCCGATCTGGGAGCTGCTGCAGATAGCATTGGTCACCATTTCCAGCTGTTCCTTGACCCGTTGGACCTCGTCTCTTACATGCCTCAGCTGATACGACGGTTCCAGCCGTTTACTCACCGTCTGCGTCGCCGTTTGCTAGTTCCCCATCAGTGCGCCCCAGGATTTTTCGAGCATCCGCTTCTGCTCGCCCATCAGATGAAGTGATGTCTCCTGGAGCGTCGGCCGAAGCATGGTCTGCGTGAACGACGCGTCGCTGTCGGATGCACTGATAGTGGGCGCGTCTCTCGTCGTCTGCACATCTCTGGTCGTGTCGATCAAAGCAGTCCGTTCTTCGTCCCCACATTTACGCCGTTGCTGTGGTTCTACGTCCTTTACCTTACCTGCAAACTGCACTTTTTCCAGCAGTTTTGCCGTCGGCTTCATAGTTCTCGAAGACCGACGCGTTACGGTGACGGCACCCCCACCTTGGACCAGGATGGTGTCAGCAACCGCGTCTATTTGGAAACAAATCGTTCACAGCCGCACCGGCTGCCATGCTCCTCTAAAGGACTGTGAAGATTGTAAAGGCTCATTGTTAGTTTTGTGCAATATGTCAGCGTGTAGCCATAGCTACTATCCTGTTCTGTTACAGCCGAGAGGACAAACTTTAAGACTGCGAATCACATCGCTGTCACAGGAGCCTAGATTTCATTCCAGAAAATCGAGATGGCCTAGCCAGTGCACCTGTAGTGAGAGCGACTCATGAGGCAAAGAGTCAATTCTAGAAGTACCGTATCGACTCGACTGGTTGGTTGAGGCGAGCGTAACAACCTGATATTTTGCGCTAAAAGTCGTGGCTTCTCAGACGAACAGTAATAACAGGGCGAGGTGAATTTCTTCAGTCGATACGTTCCCTTAGGTATTCCGAGCGACAGGCGCATAAGGATGGCCCTAACTGGTCGGTTGCTTCGCGCCGTATGCACTAGCGAATGCTCTAACCGCGCGCCTGCGTACTGAGTCACAAGGGTCCGTTTCCTCTCGCCACCCCCGCAAGCTCTCGGCACCGCTTTCCGCCAATATTTCCCATATGAGATTTGTGGCTTTTCTCTCCTCGACGTTTCGGCTTCGCGAGCTTACGCCATTCGGGTTCTGTGCTCTTCAACTTCCCTAACGACCAACCTCCCGCCGCTTGATATTTAGAGCCGACGCGCCCTTAGCTCGTTCTCGCTTACACCTTTCCGCTGCCTCCGATTGACCTCAGCAACTTTGGCTGCCCGAAACATCAGCAACCGTCAGCTGCTTGACTCCTTGGGACCTGAATTCAGTTGATTAACTTGAATTATCGGGAGTGCTGGCGCCCACTAAAAAATTCCACCAAGAACTTAGAAATCAGGTTGCCTTCTGCAACGTGCACCAGACCTCACTGTCGATAGCACGTTCATATCCCACAATCCCCAGGCTCCAAGCCTGCAGGATTATCACTGCACTACTCATAGAGTGTCCTTTGTCTCCTTGAACCCGAAAATTACTTCTGCTCCCTACCTGAACTCACCGGAACTCTTCCTTCCTCCACGTTAAAGCTGATCATTTACGCGATCGAGGGAATAAAACTTCATATCTGGCAAGCACATTAAACATAGTCGATAAGTAAAGAAGCTCATAGGGTGTTGCACCTTACTGACTCAGAGACCGGTGTCTCGGGCAGATGATCGCTCTCTCGTCCCACAATGATGTCTCAATCAAGGCCCTGGGCCGCTGACTAGAAATGGCTATGTTCAACAATATGTACGAGCCGAAAAAGCCCCATTCTTTCCCGAGAACTTATGCCAGCGCTACAAGAACACAAACCGAACGTTGCTGTTTTTACACTCGCAATTGACTCTTTAGACGTGGTCAAAGGCGCAACACAGTAGATGTAGGGACTGCTGCGTTGAAGCTTAAAGCTAGAACACGAGCAAGGGTGCGAAAGTAAAAAATAAAGAACTGCAGAAGCTGCTTGGTGTATTACTCAAAGACTACAGTCGCCTTTTAATAGTAACTTCAAATCACGACAACCACACACCCCATTAACACTATACCACCAGGAGCTTCCGAGACAAGGGCCTGATCGAACCTGTGCTGGCTCTCGAGCTTTAGGTCGTGCAGCACCAAGCACTTTCATAGGCGGGAAGAGAGAGGTTTTCTCTCATCGCAAAGTGATCTTTTCGAGGTGGACAAGGTGCTTCTCCTGCCTGTTCTACTCTTCAAGGTGCGAAGTGATCGCATAGGAAAGGACGGCCATATTCATAGAACTTCGTGTGCAGGGAATCTTTTTGCCTCGCGCCTCGTTATCGCTTTTCCTGATGTCTCGAATCGGCTATGCGGGCACTTCTTCGAGGCCGCAAGCTGTTCTGTTCCACACCTCGCTCCTTTGCGCGTTCATCTGTCGCTGGCTGGGTCAGAGCAGTCTTGTGCCTGTTTCCTCTCCTTGTTCCTGGCGTAGAGTTCAATCGAAGACGCCCGGTGTGTCCACTGGCGGCTTGTCCTTTCGCCGAGTTCGAGCCCAGAGGAGTTGAGGTTTGCATCCCATGATTGCCCCTCGGCTTCACACTCATCTGTTGACTGGGAGTCCTCTCTGGGTTGGCAACGTCATTTCGGGGAGAGGGTGCATGCTCGTAATCTTTGCTCATCTCTTCAGCTGCCAGCAACAAATTTGCCTCGCTATTTTCTGGCGCTTCGCAAGGGTCGGTACGTTGACGCTTGTCTGCTAGTAAGTCATTGCTTGCATCTGTTGAGTGTTTCCTTTTTTTGTCTCTCTGCCTTGTACTCCGCCTACAGAGACTCTGTGACGCCGAGTCGTCGAAGGCGTCACGTACTGTAGGTGGTGATGGCAAAAACAACTTGACATGTTTCGGGTCGGGCGCGTTCGTGGTCGGCGACTTTGAGCTGGTAGCCAGAATCAGGAGAATGTCCTGCTTGTTTCGGACGTCGCGTTCATCGGATCGGGGGAAGTTACCTAGAGACTGGTCAGCTCCTCCTGCCCCATTGCAACGCCGAAAAACCAACCTGGGTCGTTATCGTTAGAGGGAAGAAATGAGGAAAGAAAGTTGATATGACTGTCGAGACTACCATGACGCTGAAGCTGTAGAAGACGGAAGCTTTGGTATTGGTTTAGTAGATTTTTCTTTGTGTCCAGGCTCGTGCAAAGATTTTCGTTAATCTTCTTCAATTCTTCCAACCTCTGATCGCGCCTCTTTTGTAGATTTACATAGAATTCTGTCTCGTTGCGAGACATATTTACAATCTCGTTCACGTCATGGTGAAAAGCTTGCGGGTCCTGGATGAATGTGGGCACGGTGTTGAAGCGATCATGGAGGTGTCCAAAAAGGTCTTCTTCTTTGAGACCGTTAACTTTCCAGTGCGACCAACGGTACTCAGTCTGCTTTTCGAAATCGACACGGGGGGGGGTTCGCCATGACATATTGATGGTGTCTTTCGTGGTATTGCTCGTGATATTGTTCGTTGTTTGCGATGACATTGAGTAGTGAGAGAAGAGCGGAGATTGGGGAGCCAGCGGCCAGGTTGGCCCGACCTCTGGCAAATCCACCCCCGTTACTGATTGGGCGTATTGTGTTCGTGCCTTGGCGCGACGAACCTGGCTTCTACGCGCGCGGTTCTTGGGCGACGATACGAACGAATCGACTACGTTCTTTTATGAGCCTCTGAAACGAAATGTGATCAACAATAGGCCTGCTAAGGCCCTGCGGCTTACATTTTGAACGCATAAAATGCCAGCGCCTGCTGATCCGCAACGGACTCCTCAGAAGTCGTAAACCAAGCCCTACCTACTCCAGAACTACGCCGGGTGTCACCAAAATGTCCAGCAGAACGCAGCCCGAAGACCACGGCTCTTCAACAAACCCCTTCTCCTCCAGTTCGTTCGAAGCCCGCTTTCCCGCCACAGAATGCGAGCCTGCCGTGGCGGTTGCTACAACACATGATGATGCCGATCCAGCTTCACACAGCCCTGACTTCCTCTGTATGCCCGTGGCGATCCAAGACCTATCCGTCAACGAAATACCTGTCACGGGCACTCGCGTTGTCGTTTCCCTCGGCGGGGCTATTTCTTCTATCATGGATAGTGGAGAAGCTATCGTGCCCTTTCGCTTCCGCCAACAACCCAGAGAGCTGCTCGCTATTGTGCAGTCATTCAAATCTGCCTGGTTCTCTCCAACAATCGGCAGCCTGCAGTGTACTTGCTATTATGACCCTGCAAGCGACGATGTTGTCCTACATAATTTGAGCCAGGTTCCAATGCAGATTGCCCCTATCGAGGATGACAACAAGAGCAGCGAAAACGAGCGGAGCACTTTGAACTTTCGCGACACCCGCCTCCTCTCACCAGGGCCATGGAGAATTTTCTCGGCAAATTCACAATCACAAGTACTGGCTGACCTATTCCTTCTACGCCGTCCTTTTGATCTAGCGAAACATACCCAGAAAAGTCGAGCGGCTGCTTCAAAAAGGAAGAATACTCGGTCTAGCGAGGCTCCGACCAAACGCCAGCGTATTGAGGCCAGGAACTCCGTCCAGGGTCGAACCCTTATCAATAACCCGTTCCAGGTATGGAAGGCTCCTGGTGGGACGAATTGCTTGGGTGTTTTTTTGACTAACACGAGCTTCAGAGTCAAACAGAGGAAGCGAAACTGCAGCTCTGCAGCTCTGGCAATCCGTTGCTCAACCTTCGTCCTGGACAGTCTCTCGTTGTTAGACCCGCTGCAGGGCGTCCCACCAAGACGCCCAAGGTTCGCTCACTCAAAACTTTCGTTCAGCATAGATCTGAGGCGTTGAATGGATCCGACAGCTATTCGCTTCGCCATACGCGGGACTTGGCCGCCCATAAAGGGTTTGCATCTGTTTTCAGCGCTCGCCACGCCGTGTTCGGGAATATCGTGGTCAAGGTTATCCGAACCAAACAAGTGCCACAGCATTCTTACATCCCAATCATCGCTCGAAACTGGAAGAACGAGGAACAGCTTCTCCGCAGAGTTAGTCATGTGAGTATGCAACATGGCATTCATTGAACGCTGCCCATGTATGCTAATAGCATGTCTGGAAGCCATCAATTATCAAATTTTACGAGTCGGATGCTCGCCTATTCTCGATATACATGGAGTACTTACCCACTCCGGACCTCAATGGGATGAGACATCGCCATGACAATTATTTCAGCGGCACGGACAAAGATGCTGACCGCATCCTCTGCGATATGGCCTCGGCGCTTCAATACCTTTTTGGCGAGCGCATCCAGCACAACGATATCAAGCCGGGAAACATTCTTTATGGCTCTGAACGCGGCGCTGTGCTTATAGATTTTGGCCTGGGCGCGGTTCACGGTAGCCAGACCTGTACCGGCGGGACACCTTGGTATGTTCCTCGGGAGTTCTATACGCAGTCCGAAAGAGGGCCTAAAAGCGATGTCTACGCCCTTGGTGTGGTTATGCTGTACGTTTTGAGAAAAAGTCCGCTGCCTGATGTCACTGAGACTGGTTGGATCATTTCTAAGGTCCCTGAGGACAGCTCACAAGCCGCTATTATGCAATCATGGCTTAGAAAGGTAGAGGCGATACGGGACAAGCTTTCAGGCTCTGAGACTGAGAAACTAGTCAGCGGCATGCTACATCCGTCACAGGACGAAAGATTGTCAACTAAAAGACTTATGGAGGTGTTGCCAATCCGAAGGTTAGATGGGCAGGACACTAGTCTAAGTTGTTCTGAAAAAGGGCAGGAACGAGATAGACCCATGATGAGAAGAACAAGTTCTATCAGGGGGCTCTGACCATCTTTGGCAACGCGAATCACCGTAGTGCTTGACCCTTTGGCAATTTCCCTCTCGGTGAATTGGTGGTCGAGACCAAAAGTCCCATACCAAACCGGCGTATGAATTGCCTTAGATTGAAGCAGATCACTTTGGTCGCATTTTTCCCAACGTGTAAATCACGTTGCGTGGAGAGGTACTGTTAGCTACAGTGCAGGCTGGCACTACATACCAATACTTTCAATAACAACGACAGACACGGCCTGCAACTAGCAACGACTCGAGCTTACCCAAGACAGCGAAACTGGCAGGGAAAAAATGATGAAAAGACGGAAGCGAAAAAGCAGCGTTTACGAGGGCGACTCGAATAACGATAGGACGGGTAATTTCAGGAGATTGAAGATGTTTCCCCCGCCAAAAGAGCTCAGCAGATGGGAGCCAGAACCATCACCGGCGCTTTTCGGACAGTATTGACGGCGGACGCCGAAGGGGGGACGTGCATCTAGACAGTCTTTAAGCGGCGTTCCCAAGCAGGCACGGGATTATACATCAACATCTAGACCCTGTCATAAAGGCGAGGGAAGTGGTAATGAGAGGATGGAAGCGGTCCAAGCCTACGCGTTCGAGTGTCAACGATCTAAAGAACAGACTATGATGCGGCGATAACAGTTGCCAGGGAGGCCAAAGGCATTATCATCGTTACTTATGCATCTGGGAGACGATGGCTCGTAGGTACAGACGGGTTGTGGCACGCAGGCGATCTGATCAGACTGACAACCAGTCAATATGGGTTCACGAGACGACCAAAACCTGTATAGAGCCAAACTAGAGGCAACAGCAACTGCAATTGAATTCGGGTGGGGCTTGAATTGGCTTGGTAAATAAACAATACGATTGTGTCCAACTTCCGTGGAACGAAAGAGAACCACACTTTGTCGTGTTCCAGGCCAAAGAGTACACTAGTCGAGGGAGCGATAACAACTAAACCTCACCTACAGTTTTGCTTATTCAGTCAACTTAGCCGCTGCGTTCCGCAGTCAACCATGACACAACCTTGTTCTGTGTGTGTCCGTATGCAACTAAGTCCGAAACACAGCAATCAATAGGATGTCAGCCAATGGCGAAGAAACATGCCTATGTGCAAGCGATCGTTCTGCGCCGCCACATCTAGCTACAAGTCACTCAACCATTAACTGTAGAGTCATTCCGATTGCTCTTCATGTAAGCGCGCGCCTATCTCGCTCACATAAAGGGAGTGAAAGATGCAGAGGCAGAATCGGCGACCAATAGAAGCTTGATGGTGCAGGAATCGCAACACTGTCTAGCTATGTGATGTGATAGTGATGCCCAGCGCCTAAGAGACAAGCCGTTCTGGGAAAACCGATTTCCGTCCTTAAGCTTTAGGTAGGACAGCCCCACCTAATTACTAGAAGTGAGATGTCCGTTGCGTTATAAAGAACGACCTTACATTAGGCGTCGAGAGCCATAATTGGACTAATCGACCCAAAAGAATACTACGAGGCTTCAGCAGGCAAGCACAATTCGGTTCAACATGGTGTGTTGGTGGACCCACGGCAGCTAAGTAGGCACTGCAAAACCCAACTTCAACGGATGAGTCATGATTTCGTTGGTGAGCTATTAGTACGGCTGCAGACGATTTCGAACAGTTATCCCGACGACGTAGGTCAGCCCGAGGGATCAAAGTCCGGATAAGTTATCGGCCAACGAGTGACTCAAATGTCGGTTGAAGAATGCTATTATCTTTTCGCTGACGACGGCTTTTTCCACAAAAGTCACACATAAAGGAGGTGAGCTGGTTAACAGAGTCGTTGACACACTTGGTTCGTCGATCCCCAATGTAGATACCTAGCTTATTGGCTGCAAGCCAGCTGAACCTCCCGTGACATTGAGCCGTCTTTAGAACGATCGTAGCACTTGGGAGTCAGCCCCCACATCTCTGAACAGTTTTTAAAAATCAAGAAACGATAAAAATGTCAAGCCTTGACTTTCATGCTGAAAATATCGATTAAGTGAAGCGAACGTCGTATGTTTTCCAGCCACGAGGAATTAGTTTGTAGATCGCGAGGCTTCCTCCGTCAGAAGCGCTGGTCGCGACAACAATGCTGCTGGCGTTCTTCGCTGCTGCTATCGCCATGTCACGGTCTGCCTCGCACACAAGCGACACACGATTGTGCCATGGCGGTACCGCATACGCCTCAACCATTTCCAACCGTTCCATCCCGCTCCCTTCGTATGCGAGTGTCAACTTCTTCAAAGGCGACATGTACCTCCGACTCGTCGGCACCTTGAGGGCTGCGAGCGGATGCGTCTTTGGTAGCGTCTTGACATCACTGTATATCTACATACCTGCGTGAGCATGTCGCTTACATATCGTTTGGATGCCCACTTCCACTTCCATCACTGCTGCCGAGACCGTCCGTAAAGCGCCCGTCGTGGCTCGTGCTTTCTCATCTTCTGAGCCCTGCTGAGCCAGTTCAGTTTTCTCTCGCCTCGTGCATGTGACCACACGACCGATGCGTAGTCTACCGCCAGAGCAACAGTCGCCGGAAAAGGCTGTCTGGCCGTAGGCGGGTATACTACCCTCAGTCTTTTCAGGCACATGGCCGCCGTGAGACCTCTGGCGGCCGCTTCAGCTATGTGTTTCTTGAGCCTCAGCCCCGCGTCCATAATGAAGCCCAAGATCTTGGTCTTCTTCTTCAGTTTGATCACATCTCCCTTGATCGTGAACGGTATGCGGCTAGAACGGTCGACGCCACGGGTAAAGTGCACGATGGTCGTCGTGCGGTTCGAGCAGAAGGCATCGATCCACTTGACTAGTCTCTTGGATATACCACGCGCCTCGAGTCTTCGTAGCAGCCTGTCCTTGTATACCCCATTGTAGGCCTTTTAGGCGTCAAAGCTGGCCAAAATGATCACTTTGCGGTCGCGAGCCTTCGTCTTCTATGTCTGTCGGTAGCGGTGGGAAGAAGACTCTAAGGAGTTCCTCCGCCCGTTCAACTTTGTCCTGCGTTGTTCCATCAGCTCTTTTCCAGCAAAGGCACCTTATCGCCGTTCGCCTCTAATCCAGGTTTGAGGTACTTGGCGGCTTGTCAGATGTTGGTACCATTGACGAGGAAGTTGTCCTCATGTATCTTCTTCTGTCTTTTGATCGTATCTTGATACTCTTGGGCTGTTTCTTTGGCGCGGTCTTCGAGACTGTTGATCCGCTGACCAGCCCGATGCCGGGCCCTTGCCATATTTCTCCAGAACCTGTACGCCCTACGAAGCTTAGTGAGATCAGTCGACCACCCGTTCTTTGCGTACGGTAATAGCTTCGCATGTAAATGCCCAGGCCAGTCCTGGTCGCGGGTCAAGTCTAGCGAGACTTCATCCCAGTGGAATATCTGTACAAATCATCATCCATATGGCGGAGGAAGAATTTTTGACTCGGAGGTTAGTAGAATGGGCGCGGGATGAGTCCAGTAAGAGTCACTTTAATGACATGGCATCCAAGTCTGTATCATTTCTCGCGGTAACGAATTGCGTAAACTTCAAAAATGCAAAGCTCGCAGAATAGCTAATGGATGCCGCATCATAAAGGTGCTTATCGTCACGCTTTTTAGTTGAAGCGAGACCAGGCCCACATATTGTTGGCAAGAATCGGTCGTGAGTCTCTATCTCGCTTACTGATTTTTGTGTTACTGCCACGGGACTTGGCAACTGTCACGACTGAGATAGAATGGGGTGTTGGATTCCTACCTTCGAGATCTCAGTGCACTGCGTCAATCTTGCCATGACCATATGGTTACGCACTACCCCGAGCAGGGTCTGATCAACGAGGAATGGCTTAGTAAAAGAGGGGTAGCACGTGGATCGATATCGCCCTTCGAAGCCTTCTGTCTTGTCCAGTTTGAGCTGCAACTGCCTGGAAAACAGCCAGGTCAAATCATATTTCAACACAAACTCTTTCCGTTTCTTTTACCAATACACGATACTACACGCGGTTGGTTTGTAGGTATCGTCAACTTCAACGTCTCAAAAGAATGGGTCCTGAATCTGCAAATCCCGAAGCTCTTGGAAATCTGCCTTTTGAAATAATACATCACATCAGTCGCTTTCTCGACGAATTCGACGTATACTGGTTTGCGAAAGCAAATCGACGTCTTTATCAATCTTTAGAAGGCGAATGGTTCTACGACCACGTTGGTCCCGATGCTGCGTCTCCTGCCCTGCTGGCTGCTGCGGAACATGGCCACTTCGCTACGGTAAGGAGGGCCCTGGAGGGAGGCGCAAACATCAACTATCAGGATCCATCAACTGGACAGACCGCCTTGGTTGCGGCGTGCAGCAACGGTCATGAAACTGTCGTGGAATATCTGCTGCAACAGAGCGGGATCGAAGTAAACACGTCAGACCGCCACGGCCGGACAAGCCTTCATCTGGCAGCTCTTGAGGGCGACGAAGCGATTGTCGGTTACTTACTTTCCATGCGCAACTTGGAAGTAAACCTCACGGATCTTTGGAACGCCACGCCACTGGATCTCGCAGTCCAAAAGCGAAATTGGACTGTTGTCGCATTGCTACTAGACTTTGGGGCAGCCAAGGTGATGATCGGTTGTCAGTCGAACCGTCGGGCCATCCGGCTCTCTTTGAGGCTATGGTTAGCGGGCATGTCAAAACCGTGTCATTGTTACAAACACACGATGCTACTCTTTCAACAAGATCGTCAGGTATCGTACAGCAAGAAATGGATGCCCGGAGATTTGAATGAGTAGGTGAAGGGAACGTCACCCACAGCAGCAGGGAGATTTAGGTCAGCACTGTGGTTCCGACTTTCCTTTAGGAACGTCACAATAGAAGGCAGACATGGGCACCATATGAGAGCTGCAGATGGTGCTCGAGAGCGGGGCTGAGCTGCAGCTGTAATCTTTCTGAAGTAATCGAGAACAATAAAGATCGGAGGAAATATCTCTTTAGTAACCTCTCATCTTTACCAATTTCGGGTGACCTCACAGCTGCTGAACACCTGTTCAGACCCATTTGTGGTTGTTTGACGCTATGAACTCCAAACTAGACATCATCTTCCACCTGGAACGCAATCCGTATGTTCCCGGCGGAGTGTATCATTGTCATCAGCCCGACAGAGTCAAAGCAACAGAGATATTAGCGGCCAAATGACAGTATGAAACAGCCGAGGCGAAACGAGACAGGGGATGCTTGGGTCGAAAAAGGAACTCAAAGCAAAATGCACTAAGCTCATGTATGGGTAGGTAAGGCTAGTAGATTGAGGGCCAGAGGTGGCTACGGCCAATGAAGAGAACAATAAGTGTCAAGTGAAGGATGATGGAAGCGCAAAAGACAGTCAAAGTTACCTTGACTGCAGTTGCATCTTTCTCAGAATTCCAAGCATGACCATCATGCCCTATAATTCCTCAACAAACATGACTGTACGACTTTCCCCCTACTTTGCCCTTGGACTGGATCAGTTTGTATTCTCTCAGCTGTCGAAGCTTCGGTTGACCTGATGTGACTCACCTCAACAAAAGTATCGACACTTTGACTTTTCCTGCCAGCCCGGATGACTTAGTCAACAGAACCTTTTCGCCACGCACATGATCCTTCTTGGAGTCATTCGACAACTCCAATAACTGAGCGTTCTTTGGACTTTCAAAGCCCTCCAAAGCGCCACGGTTTCCTTCATCCAAGCCTCATTCTTTTCGTCGATATATTCTTTGAGTGCTTGAGCTTCCTCAGGGGGACGGCCCTTAATCTTAGACCTTACCGGCCTTTTCGGCAACCCGGCCTCGTTGCGAGCTAACGCCATATGCTCTTCTTGAGCATGAATATCTTTTGCAGCTGCCCTGAATACATTGCAAGCAAAACGGGCAGTCCTGGCGCAGTGGATGCCGTCGATCTCTTGGTTGAGGTATCCCTTATCTAGCGACTTGATGACCTGTGAAAGCTCTTTTCCTCGATCCTTGAGATACGCACTGGCGCGGGTGGTGAGAGTGGTGAGGGTGATGGGGAACTGGTGCTTGTGTTCTTGAGTCGCCTGGCTCATTGAGTCGTCACAGACGACAGTTCGGCTTGCTGCTGACATGTTGTTTATGGAGTTGTGTTGTAGTGTGTGTGCAAAGACGCAAACTCGAGGTTATATCCTTCTATATACCTCTTGATCTCTTCCCTCTGCAAAGTCGGGCTTGCAACAAGATTTACTGGCCATTGTGAAAGCTTATGGGTAGTATTGGGGGGGAAATATCGTGCTCTCAAATATCAACTGCGTTCTCAGCCTTAAGCTCAACCTTATAGGCGGCAGCCGATCCCATAGTTACACTGACCTTCCAGAAATTGTTGTACGTGGAAAGATGTGCTCATCTATGCATTTCAGCTTACCATCGGCTAGCATGGCAACATTGTGGTATGTCACTACAAGCTCGCACAAGCGTCGTGACTATCTGGGACTCAATCAGTCTATCAGTGCCCATATGTTAAGAGTACGGAGGGTCAGCCATACTCTGAAAATCAGGTTTCTTGCGAACGCGATTTCTCAAAGAGACGCCAAAGTCCTGCAGCGATGGCGGCGTAGTTTAACTTGTTCTTCCGTTGAGTAGATGGGGTATGTAGGTATGTCACGCCGTAAAAGATATACAAGAGTCTCCGAGCATACAACGGCGTTTTTCGTCTATGCTCCATTGGTAGACTGGATAAATAATCACTATACCGGCCAATGATCCCACGCTCTCGGATAGTGCGAAGGACATCAGAACAAGTCCTACCGCAGAGCTCGGGAGACGGTTGGCTATGAAGCAAAGCAGACTGAGGTTTGCTGATACGCCAAAGGTAATGATAACAAGGCCTTCATTGTCATCAATAAGCTTGCTCAAGGAGTCCAGACAACACAAGCCGACGATAATGGTAAGCCGTGAGTCTGATACACTGATCATGACCGCGCTCAACGCCATCAATGTCTCACTACGTCTACCAATAGTTAAATCGATGTTGTTGGAAAATACTCTCGTATACCCTTTTATAGAAACCAGGCAGGGTAAAAGGACGCCGGAAGTGAACAGGTTTATCTCGATTCAGAAAAGCCATAAATTAAGACCTTAGCTGCAAGGTCAGTTCGGCACGTACCTCTACAAGGCTGAAACCGCATCTGTGCTGTACATATGTTGAAATGTAGCGCCGAGGTGCTTGAGAAATAGCAATTAAGGAAAGATTCAAGGAGTCAACACCATGACTTCATCTTTCAGGTGCGCCCAAGGCCCAGGCATATCTTCAGAAGCCCCACGGGAAATACAGCTCCTTTATCTGGATGGCCGTTGCCTTCACGAGAATACCGCCTGCTGGGCAACAATGTATCTGTGACAGAGCCAGAGCCAGACTCATCGTGACTTAGCTCATGCACAGCGTGGCTCGTGCTGTCATGGAACATAGCGATACCACCTGCAGTAAGAAACAAAATTCCGGCCATATCTCGATCGAGACAAGTGTAAAACCCACTACTACCTGCACCTCCTTGAAGACACTGCTAGCCGGATCGCCATGAGCTGGTTGCTGCTGGATAATGGAGCTTTATGCAGTTTTTGAGGTGCGGGCTGGGTAAAGACAACTTGTATAGATGCTGCACTGATGCTATTGTTGGTGATATGGGCACCACGAAGCAGAAGCGATATCAGCTTGCTTTGAGCACACGACGTCAAGGTCTTACGGCGCACGAGGACAGAGCGAGAAATATCCCATTTATCTACTCCTATACCCTGAATGAAGCCGCAATATCAAGGCCAATGGTATCGTTCTGAAATATGGCCTATAACCATTATATACTTCGCAACCTCCCCTTCCTTTCTGACTGGCCGTACATTTCTCAGTTGTGTAGCAACTTCCAGAGGTTTCTGCGAGGCTGACCAGGTGTCTGAGCAACTGACTGCTCAGGCGCCGGGGAGGGATGGACTTTGGCGCTCTGTATGTAAACTGTCTAAGCCTTCCACTGTCAGATCTGATTCTGTACCGTTTCAACGGTATCTTAGGATTATCTTGTTACTTGCCCATATGTCGGCGGCCACTACTAACTTTAATGACGAGCATGCAAGATAGGTTTCGAAGACCACGCGGACCCACTCTGAGGCAAAGTCCGAGTCAGTTGTTGACGGAGACCCGGCGCAAGACCCATTTTCATCTGTTGCCGTTGTATCATATGCGTTCCCGTCAGAGTCGTCCGGTACTTCTCACCTCCGCTTTCGCGGACGTTCAAGGTCTTCTTGACACTGGACCGTCTTGCCCATTTCATACTGCCTTTTGTGTTTTGGCGAGCGTTTGCCCTTCTTGGCCCCATCCAATATCTTTTCCGTTTTATGGTCGAGCAGCTTCTTGGTCAGATTTGGGAAGTTCTTACCATAGTTGAAAAAGAGTTCCTCGCCAGCTTGGATATCACGTATCGCAGTGAACTTAATCCGGTACTCGCCATTCACGTAAAGAACCTGAGGCGTGATGTTGCAGCCACACTTATCGACGCCTGACTTCTCCGATGCATGGTTGATGTATCGGCTAAGGTTGCCATATACAGCCGCGTCTAACCATATGCCTTCAGTTTCGAGAAGCGTGAAAAGGTACGAGATATCGGATCGTTCATCGAATACACCACCGCGTCTGGCCTCTCTCCGAACGCCTTCATCGTGGGTGATGAGTTCTCCAACATACTCGATGATGAAATCGCCCTGTGCGATGAATTCAGCTGTGAAAAGCCCGTAGCCAACTCCCTCTAGCTGGCTTTGGCCCAAGACGAGGGCCTTGGTAGGGCTACGTTGTAAAGCACAGTTTTGACAGCCAGTCGCGTGGAGGCGTTCATCTTTGGCACTTTCAGGATCAGCCCTCTCCAGAACGCCACAGGTATCGCAGAGATCCGGATCGCACTCGCGGTGCAGCTGCACACAAACACATGGACTATCCCTTTGTTTCGAAAGACAAGCTTTGCCTTGCGAAAGGCAAGCACAGCCAGTGAATTTGTATGCGCAATTCTCCACCACGCATCTACAGTACTTCTCACATAAATATCCATGCTTGACACAGCTACAATTTCCCTCGGTGCATGGCCCTTCGTGGGAGCAATGCACAATCAGCTCACGCTGTTGATGCTTATGGCTATGCGTGTGATGTTCCCAGTCGCCACTCAACTCCTTTTTGAAGCGATCATACCATGGCACCGCCCTGATTGGCATCTTGCTCACTGGCTCGTACGGAGGCAGACTGACACCGAGGCATTGATACTCGAGGAAAACATCGCGACAGTCGCGATTGATAAGGAGGGCCACGGTGCAGAAGGGGTCTGTTTGGACACGACTGTGTTTGGCTGCCACAACCATGGATCGCATGAGACTGCGCTCTTCCGACGTCCAAGGCCGCTGTGCAGACTGTACCAAGGAAGTAACTGATATTTGGTGACAGTTGCGTTTGCAAGTGTTATGAGGATGGCTCTTGGCGACGTTGGTCTTATCGGATGGGATGTTTCGCCTTCGCCTAAGGGTATCTGAGAGGCGAGGCAGCATCGAAAGGCAGTGTTTAATGTTGGAAGCATCGTACTCTCCATGCTCGCAAGAATGGCTAAAGCACAGGAGACAGCCAAGAATACAATAAGTTTCCAAATTGGTTTCTGCAGCCTCAAATTCATCTCCATCGAGACACGGGGAGCTGTCCTTAACCGCCGGTTTGGCAGCCATGATGCTGTCGATAGACTCGTCAGGTAAGAGAACGTCTCGGAGCATAATCTGTTTCATCGAAGATTCGTTTTGATAGAATACACGATCAAATGCTTCCATGAATATCTCGACAGCCCAGTCGGCCTCAGGGGGGGTAATTGACTCGGCTGGACGATGAGCGTTGAGTGTGTCTGACTTCTGTCGGGGCGGGATCGTATCATCAAGTTTCCGGTTTGCCATGTATCGGATCAAGGTTGATTTGTCGCAGCCGGGAAGCTTGAGCCGGACCAACCAGTTTTCAAGATAGAGCGAGACAGTCGACGCGACTTCCGAGCGCACAGTTACACGCCTCTTCTCCTCGCGACTCATGGGAATAAATCCAGATTTGCGGTCGACGTCTTCCACCTCCTGTAACCAAAGTCTGTACTTTGTCTCTTCAGAACTTTCAAGGTCCTTCAAGTAGGGAATAAGCATCAGCATCGTATTTGGGGTGAGAATATTCTTCTTAATTTCCACGTGGTGAGAGCGATACCGCGGAACACGCTCTTTGTCAGTCTCGATAGGTCTAACCTTGTAACGATCGTCACGCTTTTTGCTATCCCGTGTGGAGTGTTCCTATTTCCAGATGTTAGTATCGACTGACCATAGTGTAATGTCACGACTACTTTAAATTTGATTCTCAGAGTATCAACCCCGTCCGCTAATACAGGCTTGCTACTGAGACTGGCGAAGATCTCTTCGCCAGTGAGAACACGACGCTATAGTCACGTATCGAATCAGCCACCCTTTGTGCCTCACCCAATCATCATTCGCGAGTTCATAGATTCAGTCAGCCATCACAGTGGCTGTGAGGAGGCGCAGTGGGTAAGGCAGACTTCTGTTGTTGTCAACAAGTATTTAAATCAATGGTCGTTGTCCAGAAGCTCAGAATGCAATTTCACTTCTTGTTGTATCGCAAACCCTGGGGGCCTGTATTACAACATCCAGCAGTTGTCCTGAAGCGTCGTGGTTCTGCTTCCCGAGCATGACCTCCGCACCTCCCCCGAACAGGCAAGTACAAAACATCAGAGACTTGAGATGGGCCAGTGTCTAATAGAAAGCCTACAACTTCCGATAAGGCGACCTGACAGGCGCTTCGCAGAAGACACAGCAGAGGCTGGTTAGTTGAACACCATCGCCACCGGACACCGAGACACAGAGCTATCTGCAAAACAGTCGAAAGAAAAATTTCTGTGTAAGGATGGCCGATACAAGCTTTCCGGTGGTCGTCGTGCTAATTCTGTTAGTGTCATTCTGTTTTCCGGTCTGCCTCCGAGGAACGTCCTTGACGTTGCTGTTGGGAAGACTTTGTTGGCCTCGTCTCAACCCTTTATCTGCATACAGCAGAGTATCCGCAGCAAATGTGACCTACCAAGCGCCAAACTCCTCTGCACTACCAATTCGGCCCTAGACCTGTAGTCGCAGAGGATTGAGTGACAGGGTTCGCGCAGACGGGACATTTTCTGAATGGTCCGCTCTGACAGGCGGCACCAGCCATCCTTGCTTTTCGACAGGGACCAGTCACGCCGCTAGCAGAAGTCGTCAGAATTGGTTCACCCCGCGCTTGCCAGGGATCCCCGCGAACCTCCCAGACGCCCCTGGTTTTGTTTCAAAGAAGAGCAAGAGATGGGGTCGGTGATTTACGCCCTCAATCTGAGCCAGGCTTCGTTCCGTTTCGTCTTTTCTTTTTCCTCCTCTCGAGACCTCACAGCCGAGCCAAGGACACTGGTTAGCCTCAAGCAACCCTGTCACTCACTGCACTCGGCTAAGAGGTACTCTAGAATGACCATGGACCATCTGCTTGCATGGATTCATGAACGAGGGCGCTGAGGAATTGTGTCCCATCGCCTTACTCTGAATCTTTCCCTAGTTCTTGCGGCCTTCTTTCAACACACTGACGAATTTCGAAATGCCTTCACTTGACAATCGTCACTACCGAGTAGTTCGTCTGGGTAGGAGCTCGAGGCTCTCCTAGTGCACGCCCCCGAGACCGATAAGGCCAGCGCTGCCCTAGATGTCAATGTTGGAATTTCAGCGACGAGTCTGATATTCCCGGGATGGTCCATGCGGTTGAAAACGTAAGTGTCCCAATTCAGCATGTGCGATATCATACAGACAGACAGTGCACTAACATTTCTGCTTGTCGACGGCTTCTTTTCATGGGCACCCAGAAATTCCCAATTGAGAACGAATACGGGCAATACCCTAACCCGATTTGGGGGCTCAAATGCCGACACTGGGCCATAACCGACGGACTATTTTGTCGATATTTCTGCTGAGCCGGACAATGACCAGGATCTTTCAGATATCAACCCCTCTCCTCTGCGCAGGGCCCTCGATCGATTCGCTCAGTTCGACCTCGAACCGCTCTTTCTACCCGAGACCCTGCACCGAGAGCTGAAAGCTGTTGATTCAGAAACATAAACGAATCTTCAGAATGACACATGGAGGCTTCAACAGCTGGAGAAGTCTCTGTCCAACCCTAACCGCCCATTCTGTCACTTCCAACCGGCAATTTCAAGGTTTTCAAGACACTTCCTGAGGCACGTGGAATCAATGTGAGGGACAAGTCTATCGAGTTCCACGACACACACTACTCAGCAAACCGCATGAAGCTGGTTGTTCTGGGTAGAGAACCGCTTGGCGTGCTTCAAAAATGGGTTGCCGAGTTGTTATCTCCTGTCGTCAACAAAAGCTTTCCACCAAACAGGTGGCCGGGCGAACTTCCTTTTGGGGAAACCAACCTCAGTATGCAGTGTTTCGCGAAGATCGTCATGGACTCGAGAGAGCTTGTCCCGTATTTCCCCTTCGTTGACGGGGAGTTTATGTTTGCAACCCAACCTAACCGATATATCAGTCATCTCATCGGGCAAGAGGGCCCTGGAAGTACCATGTCATATATCAAGTCCAAGGGTTGGGCAAATGGTCTTAGTGCCGGCGCCTACCCTGCTTGCCTTGGTACTCCTGGTATCTTTGATGTGCAGGTTCGCTGGACGGAAGAAGGTTTCAAGAACTACCCAAAAATCGTCAAGATATATTCCCATTACATCAATCTCCTGCGCGAGAGCCCATCTCAGGAGTGGATATTTCATGAGCAGAAGGGAATGCCTGAAGTCGAAATCAAGTTCAAGTAGAAGACGCTCGCCAGCCGCTTCACCAGCCGAATCAGCTCGGTCATGCAAAAGTCGCTTCTTTGGGAATGGTTACCCAGTGGACACAGCCGTCTCCGAGAATTTGCTCCTGATGAGATCGAAAAAGCCCTTGCCACGATTCGCCCGGATAACTTCCGCATGGTCATTATGTTGCGCAACTATCCTGGCAACTGGGACCAGAAGGAAAAGTGATACGGAAATGATTATCGACACAAGAAGATACCCGAAGATCTCATGGAGGAGTACAAGAAGGCCTTTACAGTCTCTCTCAACGATTGACTGCCTGCCCGTCACCTGCCTCACAAAAACCAGTTTATCCCCAGCAAGCTTGAGGTCGAGAAGAAGGAGGTGGCCGGGCCGGCACTGAACCCCCGGGTTCTTCGCAATGATAGCATTGCCAGGACATGGTGGAAGAAGGACGATACCTTTCGGGTTACCCGTGCCAACGTTATTGTCAGCATGAAGACACCCCTAATTTACGCCTCGGCAGAAAACAACGTCAAAGCTCGACTGTTCTCAGACCTCGTCCGTGATGCACTCGAGGAGTACTCGTACGACGCGGAGCTGGCTGGCTTGCAGTACAACGTCTGTCTCGATTCTCGCGGTCTGTTCTTGGACGTTAGTGGCTATAATGATAAGCTTCCCTTGCTCTTGGAACAGATCGTCACCACCATACGAGACCTGGATATCAAGGAAGATCGTTTTTAGATTGTCAGGGAGCGCTTGATCCGAGGATACAGCAACTGGCAGCTGCAATCATCCTATCACCAGGTTGGCGATTACACCGATTGGCTCAATGTCCGCGAACGAGACTTTTTAGTGGAAGAGCTCGCAGCAGAGCTTCCAAATGTCACGTTGGAAGTTGTCCGGCTGTTCCGGAAGCAGATGCTTGGCCAGGTCTTTATCGAAGTGCACGTCCATGGTAATTTGTACAAGGAGGATGCTCTCAAAGCGACCAATATGGTTGAGTCTATCCTGAAGCCACGGGGTTTGCCCAAGGCCCAGTGGCCTATCCTGCGGTCACTCGTTCTGACAAACGGTTTCAACTACGTTTTCAGAAAGACTCTCAAGGACCCTATCAACGTTAACCACTGCGTCGAGACTTGGTTTTATGTCGGTAGTAGAGAAGATCGTGATATTCGGACCAAGACTCTCCTTTTAGACCAGATGCTCCATGAGCCAGCCTTTGATCAGCTCCGGACTAAGAAGCAACTCGGCTACATCGCTTTCAGTAGTCCTCGAGCTTTCTCGACGACTTATGGCTTCCGCTTCCTCATCCGGAGCGAAATGACACCAGAATTCCTTGACTCGCGTATTGAAACCTTCCTCATGAGATATTCAGACTTTTTAGAGAAGATAAGCGAGACATAAATCGAGGGTCACAAGCGGAGTCTCATTGTCCGGGGTCTAGAGAAGCTCAACCGGGAGTCCACTCGTCATTGGAACCAGATCACAAACGCATACTACGATTTCGAGCTAAGTTAGCAGAGAGTATGCTTTATGTGTGAACATATGCTGACCTTCTACATAGCCCATCGCGATGCCGCACAGATTAAGCTCCTGACCAGACCCGAGGTCATCGAGTTCTTCCACCAGCGCCTCAACCCTGCCTCCAGTCACAGGGTACGGTTTCCAATTCATCTTCAGGCTCAAGGCAAAGTTGAAGGGGTCGATAAGCGACAGGAAGAGGCTCAGAAGAAGGCCGACGAGGAGCCCTCTCCTGGAGATGCTGTAAAGACGGCCGAGGAAATTACTGATGTCAGGCTTTACAAGGCCGGCCTTGCCGCAAGTTCAGGGGCCAGACCCGTCAAAGACATTAACGAGTACGGGTGTACGGATGTAAAGCTGTAGAGGTTATGTTGGGTTAACTTGAGGCCCGGGTCAACCTCGTACCCGACCCCATCAAGAGCGCGAAACTGAGTCCAAGGGACATCTCGCAAGGACAGAAGATCATCTTGGTAGGATGTGACCACCGTGGTCAGATTGTGGGCGCTTCTACATCAGTCACTACGATCATTGCGCACGAGATGGAACCCCTGAGTTGGTATGCAGCTCGTCTGATCAATATTGAAATGATTGACGTGCATGCAGCGATCAGTTATGAGTGCGACACTGGGTTTCTCATTGCAACTGATGCTACTATCCAAGGACTCTGGATAGCCCCCGAAAGCGCGTGCCCAAACAAACATCGATTTGGAATAAACGCGCATGAAATAGCCAAAATGGCCGAGAAGCTTAGTGGAGGAGTGGATATAAGCTTCTGGAGACTTCCCCTTGATCTCCAGTCGGTCAAGATTATCGACGTTAGAGCCATGGGCGTCTCTATTGAGCCGATTAACAAAGTCCTAGATGGGCGCTTGGATCGTCGCATATTGATGGTGGAAGGGACCATGAGCTAGGTGCCTCATCAGTTTCAAGTGTTGGGGATATACTGCGAAGTTTAAATGACAGGCTCATCGCCCAGGTCTTCGACGCTAGTATCACAGGTCCGGAAGAGGCTTGTGACGTGGTAGCATCCCGCGAGGATGTTGAGATTACCAATAAATATCATCCACCTCCTTAGCCAACCTCGGCAACCCCCCAAACAGTCTCATAACACGCCAATTATAACAATGGTATATCCTTCCGCTTAGAAGGAGACGAGCGGCCTGAGGTCTGCGATTGAGACTCCGCTGACATCAATATTATTCGACCTCAGCCCAGCATGGAGTTGGCATCTTCGTTATCGCCCTCCGATGAGCCAAGTTGTTGTCTGTTTGCTGAGAGATGAGAACGACTGTTACATGTACTTGTTAGTAGGTTTATCCTTGTGTCAGTATCGTGTGCAGTGGGTGATAGATAGAATGTGGAATCCCCTCATGATCAACAGTCAGGACAATATGTCACTACACACAGAGAGAGCTTGGTCCAATTCCAATCACGAATTGTTATACGTTATCGTTCCCTAATTGCTTCAACGTCATCAGATACAAAAGCTGTATACGGCCTGGAGGCTAGAAGATCCAGTGAATTGACAGTCAACAGCGAAACGAAGCGCATCTGTGACACAAGGCGAATTGTACTAGTGTTCGTTAACCCTTGGAGTTGTCTATTCAATGCCTTGGCGTTGGAACGATGGCCTTAGAGAAGCTGAAAATCAGCTTGCCTAGGTGCTGATTACTATTTAATGTCGCCAGCATAAACAGTGTTTATTCTGGCTCGGACTATTCTCGCTTCTTCAAACGACACTCAAGGCCCTTCTGGCGTGGGAACCAGCTACCGGTGACCACCCAGGGCGCGTTCGGATCAACCAAGGAAATCTCATACTTGTTGATTAACGTAGCCACAATCTTATACAATTCAAGCTGAGCAAGATGGCGACCAATGCAGACTCGCGACCCGTCACCAAAAGTCAAATCGGCTCCATTGAAAAGACGTATTCGCTCCTTGTATGCTGTTTCAGTCTCGCCTTCGTTCTGGAGCCAACGCTCAGGACAGTAATTGTCGGCATCTTGGCCATAAATCCCCTTGTTACGACCAGCGACATATGGGTTGATACCTACCGCAGTTCCAGGGGGGACAAAGCTGCCGTCAGGAAGTGTGAGGCCTGGCTCGGGGACATAGCGTTCTAGGATCATACAGACGCCTGGGTGCATACGCATGGCTTCACGAACACAAGCTTCCAAGTCTTGGCTTCGTAAGTAGCTGGCCCAGAAAACAACAAGGACATGTAAATAAACTCACAAGGCAATGCTCGAGCGGAGCTAAATGAAGCGACATCCTCGAGGTCGGCATCCAAAACCTCTTTCTCGAGCTTACTATAAACGCGAGGGCTGTGAAGACAGTACCAGAACAAAGCCCGGATAGTGATAGCAGTGGTGTCGGCCCCTGCAAGAAGGTTGACCAGAAGATAGCCCATGATGGTTTTATCGTCGACAAGATCAGGGTTCGTGTTCTTGGACTCAATAAAGTGCTGGAGAAAGTCGGGAACGTCGGGGTCGAAGTTCTCATCCTTACCTTGCAGGCGGGCAGTCAGATGTTCACGCGAAATGCGAGTAATGTTGGCAAGATTAGGAGGGCCGATGCGCATGACGGGGTTCTTGTCAAGAAGAAAGTCGAGGAAGGGCATTTGGCCGACAGCAGCGAAACTATTACCATCAGTAACAATTTTACGGACGAGAAATGGGCTTATTACTAGTCAAGGGCCTTGTCAGCAATGGAGATGGTGCTGTCATAGTCATATCCCTTTTCCATGTATCCAAAGGGGCGGCTGAAAGAGGCAGCCCCATTGGCATCCCACGAGTCTGCAGAGCTAAATCAGTTTGATGTACTCTGTAGCCAGTAGATAAGAAGCTTACAAAAGCCAATCCATTCACCAAAGTCGAATGCTTTAGGTTCAGATCCACTCATGAACCTCTTCTCGAGATGACCGCAAAATTCGCCGATCAAACCATCAAAGAGGGACTCAAGACGCATAACACTGCTTTGGGAATAGTACTTGGCGATGGGGCGCTTCATAAGGGCGTGCTCGACCTGATCAGTCGTGCTGAACAGATGATAGGTGATTTTGCCATCGATGACAGCGCTGTTATTGTGGTAAAACTCGGTCTGGGACAGGGGCAATTAGCCAACATGCAGACGATAGTTACATGATGATGTAAAGGAGCGTACCTTCTTCCACTTGCCATCCGTACCATAAATAGTCTTGATCAGTTCAGGAAGATCGAAGTCTAGAGTATTAGGACCGATGCGAACGACAGGGCCATATTTCTCATGAAGTTCCTTGATCTTGACATGGTAGCTACCCTCTAACACAGTACGCAAACGCCATAGGTTAGTCCAGCCTGAGAAATGTTAGCCCTGCCATTTACAACGAGAAAAGGAATTCCCTACCAGCCACTGGAGGACCAGGATATTTTCGAAGCGGGGATGCGAAATGAGAGGCAATCCACCACACGACAACACTCAAAATAGGAATGAGAACCAGCGCCACGCTGAGACTCTTCCAGTCCGAGCGCTGGGTCAGCGCAGTCAAGTAAGAGGTACTCTGAGCGGAAGTCATTGTGGGAGACAAGAGACAACTATCCGTAGGGCTGCCCTGAATTGGAAACGGGAGACTGCGGATGGCTATATACGTTCGGGCGGGGGGGAATGGTCCGACGGTGGTTTGCGCCAGGATCCCCCACGACACGGAACCGAAGCTGTTCGTCAAGGTTGCACTGCTACCGAGTAGCTATACTTCTAGGCTCCAGCACAATGCTTAGCGTGTGCCACGGAGTTGGAGCGATGCATTAGTCCATGCGAGACGGCTCGTCGTTAGCCTGGTACCGTTTTTGACGTTACCACTAATGGCCGTTGCCTCCGGAATGCCCAACTCACCGTTAGCTCAGACTACCAATTCGTTCATCGGCCAACAACTATAACAGCAGAGTACTGACTGACTCCTGAGTATCTGTGTCTACTCCACCCATGGAACTAGGAGTAGCGGGTCATCAGGCACTTATCCCGCGGATGTCCAACGGCCCCAAGACCCTAGCCTTAAACAAGCACGGCCGTTGTTTGCTATGCGGCCCGCTCTAAGGCTGCTAGTCTATTAAGCTGTCGGCGCTCTACAAGAAAAAATATCCAAGTCACCTCGGTTTAAATAATTATAGCATAAAAAACGCTCGACACTTACTCTTTATCACCCCCCTTGGAAAATAAAGGCAGCATCGCATGGAGGAACGGTTAAGGTCTTGCACTCTATCTGTAGCGACTCGAAAATCGCGCAGCTCATAGGCTCTTTTTTGCGTGCGCAAGGATGTTGTCGGATCCGTGAATCGTCAGGCAGTCAGGCACATAAATAGTGGAGACGGCAGAGACGAGCCGTGTGAGCGGCTCAGACGGGTAGCTTCCGGGTACGTTGACAAGGGTGTTTTACGAACTTCCCGCCCGCGATTCATGTGCACGTTCATACCGCTCCCGTACGAGCTAGCTGATGGGGCTGGATCAGGGAGTGAGCTTAGACCAACCAACGAAGCACTCAGATCGTCATAAAACCTCTCCGTATTGACATGGGAAAGGACTTGCCAACGGCCATGGGCAGGGATCTGACCCCGTAGGCTTTACGTATTTCCTTGGCAGGAAAGGAACACCCCATGATCTGACGGCGATATTCGTTGTTTAACATCTTCCGTCCTGCCAATGCTATGGTAATCTCCGTAGTTATCAAGTCTAGGCAAAAGCACTTCGGGCAGTAACTTGCGTTCCGTTCATGGTATTCTTAGATGACAGGGATTTATGTTCTCACCCTCAGGGGGAAAATAGAAAACGACCCCCCGATAGGTGGAACGCCAGCGAATTTCGGTGCACTTGGGGCCATCTAATATTTCCCACCGAGGGTCACCGTAGAAAAGAGGTACCGAGTCCACTTACGTACAGCCAGCAGCAATAACCAGCAGCCGTGTCCGACATGCCCTTGGAGGGTTTCTAAGCTAGAGGGCCAGCTATTGTTTTTTCAGCATGGAACTCATCCTTCGGCGAGATTGCCAGCCTTGAAGAGGCAAAAAGAAAAGGCAAAAAACTTCCATTGGCTGAATGCCCTGGCTAGCCCTGTTGTCTCCATGAATGATCTACAATAGAGTATTAATTCACCTCGGGTATATCGCATCGGGTCTATCGAGGTTACATTTCATACTCTGTAAGTGCGGTCCTGCTCCATTTCTGAAAGATCAAAATGCATGGCTTTCCCTGAACAGATGTCTTATCTGGAACTGTGCCTTATACTCACGGAATATAAGTTACGTCGGCGACCTCTGCATACTCATCTCCGCTTCTTCACATTTGACACGCATCGACAAGTGATTTCGAACAAACGACACGCACACGATGGCTATGGGAGGGGATGGGCCTTGGGCCATTGGTGTAATGTGGGCATTGACTGTGGTGGTATTCATCTTTGTTGTGTTGCGAGTATACACCCGAGTTTTCGTCGTCCAATCCTTTGGTGTTGATGACCATGTCTTCAATCTGGCATTTGTAGGTTGCCTTTCAAGCTCACCTCTCTGCCTTCCGATCATCGCTGATGCGTGTCCCGATTGCCAGGTTTTTCTTCTATTCTACACGAGTTTTACGACTACATCAGCGCATTATGGCTTTGGGCAGAACATCCCCGACATTGAAGCCCGTAACCCTGAAGATTTGCCCCTTGCCATTTTGTTTGAGGGCATCGGACAAACTTTCGCTGTTGTCGGCATGGCAGTTGCTAAATGGTCACTTGGATTATTCTTACTTCGAATCGTCACGCAGACATGGCACAAGATCGCCATCTGGATATGTATGGTTGCTCTAGCTGGCGCATCAATCTCGACTTGTTTTGTCTTCTGGCTACAATGCACTCCTCCAAAGCATCTGTGGGATCGGCGAATTCCAGGAAAGTGCACAGTTGACTCAACACCTGTTTCAATGACTCTCTGCAGTAAGTGCTTGGATAATTTATCCCTAGGATTTAGGCTGATGATTGCAGTCCTTTGTGTTGTTGTCGACTTCTTTTTTGCTGGCCTCCCCTGGCTTTTTACATGGACCCTGCAGATTAAAAAGCAAGACAAAATTGTCATCCTTTGCAGTCTGAGTCTTGGTGTTATGTAAGTACCCTTTCCCCCCATTTTAAAGATATCCTGCCGCTGACTATCTTTCTAGCGCGGGTGCTTGTGGTATCAAGCGAACTCTGGAGGTTCCCGAATTGTCAAACCCAAACTACACAAGTAAGTCATCCACGAGCAACATACCACAACAACGCCTTGACTGACTTTTTCTTCTTCTCTTTCTACAGAGGCTACCGTTGGCCTTATTGTCTGGTCAGCAGCCGAAATTGCAGTGACCATGGTTTGCATCGGTATCCCCGTCTGCCGACCTCTATACAAACAATATCTCGACAAATGGATATCCCGAGACGGCAGCAAGTACGAGAAACACAGCGACGGCGGCTCATACCCGCTGCAAACTATTGGAGGCAGTTACATCAATGGAAACGCGCCAGACAAGAACGACAGCAGCGAGGGCTGTAAGGTCGCTGAATATGAGAAGAAGACTAGGATCAAGGGCCCGTCTATAAAGACAAGGATCTACTTCGGAGCCACGGAGGGAGTCCGGAGCGACGACCAGAGTGATGAATCGATCTTAGGGCCAGACTTTAGAAGGAATCAGCACGATGACCTTGAGGAGCGGGGAATCCGGGTCGCATATGAAGGTACGACTTCTCGGCTGGGCATTTAGGTGGACTTGACAAGCAGACCTTGTGTCTTCTAGACTTTGAGTCTTGAAGAAATCGCTTCCAAGCATAATTCTCTTTGTCGGGACGATTCCGTGGTATTTGTCAATGATAATCGTCAAGAAAAGTCGAAAATACTCAAGTTCTTGCTTAGAAATTTTATTTAGTACAACAGATTGTGAAAATGAGTCTTCCAAATTCATAGATGTAAAATACAATGTTGTCGAGTAAAATTGAAGATTCTTTATCTCTATGGTCTAGCTCTCAGTTCACACAGCTCCTCAATTAATGTACGTTATGTTATGTTATATTATGTATATTTTTCGTCCGGGGGGCCAAGGGTCCGAAAGTCCCCTGCTGGGGCATAGGACGTGCTGGGCGAGAGAAAACCGGATGTATCTTAACGCTAGTTACAGAACGTTTCTACAACCGTGTCGACAGACCACACCCTATTCAGCATATCATCGTCACAAATGGCGTTTCCTATCGAGCCTATTACCCGCCAGCGGGATGAGAAGGCGCAGCTGGCACATTGCAGCCGCTTTTGGAGCCTGGTGTCGGGTTTCCTGAGACCGGCTTGTTCATGTGCCTGTTCGAAACTGACACAATATGTTCACGGTCGAGTGAAGGGCGTTGGCGCGCCGTTCATTTGGCCGTGGATATGTAAGAGACAGGAGAAGGTAACAAAAGAGATGCATTTGAGAAGGAGAGGAGAGAGGAGATGCGAATGAATCTCGGGCTAGGAGTATCCTTCCAAAGAACACGCAGTCTTTTGACAGGTTTCCTTTTCCTATTGCCAGATCGACGGCTACAATCGGTGATGGTCCCAGCCTCATGCGATAGCGCGGCGGTACATTCCGGCAGTAGAAGAGGTGGTCCGATGCTTTGTGTCGGTTGCAGGAGCAGATCAGGCGTGCGTCGTCGTGGTTGAACCTCTCGCGATACGCAGCAAAGTCCTTGTGAAGGGATCTTGCTGCCAGCAGATGGTGCAAGGCGGCACGCGGGAGCGACAGCTCCGGCGGGCAGCCCGGGGTCGCCTCGAAATTGAGTCTCTTGTACTTCTCGGGAGTGGAAGCGGTCCACCATGTCTGTGTCCTTCGATTTTTGTCTTGCCATCCTTCGTAGGTATGCCGGCATTGGGCGAGCACCTTTGGGCTTGAGTCGATGCTTCTTTAGCTAAGTCCTCGATGCGCCGAGCGTGGAGAGGACTCTCAATTTCTGCCTACAACGCTGCCTTGGCTGTCAGTAGTTCCTTGCAAAAGCCGCCGCCTTCGGGGCACACCAGCCTTATAGTATCGAATCATGGCTTGATGCATGGAAAGCTTCCAATTTGTTTCAGTACAGCTCTGCACTTCAGTTGTGTCACCGCCGGCATCTTGGTGGAGGCAATCCGATCCGTGAAGTTGTGGAAGGATGTGGATGCTGCGGTCAACGCCGTCAAGAGGTGGTGAAGCTGCCTTGACAATCAACAAAGAGTATTCCGACATCCCAGTCCTTATTTGAGTAGAGCAAAAGGGGTGTTAGGAATCCAGAAAACTAACCAACAGTCTCTGTGCGTCCTACTGGAGATGCGCAAGCTGTGGACAATCAGGCCTTCCACCAGGAGGCTAAGCAGCAAGAAATACGAGAAGATTCAAGGGTAGTACTCGAACATCAAGTTACTTCAATGTGGATTGAGGCAGTGCGGTACTTCACCAAATTATACGCAAGATCCGACGGAACGATACAGCAATAAGGCGTACCGACAAAGCCACCGGATACGCTCTACTCATCGGCGCGTGGACATCCGCAGCCTTAGACCGGAGAAGATACAGGTCCATAGCATGACCTCATGATAATGAATATATGAACATGACTGAAAACAGGGTGTGGAATGCCAGCTCGAGTAAGGCAGCACCAAGCTAAGCGAATACATGTATATCTATGCGCTTATTCCCTTTCCACAACACCTAACTCTGCCCACTCTCCTATGTCTCATAAAAACACAAATTTGCTCTCATCTATTACTCGAACGCCGACTTTTCTCTTTTGGCTCTGCAATGGCTCAATTTAGTGCTGACTATACAGATTCCGAGACCGACGTTGAGTTTGTAGGTAGAGTCTATGGATACCTCGTGCTAACTCGATTTGTTTCACAAGGTCGGCAATCCAAACGACACAATCATCAACACGTCTCTAGAAAGAAACGAAACTGTACCTGCCATGATCAGCTTGAGGAAATCAAGAAAATGCTCTCCAATATACAAACGGAAATATCATAGATGTCAAGGAAACGCGAACCTCCCATCAGAAACCAAAAACTTGGGTTGAAACATTTCTATTTTTTGATCAACCTTATATCACTATTTATGACGTTGGCTTCACGGAAATACACGATCATCATCTCTCTGGGCTACTAGCTTTATTATTGCACTTTCTTCTAGTGGTAGTCTTCATTATCCCTATTCATAAACATACCATCGACGCTCCATCAACAAATGTGATATACTACGATGACAATCACGTCCTCAGGCAGGGGAACAACAATCAAGCATTTAGAAGGCAACAGCACGAGTACATAAGCCTGAGCTCCAGGAATGTCGCTGTGCTAACGTATTGGGCAAGAGACCGGGCGAGACAGTCGGAAAAGAGGACGAGGTATTTGGTCAGAAGGCTGTACCTCCTATTAAGGAATAATTGGCGAACTACGGTGGCGCATGAGCCACTTTAATCGGCTCAAGATATGTTTTAAACTATAGGGTGTAGCCTAAACAACTTGGCCAACGTTTCGATTGCAATGATCCACCCGACCGACTGAACCGTATGTTGAATAGTTGGCGATCTTTCGCAGCGCACCACCGAGATGCTACAGGGAGGGCTCGCACAAATATATCACCGAAAGGGAGTTGACACGTATATTGTAAGGCGAGTCGCAGTTCGTCGAAAGAATTTGCGTCTGTTCTACCTAGAGTACTGCAAGAGCAGTAAATAGATGGAGTTTACCAAAGACACAGAGATAGCCAGTCATAACCCCTGGAAATATAAAAAGCAAGAATCCTGGTAAACCAGCTACTTGACAAGTTCCTCGACCTCAGGGATGCCAGATTGCCTCGTTTGTCGTATTTTTGCACCATGTTCGTCATGGAGATAAAGAATTTCATATCGCTCGGTTTCTCACTATTGGCCCACAGGACCGTCCACTTGATCCACCTCAACTGAACATGCTTATGTGGCTCCTTCAGCTGTACAGAAAGATATGTTAGCTGCTGTAAAGGTTCTTGCTGCCAAGATAAATGAGAAACTGTGGAGAGCTCCATAAGTACTAACCTCTGGTCGTTGATCAGGATCTATCTGTTCAAGGATATAGAAGTGGCAACGCCAAGGTTTAGCTAGCCAATCGTCTGTTACGACCCAGAGGGGTTCGTCCCCAATGGGACAAATTTTCACCTTCAAGCCGACTTCCTCTTCGAACTCACGCACAACAGCCTCTTCTGGAGTTTCACCGTTATCGACCTTACCGCCTGGAAATGCCCAAGAATCTATTGGCACAGAATACTTAGTCAAATCCAGCAGTTTAACACATGCGCCAGCGCAATACGTACCTGGCGGCCCGTTTTCTCTGATACTTCTCGAGTTTTGAGTCTCCTTTCTAGGATGAGAACGTCTTCGCCGCGAACCAGAATCCCCATAGTGCCATTCATCTGAGGAATGTCGTAGCTGGTGGGGCGTTCGTTGGAAGACATGGCGGACAGGATGGCTACGCGAGGCAATGAAATAAGTTTTTGGCTTAATTTACAAGGCCGTATTGTGAAGTGTGTCGAGAACTGAGATCGTGCGTGAAATACACCAACGTCGCGGACAGGCCGTGGATTCATATAGTAACGTTAGTAGGTACTTGAGAAAACTAAGTGGGGAATTGCGCAAATTCGTGACGCGCGGTGAGCGTAAACATCGGCAATTGTGCCTACCAAGGCATACTACCTCAACAGAGACATACATATCCTTGCAAATTTGTAAGTCTCAGCTGGGATGGTTGGTGCCTGATGCACTTACTATTGCTGTACTACATCAGTGGCTGTGCTGTGTCAGCCTCCCCACCCTTTTTGCTGTACGCCAAGCACCTGGTGCTGGGGACAACACAGAGACCAATCACTGGCTCTGAGTAAAATTTGACGTGCTGCTATATATCTGAGGGGACCACTGTTATGTGAGAATCGAGAAGGCGAACGTAATAATGTCAAAACCTGGTCCCTAATCCGCTGTACCTCATCCAAATATAGTTCTTAGTGTATCTTTGCGTTAGAGTAGAAGGAATAGCAAGCAGCTACATGTTTGTAGAGTCACAGACGTCAGAGGTAAACAGGCCGCGCTGTCCAAAACCCGATCAGTTTTGAGATCCTTTCAGACTCTACGATTATGGTGACCACCAACTCTTTGTCCTAATGTCACAGTGACAGTAGCGAGAGAGTCTATATTCCTGCCCAAGTGCCCGTTGCTCTCGCCAGCGGTTATTGGTTCGGTTCCTCGCCACACAGCTCGCTGTCTTCACCGGTAACAATATTGGAATCGCTCTTATCGATAGATGGGCACATCCCAAAACTGCACGATTTTTTCCTTCTTCCGTAGATGGATGGATAGATATGACCGTGGTGCCTCTCGGCATCTTCTTTATTATGAAGAAATACAGGAGGACATGCTCAATATTGGCCGTGAAGGCGAGTGTAAGCATCAGAGGAGGCTTCACGGTCCCTTCTGAGAGACCCCAGATCCCGAGGCAAGTGAGGAGAAGACCTTTGAGAAATGGGAATCATGTTAGAGGACTTGTGCGTAATAGCTGAGCTTTACTATATAGAATTAGGAACTGACTCTTCGCTCTTTCTCGCCTACTTCCTCTCTTTATCAGGGACCATTCCAGCCTTGTTGTTCTAGCTACATGCACGATCGCCAACTTCAAGCCCGGAAAACCAAATTGCAGCGCCAACATACTGCTATCATGATCGGAGCACCAGTAATAAGGGCAATGTTTAGTATCGGCCGCTTTGCGCTTCACTCCGCGTGATCTTACGATCTAATCGTCGTACGACAGCACCGAGAACCACCTTGAGAATCCCATCTGCGGTCAGAGTCTTACTGGTTTTCGAGGTAGTGGAATTCCATGTTACTGTATCAACCATGTCTCGAATGCCCTGGTCAGCAAGATCATCGTCGAGCTCACGCAGAGCCTTGGTAGCACCAAGCTCGTTGCCAACCTGGAAGAACTGGATGCCAACTTGATGAGGAGGAGCCTCGATCTGATCAAGCTTCTTGGCGTGGTGAACGATGATGCCCTCTGGGTCGTCCGTGGGGCATCCGTCGGTGATTACGATAATATTGATCGGCTTGGTTGAGTCAATGTTGGCCGCATGACGGGAGAGATGGGCGACATAAGGCTTGAGAATGCTTTGAAGACGAGAGCCCGTTGGTGTTGCTCCTTTGGGAGAGACTTCGTTGAACAGACGTTTGACTTGGTCGGCGTCCCGGATCTGGAAATATCCACCGGGTGCTTGAACTCCAGTTCCGGCGGCTAACGATCGATGGTTCAGGAAGTAGACATCAATACCATCGGAGTCGTGAGAAGTACAGATCGGGGCAATAGCGCTCAGCGCGTATTCAACCTCCTCCCACGATCGACCAATCATGGATCCAGAGTCGTCGATGATAAAGATGGTATCGAAAGTAGATAGGAATGCATATTTATCTTCGGCACTGGTGATGCTTGACATGCTAGGAGCCGGTGAAGATCCACGCTGAGGAACATCGAGGAGAGGAGCGGTCTTTTGAGCGGACTCATAAGCAGGAGGAGCCTCCTCGGGAACATCTAGGAAGGGATTGTTGTTCTTGGTGTTTGTGTTTGAGCTTATGTTGCCCATGTCGAGATGAGTGTGGTTCTTGGTCGAGGACTCCTTGGTTGAGAACTTATCCTTGATGCGGCCGAACATTTTTGGTGATGAAGGAGAAGGTGCATATGATATATTCAGACGTGACGAAATTCGACTTCGGGCGGTGCCTTGTTTTGGATTCAACTATCTTCTCCTTGAAGCGGCTTGTCTCATAGTCTAAAGATAGGTTTTCTTTACAGGGCGCCGTTTTTGTGATTTCCGCGTTCTTGGTATTCGCGTATTGATGCTCGCGGTGGGTGATGGTGGTAGGGGGACAGGGCATTTATAATGGGGAATTCCCTTTTCATCCATGACTACGCTGGATTCGCAAGGCAGAAAAAAATGCGCATCTCATCTAGCTAATTGGTTGTTTTTTGCCAAGCCCCTAGCTTGTCGAAACGAACCAGGTGTTCGACAGCGCCCCAAAAACACAGCCTTAACCCATGGAGGGGCGGAGCTTGTACTGCCCTCTTAGACTGGAGATCGCCTGAAAATTACGTAAATTGTTGTTAAGTCGAACCAGTCGGCACAATTATCGTTCTCAATCGTGTCTAGACTGATAAAGCCTTCCATTCTGTCCTAGCTACAACATATATGATGGGTTTCGAAACTTCCCAAATAATCAGCCTCACTTTCGGTTGATCTGGATTTGATGATGAGGCAGCCCACGGATCACGCTTTGCTCTACTGCCAATTAAGCACCTTAGCAAGCCCCACAACGGCAATGTAGGGGCAGTGAGTTTGAACCCACAACGGAATCCGCAAAGAGCACAATTTTCACTCTCCCCAGGCTCTAACTTGCGGAAGTTATATAAGCTTTGGCAGCCTGTAGTAACGAGCCGACACGCCATCTACGGTAGGAACTGAAGATACTTGACTGAATAGAAACGAACAAAGTTCAGGAAGCTTGACAGTGACATCCTGATGGCGTATCCCATCATCTGAGGACCCGACGTCTGCAGACGAAAGCACCCGACAATACGATGCATTTACAGCTTGGCTTGGCCATCTCGATCCGACCAACATCCTTTTTCACCCTAGTAAGCCTCTTCTTCAAAACTTCTCCACCCCGGCTGACGATCGAGCTTATTGGCATACAAGACATCATCGGATATTATATGGGGATATTTCTGACTTCCGTGGTGAGTGCTGACATTTTCTCATGTAAGTCTCCCTCTCTCAACGATAGCGGAAGCAAGATTTGGCAGCCAGCCTCGTTACCGACAGCGTGAAGCTCGATCACAGTCGATGTTGTGCTGCCGCACTGCCGCTCAAGCCTTAACTCACGATCCAACTGTCTATGCCTCAGACGCACTGCTTCTGTCTAGCCAACGGAAAATCATTCAGGGATTTCTCCCCTCGGCGAACTTTCTTTGTCTTTTGATTCTCTTTTATCGCGAGGAATCACGCTTGAATCGCCTGCCACGGATACCATCATCTTTGACCTCAACGATTCGACCAAGCATTACATATGCTAGGTCTGGCTGGCATCGCTCTATATCATACTCGGGGCTCGTCAATGCTGCGTTTCAAAGTTTCTTGCGATGAGGTAGAGTGAGTCGAGACTTGGGCCAAGATTATCTCAAGCTTCATGTGCTGGCTCTCGGTCAGTATTGCGATAACCGAAGTTGAGGGTGTTTTGTCCGTGTGTTCCTGGCGTTCTCCCCTTACGCCATTACCAGTGGAAACACAAAACGACTGAGACACTGTTCCACAATATTGGCGCTGGCCACACCACACACTTCCTCCAATTCTCGACCTGAAACATTCACCTGCTAGACATCAATGGCATTTCTTGATGGTGTCATGACGGGAAGCAGCGATCTCTCATGGAATGGATCTTCACATCATGGCCCTGCCAACCTGGAAACGCGGCAGCATTCTGCAGATCAGATCCCCTGGCACTGTTTTACGATTCTTGTTGAGCATTATACTTTGAAGAGGCTCTGGTATTTGAGATTCTCCTAGTTTGTGGCACTAGCGATAGCAACTCGGATGTCGGTGTTCCTAAATGTCAGTTACCAAGGGCCATATAATTAAATAGATGGATCCCTGGCAGCTATATACCACTGCTGGCACTGACCAGGTCGCTTTTACTTATCTGATTTGGATCATTTGTGGTTAATTATACTTGATTTGCCTGGTCACTACTTCGATATTGGCAGCCAAATCAACATCAAAAGTTCCATACAAGCATCAAGAAAACCGGCAGAAATTCTGCCCCAAGTTAAGTCTTTCACAACGCCCCACCACGATCAGCCATGCAAACCAGACCCTATTCCCTGTCACTTCCAAGCAAACGGTAAGTACACCACACCTAAGCGGGCAGATCCCGCGGAATCGCAAAGTCGGACCGTCTGTTGATTCTGCACTGGGCCCTGCATCCTCATCCGCGTCTCGAGGTGAGAACCAGACCCATCAGGGCATTGATGTAGACATCATCTCGCTTGCTCGGCATAATGCTATAATTCTTGATACTAAGAGCAAAATTAGCATTCTCCGGGATATTCAGAGGTCTATTCAGGGCATATGACGCCGGCGGCCATTCTCGGGGTAGTCGGCAGCCCAGGAGCTTCACTGCTGCCACCTTTAGAATATATGCGCCGTCCATCACCTCTCCTTGCCCTGCTTGGAAGGTGAACCGAGCTATGGGCCAATCGTAACGCCCCGGAACAGCCGTACTGCCATCAATAAACGAAGCATGCCATTCCTTGGCCACAATAGAGATGCGAGATTCAGGGTCACATCTCTTGCTATGGAAGTCATAGACCAATACTGTAGAGGGGATGTTGCGCATGTCGTGATGGATATCGATATAGCCCAGTAGATCCCTGGCGTTCATAATGATTACGGCGATCCAGATCTCGTCGTATCTAGAAACACCGTCAAAGTTGTAGTCGCATCGCAGAGCATGTGGATCGTAGCACGCGGCGCTTCCTACATCCACTACTATACCATGGCGTGCATAAATCCTCCTTCTATTGAGGATCTTCAAACCCTCGACAAGACCTTGTCAGGCTCTGACAAGCTGCTCAGGCAAGACGGCCTGGCACGGCCGAAGCTGCTCGTCGAAGCAGTGCTCCTGGATAGAAGAGCCAGCTCTGAGACCTTTATCAAGCTCAGGTGGTGGCAGAATAAATATCCGTGCCATATGATTTTTCTCTTAAAATACAACGAGATCGAAGATACTTTCCTAACTCACCTCTTTGAACTCTTTGTCCACTTCGCCCCTGTCATTCTTCCTCAACTTATCGAGGCCGTACTTCACAGCGCCGGGCGCTGGACTGAACATGAAGTCGGTAATACTCCACATCGTTGGCCCCTGATGAAAGGACCCCGAAACGGTACCGGCTAGTATTGATGATAGACATAATGTCGTTGTGTTGGAGTTAAACTTGTGATGTGAAGAGTTGAGGGAAATGGAACAGATGCAGCCAGCAGGATGTACGGATTTTATACTTCATTTATCTTTCTTGTATTGTTGAGACTTGTGGCTAAGAGCGTAAATGGGCCGAGAGAACTTAGGGGGTCGTTAACTTTATCTAGGAAGGATAAGTTGGTGAAGAACCGCTTTATATATTGAAGATGTTGTTGTTAAAGAGATTATGGCGTGACTGGCAAATGGGACAGCCTCGTCACCGCCATTCCTGAACTCWTCATTCACCTTAGATTGTATGACAAGCTTGTCGAGGGTCTTGATTCCCATAACAGCAATGCCTGTTTCGAACCGCCAATTGAGGGATACCATCGACCATGCTCAGGACACAATAAGCCCTATACACGCGTCGCTGTAACCGCCGTTGATGGTCACCACTATGAGCGATTCATTGCTTCCCTCCAGCACCTCCATCCAACCAGTTGTCGTCTTGCCCAAGTCGATTTTATGATCAATCACCACCTTGGATATGAGACTGAACGAAATTAAGATGCACTAGCTGACCAACTGAGTATATTAACAATTCTCATTCGGGTCGTTTATTACCTGCATTCTTAGCAATGCCATTGTCACCAGCATAGGAGCTGAACGTACCTCCGTTCCCAGGGATACAAGCAGCATCGCCTCAAGAACACTAGTGGAGTCTGATAGCATCGTCGCTTGTGTTGTGTATCGACCAAGCTGGTTGCTACGCCATAGACTGACGAACAATGAGAGCGCTTTTCCCTAAACGCGTGAACGCTGGCTCTCGGCTACTAGTAGGGCGTCCATAAAGGCTTTTATACATCGGAGGCCCCAGGCTGCTCGACAACCTCCGTCGTATCTTCTTGTCAGTAGGGTTATTCTGAGTTGACATGTGCTAATTGTCTTGATTATGCATTCGCCATTGCCTGACAGGGAACTGTTGATATCACATATTGATTGTAGTCTGTGACCTTCCACTCTCGATAAACATCGCAGATATTCATATATTCTTGACAAAACGTATGATTCTCTTGCCACAATTACGCTCTACTCATGTCTCGCGACCTGTTGAATACCTCCATGGTGGTTGAAGCGAAACCTCAGTATAAGGTAAGGACATGACGGTTAGTCGGGGCCTGGGCTAGACCGTTATCCGTTAGTTGCGCTTAGCGGTGTGCATTCCTTATTAACAACAGCTACCCTATGCTTTCTAAGTTCTCCACGGCTTCCTATATGTCTTCATACAGCTGAAACACAACAGTTAAGTAGCAGTCTCTTCCCGATCCAATACCGCTGCCCTTTTTCTAACTGCTAAAGTTTGTTTCGTCGCATCTCTCTTTCGCAACAACCAGGTTTGTGTCGGCTGTCGATCTTGCACTCGCTTGTTTGCCTAGCTGACTGATCGCAACGTTAGTAGAGGAACTTCTTCTCACAAGTCAAACACCGTTCCATCGAGACCACGCCTTCTATTTGCGGCCGCCCCGGGCGGAAAGAGGTGTTGCAAGCGAACATGAATGAGTTGGCGAAGTAGCTACGGGCATTCACATCTAGCCAAGCTCACGAACAATCATATCTAGCGATACAATGAGAGGAAGCCCACCACACAAGCAATTACGAGCAACAACATCATCGAAGCAACCCTAGCTCACAAGCAAGTGCAAATAACACACAGCCACAACACCACAACGACAGCAAGAGCAAGCGCAACAAGCAAGCACAAACACAAACAAGATCGCAGCAAAACTGCGAGCAAGCGCAAGTAACACACCGCCACAGCATAACCGCAGTCGTGGGGTAGCCAGTTCAATGACAGAGATTCCATCTCCCAACTATAAATACCCCAGCAACAACCACGCACTACGCGCACCACCGCTCTGCAGAGTCGGCTCTTATATATCAGTAACCACTACTCCCTCCGTAGTAGCACCATGCCCACGGCCTAGCGTGGCGGCGTTGGGCAAGGCTGTAGATAAGGCACCGGCGCCACCTCACCCTGAACAGACGCTGAGGATGATAGCAGGAGCAGCAGCACCCAGGCGAGCTAGCTGCATATCCCGGACGTGACTTATATACACGCCATTGAATCAGGTACCTCACGCCGGCGCCGCGTCTATAGCCAGAGACATCTCGAGCTGCGGTGCCTGACGAAACTGCACACCAGACCCCGTCCTGGCAACCACATAGGACCAGCACTTGCCTGCACGACTGTCGCAACCGGGGCTGTGTCCGAGTTATTCGCACTAAGGGTATCAAGCTTTGCTTCAACATTCATCCTCTTGGCTACTGTTGACGTCGATCACGATGCGAGATACATGGCCTCCAATCACCTGAACCCAACCTCTGACGCGGATCCAGCAGACCGAGCGCCGGCAGCGCGCCGACACGGCGCTGCGATCCTTAAAGAAGATCCATGGATGCGCAGAAGAACAAAGAGACCTGCACGGTATATAGTACAGCGTCTCACGCCCACGCCCACGCCCTCATCCTCCATGAACCTTGTGCAAATATGTAAGGCACGCCATCATTCAACTGAGTCCAGAACTCGTTTCCTGACCGGGTTTTACAGGCCACAAACGGATTTCTATTCACGACCTAACCTCAGTCAGGTAAGGGACTTTACGCGATACAGACCGTGCCCAAGGATCGGCCCAGCGAAGACACAAATACCGCCGTCACCCAGCACACCTATGACTGCTTCAGTCATCACCCCCTCGGCCACCGTTTGGAGGCGATTCCCCTGCGCGAGTCTACATCTCCTCTCCTTGCTTTATCTCTTCCATCATGATACCTTAAGAATCCTCTATCGCCTGCGCCAGCCAGCGCGCCACAAAGAAGAATGAGGACGACTAAGACGATTCGCGGTTTCAGCAGAAGAAACATAGATTCACTTTACTTCATCTGAGGCCTGTTTGAGATACCTTTCTATCTGGATGCCAGGCGACGGGCTTGGGGCACTCTTCTCGGTTGTTACTGGGAGACAGCGAATCTCCCGAGCATATGTGAGAGTCGGGTATTGCATCCGTGATGCATGTGGAAAGAGGATGCCTTTGGGCGAGCACCTTGAGAGCCTGCGCTGTCTGCTGGTGATCATTCCTTGTTTCGCGGCCCCAGCTTTCCCTAGGTCTCTTGCTGGGTTGCTATACAGTTCCCAGGTATCCTTTGTGGCCCCTTCCCGACCTCGTCGAGTGGCTGCATATGACTGTTCCTGGGATCTGTTCTTCGCATGGCCGGCTTCCCCTCTGCCGCGAGAGGCCTCTTCCGTGATGCCATATATCACATATCCTCTACTCGCTTTATTCTCGTATTCCTTTCATACTACACAGTGTAGTCATCCAAGAGCGAAAGCATGAAACTTCAGGAGAAGAACGATCAGCTGAAGGCATCCCAAGACCAGTTGCAAGATACAAGGGATGGGGACGAGCGTTAAACACGTATGTCATATACCTCCAGCTGATTAGTATGGGGATCTGGGAACTCGATGAAGAGCGCATTGAGAAAGCAATGTGTCGAAACCATTTACCAATTTATCATGAAAACCCCATCCAATCGAAGGCAGTGGGAGGATCTGGCCCTCCCCAATTTCCTGCCACGCCCCTCGTCTCTAGACATTATCCTGTGTCCGAAAAATAGAGATTTGGCTTCCAAAACACCCAGGCCAGCATCGCTACCATGCCTAGCGCTGCAAGCACTTCTAGCAACAGTGGCATGCCTGCCACAGACACTCTCGGTAGTATAGGCCCACATTGGCCGATATCAACATGAAGCTCCTCTAATACGACCAACGTGTTACGGATCTTGAGCGTATGGTTCAGGAGAAAGAGCAATAACCTGTTGATAGAGACTTCCAGATGAACAATCTTGGGTACACATAGAGATATGGGCAGGTACAGCAAGAGCGGCTAGAGACCAAGCAAGAACTTCGCGATACGCAAAACCGCTACTGCGAGTCCCAGATGCTTCTTCTCAGCAAGTACGAAGAGAAGGATAAGCAAGGCCATCATCATCTCCTATGGTCTCAATCATTCCCCAACTATCAGACTCCGGCCCAGATATGGAATCCTGCCACCGCAGCTCTAGCTGTTTCTCATTGACTGATCATAACAGGCAGGCATAACTTACAAGCAGTCCAAAGCGAACGAAAACAACTCAGACATCATGACAAGAATACAAAAGGTCCCATCTCCGTAACTCCCCCTATGAATACCGACATCCGCCTTTATTGACCTCACAGCCCTGCATCTGCTCATTTAGCATATCAAGGGGATCCCATGTCCAAAATAATAACATATATATGCAACCAGCAGATCAAAATGCCATCCAACATAGGTTGGATCATGAGGCGCCTTTGAGATCCATCGATAATGGCTATCTGTCTGCAAAGAGAGTCTCAAGCGTAAAGGATTCCAGGTCTCCCGAGCTGCAGCTCCCAAGAGCTTCAAGAATCCTGAAAGCGACTCTCACAAGCATTATCTCTATGATCTCGTATTAGCTTACCAGCCTACAATGAACTCGACACCAGTGAACTTGAGATTGCAGGCCGTGGGTTAGGCTGTACGTTTCGAACGCCGAGCCAGTATCCGCCACTCGTGAATTCGACCTACCACCCATTCCATCAACAATCATCAACATATCCATCGAATTCCGCCTCGCATACTAGTCCTCAACAAATGAGCATTACTGAAATACTGCTTTTACACATCCATAGAGTCTTGCGCTGCCTCAAACCCGGTGGCTGAGCCCCAGGTGACTTTTCTAACCATTAAAGCCAGGTTCAAGGCGATGCAGAGCATGAGCTTCGGCACCGTATGATCCCCATCCCCGTACGACCAAAACCTCGCTGTCTTCCTTTCGCTAGCCTCTCGTCTCCTCATTCAGATGCATCCGATCTCGTGTCATCCTCGCCGCGCCCAGAACGAAATCTAGAAGCAATCGACTGATCATTGAGGAGGCGCTCGCGCACCCTTCCACACCACTCCCAGGTCACATTTGCAGGACGGCAGTCACGGGGACAACACTCGGTAGATCCAGCGCCTTCCCCTCTTCATTCTCCCGATTCTTTGCGAGCAGCAGGTGTACGATCACTGTTTGAGAACCCACAGTCTTCTCAATTGCCGACTCCGAACATGTCCCACGGCACCTTAGGTCAATGAACACAATCCGACCTTTTGCAAAAACAAGCGGTGACACTCTCCATCTCAAAAGGCTGTGCCCAATAGAGAGTTTCGCCCGCTAAATAAGTCAGCAGTGGCTGGAGGCAGGCCTTTTCCTGTCATAGGATCGCCCTACTACGAGCCATGTCCACTGTCCAGCTATAAGGTCGATACGTAACTTATATGCAATGCGGACGCAGGATATCTTTATTTATGCCAGGACGAATGCCTACTCAACGTCAGATAACGCCGCCCTTGTATCATATGCATGTCTTCTTTTAATGCTCCGCCGTTTCATGATGTCTTGGGATCTTGTTGTCACCTCTTCCCTCTTGGCCCTCGGGCTACTGTTCATTTGCCATGAACCAGCTCGACATCCCCTGTTGGGCGCCGGCGTCCTCACCTATACTTGACCGATATTATTGAGGGGCCTATTTATTGCGAAATCTCGGGCCCATGGTGGTGCGTCTGGGCGTTTTTGGTCAAATGAAGCCATGGAAGCACCGTGAACCTCTTTCATTGATCCAACATCGATCGACTGTTCTCTACATGGCGCCAGATCTCGGGCGTTCCGCTAAGAAACATGAGGTACGGAGCCCTCCACCGCCTCGGGAACGCTAAACAGGGCCTTCACATTCTCAAAAAGGACAGACGGCTACGGGTGAACGGGAGAGGCCAACTGATGAGAAATAGAGCGGATAGCGCCAAGGTGACAACGACTGAGGAGCTCACAGTGGCATCGATCATTAGTCCGGCATGAAGATACGTCTATGTGAGAATCGGCCAGTTAGTGTCAGATCGAAAAGTCCCAGTCGAGTACATCATTACGAAGAGGCGTGGTTTCGACTCCCAGTTATTCATACGGTTATGCCATAAGTCGAAATCGATCGGAAGCTACCCATGGCATCGAGCCTCACTGAAAGCTTGAACTGTACTACAACCGGAAGGCAACGCTGGCTGCAGTATGAGCGCCAATTCTTGCTGTTGAAATATCACCCAAGTCGGTCTTTAATCCTTACATGGCTCGTGATCTGTATATCGTAGAAGAGGTTATGCTACACTGGGTCAACAGTGCCCAGGTCCTGCTACCGCCGGCGTTCATGAATCGCAGCCACACAGTGCACACAGGATAGCCAGACTCTCCCAATGGTTGCTTGTAGACTGCCGCGACGGCAGCAGCCCACGACAGTGGGGAAGGCGTTGATTACCCAGCTCTGATCTACTCACTCCAAGATTTCTGAGAGCCCGCATCGCGGTATTGACCAGAGACAGGCCACTCAAACGACAACACACTAGAGCGCCTGGGCTAGCTCTGACTAGAGGTCAATCGACAGATCGCGACGGTGCCTTGCACATCTTGCGCCTCAGAAAAGTGTATGCTCAGAGATCCTCGCTAAGATCGCGGCGCCTGGATCTTCCAGGGCCTGATTCACTTATAAGGACTAGATGAACTAGTACGATTCAAGAATCGTAAAGAGACCATGTGAGCTCGCATGGACTCCGCATCGCAAAACTGACGAGGCTTGGAGATTCGAACAATACTGCTGTTCCAAGCAGAAAGCACGAGAACAGTTGTGTCCTAAGACCTTGCGGCTCAGTTGGAACGCCACCGACTACCTGCGAATTCATGGTCTCCCAGTTACTCCCTCGAAACGGACGAACCCTGCGTGGTGATTATGTAGTGAGACCATTCAACCGAAATTTTACCAAGAGCCATCAAAATCACTTAGCCAGTGCTTAATGACCTGGTTCCTGTGCTTCAATCGCCTCAATCCCTGATGTCAAGTCGTTCCAAGGCATTATTCATAAAGCTGGCGGCCGAATGTCGCTCGAGTCTTCGACAACGTAAGACATATGAGAGGTGGTCATCGTCCAAGCAAATGGCGTTGTCGGCTGTTGGGCCTCCCCCGAACACAGCTTGAGCCCCCAGCTCATTTGGCTAAGACCCCGGCTCGTAAGTATGACCTGCTCCGACAAAGGTTGTCCTCGATAGAAATCATCGTCTCGACTGAACACTGATCTAAGCACATCTACCATCGCATTGTCCCCAAAATGCAGCAAGAACCGATGAAGTCTAACGTCAAGCCATCTGTTGCGCTGAGAAGAAGTTATCACAAACGTGTCCTCATCTATGGGCATCCTATTATCCGATCTTTTTGTGATTTCTACCCAATAAAAGAGAAAGGGCTCAGAAATTCATTCGTAGAGTGTCAAGATTGGAAAAATACTTGACATCAATTGGACAAAGGTCATGACATTATTGTTGTTTCAAACCCCCAGAACTACCTAGACGAAATACAGTAATTCTAAAGTGTTGTCTCAAGTTCCCGCTTGACCAAGGCACACTATGCCTCATCGGGTAATTCCAATGTGATGCTGAGGCCACTTCGGCAGCCTTATTTTTGCCCGCAGAAGATCTCCCAACACTCAGGGGTCAATCCTTGCAATCTGTTTACTTAGGCTGATTAGCTGGAATGGCTGCTGTGAGCTTGTCCCGCATTGTGTCTCATGTTCCCGGAATTGAAAGTTTGGAACTTCCAAATCCGGATAAAACAAACTACCAAGTGTTATATAGCCGAGATCCGCGGCACACCCTTCATAGCGGCGTGGAGTCCAGACAAGCTCACCGACATCGAGGGTCAACTATGCATGCTCATATTCCTACATAGCAACGGCAAAAGACTGCAGCGTCTACTTTCAACAACAGGGTAAGTATTTTCGCGCAAAGCGAGGGGATAAAATGCAGACAGGCGAAAGAAACGACAGAGCATATCCTATTTAGACGATGATCCAGTGTGCAGAAGAAACACGCGGAAACCTCTCCTTCCACTTAGGGGTCAAGGGTGCAACAAAGGAACAAAAACAGATCCTCTTGGCAAATAAGGGTTAAGAAAGTGGGCCTGTTTATACCGAAACCCTTAGCACTTCGGCTAATCTGCACAGAAGAGCCACAGCCCCACGATCGTGAATGGCACCATTGGTGTTTTAGCAGCCTCCGTGCGGAGACCCAGATACCACTTATAGCCGCCACTACGGCTGCAGCTGCGGAAGGAGCTGCAAGCGCTAACTTATCATCGTTTTTTGGACAACGCCCAATGTGTATCACTAAGTCAGCCATTGATCTCGCGCGAGAGCGCGCGGAAGAATACAACGCCAAGCTAATAGCTTTTCATGCTTTCTGCCTATTGACATACGTCCTGCGCGACAATTCTCGGACAACCCCTTGACCAAGTGCTTGCTTGTGCCTTTTTGCAGAAATTCGTAGTAGTGACGTTTGATGGGCCTAAAATTGGCTAGCCTCGTGCTGTTAGACAGAATCTCGGCCATCTCTGGTGGATGAATTGAAGGTCCTGTCGTCTGTCGATTGCCCACGGCTGCTCCCACAGATACCAACTTGACGCCGCTACTTACGCTTCTTTGTCCCAACCACCGCTGGCTCAATAATGAAAATGGGACACACAGGAAAGGAGGGACTTCGTTGTGTAAGATCCAATTTATGCTCCACATTGAACAGACACTCTTATCGCTATGATAGCCCATCTAATTCCATTAAGCTAGTCCCCTTGTCGACATCTCTATCCGAGCCTCATGGGCTTACCGTTATACCCTCACGCTTCAGGCTTTCTTCCGTGAACAGAGCAACTATCGACCCATTAGTCCGCGCAGTCAAAAAATCGGTGGATGAACGTACATTGACCAATAGGCATGGATCTTGAAATCGTCCAAATCCTTCCTGACATTGACCAGAAAAACATTTACCTCTTCACTGGACCAACCGAAGGCCCTCGTGAACGGCGCCATAGTCAGTGACTCCAGGGCATTTTTTGTGTTTTCATTATTCCATGCTCCAATCTCCTTGTACATCTTGTCCTCCGCCCAGTGGTTTGTTGGTCATTTGAAGCGTTTGGTGACGATATTAGTGAATCCGACCTCGGCCATGATGTTCTCGAACGCGCCAGTTTCTTCGAAGGGCCTATCTAGCTCAATGGCTGCTTCTCTTAAAAGCTTGTTCCATTTTAAGAGTGCAGTGTCCTCGGTTAGACTTCCGTCGTCGGACCCCATCATGACATCGATGTCCTGGAGTTCAACATAGCCCCCTGGGACAAGATTCCTACCAACTTAAGGTTCATGGAGAAAATAGAGATCCAAACGAAACTTACTGGTAGATTTTGCTCATGTAAACACGCCAGTCCTTAACGCTGAAGTTCATCATCCTGCTGTGTATGTAATTAAAGGGCTCGGGATAGTCCCACTCCTCATCGATATCGTCAATGATGAACCGAACATTTGGTGGGACGCTAGCTGAGCTTTGGTATCGATAGAAAATACCAACATAATTCGGGTCTCACAAGCTAGGTTGGATGGGAGATAGATCAACGCCGGTAATCTGTCGTTCCAGAAAATTAGCTTCGAAAATTCGCCTCCGAAATGACTCATCTTACGTCGGCTTCAGGATGCTCGTCACCAAAGTCCATCGCCCAAATTCCTGTGCCAGTGCCTAAGTCCAGGACGCGCTTGACTCCAGAACCAGGGAGGTTTGGGGGTGAAAGACCAAGTTTGTTGTCCAAAGTGCGAAGGAATAAATGATGTTGGAAGTCTAGACTGCTTGAGCATGGATTCCCTCTATGATATGCCAAGGGGCAGCTATACCTAGCCTATCGTTTTCTAGATCATCGTTCGGAAGGTGATATTCTGTGCGTGACAGACGTCAGTGTGGGTTCTCTGGATCACCAAAAGAGACACCATCTGCAACTCACTTCCATCCTTGTATCCGTGGTATGTTCTCCCGTTTTCGCGACGGTAGTCGAGGATGGAACTCGTAAGACTTGCGGTCGACGATGTCGGATCCTGTCACCATTGCGTCAGGGGTATTTTTCACACTCGTTGCGTGGCAATCAAAAGGCAGTTCCTACGTCTCCAAGTGACGAGTCCTGATCGTTAGCCTATGATGACGATTAGCTTATGTTCTTACTGAACAAGAGAAGGAACCTGACCTCTTCAGGTGTGATGATAGGTGCTGCGCCGTCTGCTGCCATTTCCCAAATATGAATTGTTCTTGGTAGTCGAGTTGTTTGTTGTCTTGGGAGGGACACCCAGGCAACTAGTTTTAATACTGCAGTGCCACCTTGACAAAACCAAACAGCGGCCAATCAAACACTGGCACTCCATCGTTCTCTCTTCTCTTATTTGACGTCTCGTAAGGTTACTAGCTGACGCACTAGGATAAGATGTTCCCGCCACGTTCCCATGTCCATTTTCGGTATTGATGCAAATCCTGTCAAACACCCCAAAAAGGCTTGCTTAACAGCTACGATAGAACTTGTATTGTGGATTCGTCTTTACAGAAAAAGATTTCTACTGCTTTGCATACATTGGCTGTGATAGAGCTTCTCATCTCGCTCCCGTTACGAATACCAATGTTGATGAGTTGCTTCATGTATGGTGGCGGGGGGTGCGCCATATTCTCCGCTAGCGTAGCCAAGATTTGCTCCGCCCGTTAACCTAAACCGGCGGCCACACTCAAAGCAATCACACACTTTGCCAGCCGAATTGGACATTGCCAGCATCGAGCTGAGGTGGCTGTAAGGCGATGCTCTGATCGCGACAGCCCATCCGTGATTATAGGACACGCTGCGTCATGCTTTCCAGGGACTAGCTCGAATCGACCTCGCACAAGCCCAAAATCAGCGTACCGGATTACTATCTCGGATGCGGTGAACAGGCCTATTTAGTGCTTCTTATTGCTGAAGTCGTGAGGAACAATTAGTTCCATTGACTTTCCATAACTTGATCCTGGCTGCAGCAATGAGATCATAATAGAATCCGATGGGTGGAGCAGGAGGGGTTGACGTGCTAGTTATACCTACCCCTCAGTGCTCAATCATCGACGGAAGCGATAACTTTACGCCATAATTCAGTGAGGACTGTAGTGGTCCTGTTGATTACCAGTGATGGTACAATGTGCTGCCAGGCAGCCAACATTTGCATTTCGATGGACTATAGTCGGGCTGTTCTTTCTCAAGAAAAGGAAGGATAACAGAAAAAAACATCGGCTCACACAAGAAATTGTCACTATACGGACTAACATTCGTCATACTTGGCATGCATCACATGAGTTTCTTCCTGCTGAAATGCAGCGTGCTACTTTTTGTGCATTGCTTGCTCTTTCTCCTGAAACATCATTTTCTCGCAAAGTACTATGCTTCCTCCCGTCGATCGCGAAGTATGAGCAAGTCTGCAGTGCAATCGCCGCTCACACTGCCTGGCTGCGACGAAAGCGAGACAGGAAGGATCTAGCCTACAAGGGGAGTAGACTACCACGTTTATGTAGATGCTGCTGCCCATTACGCTCCGTCAATTCTTTGACCGCCGCACAATGCCGCCAGCAACCAGTTGCGCAGACACAGCGACCGCTTAAAGTGGCCACCTGGTCCCCCTTCCATTCCAGCGGCAGGTGCCCACACCCTGGGGGCATTGCGAAAGGAATTGCTTCAAATGTGATCCGCAAGACCAACAAACCAAATGCTCCGCCCTGCCAAAGTCTTCCTTGGGCAAGACAATCCACTCGACATAATGTCGAGCAGACGGCCGAGGTCACGGAGACAATTGATCTTATCGTCTGTTCCTCGAAGATACTTTTCCAGCCAGTGTCTCCCTATCATGTCCTGTTCTATGCCGTTGGAGCATCGAATCTCGCCTTTACGGCGGGTATCCTCCCAGGCCGTTACCTTGAGCCGAAGCTGAGCAATCTCGCGCTTGTATCCTTCCATCTCAATGTAATTTTTCATCGCCCGAGTCTTGCTGGTGCGATTGAGGGCCGTTTCGTCGTTGTGCTGCTAGAAGAGCGCCTTGCCGTCCGCGACGGAGGTCTAGTGAAAGTTGGAGCTCCTAGGGAAGTTGGAGCTCCGAGTGGCTACGGTGGCGACGGTCATTCCGAATGAGGCCTGAGACAGGGCCTCTCGATTCATGGAGATACGGTTCGTGAGTTCGTTGATCCTGGTACTGTAGATCAAAGCTTCATCTGCACTCTCGAGGAAACTGGGGCCGAGCGATTGTGTCCGGACAATGGTGTCGGGCCAAAATGGAGACGCGCGCAGTAGCTACCTATGGACAAGATTCAGTGATGAGATGTGTTGATGGTGCTAACGTACGAGTCGGGCAGAAATGTTGCGTGGTGATGCAGCTTGGGTTGGGTATGAAGCTACTTCTGCCTTGAGAATCGACAGCCTGTGCACGATTACGGGTCAGAACAGAGAGAAGTGGCAGGGTAATGCGTTTCCCAAACGCATTCTCGCTGACGCTTCAGATTCTGGCCGAGCTATAGAACTTGAGCTGAAGCACTGAGTTCATCACGAGAACACTCTTTATCTGTGTTGACCGCGTGACCACTTCCAGGATCATGACTCGTGGGATCGGTTCCGTGTCAGGACTGTCGATGCGCGAGAGCCCTCTGCCCAACCTGGCAAACCGTGCATCATCGACCTTCGACGGCGAATCGTCCTGGTCACGACAATAGACGCATTCGGGGAGATGCTGGCGGATTGGCCCGCTTGTGCACGCGGTGGCGGTTTCATTGGCGTCAAAAGTCCTCGGAGGCTAAACGGCAGCCACTATGAGATGTCCTACATCAAGTAGTAGCTCCAGAGTATGTTGGGCGACATCAATGGCATTTTCCCAGGACTCTTGGATTGTGACATGAGGCTACCGCGCGCACTCATCGTGATGTTGTTCCAGAGGTTTAGGGTCTGCACGATCTGGCTTCTTCGGGTCGTAGACGCGTCGATCGGAACGTCGGGAACTCGAGTCGGTGATCTTGTAGCGAGAGTTTCAGTGTTGAGCATCCCGTTTTGGGCAAGGCGGAGACTACGTGAGCTATGTCCACGCGTTGGGGTGTCAGTTGACTGGGGCGAGTTGGTTCGCGCTGGAGACGGTTGGTGTTGACAAGAGATGACATGAGGGTTTAGTCAGCTGACGTACGATCGGTGGACTCAACATGGGCTGCTGAAAAGTGCCAAACAAGGTCAAGAGATAGGTTGGAGCCCATGAATTGGATTAATCCCGGCACTCTACAAATCGCGAAAAAGCCCAGGGATGCCATCTCTTGTCTTGATGATCTCGCTAATCTGGTCGGCTGGGAGTTTTGTTCCCTAATCCCCAACAAGGAATGCACTCCTTGCTAGGGTCGCTGGGTGACTAAGCAATGATTGCCGCCTCACGTAACGCGATGCGCGACACGCATCGCGCACCGTGTCCCGCTCAAATGACTCGGCATGGAACGTGTATGCCTGCTTGCTTAGCCACATTTCATTCGATTCAGACACAGTGCCTCCACGAACACAGTACTCTCCTTTCTGCTAGTATTTCCTGTGGCCCTGCGCTCAAACATTCACGAACCTAGACCGCAGTAGGACATGGCACGTCCGCATCTCACTTTATGGCACAGGTCTACCACGGCCGAGGCGCAACCCAAGCAGGACGTCTAACGCCACTATGATCAGCTTGCATCGCCCCGCCTATCGCCAGCTCACAAAGTGGTGACCAGTTTCCGCTCAAGTAGATCAACCGAGTCCAGACGTCGACCAACGCCATCATCATTCCACTGAACGCTGTGGACGTGATTTACCCTTACTCGAGTGCCACTTCGCCGGCCCAACTCGAGGCCGCGCATCGCACCGACCGGCAAAACCAGGATCACGATATCACGGTGAAGAGTCAGGATGAGACAACTTGCATCCTCTGTCGCGGCACCTCGATGTCCAGTCGAAGCTGGTTTCGGATTGGCCATGCCAGGAGGCCGTCGTCCGCGACACAACAATCGTCAGTCTAGCCCGGAACGTCGACGAGACGACGAGAGCACGGAGGCAAGCAGTATCACTCGAACCGTGACAGACAAGAAGTGGCCCGCGGGAAGGGATCATGATGCACAGAGGAAAAGACAGCCATCGTGCCGTGGTAAGAGGTGGGGGTGCTCGTTTCTGTGCCCGTTTCCTGGTGGCCTAGTCTCTATCGCTCTTGTGGCGAAGCGTGAACTACCGACGTATACAGAATGTCAGAGAGTGTATGCCCACTGAGTATACGTATCGGTTCTGCATCGGCACGGCAGACTAGGAATACCAGAATTTTGCAACGTATAGACTTGGCGACATGTTCCGTGTCCTTTGCGAGATGTACATTGCCGGCCATCAAACCATACCGGTGCTCATTATATCTGCTCCATAGATCTGGGGATAATACGCTGTCCCTGGTTGGACACCGGGTCTCTATAACGTAGGCTAGAAGGCTTTTATTCCACCACTTCTGATGCCCGAGGTTTGAGTGAAACGGGCGATTTAATTATTTGGCACAAGTACAAGAATTAAGGCCTATATAGCATTCCCTGTGGTTGAAACATGTAGTATTTGCCCGTCGACCGTGGGTGGAAATCGGCTCAAGGTTCGTGTGCCGTCTGATGTCAAGGCATCTCGGTCGTCAGGATATCTGCCCGAGCTTGATCAGGTAGCAGGCCATGGAGTTGACCTGAAGGGCCGTGGCAGTGGAAAACGTATCGTAAATTTTCTAGGCGGTGGTCAATACAGCCGAAATGGACAGGCAGGAGGCCAGGCATCCCTTTGTAAGTGAGTCCCCAGAATCTGTCAAGAAAACAAGGGTGGCTGCAGACTCGGGACGAACCTGCTATCGACAGTACATGATGAGACTGGGGGTTATCGAGCAGACCAATAGTTCGGATTGATAAGGCAAAGCTGCTGTGTCGCTACAACTGAATTAAGCCAACATACTGGCGGCGCTGGCGGACTGATGAATGAGTAAAAGCTGCTATCTTTCTAGGCGTGCAATTGACATCCAGTCATGTGGCCGAGAACATATTGCTTCCTTCGCAGATCGCGGTGAAGGTCGGGGCGAAGAACGAGTAGATGGGTCGCGGACAGAGTATCGATCGCTGGTGAGTATGGCCGCGGATGCGAGGAAGGGGCGCGAAATGTCACCATAGGCTGCCCTCCGGCCGGAAACATCGCCGTAGGGTCGCTGGCCGGAAGCTATCTCGATCATCGGGCTCGATTTGAGGTAGTCTCGAACAGTATGACACAACAACAGTTAACGAGAAGACCTGTGGGCGCTATCAGGAAACAGGCCGGCCTGCTTGAAGGTAGTCAGTGAGAAGCAAAGAACAGCGAACAGAGGGTTGGGTGCACCTTCTCTTGGTAGGGGTACTGCGGCGGTGCTGCGGAGCGAGGGACGCGTCTGAGCAGGTCGCGTTGATTGACTTGAGCAGGCTGTGGATTGTAAAGATGAAGCTACCGTGTCGCCCTGAGGGCCGTATCTGGTCAGAAGAATATCAGATTAGAGGCACTCGCAGCGGTGGTCCCCATCCATCCGAGGTCATCCAGTTTCGAGCATGTCGTGTATGTAGGTGGCTAATTTTCATTGGCTAGAGAGCCACTGCCAAACGCGGTCATGTTACGTGACTTACCCTGCAGCGCAACACTGCAATGGTGATGTTAAATGTTCCCTGTGACCATCAGTTCTACACCTGAATTCCAACTCCTTGAACTGCCGTGGTAAGTTTAGTACTCATCGTCGGTATAGCTGTTAATTGTACTATGGTATGTGTCGTCGTGGGCAATAATCGTCCTGGCAGCCAAAATAGACTTCTCGATCACCATGAGTAGATGACTCGGAGAGCTTGCCTAACTAATGCCCGCTCGTAATTGTCCCTACAGATACAACATCCCGGGCTATGACAGAGCCGCCTACGAACGGCGTGCGAGGTTTGCCTAGCTGCTCTACACCTGCTATACCATTATTTGGAGCGCTCACTTGTGAGTCAAGTTCCATAAGTCAAGTTCCTATCGTCATGCTGAACAAAGGCTCGAGGGCGACGAGGGCATCCAGATGGTAGTCCAGTATTAGCAAATACAACTAAACATCAGCAAAGTCAAGCCCTCTCGCCCTCTACTACAACTCGTCGTGATCTTGTAGACAGATTTCATTCCACGTGGGCCAAGGCCAAGGGTCGCCTGCCCTTTTTCCACCAATAGCGATTGCATTATCAATTCATCAATCATCTTTTGGGGACTTTGGGGTTGCATTTCTACCACAGAGCCTACTGCCTCAGGGTCGTGCTCTGTGCTCTCCGGCGATTGACAGCTTGTAGCAGGTTACGCTCGCTAACTTTACCCACAGATAAAACCGCTCGCCCAGAGAAGGAGCATTTGGCAACCGTTAAGGGTACATTCTTCTGCAAGGCTTGCATGCACGAGACACTAATGTCTGTGTGCGATGCGTCATGCCTAAGCCTGCTGAGGACGGCATTGTCGAATGGGGGCAACGCTCGGGACAACCGGGTGTTTGATGGGGCTGGTTAGGGCTGAGCTGAAGCCAACCAATGGGAATTGGTTTCGACGAGTCAGCTTGCTCATCCATAGCCCAGGTTTTGTTCTTAACTGACTAAGAGGCTGACATAAGATAAAAAGTCCTTCCCTATCTCTGTTCATGGTGGCATCCTCCCCCAACATTCTGTAGACGAGGCAAAATATCGTATTATCTATCGACACAGAGACGTAGAAGTGAGAAAAGCCACAGCGAAGCATAATATACAGCTCCTCCAGTGAAGACACGCTTTCTGTTCAAGTAGTGAATCTTTTAACTTGAATTCCTGGGAGTGCCCAAAAGCTTGACTTTTATTCTTTCGCGAAAAGCAGTGCTCAAAGCAATAAAAAGTCCCACTTTTTCGATTCCATGACATCTCGCCAGTGGATGTACGACGTGCTCTCGACCGGGAGTCTGTCATTCTGAGCCCACACCTCGACTAGGAGGACAGCTGCACGTCCTATGTTGCCAATTTTAGCCGAGTCGCCCAGTCGAGCCAAGCGGTCCTCAAAGAAAGGTCGGAATGGGCTATCAGGAACGCTGATGGAGCCGCCAATGAGATAGACCCAAGTAAGGTTGCGGTCAAATCCATGAGGGCCCGAGGGAATACGCTGAAGCACCGTAGTCAGCTTTTTGACCAAGTCTATGTGGCATGGCTCTCTGGGGTTGAACCCAGGAACCAGGCTGTAGAGAAAGACACGTGCAGCAATACGGAAGGCTATGGTTATGTTCTTGGTAAGCTGCTCAGGTATAAGGCCATCATTAGCATCAAAGGGCATTTTGGAGCCTGCATCACTCATCTCGGTCAATTTAATCTGTTCTTCAAGGGCAAGGACATGCTGGCAGAGCGCGAAGTCCATCATGCCAACCTTCTTGAAAGACTCGAGACAGGCGATCTCGGAAATGATATGCATGACCCGATCATCACAGCCCATCAGCTCGCGCAGGCCGAGACTAGGGTTGAGCGGAGAAAGAATCTTCTCACGGTAAGTGGAAGCAAATTTTGGTGAGCGACCCTTCATGGTGGCACCGAGAATGTCAATCCATGACGAGAGTGACATGATGAAAGGAGTTTGCATCGATACCTTGGCAGGATCAGAGACGATGCTGGGAAGTTTAAGCTTCTGTACTAAACTCATCGCGGCTTGAAAATGCAGGTCCCAAGAGGCATCGGGAAGGTCATCGTCATAGTGGCCAACGATAGACTGGGAGAAGGTGAGGCCGAGTGTTGTCTCCAGAGTTTGTTGGTGTTTCTCATCCTTCTTGAGAGCGCGAAGAGCTTCGATGCTGGCATAGCGATGTCGCATGATTTCTTTGTCGATCTCTTCGGTAGAGTTTGAGCCATTGGTATGTGACTTGAGGCTCTGGGCAGCGACGCAGAGGCAGCAGTGGAGAAAGGCACCGTTTGATTCAAGGCTAGGGAGGATCAGCTCCGAGCTGGCTTGGCGGCGTCGGTTGAAGTCGAGGATAGGAAAGATCGTTGGCAGAATGAATTTGATGAAGCGTTCTTGTAGACTTTGGTCTTTTCCATCTGGCTCGAGCGAAGATTCTTGGTTGAGAGGGGCAGGGGTCATATCGACACTGGTCTGCAAACCTAAGCGTCGATGATTGATTTGAAAAGGGCTGGGGAAGCACGATATCTATCTCGAAGATCAAAGGCTTGGATTTACGATAGAGACAAAACGGTACACCACAGGCAAGAAGTCCGACAGAGGAAATTGAGAAAAGGCGGCTACAAATACTTGCACAATTTTGCTTTGCCATGTCTACATACTAGTCCAAGCTCCGAACCATTGTCTTTGCAATATGCTTGACAGTCTTGAACGGGCGCTAGACTTTCGGACGGACAGAAACCTCAGTAGATCGAGTCCAATAGCTTGCGGGCATCTGCTACGTCAAGATAGAGACCCCTGCGTCCTGTGTGTGTTGAACGGGCTGACGAGAAACAGGCAAATTATCGCAACTAAAACCCATACCCGCCTTTCGTCGTAGTCCAAAGATGTGGAGGGGAGTGTGGGGAGAGCCTCCATCAGATGTAGAATGGACTATCATCTGGAACACTGGGAGAAACGGCTGGAGGTGCCAACTCTATTAGCTAGCTTAGCCGTTTCATACCCAGTCTCTCGCGATCGGTGTGCCTCTACTCTTCTCCTGGTAAACACCATGTATGAAGGTCCAGTACACAGGCTAACCCCTTCGGACGAAGTGTAAACGTACGATACTTCAAAGAAAGGGCTTATCATCCCAAAGCAGAAAGTTGTGTGCGGGGTCTCTACGGTGGTGTCATGAACAAACCGGATTCCACACACTACAACATTCTAGCTAGTGTAGTGTCTGGGCAAAGATGTATGCTTATCATGCACGTCACAAGCAGGCAATGAGGGCGTGGGTCACTCGCAGATCGACCAACTTTCAGCAAGCTCAGCATGAGAAGACAGATACAAGCTCTGTGAGAGCTTCGCCATTTTGGCGCGTCATCTTAATCATCACTGTCTGCACGTACTACACCAGGACATGTTTCATAGATCCAGGTGTCGCCGCAGAAGCGCACTGAGCGAAACTTATCGGTACAGTGGTCAGAGAACAAGGTGATGTACGGTGGCTTGGAATATACTCTCGAGCCAACTGCTTCGTGCACGTATCAGAGAAATAGACGTGCGAATCACTACTTGTTGTAACTATGGCAAGAAGTACCAGAAGATCGACTTGCTTGTTGCGGACCAGCCATCGACCAATCGGACTCTGTACCTAAGCTTGCTTGAAGAGTTCGTCAACAGGGACCCATGTCGAACGAACAAGAACAACAAAGTTTCAATCCACACTTTCATTTTAGACTTCGTCTATCCTTGCTGGGCTCTTGAATCCCTGTAACCACGCCGAGCTCCTCGCGCGATTTGACATTCCGTGAAATGATTGAATCATGCATTGTAATAGAAAGGGTCGCTTTGATCAGACACTCAAGTGCCTCGCATAAACGCGGGTTTCCTATCGGAGTAACTACTGTAGGGAGGGCCCATTGCCACGCGGAAAGTCGTGCCGATCCTAAAAATCCTCGAACCTACTACCTAGGCCACAGAGACCTCCAAAGGCTGGCCCTTTGCAAGACAACCTGTCGTACCTGTCTGATGTCTTGGTAAAGAGGACAATGTAGTTGAGACTGACCGTCCCTCCTTACTAAAGCCATGCTCAATAAGTGGAGGCCCGAAAAAACCTCAGGAAAGAAGACACGCCTTAGCCTATGTAATGTCGGCCGCCCGCCGCCAAGTCGACGCTTGATGCGACATCCTGGCGTGGTACAATCTCTAGCGCTATTTCCCTTCCACATAACTAATATCCAGGTAGCGAATTTTATGCACACGCTCGACATTCTTCCGTGCAAGCGCGGTGGTACGTTAAGCACAGACTCAGTAGGCGAAGCAATCCACTATTTTAAGACGACGATGGTAAACTTTACCCTTGTTTCAAAACTTTCCGCAGCCACCTTTAAGTGCTCCACCCAAGCTTGGAAGATCGGAAGCACGAAGCCGAGGCGCATGACCTTCTCACCTGCATGATGCCGCTCGCATCGTCCCTGCATAACTATTAGAACCCTGCTCAGCTCACTAGTGGTATCTCATTTTCCTTTTTAGGATACAAAAGCGGATCTACGAGAAACTCACCCAGTTTCAAATCAATTTACGTCTAGACTAAGCACTTTGATACCACCCGCAGAAACCACTGGCTTCCCTTCTCAAGTCTTGACCTCTTTTCGTTCTTTTCGTCTTGGCACATCTCAAGACAAGCCAGCAAAACAAGCATTGTCCAGGAAAGCAAAATATCCACGATTGTTCCTATCTCGCTGTAAATCGTCGTCAATAGCTTTGATCCGTCTACTACGGGAGTTTTGCTCGTAGGTTGTGGGGCATATGACGCAACCGACGTACTACAACAGCCGCCGAGGCCAAGACCTAGTCAACACGCTTAGCTCAAATGGTCGTCCTTTGAGTGTGGCGATAGAAAGATAGAAAGCACAAGTGATAAGTCAAGGCAAGGCTAGCCTCCAAGTCGATAATCTTCTGCGATGTTTGAGACACGCGGAGAATATGAAGATCAAACGTCATAGGCGCGACACATGGCGCGTGGTGCCCATCAAATCGTCGCACCATATCAGCAATCGGCCTTTCAAGACTTGTCACTCTTGTGTGCGACAGCATGCATAAGAACTTTGCCATCGCTAGGTGTCAAAGTTTTGAACTCATAATTACTACCTTGATGCGTGTTTCCGCGTCTTTTCCATTTGCCTGTTGCTCCAGATACCAGATTTTGGCCGGTTGTGCTGCTTGAAAGCTATACTTAAGATTGGTTAAAAGCAGCAATTGGACGCTTTGCTGGATTAAGCGTCAGCTACACTTTGATAAGAGCAACCTGTTTGTAAAACTTCCCACATTGGTCTTAGACATTCAAACTGCTTATTTCACTATCAAAGATGAGGGAAACATGCTTGGCGGTGCGAAAATATCGGCAACTAGATCAACAAAAGCTCCCATCTTTCTCTTGTCATAACGTCGCGCCAGGAGAAATATTGGCACTCCGCCTTATCATTCTCGGCCCATACCTCGGACAAGAGAATGCGGAGTCGCTCCATTTTGCCAAATCTACCTATAAGGCGTAGAGCGGATATTCGGCCCTCGAGTAGAGACCGGAACGGGCTCTTGGCAATGGCGACTGAGCCACCAATGAGGTAGACCCATGTTATACTGTGATCGAACCCGTCGTTGCCCGTAGGAATGCGCTGAAGAACCGTCGTTAATCGATCGACCAGCTTCACAATATGGGATTGTGTGGGATGGAATCCTGGAAGCAGACTATAGAGGTAGATGCGTGCAGCGATGAGGAAAGCCATGGTTATGTTTTTGCGAAGTTGTGGAATCAAGATTTGGCATGTGGTTTCGAAGGGCATCTGCGCTTCGAAATTTTCACACTTAGACTTGCCGATGTGCTTGTCAAGTTCAGCAACCGACTCTAAGAGAGGGCCAAATTTCATGCCGCCGTTCTTCTGAAACTCCAGACGAGCGATACTAGAGATGAGGCACATGACCCTGTCGTCGCAGCCCATCAATTCGCATAGGCCAAGGCCCGGGCTAAGCTGGGAGATGCGTTTCTCCTCGTATATGTGGGCGTACTTTGGTGACCGGCCCTTGATTGTGGCACCCAGTATGTCAACCCATGCATAGATTGCTTTATGAAATGGGATCTGTGGGTAAACCATGGAAGATTCGAGTGGATTGGCGCCTGGACTTAGCCTCCGTAGCAATTGAGTGGCGGCTTCGAAATGTAGGTCCCATGAAAAGCCCAGTAGATTGTCGCATGTGCCGACAGCGGTTTCTAGAGAGATGATCCCTAGTGTCGCTTCAAGAATTTGCTGTTGGCTCTCGTTTTCTTTAAATGCGTTATTGAGTGCTGTAGCTGCGCCGCAACGATGTCTCGTGATTTCGTCGTCCCAAATGCCAATGGGAGCATGACCGCATGACGATTTAAGGTGCTGAGCGGCCACAACCAAACAGCTATGTAGGTAAGCTCTGTTTGAGTAGAAAGCTGATGAGTCCAGATCAAACTTGAATGAATTATCCTTATCGTGTTTGAGAAGCGGGAAAATGTTTGGCTGGACACATGCCTGGAAATGGCTTTCAAGGAGTTCGTATGCCCTGCTCGGGTCGAACTGCACCTGTGCCATCATCGGCGTGCTATCAAACGAGACTCTGTTCAAGCTGGCGACTGACTGATAATTTCTTGCCCCCTCTGTGGAAGTATTTGAATCCCATACGTCGTTGATTTCACCCTCGAGTGGACAGCTCCCAATCGTAAGGATATAATAACCCTGGAAGATGGAAATGTGCGATTCCCAGAGTGTAGGCGCGTTACCAGTATCGAAATCGGCCTGGGTTTGGACTCCGAAGCCGATATTGCAAGGTAAGTAGCTGTTGGGTATGGCTTGGAGGTAACTAGTCACGCTGAAGCCACTCGTATTCATCAGTTTGAGCAGGTTGTCATACCGGCAAGGGCCTAGGCGTGGTGGTTGTTAGCCGCGCACTACCATGCTTTGGAGTCCTTTTTCCAGGCCTTTCCTTCTCACATCGCCGGAATACCAATTACGACGTACCTATTTCTCAGCGAATGGGGTTGAGATTGCCTGTGATTGAACACTCAATGGCTTCGAAGGCCCAAGGGACTGTACACTATGTTGTGGTGACGATGGTTTGAGATACTCGGAATGATTCTTGTATTATCTAAAAGGCGTCGAGTTATTCCAGGCCAGGACATCGTTATAAGCAACATGAAAGGTCCACCCTTTGATCGCAACCGGTGTCTCTAGATAAGGTGAAGTGGGAAATCAGCCAGACTAGTAGTTGCTGGATAGAAACGGTTTTATAGCTGGCCACGAGTCATTCATAGCTCCTTATCCATAGACATGCTACTCGCTCAACCCTGGGCGATTTCAATTGACCGTGCGATGGTGTGAGTTCCGATGGCTGCATCTAGAAAACATGCAAGAGTGGATCGGTAAGTATGACTTCTTCATGAGCGGAGAGGATCGCCAGAATTCTTCCCGGTAATTGTACAAGAAAAGTGCTATCGGTGTATCGGAGTCTTGAGTAGTTCAAAATAGTGAAATCTTACCCAGTGGTATGTATAGCCGCCCTCGTAAGGATGCAGAAGAGTAGCCACATCATTTTAACAGAAGGCAAGGTGCATGACACTCATCGGAACCCCTCGGTTCTCTTGACCCGGAACCCGGCACGATTGGTTTGTTTAAATTGGAGTTTGAGCTTGTCACGATGGTTTGTTGCGTTGACTCGGTTCCTAGCCCGGTCAAATCAACCTCTTGCCTTTATAAGTACACTGTGGAACCTGTTGGCCCTAAATTCCAAGGATACGTGGTTCGACCTGAGAGCCGAAGCAATCCCTCCGATTTCAGCGTCAAGAGCAGAGAAACTCGTTAGCAACAGTGGATCACAGACCAGATGAGGCGTCTCTAAACTCTCTGATGATCACGGGTCATACGATCATTCGGTCATCCGAGGCTGTGAGCGATGAGTTCCGCAGAGTCACCTAGCGACCGTACCAGTCGAAATGGATTGACGGACGCACATGAAGCATTCCTAGCTCATCGTCCTTGGCTCGATCAACGGCTATCGAATGGGTCAAACTATTTAGGGCAGAGGAGAGGAAGGAGAAGGTTTGTGCTGCGGTGATACTTTGCCTTACTAGTACGACTGAATACATCACATGAGATATCGGGAAGAGGCTGCTTCAACATCCGTGTACTCGGAAGTTTCCGAGCTGCTGGAATCTGGTTCCGCGACGGTAGCCGATGGTCTGCTCGACAGCAAGACTGGGATTCTATGGGCACATGACGATGACGACTGAGACGAAAGTCCATCGCCTTATGTTTGAAGCCATTGCTCTATTTTGTTGAAGTTTGATTTGAGGGTTCGTTGAAGCACTATATCCATGGTGGAATGCTGCGCGTATGTTTGGTATACTAAAGAAAACCAAGAGGTAGTGCGGATTATATTGGCACTCCTCACCATTGTGACAAATCACAGCTAGATTTACACAAAGAGTCAATCCCTAAGCGCATTCCTCCGAATTAACCGACACGAAACTCTGGTTCATCCAACAATGCGAGCTACATCATTGCGAGTAGCTTGGTCGCTAGAAGTAAGTACCATAAGCCGTGCCTATTAGTGTGTGATTTGGGCAAGTGCGGGTGTTTCAAACTGAGTTGGTTCCGAGCTTGGTGTAACCCCGCTCATAATCATATTGGAGCTTGATAGGAGTGTGGCAGCTGAAACTGTCGAGGGTCTCATGACCAGGAATCCGTATTATCATAGCCATAGATGGCCGAGGAAATACTCCTCCCGACACGGGTGATGAATCGTATCATCGAGGCATTAGCGTACAAGATGATAGCGACACGGCTAGAAGATGGGTGGCTACACAGAAACTAGATCACGTAATGGTACGTATACATTGGCGAGGGGGGGGAAGTGAATATAAAATGGGCAGGTGGCCCTTGGTCGTGTGATGGACGTACTTTTGGGGTCTTCACATTATTCTTTATACCTTTACTCCATTCTCGTTGAAGTCAAGAGTCAATAGTTACTCCTGACAATTCCATCGTGGACTGGAGCATATCGTTCAGTTCCGTCTCCGAGTAAGTCGGCTGCCACGAGCGAATCGAAGTGTCATTATGCTAAAAGAGGCAGGCCATCATTCTCCTACGGCGTTCCGAAATCCCTTTTGACGTACGTCGTTTCTCTATTTTCTGCACGCTTTCCCTCGCCGAGAAAGTTGCTTGAAGCTAAAGTGGTCCAGTAACAATCAGAAATGGAGTTCTCTGATGCGGAGCCGCAGCTGCAGTTCGTGATACCTCCTAGAGGAGGACTTGGGCTGGTACGCACTCCCGGTGCTAGCACTTCGCAGACTTATGATCCCTTCTACGCGAGAAATTGTACCTGTAGTGCTAGGCGGCTTGACCTGAAGGAACTCGCTCAAAATATTATCGGTAAATATTTACAAGATATGGAGGTATACTACCATGTTGGGAAAGAAAGGAGGACAACTCGTTTTTTTGACGATGAGGAAGTGGTAGCGTCGCATACTTGGTGTATTCGCATTTGGACTCGGAGACATCTTGATCCAGCGCCATTTGACTCTGACCAATTTGAAGAAGGCATTTCAAAGATCTTCAAAACCATGGTGGAGGAGAAGGAAATGGGGAATAAGTAGGAGTTAACCGAAAGCTGTCATGAGGGGGTTGAGGGGTTGAACTCTACCAGTCCTGTACATGAAAGTGAAAATCTCATGTCAGAAGGGGGTGACGAGCAGACTATTGTAAGAAGCCTTAAGCCCTCGGTTTAGGGTCTACTGCCCCCACGGACATCGAAAATCTACTGTTGGATCCCTGAGAGCCGGATGTCAAGGACAATATCTACCATTCAACCATGTACTCAAGATAGAAGAATAGATGATATCGAAATTGGAGGACTATCTTGTGCTCAGGATATGGTATTCAAGTAGGACACAGCATTTCATTCGCGAAATTTGATCAACATCTGTGGATCGCATCACTTTATACTGATAATGTTACCCTCATGTTTAATCCCCAAGCTTGTGACAATCTTCCACAAATATTCTTCAGATCATGATTTCTTAACATCAGCCTCGTGTTTAACTATGCCTCACTTTTGCCTCATAATCTCCTGATAGATCAGCTGCTTCAGCTGCTCCTTGCTCAGGCTCTCCTTGTGCTTGCCAAAGTCAAAAAACTCCTCGGGGATCGGGGGCGCAATTGGCTCGTCCTCCGGATCGTGGTAAGGCTCCAGGTATGGGTGCTTCAGAGCCTCCTCCACGGTAATGCGCTTAACGGGGTTGAATGCGAGGAGCTTCTCGAGCAGGTCGAGGGCCAGATCCGAGGTCTTGGGAAATAGAGTTCGGAAGGGAACCTTTTTCTTCAAGGGAAGCGATCGAATGTATTCTCGAGCGCGGCGCGACTTGATTCCGTAGTAGTCTTCCATAGTGGGCGTGCCCAGCACGTCCAGAATGAGTGTCAAYTGGTKGTGGTCTAGCGGYCAWATGGTCAGCAMAGRGCTCTRYCGTCTCAGGYATTTCAGYAATCACTKACAGTCCTTGCCAGGGAATAGGGGCTTGCCGCTTAGCATCTCGGCGAGAATGCAGCCGACCGACCACACATCAATAGCCTTGGTGTACTCCTTGAAAGTCAACATGATCTCGGGCGCACGGTACCATCGAGTCGCGACATATTCAGTCATGAAACCGGAGTTGTCCTCCTGCGAAGCAGCGGATCGCGCAAGACCAAAATCGCAGACCTTGAGATCACAGTTAGCGTTGAGGAGGAGGTTGGAGGGCTTCAAGTCTCGGTGCAGCACGTTGGCTGAGTGCATGGCCTTGAGGGCGCGGAGGGTCTGGTAGATGAAGTACTGGCAGTGGTCGTCAGAAAGGTCTTGGGTACGGATGACTCGGTGCATGTCCGTCTCCATCAGCTCCTGTATCGTTGGTTAGTCTACTGTTAATGTTGCCATAGTGGCAGAGCGCTGGCTAGCTGGCCAGTAGTTCAAACCTGGATTATGTAGACTTCGTTGAATGATTCATAATCTCGGGGCTTCTGAATGTCGAGAATGGAGATGATGTTTTCGTGGTTGAAGTACTGCAATAGCTTCATCTCTCGTAGAGTTCTTAGACAGAACATGGAGTGGTCGAAAGGAGTGATCTTCTTGATGGCAACCTTTTGGCTTGAGGGCTTGTGAATGGCAGAGCTGGAGGGCGTTAAAACCCAATGCATGGCGTATGTCGTAGATCGTACAAGAATCTTGCGACAAAAAAAACATTACATACCAGACTACACCATAAGCACCCTCGCCGACAACATCTTGGACATTATACTGCTCGCTCACATTGAACGAAATCTTGCGAGATCCTGAAGCGTTAGGGGGATTCGGTCGAGGCATGGTCGTGGTGAAAAGCAGGGGAAGAAAAGGTAACTGGACCGACCAGGGAGGTGGGAGTGGTATCCGATATTGGATTGCGCAGGCGAGTTGGTCAAAGGAGATTGTTGAAAGAACAGAGTGGGAGCTTGATACATGGGATAGCCAGTACAGAGACCAACCAGCGATTCGATGAGCTGCAAATGCGTTCGTGTAAGAGTTGAAGTTAATTGACCAATGACTAGAACTACAGGATTGTGAATCCCTCAAAGGCTTGCGGAGAAGGTGAAACACACTGGCTTGCCTGGCCCTGAGACATGTGCGGCTAGCATTTCGCTTCCAGCTCTTTGAATGAACCATGTCTATGATGCCTATTACGATGGTTTCCTCGTTTCACGCCCGCCTTTGACACACAGAGCCCACCAAACCCCTGCTGATAGCTAACACGTGATGACATGCAGCTGCGAAGATCGATCAGGGATCGGCGCCAAGATGATCTACTATTACGCCTTTGTTTCGTCAGTTCTCTTAGCCTGGCGTGTATGGGATCGCGCAGCGTACGAAACTCTATTTATGTGCGTCTCTTTGGACTGACATCTGTTTGGGCGAGACGCAGTCTAGACGCCACTTGTTTTTTCTAAATGAGAAGGAACACTATCAGTTTGCTGCGGATTATGATGCAGTGCTTGATCTGGACGAAAGTTGACTAGAGGTTAAGCGAGGTCCTCTTAGATCCGCTCGAGTATCTCAAAAAGGAAAGTGAGATATCAGTGGTGGGCTAGACAGGGATCTATCATGCAGGGACGATGCGAGTGGTTGCATGTTGAAGGCGCAGGGATGAGGAGGTGGCAAGGTTATGAGCCTCGGCTTCGTCTTTATGCCTGGCTAGAACGCCTTGAAGTTTGGCTGCAGAAGTTTTGAGACAACGAAAAAGTCTCATTTACTACCAGGTGATGGTCTTGAATAAGTGGATTGCTTCGGCTATTAAGCTTGTGCTGGAGCTTGGCAGTGACACACGCGTCCCTCGCTAAACGGACCACAGCACTTGCGCACCGAAAGACGTTGAACTGCGCATGAGATTAGCTACTTAGATGGCGGGCGGCCGACGACACCAAAGGCTACAGCGATGTCTTCTTTAGCCTATAAGGACTTTTAAAAAGACCTTGGTAGCGGCTTGTTTGTCAATAAGTTCAGGGCTGTAATCCATGCCAGGTCGCCCCATCAAGCCAGCGGGAGAATATGACCAGTCTTGATTCTCTCCCAAGCGCTTCACTTTCCTCTTAGGTGATCGCCTCGACAGTCCTTTATGGCGGCGAGCGATTTGGGCAATGGGGCAATCGCGTTTTTCCCGAGTTATTCATGTTGTCCTTCTTTCACATCCCAAGCTTCTATTGGGCTATCAAGTATCTAGAACGGCTTCGGTAGGAAGGGAGGCCCAGGATCAACAGCATAGTCGTCTCTACTTAGACTTTGGACTAGTACGACTGATCATCGCAAACGGCCAGCCCTTGGACGTCTCTGTGATCTCGGCAATGATTTCAACGCCTGTAAGGATCGGCTTGACTTTCCATGTGGCAACGGACCCTTTCAAGGATAATTGCCCGGATAGGAAACCCGTGTTCACGCAAGACACTTGAGTTTACGGTCAATGTAACGCTCTCTATTACAAGGTATGATTCACACATTTCACAAAAGGTCAAATCGTACAAAGAGCCCGGCAGGACTGCAGGAATGTATGAGCCCCAGCACGGATGGGACGATCTCTAATATGGAAATGTGGATCGAACACGACCAGGATCACACGCAAGATAGTTAGTCTTGACATGGGGCCTTGCAAACAGTTGAAGCGAATACCAAATCCGATAGGTCAATCGCTGGCCCGCGATAGGTTGATCGAGCATGCAGGACCTGTAGGTACGTTTTTTCTTACCGTTTTGCCCGTATCGTAAACACAATACGCAGTGATCGGCACACCTGTTCCTCTGATAAGTGCGCCAACTCGTTGGCTCAAGCCTAGAGGTACGCGAGACGCTTCTCTTGCGGCAGGTCCGCAGGCGACGGGTCACCATATCCTATCTTCAATATCTACAGTATGTATCAGGCCAGGGTCCATAAGCCCTTGACAGCGTGCGACAGTAAATGAGTTGGACAATCGTCAGAGCTTTATCTGAAAACGACTTCCATTATTGACCAATCCGAAAAGCACTGCAGCAGGTACAGGAGCATAATGTATACGTATCGCCAGTCAAGTCTTGATTTAATTCTCACGACGTACCAAAAATCTCTGGACGACATCATCAGCCCATCCTGATAAGCTCCAACAGGGGATATAAGGAGCCGCGCCCGCTGTCTTGACGCCGACATTCGAGCGATTTAGCGAGCTACTGGCTGAGGGACTCTGTGTTAGTATCGACACAGCCTTAGCGTCCCTGCCGCTGTAGATTACCTTGCACCTTGTCACTGTCTTTCAATGCCCGGCTCGCTAGAAGTTGGTTGATCTGCGGGTAGCCCGAGTCCTCATTGCCTGCTTGTGACGGGCATGATAAGCATGTGAATCAAGAAACTGGACCCAAGAACACAGCACAGCACACCATCCGATCGATTAACACTACTCGTTACCTCTTTCAGCTGAGGAACCCCGCACACAACTTTCCGTTTTAGGATGGATAAGCCCCTTGTTGGAAGTATCGTGCCATCTACACTTCGTATGGAGGGGTAGAGGGGCTATCCTACTGTACTGAACCCGGAAGCGCAGCCAGGCTTTGTTGCACTGTGCCTTACACGCCTTTTACCACAAGGGGAATAGAAACACACGGATCGCGGGGTATTCTAAAATGGACGCCAAACGCACTAGCCATGAAACAGTCAAAGCTAATTCATAGAGTTAGCACCGCCAGCCACACCTACCTAGTTTCGCCCTTGATGACCCATGATTCGTCGGCATGTTACATTTCGGCAAAGGCTTTCCTCACTGCTCGACCCCCCATACGCCCCTCCACGTCTTTGGACGATGACGAGAGGGAAAGACGAGTTATACTTCAAAGAACTGCTAGCCATTTTGAGATATGCAGGGCGCAGGGGCCTCTGCGATCTGAAACATTCACTTTACATGACTATTGGATTCAATTTACGGAGACTTCTGTTTGTCCGCAAGTCCGGCGCTACTTCGAGACTGCCAAGCTTGCTATGTGTTTTTTGTGAGGATGGTCTGTAGTGGGGTATGATTAAGAAGTGTTTTCATGGTGATTAGCGACGAATAATAGAGTAACATATAAGACAGTCGTTTGGAGCTTCGAACAGTATGCAGAGCGATGCAAATCACAAAAACAAAGCTCTACAAGTACTTGTAGCCGACCTTCTCGATTTCTCCTTTCGAAACTCTTACTCTACCATCAGAATCTCTTGACAACGCTGCTTTAGCTGTACTGTCTTACCTGGATCATAACTCAAAATCTTAATCTCCAAAGAAGACATCTTGCTATTCCAGCTCGCCATATAAGTGATCATCGACGCCTTGAGTCACAGAACTGTGTCGATATGACTGCACCCACTGCACCTGCCGCTCCAAACTTTGAAGATCAGATTCAGCTAGATGAGAAGGATCAGGGCCTGCTGGATCACTTCATTCAAACTGCTCTACCAACCATCTTCCGCATCATTGAGTCCGATCGGCACCGCTCAGAGTGCACCGATCTAATTCTCGCTGCTCTCCGATCCAATAGCACCTACCTTCACTGCTGCCTCGGCGTCGCTGCCCGACACCTCAAATCACATACCAATAGCTCGGCCCTTACTGAGGACATTGACCATGACATCAAGCGTCATCTCTATGCTACCGTCTTGGGTTTTTGCAACGCTCTGAAGAAGGATGAGAACCACCAGCAAATTCTCGAGGCAACCCTGGGCCACATCTTCTTCCAGTCTGTCGTTAGCCGCCATGACGATGGCTTCCTCGACCCTTCTTGGGACCAGCACTTCCAGTCTGTTGTCAGCTTGGTACAAAAGCTTGACCTCCATAATCTTGTCTCTGGTCCTGACAGGGCCTCGACGCAAACTCTCTTCAACATATCTCTCTGCTCATGGGTTGACATTCTTGGTGCTACTATGAAGGGTCGAGCACCCGAATTTTGCCACACTTACCGTAAAAAGAGAGACTCCCTGATGAACCCCAGCCCTGGCCTACGTGAGTACCTCATTGTTGGGGTCACTTGCCTCGAACCTTCCAAGAATGACGGCATGGACAACCTCACACTATGCCAGCTCGTATCTGCCCTTGATGAGATCTTCAACCCCAGCCACAGCCCTAGCCCTGGTCTGCGTGAGCTTATGGGTTGTGATGACGGGGTAATGTACCTCATTTCTGAGATTGCTTGCCTCGAGTCACTCAAGAATGACGGCATGACCAACTTCACACTTGGTCAACACGTTTCTGTCCTTAATAAGACCTTTTTGACCAAGATGAAAGAAATTGGCTCCAAAATGCCCATCACTGCTGATGGCAGCCTTTCACCTAAGCAGCTCTCCGACGGCATAACCTTGGCTTTCTGTATTGCTGCTCGCATATTCCTTCAAGTTCTCCTCCCTGGATTCAACCCCAGACAGGTTACCTGTACGGACCTGGTTGAGGAGCTTACAGCAGTCCTTCGACACATCCCCTCGGGCCCCAATGGATTTGACCGCAACGTTGCTTGGGTCTACCTCATTGGCGGCTCCGTCAGCGTTCCTAGTAGCACGTTCCGAGCCTTCTTCGAGTATCGTCTGGCTCAACTGGGCGACTCGGCTAGATCTGGCACCATGGAACGTCTAGCCACTGTCTTGCACGAGGTGTGGATTCAGAACGATAATCTCTCGGACGTCAGCACATCCGGGTCCACGACGTCTGAGGCAGGTCAGCCCTATATTCACTGGCGAAAAGTCATGGAATTGAAGGGTTGGAACTTCCTGATTTTCTGAACACCATCGATCACGGGAGAATGTAAGTTAAGCTTTTGAGCCCTGATAGGAATTCGCGTAATAACATTCGCTATTCTACTAAAGAGTGTACGTTTATTGGAGAAGTACCTGATGTGCACCGCGGTGATTTCTCTGGCTTTGAGGTGTCTGTGTCTTTCAATAAAGAATACTTTGTCTCACCGACAGCATGTAGGGGGAGGGAGGAGAGCAGGCTAGCAGGATAGCTTCCTGATAGTCAATCAAGTTGCCACGGATCTTAGGATGACTTTGAAAACGTTATCAAAACTTACATAACGACCTAAGATAACCTTTAGCACAACTTTGATCATGACGCTCGCTTGGCAGTCAATTGTAGATAGTCTTTATATAGCCTTGATACAGTGATGTATGATGTTTAGACGATTTGTGTGTCCGTACCATTGGCGTCTTTACTTAGATATCAGGAAATAAAAGTATGAGACAGATTCAAGTCTCTGGAGGCAAGAATATCCCCCCAGCACAAGGTGCCGTGTCCTGTAGTAGTCGTTCTCAAGCACCAACAGCGTAGGTGATACTGACGAGGAGTTAAAAAGTCAGACATGACGTGTGTAAGTTGACTGTGCAACGCTACCGGTCCGAGGAGCTTGGTAGACACGAAACGGACCTCTTCAGAAACCACGGTAGATTTTGTTCAAGTAAAAACGAGTTGATTGTGTCGCCAGTTCCAAGTCACATACCTACTAACTTGATATATTCAGCAGGAAGAAGTTGGATTCCGATCCAAGAAACCACTTTACCTCTGCACTGATCTTAATTCAAGTATCAAGTGAAGTATTCCACCTAAGTCGATGCGATGTTAATCTGTTTTGTCCGCGGGGGCATTGGCCCCGAAAAGTCTCCTACTCGGGCACTTGACGTGCTGGGCTTAACTAACTACAATCGCTGCCGTACTGACTCTCGCTCAGATCATCTTTAAGGCCTTTTGCGTCGGAGCTGTATGCATGCTCGAGCTTTGTCTCCTCATCTCCCCAAAAGGCACCTCCCTAGCCGTAGCTCGCCCTATGGTAGCTGTCGGTGAAGTTACGTCCCATCGACATCAATACAGCTGCTGATCTTAGCTGAGCTTCCCTCCAGCAGCGTCTCCAATCTAGTTTATGCATCATACCATAGACACAAGGCGCATTACCCTAAGAACGCTAGTAGCTGTAGCTCTGGGACCGTGCATCCTTGGGAAAACCATTCGCAAAGCAAAAGCCCAAGGTGACTAGAATGCTACTCTAAGGACAAGGCAGCCGGCCCGTCTCACGATCTCCAGGTAAGCTCTGTACCTTTTCGACCCAGCGTTTGGCCTAGTGATCTCAGCCAGTGAGACAAAATGTCGAAGCATGGTAGTGTTCCATGCTGCAGCCGAGGCTGCAAAGAAAAAGGAGAGTCCCTGAGCAGTACGCGACTACAGAGATCGGTTGAGCAGCTCCCGCCTCTAGGCTAGGTGTCCATTCTGTTCCGTCCTACGCCGACCTTCCGTCCAAAAAGAAAGAAAAAGCTGCCGATCATGTTCTGTCCAGCATGTCGCATAACTTCACACTCTGCTTCCCATCTACTACGTCGGAACAGGAAGTGCTCCAGTGTCTCTGGTGCTTATTCAAATTAACACATATCCGACTCTGTCGCTCCAATCTTGATTAGGTAGCTGTTGATCCTCGTCATACCTGTACAGAGTCGTGAGAGCACGCCAGCTTCCTGGCTCTTGCAACAGTCGTATAGTGCTTGCGTGTGTTTGCCTGGCCGAGCTCAATCTATCCGCTTCGAGTAGCTGCCTACACTGTTAAGTAGTTTCCGCTGTTGATGTAGTTGTGCTGCTGTAAGCTTGAGCCGCGTAGAGCGGGTTTGGTACGATAGCGATAGAGGCGCGCATTCTACTCTAGTAGCCTTCTTAGCTTGTCCCTTAACTTCACGGCTGATGCTGAGGCCTTCATGTTGTCGAGATGGTGCCCAGATCATCTTGACCCTGTAGTTGTCCCTTTTTAATCGTTCGATGTGCTCGCAGATCTGTCGAATGATGGCCCGGCCGGACTGCTGTCGTGGTCGTACAATCGCCTTGAGTGACGACTGGCTATTCGATAACACCGTGAGCTCTCGATGTTGAAGACCATCTGGCATGCATAGCAATCCCGTCGTTTTCGCTTCCAGCTCGGCCGTGTACGAGTTCCGATCGTCTCGCGACCCGAGAGTGATTGAGTACCTGGCCACTGTCTTGTCTGCCTTTGGGCTACAATACCGCTCATACCTACTAGACCTCCTCCGTCAGAAGCGCTGGTCGCGATAACAATGCCGCTGGCGTTCCTCGCTGCTGCTGAGCCAGTTCAGTTCTCTCTTGCCTCGTGCATTTGACCACACGACCGAAGCGTAGTTTATCGCCAGAGCAAAAGTCGCCGGAAACAGCTGTCTGGCCGTAGGTGGGGATTCTATCCTCAGTATTTTCAGGCACATGGCCGCCGAGAGACCTCTGATGGCCGCTTCAGCTATGTGTTTCTTGAACACCAGTCCCGCGTCCATAATGATACCCAAGATCTCGGCCTTCTGCTTCGGTCTGATCACATCTCCCTTGATCGTGAACGGTATGCGGCTAGAACGGTCGACGACACGGGTAAAGTGCACGATGGTCGCCGTGCGGCTCGAGCAGAAGGCATCGATCCACTTGACTAGCCCCTTAGATATACCACGCGCCTCGAGTCTTTATAGCAACCTATCCTTGAACACCCCATTGAAGGCCCTTTGGGCGTCAAAGCTGACCATAATGACCACTTTGCAGTCGCGGGCCTTCGTCTTCTATGTCTGTCGGTAGCGGTGGGAAGAAGATTCTGAGCAGTTCCTCTGCCTGTTCGACGTTGTCCTGCGCCGTCCGTCAGCTCTTTTCAGCGGAGGCACGTTATCACCATTCGCCCCTAATCCAGATTTGAGGTACTTGGCGGCTTGCCAGATGTTGGTACCATCGACGAGGGAGTTGTCCCCGTGCATCTTCTTCTGTCTTTTGATCGCATCGTGATACTCTTGGGCTGTTTTTTTTTTTTTGGCGCGGTCTTCTAGACTGTTGATCCGCTAGCCAGCCCAATGCCGGGCCCTTGCCATATTCTCCAGAAGCTTTACGCCCTACGAAGCTTAGTGAGATCAGTCGACCACCATTTCTTTGCGTATGGTGATGGCTTCGCATGTACATGCCCAGGCTAGGCCTGGTCGTGGGCCAAGTCTGGCGAGACTTCATCCCAGTGAAATATCCGTACAAACCATCATGGATATGGCGGAGGAAGAATTTTTGACTCGGATGTTAACTAGTAGACTGGGCGCGAGATGAGTCCACTAGAAGAGTCAGTCTAATGACGTAGCATCCAAGTCTGTATCATTTCTCGCGGTAAAGAATTGCGTAAACTCAATAATGCAAAGCTTGAAGTCGAGGACTTTGGGCTGCTGAGCACACTATTTGTAAGGTCAGTATTACAAAAGAACCTTGAGCTTGACGTGAGACACGTGAATGTCACGGTTCCCTGCCACAACCACGATAGCATCTTTAGTAGTATTGGTGGCGCGATCAAGGGGGTCTTGCACTGTATCTAGACTATCGAGCATTGCCGAATATCTGCAGTGGTACAAGTTTCGGTAGATATCTCTATCGCATGCGGGAAGAAGGACGGTCGACTTTCATCGTAAGAGGGCTAGAAGCTATGGCCAAGCGCCTATTTGAGAATAGTGCCAAGTCCACGACATCAACTGGAGGCTTGTCATTCAAGACGTTAGCTTGCCTCTTGGTAGATCGATGCCTACCGGGAGACCAGGAATACTGCATGCCTCGCCTTTCGTTGTCGCCATTGGTCGTCATATGAGCTGTGTAATGGGCCTGAATATCCCAAGAACTCATCTCCGTCCTGGGCCGGGGCTTCGTTGCTCTGGCGAAGGAGAGTTGTCGTAAAATTGTGGGAGATTGGGAGGTCGTTATGCCGCACGAACTCTGGGCTTGATGCAAGTTATCGCCATCGTTAAGGGCAATGCCGGCGTGTGCAGGGGTTGTTACGATTCTGAGGATCAGGGATTCGGCTCTTGCTAAGACAAGCGTGCTGTCCGGTTTCGCTGGATGGTCGGGTCGTTCAAGAGAGGCTCCCCGCTAGGGGGCAGCAAATGGGAGACGCTGCTGTCTCGTAGTCTGGAGAGCTTCAGGTAGGCCAGCGTTGGCGGTCGAGCACCCTCGGACTCGGGAAGTGAAGATGCTGCTTTTGCCAGCTTATCGGCCTGTTCGTTGCCAGGAATATTGGTATGTCCTGGCACCTAATGGACCTGGACGGCTTCATGTGATGCCGCTAGGGCCTGGAACGCGAGAAAGACATCTTGAGAGGAGTCGGAAGGTGTGCCTCGTAGGCACTCTGAGGCCGCGAGGTTGTCTAGGCAGATTATGATGTCTTGTGTTGCTACATCTTGTGGATTAAGGCGCCTTCCAGTACTCCAGTAGCTTCGGCTTCAAAGACCTCTGCAGGTACACGGCGATCTGATCCACCGAGGACGAGGAAGCTGCCCTGGTGAATAGTGAAACCATAGTTGTCGACACCCTGAGAGGACAGAGAGGTATCTGAGTATACAACTAGAGTGAGCGGGTCGGGCGACCGCACCCAATGAGGAAAGCGTCGGCTGTTTCCTTCCTCGATGTTGTTTGCAATAGTGGTATCTCTTCCTGTTGGAAGCATTTCTGGAAGAGCCTAGGGCGGAGGCACGATGTAAGAAGCTCATCTGTACGTCGAAGACGTTTTCTAAAGCTGCTTTCTGCTTATGCTTGGTATTTTCATTTGATGAGATCGTGATAAGTGGGCTGACACGGCGCTACCATTCGCCTCGCAAGAGGATGGGCGTCGTCGAGCGATTTGAGCCGCGCCGAGAATCTCCATCGCCGTTTTCCCAAGAGTTGATCGACTGGTGATATCCCGCTCTCGCGGTAGAGGATAGTGACGGGCGTCGTTTTCCTGACGGGCAGTATAGCTCTCATGGACTGGTACAAAGTCTTGTTCATTCCTTGTATGAGATGACGGTTGTTCGACGGCGTGTCTCTGTTGGGCTGACTCCATCGCGGTCTGGTGGTGCCCGGGTATCAGGCTTCCGATCCATGCAGTAGTACGGGCTCGACACAAGCCATGGCGGCACTTCGCACGGCGCTCGGGAGAGGGCCGTGTATCGTGTTGATGAGACCCTTAGGTGATAGGCGACGGCGTGCACCTTGGCCGCCCACTTCTCGGCATGAAGGCGAAATGATAGCCCACTGTCAAGGCAGACGCTGAGCTAGCGTAGAGCTGATTTGGGGTGTCTCTATGTATCGCCGTGGCGTATGGCCGACACGGTCCTGAGTTTGCTGAGAGAGAAGTGCATGACTTTAGTCTTTTTCGGGTCGAACGAAATGCCATTTGCTGCACCCCATCGAACCATCCCATCGATGGAGCTGGAGGCCATGGCAGTGGTTTCATCTGTCGTGTCGCCTATAGAAAGGATAGCCGTGTCGTTCGCGTAGTCGGCGCAGCCCTGAGGGTTGCCTAGTCGGTAGATTGGCTCATGGTAGAGCAGGAAGAGGATGGGCGATACTGGTGAGCCCTGAGGCAGGCCACACTGGAGAGGAGCGAAGGGCGTGAGGGTATCTTGATACCTCACGCGGGCTGAACGATCCTTCATGAAGGACTCGGCCCATCTGGCGAGATGGTCGGGCCAGCCCTGTTCACGGAGACGCAATACTAGTCTGTTGCGCATGACGGTGTCAAAGGCGCCCTGGATATCCATCGTGACCAGGGTGGCCACCTTGCGTACGAATGCTTCTTCGATATCGTGGACCAAGGCGATCACCAGGTCTATTGTCAACCTCTTGGGCAGTGCTCCGGCCTGCTGCGAATGCAAGACATTATAGTAGATGGCGGCCCATGCTAGACCAGCCGCTCCAAGCCCTTGCTGAGGCAGGGGAGCAAGGAGATGGGTCGCTAAGCCCCTGGCATTGTGAGGTCTCGTCGTCCAGGCTTCGCGATCATGACCACCTCCACCTCCTTGAATGGTTTTGGGTGATGGCCTGTGATGAGGCATCTCTCGAATAGGCGACGTATGTGCGTCCCAACGACGTGCCACACGGCTCTGAGAAGGTCGTCAGTGATGTTGTCTGCCTCTGAGGACGTACTGCCTGTATGGATGGTCACATATTGGGCCTCGTCCAGGGAAACTTCTGGCAAGAATGTGATCGATCTAGGAGGGGAGACTGGTGTCCAGGAGCCTGCAATATCGTCATCTAACGTTTGACGTTCTAGTAATGCTTTTCGAAGTACGGTCGCCTTGTCCATCTAAGTTTCGTATACAGTGTCGTCAACCTGCAGGTGAGGCGATTGGAAGGGCCTTAGGGATCTCAGCCACCGGACGGCTCCGAAGAGAGCACTGCTGCTGGAGAAGCTGTCGATGAGTTCGCGCCAACACTTCCTCTTCGCTCGACGGACCACACGATAGAAGTCTCTCTTGGCCATCTGGACATCCAAATTGAAGCCGAGGGGGTAACTCCTTGGGATGACCCAGAATGAGGCCGCGGCGCAGGCGCACTCCTCTGTCCACCAGGGCGCTGGGTGGCCGCCTTCCTGTGAAGGTCGGCCAGCTGCCTTGGCTGCCGATGTCAGTAGATGTGTGAGTTAAGACGCAAGCTTGCCAAGCTCTGCAGGTGTCGAGTCTACGATCGGGATCTCTGCGGCTCCAAGTTATACGATCCGGACGAACCGTTTTAGCTCATCTTCTGTTGTCACTCGAATCTTGCCCGGCTGTATCGGAGCGGAGTTGATGTCGGGGATGGTCAAACTGAGTGTGAAGTGGTCAGAGGTGGCTGCTAAATGGTCCTCGACGGTAGCCTCAGCAAATGGCAAATTGGTAAAGGCGAGGCCAATTGTGTTGCCATGCGAATTTGTCGGGATATCGGGAGTATTGAGGAGATCGAGGTCGTTCTCTGACGCCCAGCCTGCGATTTCTTGGCCGCGTTCCGTAGTCTGGCCTGACTGCCAGCTTCGATGTCTGGCGTTGAAGTCGCCAGCGACGAGGCAGCGTTGCGGAACAGGCCATCGGAGAAGTGTGCCCAAGGCGTCTCGTCGTTCTGGATAGAAGTTGACTACCGTCAGGCCGTTGATTGTGATCCAGAGAATGTCGCGCGTCTCAAAGGGTAGGATCTGGTCGGCCAGGAGTCTTGGGTCTCGTCGGACGTATGTCATCACTCTGGGTCGAGTCTCGTTACTGTCCCATACATCGACGGGCGTGAATGTGTTGTATGCAGGATGCGTCTCGGCCAGACAGCGCGTTTTTGTATCGGCTGTTCACGGCTCCTGCAAGAGCACGATGCCATATCATTCCGAATCAGCAAGTGCCAGCGCGTAGTCGTGGGCCGGAGGGATCTTGCCGACGTTGGCCTGGAAGATCTTGAGCGGCTTCTTGTCGCTCTTTCGTGTCTGCTGTGAGTGTCGTCTATTCCAAGTCATGGGGACGAGTGATGAGACCTATTCGGCGCTTTCGCGGTGAGCCCGGCCTGGGATGCTCGGGCTCCTCCTCCATTGCATAATCCGCTCTAGGGGCGGTGGCCACCATGATGCACGAAGGTGCCCCTGACGCGGCCGTACTTGAGTCTCGAGCATTTGAGCGTTGGTCTGATGCGGCATCGTCCCTCGACATCTCGGTAGTGTCTTGTCGGATTTCCATGTGAGATTCTGGTTGTGAATCTAAGTGTCGTTGTCGGTACGTCTCCGCGCCCACTATCCGGACGTGTTCTCGTTGTTCTTTGCTGAGTCGGCGAAGGACGCCGCGCACTTTCTTCGGCCGAGCTGGACACCTACGAAGGCTACCATCATGGGGGCTTAAGCAGTTGACGCACTGTTCCTGTGCAGCACAGTCGTCTACAGAGTGGCTAATCTTGCCACGGCGTTGGCAGACTGGCTGTCTATGGCAGTTGCGGTCAAAGTGGTAGCCCCAGCGCGTTTCGCACCGCTTAGGTAGGCCGGTTTTATCTATCAGTCTGGCTGCCCGACTGTCGAAGAGGGACTAGAAACTCTTCTTGGTGGGCTTCAGGAAGGACACGAGTGGAGTCTTGGTCATGGAGTTATCCGAGAATTGTCTTCCAGGACGTATAGCAACGGGTTTGAGCCCTGTCTGGATTTCTATCTCATCACCGGCAACGCTGTCGCTGTCCACCTCATTACCTCGGAAGTCGGTCAGTCTTCCGGGAAAGTCTGAGACCACGTAAGTGTGCCATTTCTTGTTCGTTTCTACTGCCGCAGCTCCCAGCTCGGTCGCCCACTCGTCCCGCTTCTCTACGGGAAAATCGCGTGTTTCAGGGTAGGTAGTCAGGACTGCCCATCCCGATCTGACCTGGAATACCTGTCGGACCTTGTCCGACACAGTGCCAAGTTTCTCCCTGATCAGGGTCCGGTTGGCATAGCCCCTGTGGACCCTGACCGCAGCTTCGGCTTCTAGACGGACGAAGACGCGGAGGTCCTGTCGGGGTGGGACGATGGTGGCTTGTTGCCCGATTGTCGGTGCTGTTGCAGTTATTGAGCGGGGAGTAAAGTGGTGGCGACGCTGCTGCAGGTAGGCTTAGGAGCTTGTGCATCGCTGGAGAGCTCTCGCTTCCGAGCGAAGGACTGGAGGACGGGAGCGCGTTAACGGCAACAGTGCTCAGTGGACAAGTCGAAGGGCGTATCGCCAGGGGCTCGGCAGAGAGACTGGGCCCCTCGAGCAACTCCAGTATCACTATTAACCCACCAACTCAACATTCATTGCATGCTTTCGGGAAGAACTCACCTATGATGGCGCTGGGCTGGCAAATCCGTCGAGTTCCTATAGATCGACAACATCATCTTGTGACTGATTGAGGTGTCGAGAATTGGCTGAGGATCGGATGGAAGGTCAAGGTGGGCGGCAGTGGTGGCGGAAAGCAGGTCATGCGAGAATGAGACTAAGGCCATCCAATGAGCTGATGCAACGATTCTGCGGTGGCAGCGGAGCAGGGCGACGATACTTTGTGCAGTAGTACGGTCGAGTGGACAGCAAATCATCTCGTATGTGAGGGAGTGCTAGAAGGTCATGTTGAGCATTCGATGAGGATTGGCGTCGTGATGCCGTGGATGGTGGGACTGTAGGATGGAGGCGCAGCTTTGACGCTCCGCGATGGCAGACAATGGGGTCTAAAAGGGGAGATAGGTCAGCCTGAAACAGTACTAACCTAGACGTTTCATTACCGCAAGGAATCGACCAGTGACCGCACGTACTGACGTTTCGCGACGCGTTCTGTTGTTGTTGGCTTCTCGACCTTGCCGAGAAATCGCTAGCGCTCAGCTCAGTCACACACTCAGCCAGGACGAATGGCAAAGAGGGGCCGAAAGGCGCGCCGGTGTTGTGCTTTGTTCAAGATGGATGCTTGTAGGAGGAGAAGGTTTGCGGTTCAGCACAGCGGCAGTGAGCGCTTGCATTCTGGCAGGCTTTCTAGATGAACGATCAAGAGGAGTAATGGCCACGCCTCAGGCCGCGCCATCCATCTCTTCCGGCCCGGTGCAACGGCTGTCTGGGAGGCGCGGTCTCGATGGTGAAAGGAAAAGATTTGTTTCGCTTCTTAGGAGCTAGGTATGCGCATCGCCATGTCCACGATAAGGGCTCGTCCCAGAGAGAAGTTGCTCGTAGGAAGGAGGAAAGTCGCTGGGGTTTCGCTACGAGGTCTTATGGGAGGGAATTCGTCTGATGATGTTGCAATCGGTCATTAGGCAGACGATCGCGGGCAAGCTCGTGGCAGAAGGAATCGCGACGACAAAGGTTTCGATCGGGATATATGGATGTAGGCTCGGTTCAATGGCTGCTGAACATCCTCGAGCTAACCAGCTCGTATCGCCTCGTTCAGGATCGGCATCGTCGTCATTGAAAGCTATTCTTGCACAAGCTGAGAATGTCAGCGGTCGGTCCTTCCACACGCAATCTGCATCAGAAGATCGGGACAAATACCTACTACATAAATAAATGTGAAGCGTCATTGTTGATGGCCTGCAATGCTAGTGGCGAGGACTTGGTCGCCGCTGTTGTTGTTGCTTGCAGCGTGGCATGGTGGACATTTGACAACAATACCTACAGATCTAGACCGGAAACAGGCCACGTAATTATCAATCAACCAAAGATCAGGAACTGGGAAATTGAGATAACTTCGCATCGCCATGAAGGCAATAACATTGTGTAGGCCTCAATCTAGCGATCATAATGGTGTAGCTTTTATCACACATCATTCAGATTAATACTGCTATTGCTATACCTCAGAGCCGTCAGATCAGCACCCAAAGATGTTTAAGCTCCATTAGTTAGATCTAGATTTCCACAAACCACAATGGTATTCTTGGTCTGAGCATAATTATATATACATTAAAATGCCAACCAGGTCAAGAGAAACACTGTTGTACTATTCTTATTGTAATGCGACGTCATTTGGTGATATCGTTGTGAAGTCATCTCAATTTCACTGATTGCAAGTTGACTTTTATGCTGTAAAAAACTTTTTCTTGGCACCCGCCGTTAGCGCTCTGCTAGGGCTGTGGGGTTAGCGGGGCCCAACAGCTGCCAGAAGAAAGGGATTTGGAGAGTTGACCTTTCTTCGTGACAAGTGTCCCCGACGACGCTGAGCTTCGCAAGCTCTTGACATCGCCTTCGGGCACTATTTCCTATGTGATGCCTGCGGCTTCTTCATACCTCGACATCACAGCTTCGCGAGCCTTCGACATTCTGGGTTCTGCGCCCTCCTTCTGATTTTCCCGCACGACCGACACCTGCAGCCTCGTCTACCCAGGCGACATTCGCGGCATCCTGCTGGATGGCATGGAGGGTCAACGTACCCTCAATTCATTTCCGCCTGCAGCTTCGCGCTGCGTCCAATCGACCTTTGCAGCTTTGCCTGCCGAACAAGACCAGCTGCTTTCAGCCGCGCGACTTTCTGGGCCTTCAGTTGTCACCGACCTCGACGCACAGGCCTCCTCCAATGGCTCATTGCCCTTTTCGCAGCTCAGACGTTGCATGACCGACCTCTGCAGTCGTGTACTGCCCAGAGACCCTCTTTCTTTCTTTCTTTCGCAGCCTCGGCTGCCGCTCGGAACACGAACTGGCCTCGACGATTCGTCTCACTAGATGAGACCACTAGACATAAAACGCTGGGTTGAGATGGTACAGAGCTTACCTGGAGACCGCGGGAGGACACGGCCGTCTTTTCTCGCATAGCAGCGTTCTGGCCGCCTTGGGTTTTCTCCTGCGAGGGTTTTTTCCAAGGATGCGCGGTTCTAGGGTTACAGCTGCTGGCGATCTTGGGGATAGATCCCTGTTCTTCTATTGATACCGTGTCTGGGCACAGTTTTGGAAGGACCGATACACAAGTAGCCCTGTTGTCTATTTGTAAACCGGCAGGCAGGCACGTAACGTGATTGTGCTTTGCCCACGTGTAGTCATGAAACGCGCATTTCCCAAGGATGCATAACAAGTCCCACTCGGGCGCGATGATCAACTGCTGATGCCAGTCCACCGCCAAAACGCCGGCACACCTTCAGCGTCGACGCGTGGTCTTTGAACAAGTCCATAGCTATGAGCTATGAGCTATGTGCTATGTTCAGGATGCTCAGACCTTAGTTCTTCGTCACGCTTCGCTGGGTCAGTCGGTCGATCGATCGATGGAAACCATAACTTAGCGCTTCGCAATTACAGTGCGCGATCTGCCATATCTCTATCATTGCGATTTCGAGAAGCCCTGTGCATGAAGGCCGAACCCCGTGTGTCTTGCGAGAAACAATCAAGGGCGTGAAACACGCTCAGGTAATTGCAAAATGGGCATAGGTAGATGGCGGAAACCTGAGGCGCGTTTTCGAATCGCGTCTCCAATACAATCAAGATGCGCATCGCAGATGGCCTCGTATCCAAGCGTCGTATGATGCACATACACATGCACATGGCGCCATACACCATTTTCTTACAGTAGCCTCGGCACTGCCTGAATGTTGTGATGATTGCGCACAACTGATCACAAGGAAGGAATGACCAGCCAACACAATACCCGATTACCTTGCCACCACCATCATCACACTCATATCGGCATGGCATTTACATGTTATTACTGTAGTTGCATCATCAGTGATGCATGGTGGTTTGACTGTCCCAGTGTTGCACATAAATCCAGCCGGCATCTCAATGTGTTGTCTCAATATTTTTCTTTTGTTGCTTATTACCGCCGCGTCCGTCTATCCTTGTTTTGATGAGGTTACTCCGCATCGTCGTAGCGACTCATTTGCCAAAGGCTACTAATCGCAGTCAAGGGCTTTAGGGAATATGTCGCACTGACACTATACGCAGACTGATTTAAAAATCGATACGGTTAGCTAGACAGTGCTATGTACCTGAGTAGTGGATTCATCCAAAAATACTTTCCGACAATCTGAAATCGCCTCATTCTGGCGCGCCATACTCTATGTCTTGTGTACGACACTTTGTGTTGGGATCTGCACTACTGGACCTTTTGTAGTTTTGACAGGATTCTTTCTAGCGAGACGAATACTTCTTCTTACTGTCGACGCTATGTCTTGGGCTAATACTTCGTCTTGTCTTGAATCGATGGCCGGTAAAGGGGGACTTCCCCGATGTCTGAAGCTACGTTTATTCTGTAGTCTACCCGCCGAGGATTTTCGAGGCGCATTCCTCTTGCGGCGCCCTCTCGTTGCTTTTTTCGATTGCTGACCTTTGCATTCGGACGACGCTGAGCGCGGTCTCGTGCCGCTGCGAGCGTCCCTGTCGCCCAAATTCATAATGCGACGGCTTCTCCGAAGTGGTTGCTTCTCCGATATCAAAATTGACTGCCTGGTAGCTTCTGCATGGCATGACCGTGTGTTGCTCGATATCTGAGTATGTTTTGATAACCAATCTTGGCTCGCTGTCGCTGTTGCTTCGCGCCTCTGTGGTCTCAGCCGCGAGTCAGGCAGGCCATCGCACTTGGACTTTTTCGATACTCTTATACTATCCTCCGGTATATCGTATCGGTCGCGCTTTCTTTTCCCGTGTTCAGACGTTGTGTGGTTCGGTAGTGGGTTGTTAGAGGATCGACTCAGAGTCGGGTCTTCCGCTGCAAACTTAGGCGGTTCTGGAATCCAGTTATATATCTTGTCTGCAGCGGGAGCAAGCATTGTCGTAGCCGGCAATTTCCCTGCCTTTTCTTTCTCTTCGATCTGTCGAAGTCGTTGAGCGAAATGCTGTTGCTTCTTCTTCCACCATGAGATATCTGTCGGCATGACAGAAGCATGATCTTTCATGACCAGCGGCTCGGAGCCACGGTATTCTAATTCATCGTCGATGAGAAATTTTTGACCCTCAGGGCCAGCGCGAAAAAGGGCCGACATCTCAGAGGTGACAAGGAACTTGTATCGTGACAACCGCTTTTCTGGATCTCGCCAGACAGGATCAGACTCCGTGTCACTGTTAAATGGCCTGATGGACTTTACCGCATCAGAACCACATGACGATGACGACGATGATGACTCCATTTGAAAACTTCTTGAATTCATGTACAGACAGATAGGTTGTTGAATGAATATTTCGAAAATGTTAGTTGGAAAGCAAGTTGGCCGACTGTGGTGGGTTCGAACAGGTCACCCTCCCCCCGCGTCTTGCTGCCCCAGGCACCAATATCTTGTCGCGTCGCGAAAAGCTAACGGGAGCACCCTTGCAAATTGATTAGTTCTTAGCATGAGCGAGCCAGACCATAAGTGTAGGCCCCAAACGTTTCAGACCTGCCGAGCGCTAAAGCAGCATCTATAAGACTCATCTGGTCACCCCTCTCTCAGCCATCATGATCACGGTCTAGGTTTTCTTTTACCAACCACAATGGCGTGGATCATATTCACCGCAAAGATCAATAATGACATGCTCCGCCACCCGCACCACAGACTCTACTACACATCCACGAAAGTTGCCTTCGCTGCAGATATTTACGCCGCGGCCGATGTCCCTGACGAAGACAGCGAAAGCGGCACGCCTGCTCCACAACCTTTCTTCGAGGAAAATCTTTGCTTTACGACGGACCATGCGCCAAAGAGTCCAACTGCAGGCTTTGTATTTGGGTCCGATCGGGAGAAATGCGACGTCTTACTGCACCCCGATAACAAGACAGGAATTAGTGGCAGACATTTTGCTATTACGTTCACACAGTATGGTAAAGTCATCCTGAAATCCCTTTCCAAGAAGCACCCCACGAAGATAAGCGATGAATATGAAGACGTCGACGTTAGAACACAGAGAGTCATGGAATCACGCAGGGTCAGTATTCTTCTAGGAGGCCTGGAGGTGACCATAGAGAAGCCTTGGGTGGATGCTGATGTTGGGCCTGCATACGCCGCCTTTCTCGAGAGGGTCCATGGAATGCCTCCCGACCTCGATCAAATGCGGCTCCAATCTTCTGCTTCGTCGATAATGTCCGTCCCTCGGTATTGCAAAGACTTGGAAATCGGACGAGGGACATATGGGATCGTCCACAGGGCATCCGTCATACCCACAGGGGCGATTGTTGCTATCAAAGCCTTTAATTCTCGAACCAATTCCGTATCCAATCCTTGGGCTGAGGCAGAGCTCATGTACTCTCTGAAGCATGTCAGTTAGTTCTTTGCGACTCCAGGTCACTAATGCGTCTAATATCTCAAAGGAGAACATCGTCCAGTTCTACGAATTTAGCGTTCGTGGAAAAGAAGGACCAGAACTTATCATGGAATACGCTCCTGGTGGTACTCTTATATCACAAAGCAAGATTCGCCACTTCAACGATCGGGAAGGCCGAGAAGTCCTTCGACAAACCTTAGATGGGCTTGTGTACCTTCATGGCAAAGGCATTGTTCATCGCGACCTCAAGCCGAGCAATATCCTGCTTGTCAGGCGTGATCCGATTCATGCCAAACTGGCAGACTTTGGCCTCGCCAAGAATCTGGCAGATGGCTGCAGTGGCAAGTGTGGAACCCTGCACTATACTGCTCCGGAGATCTGGGGTTCATCTTCTTACACTGAAATGATCGATATGTGGTCTGTCGGCATCATTGCAATGGAACTCTGGGCGGGCCTGCCTAAATTTTCGTCTGATCCTGAGAAGTTCGACTATCCCACCTGGCAACGGGAGGTCAGGAGTAAAAAAATACTAGCCCCAGCTCCTCTCCAGAGGTTTCTTGAGAAGCTGCTACGGACAAACCCCAAAAACCGAATGACAGCTCAAGAATGCCGCAATCATAGTTTTCTACAATCACCAACCCGCACCGCAGCTCGAAAACGTCTCTGTTCCTTCAACTCACAAAGACAGGACTCGGCCATGCCTTTGAATGATGGGGCACATGACATTGCTGTCTTAAATCCAGTGAGCTTGAATGGGTCATATGCAGCCATTCCCGCCTCGCCCAAGACCTACCTTGACTTCAACGAACAACCGACCAACCTTTTCACATCACCAGTACAAGAGACCAATACACAGACCCAGAGCAATCAACACTGGGCCGAACTTCCAGAATCAGGGCACCAGCAAGGGTCAGAAGCAGCCGAGCAATTTTCCGAAATTCAGTACATGACTAGCTCGTGGCTCAGGAATGGTGAGTATCCCGATATTATACCCAACACGGCGTCTGCAGCTTCTTCTTGTTCTAAGGGCGTATGCAATCGAAAGAGGCCGGCAAAATCAATACGTGGCAAACGCGGCAAATGGGAACGCCGTAATCCTAAACAGTCGAAGGAGTCCTATTATCCTGAATCTGATGCCTCCACGGTTGTATATGACCCCTTAAACGATCAGGGAATTGAAGGGTTTGGTGACGCAGATGACGGATCTGAATTATCCGTCTATGATCCGATCGATAGACAAGCAAGCACACCCCGGGACTCTTATTATACCGAGAGAACTTGGGGTAATGGATCCTATCTCCCGCCCATGCAGCCGACAAACTCCTACGGCAACCAGGCACGCGGTACTGCCATCATAAACAACCTGGAAAGTCTCAGCGACCTTCGACTACCGAGTCTCAGCTACAACCTTCCAGATTGGGATAGCCTCATGGAACAACAGACACCAACCCCACAATCCGCATCATGTGCGACATCTTCGGCACTTCCTGAGCAGCAGGAAATTCAGCAACCGACACCCGTTCCGGAAACGGGGGAACCGCAAACCGGCTCCCAGAAGCCTCCGATCAAACCAGGGTTTGATTACATTCCTTGGAAAGGAACTTGGGTCGCCTACGACAGTTCAAATCACCGCTTTAGCATTACAAGCTTATTGAAAGCTGCCAACATGAATCATCGGTTGCTGCAACACACCTATCCGAACCTGAAAGATCTTTTTGACAGGGCGGAGAAGCGGCAGTCAATGGGTCGTCTCTACAATGCGTTGCAAGGAACCTACCTCACATACGAAGACACCATTGAGGCTTGTGAACGTCTGGGGATCGAGACAGAGTTTTGGAAGACCCTTGGCCAGAATCCACTCCAGGCTAGTGATGTAAATCTCCCTCCTATCGAACGTATTCCGCAGGAATCGCGCAGTCCTGCTTCTGCAACTCGGCCATGCAGCAATCAGCGTCAGATAAAGCCTTTGAGGACTTCTCCGGCACCCCAAGATGTTGGCCCTTGTCGATGTGATCTGATCAACCCAAATACAGGCAGGTCCTGCCATACCGTCTTCTCCCGGCCTTCGGATCTTACCCGTCACGAAAACACAGTTCATGCCCCCCTTGACGGACAGATGCAATGTGAGCTTTGCAGTGATTGGAGAGCATTCACGCGTCTGGACAACCTCATTAGACACTATCGGACGTATCATCCTTCTGCGGAACCTCCGGGTAAGCGTCGGCGACGCAGAGATGCTAGCTGAGCCTCTTTTCGTGCGGCTGACAGGACTGACTGGCTCAATATGGAGTCATAAGGCACTCAGGCTTGGGGGATTATTAGTAGGTGCGTGGGGAGACACTATGAGCAGCATTTGACATGGGATACGGCAGTTCGTAGAGCTGGTTCTCAGCGATGTATTTTCGAGTTTGCGACCTAAAGTGGCTATCCTAACACTAATATCATTGCACAGATCGAGGCCGACAGGTCAGCCACTTTAGATAGCAAATGTTAGGGATCAGGATCACGAATATCATGAGATACTTTACGACTGTACGTACAAGTCGAATGAACCTGTCATGTTTCGGTGTGCATAGGTGATGATCCGGCTCTCGACACTATTGGATGATGTTTCGGCTAGTTAACCGGATGTCTAACAAGTAGTCGCGTTCAACTGGGATGAGGGGCGTTACCGCGCCCTTCACTTGACCGTGAACATCTCGTGACAGTTCCGAGCTTCCATGCGAACAGGCTGGTGTCAGGAAACCCGACATTAGGCTCCAAGAGCGGCTGCGATGTGCCAGCTGCGCCTTGTCGTCCCGATGACGGGTTACAGGCTCGATAGGATGCGCCATTTGTGCCGTTGATATGCTGAAAAGGGCGTAGTCTATCGATACGGTCGTAGAAACGTTCTGTAACTAGCGTTAAGATAGGTCTGCTTTTCTCTAGCCCACCACGTCCTTTGCCCTAATAGGGAACTTTGGGGGCCTTGGCCCCCCAGACGAAAAATACACATAACTTAACATACAAAAAAGGCTACTGAAAAAAAAAAGGAAAAGCCTTACTGCAACCGGACTAGATCTCACGCCGACTGATAAGATAACGGAAAACGCACACCGGGGCTATGGGTTTCAGTGGAGACCGATAAAGAGCCACGCTTGCAGAGGGAGCAACTCGCAAAGCCGGCATCGAGGTAAATGATGAAGCTTGATTACGGCTGACGAATTATGCTACAGACTAATCGATCGTCGTCAGCGACAACTGCAGCAGAGGAAAGCGCGTGCGTAATTGGCGCCGATCTGCGAAAATGGATGTGATGGGAAGAGGCTATTTTGCCATCAGGGCAAACAAAGAGGCGCGATTAATACAGAGAGAATTTTGGGAAGCAGTTCACGAGGTACAAGAAGGAGAGCGGTTGGTGTGAAGAGTGTGGTTTTCGTCACAATAATTGCCAAGCAGCTTCAATCGAGATCGACGAAGAAGCTTCGAATCAACGCCCTGCAGTCAGCGCAACGAACCCAAGCACCTTCAACCGAGGCGGCTCGAGCCACTACGGCACGTGTGGACAGAGTACGGACATCAGAGCGACGCTGCTGGTGGCCGGAATGCCACCAATGGACAAAACACAAGGGTCAAACTAGCACCGCGTATCAGGGAGTTTAGCTGCCGGACTCGCCATGGGTACGTACTGCAGTGTCCGGCACACCAGCCGCGATCCGGCTCTAGATCCCCCACCCCCAAGACAGCGAGCCGCTGTCTAACCCCACTTTCTCTTGCGATACACTCCTCTATCGGCCCGAATCAACTCCCTATCCCATGCGATTCGGGACGACTAGTACATGTTGACTTGTCGTAGTGGCTGGAGCATGGCTGGTATCACACGCAACTAAGGTATAGCTCATCTCGTAAGCCCGCTTTCAGCTCTCATTTCCTTATTCGCATCATTGCCCAGAACTCCCCAAAAGCGCCTCATCACGGTAAAGTATCATACATGCAACCCTTATAAATGCTCACGTGCGTCCATGTTCCTATTGGCCCTCAATCATGGAACAAGGTATCTTTTGCACAGTGCTCCGTTCGACGCTACCTTTTCAGCCCAAAGCAATGCCACTGGCGAGCGATGGCTCTGTTAACCACCGCGCGCACGTCAAACGAAATCTAGACTTGGTACGTTTTCTTCACAGCCACCCATGACACAGCTGATGATGATGGTGTCATGATAGATTCGTGTGGCGTCACTAGGTCTCATAAACATCTCTCATGATTTAATGAACTAGCCTGAGTGGCACTTGGTACTACTGGTTGTTTGGAACAAATGCAGGCTGTCCTTGGGATGAAGAGTCGCGGCGTTGAAGAGCTCGTTCTTGTCTCAGATGCGGGGAAACAGAGGAGCAAATCGACTGTAGAAGGACAGTTATCTGCTAATAAAAAAGATATCAGTCAAGATATTTCAATCATGTTATGTTGTGTCTGTTTTTCGTCCGAAACTAACTAGAACTCCCGCAATATTCTCTTCCCCACGTGACAGCTGCGTTACTCGCAGTCGACCTTACAATAGTTTCACGAACATCGATCTAAGTGCCAAAGCAGGTGGCTCTGGCGGTATGTACCCCAGCGATTTTTTGTTTGTGTTTTGCGAGCAGCGCTTCGCACTAGTCCCTTTTCTAGCCCCACAAAAGAAGATTAATTGGTTGTCTTATCCTCCCCAACACACTAGCCTGCGAAGAGAAATACTTAAAGATCGCACAATGCGGCGTAGCTAGCCTACTTGCGGCCGTAGACGTAACGCACAGTCATGTAGCTATGTACCTCAGGGTTACGTATCGCTTTGCGTAAGCTCATAAGGAATATCTGGTATTCATCACGGGGCCAGTGGCAAATATCTTGCCACATCATAAGGGTGTAACCTGTCAGATGTCAGAAATCTGTTAACCGTGGGGGTGAGCTGTCTTACCCTCCAGGTCGTTCTCTAGTGTAGCTTTGACGAGTAGACCAATCTCGGCGAGTTTTGGGTCCTTGGGCCAACCACCGATAGGGAACTACGAGACAACGTTTCAGTAGGTTGCGATCAAGTTCTAGAGAGACCTACCTTGTAATCAATCGTTTCAACATCTATGAAGCCAGCCTCTTCGAAAGCCGTTTGTTGCAGGTCATGAACGAAGAAAGGGTTGCCTAGAATTTGGCTACCATCTTCAAAAAGCTTCTGATAGGTTTCGAAAACAGGTTCCAGCTCGGTAGTCCCATCATCACTGCGGAACCTGACGTCGGCCTCACCCGACTGGACCCAACCTCCCGGCGCACAACAGCGATATGCCTCTTTGAACAGAGCGTCCCAGTCCCTAATGGCACCAAAGAGATACCGAATATGAATAAAGTCAAAGTGGTTTTCTCCCCATGTCCAGGATTGGATCGCATCATCAATCTCGAAGCGAAGATTCGGGGGGACCCATTGGGGCTGGCAAGGAGAGAGATCTGTGCCAATGACTTCCGTGTTTGGGTATCGGTCTGCAAATTCACTGTAGTCTGTAAGCAGGCGACATTCACGGACATTTTCGAATACCATACATAGCCCAGATACCTGCGAAGCCGTCAGTGGGAATCCAAAGAAGTGACGGTGTAAACTTACCGCTTCCGGTACCAACATCTAGAACTTGCTGCATAAAGCGGTGTGAAAATCAGCAAAAGTGCTTTCTATACATAGCTTGTGAGAACACCCCACCTGTGCAGAGTCTGTCTTTACAGGGGCGAGGAGCAGCTCGTTGTCTAAAAGGAGCGTCAAGTAATGGTGTCTGATGGTAAAGTTAGGACTGTGTCAATGCGTTTTAGGGCACAAAGCCGCACGTTAAGTCCATAGACTCTATTTGTTGATAGTCGTTGGGCAAAAAGTAGTTGGAGGTGAATCTGTCGCTGTGGTACGTGCGCCCCTGGCTTCGGCGATACTCGAGGATGCTGGCAGAAACTGAGGCGGTCGAGCTCTCGCTACGGAACCTGTTAAAAATGTGTGATTGGAATCATCGCGAGGTTCACTAACGTATCCGTCCCAAGGGAAGGGTCAGCCTCGCTCTGAGGATCATGCTACCAAAGCATTAGTGCTGTCCTCAGTGTAAAGAGGGGCTGAAGGACTGACATCGAAATCGTCTCTAGGGATAAGTTCGTTTTGAGCCGGCGGAGATCTTGACGGGGATTTCGACGGAGAGATTGTAGTAACAGGAGCTGGTGTCGATGCCTCGGGCGGTGTCGCGTTTCCTGCAGATTGGCTCCCCATGATCAAATAACGAAGGTGAAAAGAAAGGTGACAATATGAAGCAGAGCAAAAAGTGAGGGGGCGGGGAAAAAGAGCTTAAATAGCGTGCATGGTCCTGTCAATATGGCTCAACCACTAAGATACCGGTTCGGGCGGAGTCGCGAAGGGAGATAAAAAGAGGAACATATGGAAATAACTAGGGAGCTGAGTGGAGCACAGCAACGAACTAGAGCATCGCGAATGGTCTAACCACGGATGTGGATACGGAAGCGGGGGCGCTAGAGTATGAGAGGGCGGGATCGCCCCATACCGAAGATTGGTTGGAACTTAATTCCATTCCATTGTTCGAGATAGAGTCGAGTCCGAACGAACAGTGAGGAGTTTATTGAAGGCAGGTGAGTACCCAACTACACGCAACCAGGAGCGACGGCGACTGGAAGTGGACGAATGGACTGAGCCATTCCAATTTGTAATTGAAGGTCGGATGACCAACACGAGTGGGCGAAATGATTTAGGTAGTGCCGAGGGACCAAAGCATTCCTCACGACAGTTGATAGACGTATGTCTTTTCACGACGAGAGGAGTGAGGTTATCGCGACGGGAGGAGCTATTCCGGCAAGGATTTAGGTGAGTGAGCGAGAGCAGAACCCACCTTAAGATAAAGTGGACGGCAGACTGACGAACGAGAGTGACTGTCCTGAACAGAGCGAAAGGATGAGTCAACAAGCGCTAGCTGGACCCGACAGGAGGCGAATGTACGTGAGTCCTGAAAGGATGAGGGACCGGATGATCCAGGTATTCGACGCACAGCGGACACACGAGCGAAAGCAGAGTGGTGTCGTTTTGTTCCAACCGGACAAGGTTGACTACAATCGAGGTTGTCCTTCTCGGTAGAGGAGTATACTGAGGGGGCGAGGTTATGGCATTATTATCGTGATGTGCTGTCGACGGCACACTACCATCTCTTGGCTCTTTTCGACCAGAATGGGCGCGAGGAGGGCACCGACGAGGATAAACTTGTCCTGGATCACGCGCTACTTACCGAGAGGTTACGTCAGGGCAACAGAGGGAGCCCGCCGTGGCAACCCAATGGAGGAAGTCTGGTGTGGAGCACAGCTGATGAGGTGCACGAATCCATTAACACGGTTGGTGTAATGTCATTGAGGGAGCAACGCGACCGGCGACAACAAGAGTTGAGAGAACAGAGAAAGGGTAACCATCCGATGTCAATTGTAAACTAGTGTAGAACACCGTTATAGATTGCTCTTTTATCGCATTAGTTTTTACGCAGACTTTCCCAATAGAGGTCAGGAATAGCTTCATTGAGACTGTGATTGTCAGTCTGTCGAGTGAGTCAGAACAGAGTGAAACAGGTAGACCAGCGGTACCGAGACTGTAGGTGGACACGGAGTGAAGACGAACGTAGATAGTAGTTATTTTATTTTGTTTTAATCTCATCGCAATTATATAATTGAATATCGTAGATAAACACTGAATGGAAGACGAGATGCTAGTAAGACTAGACTGCGAATAACCTCAAACAGTCCTTGAGCCGAGCGCGTAGCGTTTAGGTGAAAGGAGGGACAACTACGTTGGTCGAGGGAATCACCCAACCCCCGGAGGGATGGTCAAAGAAGAGAGTTTCTGCGGGTATTCAATAGCCACGTTTATCCATTCATCGACAGTTTTTTCATCTCCCGTAATTGTGACAGCTGTTTTTTAACTTCTCCGTCATGTTCAGAAAAGTTTGTTTCCAAACTCATAGCACCAACCTTGTCATCCATTTCGTTTCCACGGCTTATGAGACGCGATCTCATCAGACTGAGGGAACAATAAATAGAGCTCAAGCTGTTCATGAAGTCTTTGTCTGCTGAAAGCTATCGAAAGAACTGTAGATCTCCGTTGAATGCCGATGTAACTGTTTCGATTCTCAGAAATAGTTAAGCACAGATCTAGAGGCCTTTTCGAGTGCTTTCTTTCCCCTCAAATAGAGCAAGCTAGTCGTCCCTATGAGATTCGCTACTTTCAGTTGTGTCCAATTACATGACATATGGCCGATCCTCTTACACGTGACTTAAATTGTGTCCAGAGGAACCGTCCTGATTGTAGCACCGTGTTTTTTTTGGTCTCTACGATTAGTATAGTTTTCCAGGATCCTCACTAGAACTTGAAGCTCTACAGGGAACAAGCGATAGAGACGAGAGTATTAGCAGATCAAAGGTTGGAGAAACACTGATCAGCTAGCAACTACCTCGGACGTCTGATTCCAGGGAAAGATGAGGCCATATGAATACAATGTCCGTGCTATGTAGTCACAAATCTTATAAGAAGTTCTTATCAGAATTGGATTCCCCAGAGTCCATGCTCATCCTCCAACATGATCTGTGCTCTCACCTTCCACTCCGTATCTTGCGAATCATGAAGATTAGTCCACGTTTCGTCCGAACTGCTCAGCAAAACCTTGACTCGCTGCCGTCCCCCTCTGGTAAGTACAACTCTAATGATCTCCTCGATCTCGGGTTCGTCCAGAACGACCACTTCAGAAGCCGCTTGTACCGCATAGATCATTTCTCTTTATACTACCGGCTACTCCGGGAAGAACAAGAGGGAGCTAACCCCAGATCAACGCAAATCAAGTCTCTCTGAACAAGTAAAGCATAAGGTGTGTCCGACGAGAGTGGTACAGGGTTAGGGCTATAAAGTGGCAAGAGTTGAGGTTGATGTTTTCTGCTAGAATGACGGAGAGTTGTTGGTCATTTACTGGCAGAAGCATGAAGGTTGACTTCCAGCGTTCGGTGCCAGGAAATAATACTTCATCTAGCCCCATGATCAAGTCGTCTTGACAGGAAAGGTTAAATTTGATAGTGGCCGTCGGCACCCTTTTCGACTATTGGTTGGACTACAGCCTCCTCGGAAGCACTCTGCTTCGGATCAGTTATCGTCAATATAGTGGTGATGAGAGGAACGAGATTGCGTTGTACTTTGACCTCTTGTTCCGTTTTATATAGTCTAAGACGAATAAGGTTTGTTGGAAGCTGATTATGAGGATGTTTGACCATTCAAGACGCCAAGTTGCAGATGAGCTCTATTCTAGGGCTGATGAAAGACGACTCAAAGGGAAAGTGGGCGTGGAACTGTACATGTGGCTGCAAAGAAGATGGTGGTTTAAGAAAAGTAACCCTATTCCAAGAGACTAAAGCAAGCCTTGCCGTGTGCATAGAGATGTAAAACGACGAAATGGGCAGAGCTAAGCTACGTGTAGTAACACATAAATGTGCAAGGGCCGCAGGAGACAACAATGTGAGAGCGGTGTTCAAACATGTCTGAGAGGCGGAGAGAAAGAGAAGTATCACGGGTAGTGTGGTCAGTATGATCGGAAGGAAGATGACAACGTCAGGTCACATGGCGACAATTGGGAAGTTTATGGCAAGGACGGCAGATACCTCAGGGGTAAATAAGGGTGGTTCAGTTAGTGGAACTCAACCTCACTCGTACATGTGGTTCTGTTATGAATGAATGACAGTCGAGCACAACGGGGTTGAGGTTTCAGAAACTTCCGTAGGCGCCACGATATCAAGGCTACAGAAGCGCCGACGAGGGCGATTCTACCTCGTGTGGTGGCTCCTACTTGATTCAACTGACGTATCTCCAGCTTTGTGTATAGACCAGCTGGAAGTCGTACCAGTGTTGTGGTGTGCGACTTCTCGTTAAAACTAGATCATGGCATACGAAAGTAACGTATCGAGAACACATGAAATGGAGCGAATTCAAAAGTAACTCAACCCTGCAGGCTGTTCCATTCCATGTAGATAGTATTAAAGCGTCGTTCTTGCCACCTCGACCTATAGCAACTGTCGAAGGTGAATGGGTCCAACTGTACAAGTCACTCTGTTGGAGATGACAACAGACTGACTGGTGCTACGATCCCCCGGATTCAAGGGAAGTGGAAGAGTTGAGTGTGACCAAATGCACCAGGTTCGTCTTACCAGTAACGTGTGATTCTCATGCATGAAGTATCGTGGTACGTTGGCTTATCATCAAGAATATATCGATGGCACTATGGCATAGTGGTGCGCCACCCACTTCTGTTGAGTCGTTTTTTTGTCTTTGGCCTGTAAACCGTATAGACTGATATCTATTGTTTGATGACTACGTTACCCTGATGTGAATCAAGGCCGACATATTTTCCATGTATCGAGTCACAAATCCTTGTAGCAACAACTGTCATGCATTGTTCATTGGTCGTAGACATGGCCATGACCTGTACATCGTATCACTACATGATTGAGAGTAGCCTCGAACATGGTAACCTGACAGCTGGCAAGGCTACTATGTTTCTCAAGGTCGATTGGAATGAGCCTGTAACTCTTTACTACCATTTGGCAGAACGTCACTAGAGAACTCAATTACTTTGATAACAAGAACTATATACTCAATGGCTTCTGAACAACGCGATTTTGGTACTGAAGTAAGCGGAAATCGCCAAAAAAAGAAAAAACCATGAATCTACTCTCGAGCAGAGAGCAGCCATGATAGCGGAGATATATGCCGACAAATCAATGAGCTAGGTGACCACCTCCCAGTCAACGTCCAGCATCATGTTAAACCTACTATTTTCCTTATGTTCTGGGAGGCTGTTACCAGAGACAAGCAGTCATATGTCATATCGATGATGAGGGATGAGACGGCAAAGAAAGGAGATTATCCCAGCTGGTCTTATCGCAAAGCCCTCACGGAAAGTCTCCTCCCTTTCCTCGATGAATTTGACCAGTTTCAAGAAGACAACGCCCGAATTTACACGGCTCAACCGTTGTTGGATTGGCTGCTTCATAGGATAAAACTCATTAATTGGCCGTCTCAATCCCCTGATCTAAACTCCATAGAGCACATATGGAAAACTCTAAAAGCCGAGCTTCGACGAATGCATCCAAAGTTAATCAGATAGAAGAAAGCAAGGTAGATAGAGCCCGGTTGATCAGATCGTTGCAAGAGGCGTGGGCAGCCTTGCCTCCCTACCTGATTTTGAAGCTGACGACTTCCGTGCAAACCCGCCTCCACGCCGTCATTCGGGCACGGTGATGGTATATATAACACTCAAGCACTGAGTAATAGCAATTGATTGATATAGAATTTATTTAATTTCATTAACTATTCATGATACAATTGCTGAGTGTTCAATTGGTGTTGTAATGACGGAGGCTGGATGTGGGGCTAGTGTTCTCAGACTTTTGTCCTATAATTTTATCATATATACTATGCCTTAGCGATATCTGCAATTGTCTTCTCGACTATTTTCGACTCTTTGCCAATCAACTTGCAAATTAGTCACCATGGCTCCCTCCCCGCGCCTGACAGCATCGTAAACCTTTGCCTAGGGATTCGCCTTGTTATCAAGTAGGTATCGCGAAGCCCCCTTGACTGAATCTTGAGACGCCCATTCGTCTATAGAACATTATAGTATCTTAATCTCCTCTTCGAGAATACTATTGATGAAGTCTACGCTTTTCCCGATCGAAATTTCTCGCGGGCCAGACAAGAAGAGCGCATCGTTGAAACACGGGAATGTTGTAGAATTCTGAGCGTAGTCCGGGAGTAGGTGAGCAGTGGTTTTACCAACCTCATCACGCTTTACCCACGATATCTCAGGACCCTTTCCATCATATGGAATTATCAACTCATTGGGAGGGGTTTTCAGGTCGAGGAAGGCAAGGTATAAACTGTATGATTCCGTATAGAGACCTTGACGTATGACAGTGTATGTGAAGGACGAGATCTCAGCCGCAAATCTAGCAACGTACCTCTCGGTGTCAAGATGAGCTGGCATTACGAAGGCAAGAGAGGCAGTAGCATGCCTGAGAAGCCGAGGGAGTAATAGAAGATATGTGTTATGCCGAATTGTTTAGCTGCATCGATGGCGTACTTACGAACCTACGAAACAGCTTTATGTTATACTCATTCCGTCACTTCGCCCTTACTGCTCACCTTAAAACGCTACTCATGCTCGATACTAGCGTAGGAAAGCAGGTTCAGGATGCGAGTTTCATCGAAAGCATGGTCCACTGTCTCGAGTTTGTCGTAATCACCATATCGAGCAATTGCACCTGCTTTTGTGCATCTCCCCAAGATCTTGCCTGGGCTTCTTGCTACCAGAATTACGTTGTTCGCGTCGACGAAATTGGAGAGGTGCTGATACGTACCTCCACCAATGCCGCCCGAGGCAGGAAAAACAACGATTGAGTTATGGTGCATATTGCTTAGTAGAAAGACTGGTTGTTTGAGAAGTAGGTGTTATGTCTCAGGACGACATTGCAGTATTTGGTGGGTTTTAATACATGGCATTTTTGTAGTGAGCTTGGCTTGCTTTATAAGCCAGATAATGAACAAGGTAGGTCGCTAGAAACTCTCGTAGGTAACATTAGGTACTTTGCAAGTCATAATTGAGGCCTAAAGCCAAACGGGGACTCATACCCGCACAATCGGTTGTGCGGATAAGGCTGAATAGCTGACTTTGGATTGAATGCACAACTGCCGTTCAACAACACCACCATTATCAATTGAAGTAGCTATTCAGAGGTGTTTTTCGCCTTCATCACTGCTCATCGCTTTATATCTCAAGTCATTGATATGCTGTTTGGCCTCAATCCGCCGCAAATAACACAGAAGTAACATAACGTTCCAACTTACAATATCACACAAGAACGGTCATCTATTCATGATATCAGGGATCAGAAGGGAGTCTTGTCACACCGCAAAGACGTCTGAGAAGAATACACAGAAGCTATCTTTATGATAACTGCAACATGACAACTTGAACTCTTCTTCACGACTCAAATCAGAGAAGGAAGACTCTGTATACAGGATATCTGTTATCATGCCTTCAGTTATGCTATAAAGATGCATATTCTGTCATTATTAATCAGGAAACTTTCAATGTAGCCAGGATTCAATCAGTGGATAAACATATAAATTGAGGGCTGAACTCCTCATCTTCCCTCCTTAATACTTCGTCTTCCTTCAAGATAACAAATAATTCAATAAATTACAAGTCTCCAAGCTCATACAATTTCTATCTCTTCAACAATTTCTCCCAACAACAACAAGAATACCGACTTCAAGATCGTCGAAGATAGCACTCGACCCGTTCCCTGTGCTGTTCCTTCGAACCAAGACAACCAATTCGTCCTGCAGCCTACCCTTGCTGCAAATAACTTGGGGACTGGCCAAAGAGTACGTGAGGAAGCTGACTTCTTCCCTCTCATCCCCAACCTCGTTCATTCATGGCCAAGAGAATCTGGGAGTGCAGCAGCCTGTACACAGCATGTTCAACACGAATGGTCAAATAGCTCAGACCGCTCCCTCAGGAGCCAATACTAACATGGGTCTTCTGACACCGCAGGAAATACATATGGCATACAACACCAGCTTTGCCCCTACTGGAGCCCCGGCAACTGTGGCAACGTGGAACCAGGGATACAGCGTTAAGGGAAATTGGCATGCAGGCCAGCTTCACAATGCTATCAATTAACGGTTGACTCGCCCTATTCCTGATGCTGTGCCTTTCTGAATAGCTCAAACTCTGCAACGGCAAGATATAGCATATCGAGCAGGGCGTCCAGTCCCTGCTACAATGTGGCCTACGACTGCAGTTGGAATGATTATGCATGCATCGACTTTGTAGGTGGCACAGCAGATTGGGCATATTGTGTGGACTTGGACGGGCAGACAGTAGAGGGTGTCGAGGATATCTGGGGTTATTTACTTATGTGTATCTATTGGTATATATACCTGTTCAAATCTCTTGCTACATTGATGTTATATGCTGTGTTGAGGTTATAATCTGCTTGTAGGGAAATGCATGATTCCTTCACTTGAGACATCCGCCGGTGAATGTGTGATGCGATTCTCCACATCCGACCCTGTACCATTTAGTCACTTACCAACAACGTTGGAGCTCAACGGATTGAGGTATTGAGGCACATATCGATCAATTGAGCTTTTCTCTCCCGACTTAATGATATATATATTATCCTGGTCAGATGACGGTGGCTGGTTGTAAGTGTTAGCATTCCGACCGGGATAATTGATTTGCAAGCATCGACGATTTTTGACTCCCCATCACTGTGACTATCACGAAATAAAAAAGTTAGCTCCTTTTCCGTAGAAGTGCAATCGAGTGACAATAGAAATACCATTCAATTCGCTGAAATTCGCTCTATCTATAAGTAGTTCTCAATTGACTGTTTTTCCTTTGTATCTCATTTGACATCACGCTGATTGACTGCTTGGTGATCTCATTGGGATATTCATATCGCCTCTCCCATGCAGTTGTGATAACATACGACTTGCAGGTCCTCACCGGAATATATAGTCAGGGCCCTCTGCTTCAAGGGGCCCTCTTTGACCGTAAACATTATCATCACATCTTTGATCGGCGTCAATCCAGCTCTGCATTTCCTCCAATGTTCAATCTCTCAGTATAAAGCTGCTGGTTGAACCACGCCTCGCGAGATTCCTTACACTTCGCATATACAGCATGTACGCCTTCTTGGACATAGTAGAGGGCTTGAGGCGGTCTGCCTGTGGTGTTGTGCTTGCAGCCGCAGTAGAATATGCAAACCTGCTTAGTGTATACATAACCTCCTCTATAGCTATACCTTATTCTCTTTCCATAGCACCAAGCTCTACTGCTATTTCAGCATATTTCTCAGGGCACGCACTTAATCTTCTGTCTTGACCTTGCTTATGACATCAAGAGCAGGTCTGTAGCTTCCTAGGCACTGAAGGAAGTAGCGCCTTTTCAACTGCTTGGAATGCAAATGAATCTCGCCATGTACTCGATGCCGTCTGTAACTTCGAGGCTTCACAGTGTTCATCGACCTTACGAGGCTCGAATACAAGCGGCGGCATCCCAGATCGCTGGAGATATCAATGTGAGTGGAAATGGCTCGTCAACAAGGACTCGTTTCCTTATATCAGTGGCATAAGAGCGCCAGCACAAGGTATGCCTGTAGTCTTCAAGAAACTCCCGGTGCACTGAGGGAGACTTTCTCCTACCTTTTCTCGCTGTATATCGACCATGATAGATGCCTTATGGTCATATAACCGCGGACTTGGCTGTACAGAGCTCCTGATAATATGTGAGCTCGCCATGTAGGTCTTGTTGCCTGTTCCAAAGCCCGTGTAGATTTCAGTGAGGTTAGCTGATTTGCGATAACAAGCTTGATGATTGGAAAGCCTCGAAGAGATCAGCCTTAGAGTTCTCCGTATGTGTCTCAAGCGGGGTGTGGATACCTTCATCTCGAGATGTAACAAATTGGTTCAGATGTGAGGTAACGACACCAGAAGCCCTTTGATTTGAGATGTTGAAGCAGGGCAACCATGTGGCTCTGTCCATTGGCAAGGTCCTGCTTTGCTCGAGAGATACAGTTCGCGAGGTCCGAGCCAAAGAACAATGCGCTTGTATTCTGTAGTAGGTAGGTCTTGATTTGGCGTTGCTCAAGGCCGGTAAGAGTAAGCTTCTTGATCATGAGGACATCTTCATTAGCGAGCTTTTGGTGAGTTGTACGTGCAACACCATCTCCAGTGGTAGGCTCACGATTATGTTCACAATATGAGGGATCAGGGCGATGTCGAAGACTCCATATTCTCTTTCAGAGGCTCTCTTTTCCTATCGTGATAACTTATATCCCGTGCGTTGAGTGGTATGCTTCCTCTTCCTCTTGGAATCAGGAATCGGTGTATATTTCCCTCAGCTGCGGTCACAGCTGAAGTGTATGTGTAATCTTCCATTCGCCGTATGTATCGTGCGCCTCGTCACAAAGACATATCCTCTAGCTTTTGCCCATTTGTTAGTATCTGCAAGGAGGGCTTCTCGTGATGGATATGATGCCTCTGGAGGAAAAACATCATCAGACCACTGTCCTGCCATTTAAACGGCAACAGGGGGGATCGGGGACTCGAAATTGCTCATCCGAGTAGAGATTATATAGATGAAGTGACAGAAAGATGAATTGGCTGACGGTCTCCCGATTGTGCATGCTGAGCAAGATGACCTTGATACGTGCAGTCTCTTGAGGTGTTGCTTCGCAATTGATATGGTGACCAGCCTGACGTTCATGCACTCTGAAAAGCGAAATAAGTATCTTCTGTAAAATTGACACGCAAACGTCTCTTGATTGTCATCAATCTCACTCCCGATAGAGCCGTGATAACCATCATAATCGTTGTGACTCTGGATTGGGCGTCAACTTTTTCGGCTCGCCTCTTCATCAAAATCGTGCATGGGCGACTGGTTCTGCTTGGTTTGCTTTTCTGTAGACAGTCTGCCAAACAAGCGGCACTAGATCAAGACACAATGATGTTTTTCGAAGAGTTTTGGCTTTGATCAGAGTTATGGTGAGCATTATATCAAGTAGTTCTTATTTCCTATCGAGAGTCCCCAACTGCGTGTCGTGACAGGGACACAAATGAACAATTTGGGACGTCGATTCCGGACAAGTCCATCAAGAAAATCCATGAACAGTAATTCAGTGTCCCAATGGATCTCCTAATCGAAGAAGCGAAAGAGGTAGCCCTCGCCAAGAGTCCATCCCGCAAACGCAAAAAGAAGGAGCCTCGAAGAGCTAAGCACCAGTAGTCAGTCAACGAAGAGTCTAAAGGCCAGCCATAAATGATGTAACCTCTTTGTTTATCAGTTTAAACACCTAGCAGGAGCTAAAGTATATAAACAATCAAAAGTCTCACGCGCTCCTAATTCTGGGTTTACAGCCACTATTATCATCCACTTCCTCCTAAACATGTCTGGCTCTCCTAACGAACACGGGAGAGTGTTCTTGGTGCGCAAATACGACAATCATAAAGAAATTAATCTAATCAGAACCAATCAATCTTTTTATGTCTCTGAAAGTCCCCCTCTAGTATCAAAAACGACATCAGTTAAGGGTAACACCCAGGACATTCGTGTTCACGGTGGGTTTTATCCTGGACCGTTCCGGCCGCCATCAAAACGTGGGTCACTGGTGCCTTTCCAGCAACTCACCCTTAGTCGTATCCTCGGAGAAACGAAGAATTTCTGTATGGCTATGAATAGAAGGCACTAGAAGATAAAGAGACGAAATGCCCCGATGGCGTCTTGCACCAGCAACAAGAATAGCTTTCATTGAGGCTCCAAAGAGGCTCTGGTGTGACCACGAGGTAAGATCTCACCTTTTCCATATCCGGCTGCCTACGAGAAGAAACTACTTTCCATCACGGTTTACATGAGATTTCCCTTGTTGACCTGGTTACAGGTAAGAAACAGTTAACAAGCACTTTCCCAAGTGAAGCGCTGATCAGATGGTGGAGAGCTTTTTGTGTGATGTTGTCAGACATTACGTGTATTCGGTTTATGGATGTAAAATTGGTATATTCATCTTATGTTCTGACGAAAATCTGTTCCCTGAGCGCGTCGCCATTTTGGCGCGTAATCTGAAGCATCCCGTGCACGTGATACGCCTACCCATATTCAACAGATGTGCAGCAGGACATGTGGATAAGTCAATGTATATTGATTCAGGTTGTTGGGAAAGAGATGACAGAATGAAACTACCAGCTATTAGATGATTCTGATGTGGCTGAATTAAGGAGATACTGATCAAGCTGCTATCTAGGGATGTGGAGCTATACAGGAGAAGGCCCCTTTTCAACAGTATCAATTTCGATTCTTGTAACTTCTCTTGGGAACCCTATTGATCCCAGTGGCGCTATACCTCATGAAATGCCATTCATCATCTGCTCACAAGAACTACCAGGCCCTCCAAATACTTATGGTAGGGTCTACTTCCGGGTAATCCAGAACCAGTCAACCAAAAGTCATGAAAATGGTCGCAAAGCAAAGCATCATCTTGCCCAATCGCCCTATTGGTTCGTCTCTACCGCTGCACTCAGGTAGGGAATTCAAAACTGGACGCGTTTTCAAAAATGTGTTCTGTGCTGGTGGTGGTGTTTCTTTTCTTGGCTTACTTGCATCTACTAGTAGCGTAGGCGTGATCAGGATTCTGTGAACCTTTTTGTATTACCAAGTAATTTCTTTAATAGTTGGCTGATGTGCTGAAATCCATCATCTTAGTGTTAAAATACGGCTGAAGAATACATAATCGAAAATTTGGCTCTACTGCCATCAGAGGAAAGCTAGTCCGGATTATTGAGTATTACTCTGTGAGGCTCGCTCAGCTGCCGTTCTGATAGTAACGCTGGCCAGATAGTTCATAGGTCGAGAAGTGTACTCCATCCGATAATCTCGTCCACTGCCTTGAACTGCTTAGATACTATCACCCAAGGCGATTTTATACAATACAAAAGGTGCCAACTAAGACAAATTCCTTTCGAGTGTCCAGCCGGCTCCATCAACTTTTTCCAGTATCAGCACGCTTCACTTCATTTAATGTTGAACTACAAGCATACTCGTCAATATCTGCCACTGAGTACTGGAGATCTTGACTCAGCAAAGCACTTAAGAGACGCAATGCACAACCTGTTGTCTGGCGTTAGATTCGCAATGTTGCTGAGACAAAATGGGAGTACCGCTGAGGAATCGAATTGACGTTGTGAGAGTCCACAATCTCCTGTCGGAGCCATTCAAACATAATGGGCTAAGGTACCAGGAATACTACCTACTGGCTCTGATTCTACGATTAGTCTACGGATATGAGCTTGAGTCACTCACTGGGTTTCTCTCTGTTCTACAACTATATGAGCTTAGCTGATTCATGGATATTTCCATACCTTAAAATAAACCGTTTAATTGACCCTCGTCGCTAGTCTGTCATGGTAACTCTGGCCACTGCCTCACTTGAATGTCTAGCCCGGGCTATTCCCTTGAACGTATTCTGAGCGTTATGGTCCATGACTGGCGCTTATGGCATGCTGTTTCACATTTTTATTTTTCGTTTTCTGTATTTCGTCTCGGATACGCCTTAAGGGAGTATGCACATAACGCATTGCATCATGATATACGAAGACGGTTCCCCCTATATACGAGCAGTGTGATCTTAGAACCAAAGGTATTCCAACCTCAAGTATAGAAATCCTTTGAGCTAAATGGTAAGGACCTTCACGTCCAAGTCATTGCGGAATATGTCTTATTTTTTCTGAGATGCAACATTTCAGAGTTTCATCTAAATATCCCAGTCTACTGAGAGCCATGTCCCTGACACTTCAATCATGAGCACAACCATAGTTTTATATTCACACAAAAACACGGACTCATGCGACACATTCTGCTTTTTCTGTATGAGTGATGATCAGAATAGGCCTGAATAGACTTTGTGGATAGATGACGAGAAGACGTTGATTTTATGACGCAAAGCCAAAGCAAACTACTTCAATTGACGCATTTGAATAGAGTAACTAGAATGAACTGACATATTTGAGTAGACAGGAAAATGGTTAGCCAGAGCAATCTGTCATTCTGGAAGTGTATTTCGTAGTCGGCGCCGCTTTGCACAATTTCAATAGCTTCGACCTCACGGTGACGGCGATTTATGGTGCGTCTGTGGAGAAAAGTCGGGTGACTTGAGATAAGTTGTGTTTATAATGGTCACAGAAGCGTATCAGTCTGGACGCTACGATTGGGAAGCCAATGGAGAATAGGCATGTATGTTTCGGCTACCCAACTTCATCTACCAAACAAGATCTAGCTTTCTATGATGACAAGGCTGTAAGGACCAAGCGCGTTAGTAGTTGCTGAGATCGCCACCATTCTTGAGCTGACCACAGGGCCCGTTACTATAGATGTACTGAGGTTGCAGTGGCGAGTTATTTGTCGTGACATATCTAGCAAACAAAGGTTGCTGCCCATCAGCGCATTTGGACGTGTCGCTAGCGAGGAAAACCGCGCACGTAGTGCTTGTAGTGAAGTCATAACCGGACAGTTTACCCAAGATGCCGATACGGCAGTTAGATCGCTTGACGCACTCCGCACAGCATGCGGCAGGAGTGTAGCCGTCACCAAAAATAGTAGGGATAGTGTCAGACGTGACATCGACCCAAGCAACAACGCGGCCTCCTCCATTGGCTGAGACGAGGATATTCTCGCTTCTGCATGCGTCATAAATGGTTGACTGGGGCACCTGGTTCTCAATCGTGACTGAGAAGATAGCGTATCAATATGTGCGGCAGAGAAGAGACGGGGCTAAAGGACTTACCAGTCTGAGTCAAGGAGATTGTCGTGGTGAAATCCGTGTAATCAGTAACAGTATCGCTGACAGTCGTTGTCACAGTGGTGCTGACATCGTCGGGATACTCGACAGAGGTGATAGTAGTAGTAACGGTCGATGCCTTTGTCTTAGTTGCGGCCTTGAGGGTGGTTCGGCCTCCTTGCACTGTCGTACTGACGATCTTGGTAGAGTAAGAAGGGACTTCCCTCACGCAGCTGACACGCTGAGGGTAGAGAGAAGAAGCCTGAGCGGAGAGCATCTCGAGCTTTCCAACCTTCTTAGCATCTCGCTTTGCTACATAAAGTGGATCGTCAAGGATGGCGGTGAAACCGGCAGGCTCTGCAACCGTCGAAGTAATAAATCTGGTGGAAGTCGTTGTGCTGGTGCTTGTTGTAGTGGCGGTGGCTATTCTGGTGCTCTCTAGAGTGGACTTGGCTAGATAACAAGATTAGAATCAAGAGCCTGAGTGAATGTGAAATAAGTGCCTCACAAATGATAGTACTAGTAGCGGTCTTGGTGTCAGGATTAGCCGTCGTAGTCACGGTGACAAATTGTGTGGTGAAGACAGTGGTCGTCTTGGCGATAGGAACAACAATAATGTTGACCTTACGGATAACCTTCTTGATGATGGTAACCTTCTTTACGGTGGTGGATGTTGTAGTGGGAATGCTCTTGACAGACTTGGTTCCGAGGTCCGTAGCACAGACCAAAGAAGGATTTGCGGCAGAAGCAACAGCCCCCGCGCCCAAAGTCAGCAAGAAGAGAAGGGAATTAATGGCAACCATGATGAGTCCTTTCAGTGAAGTACGCCAGAGTCGTTGACGAGATGTATCAGACATGGCGCGAAAGTGTTGATTTAAATACATTACCAGATAGATAACACGTCAGTCTAGCCATCATAAGTAAATATCCAGCCACTCACAGCGATAGAGACGAGACTGTTCTAGAGACCACTCATGGGCAGACCAACTTCTGATAAATTAATAGATCCTGTGACTACTGGAAAGGATTGCCTAACAGCGCGAGTTAGTATCAAATCTAATGAGCTTGGCGTGGTTGGAGATCGACAGATTTTAGTGTAAGTGATTGACTTTTTGACCCCTTACCTCGAGTCCCCATCCACAGAACCATGATAATTTGCCACATGCACTTGAATAGCTCGTGCTCATACAAGGATAATTTGATCTATTGGGGACTGGGCCGGTCGAATCGTTCAGCTGAGTCGCAGCCATGTACTCCATATTATGGCCCGCATATACCATCCCAAAGTCCTATGCTAGTTTTAGTTTAATTTGAGCTAGCGTGGATAACCAATGCATTTGCTTCAAGAGTGATATTTGTTTTCGTGCGCTGACACTATATAGAGCTTTATAACTATGCGTCGTTCTTGTACAGAATTTCGCCTGTATGCCTCATGCTCTCGCGCCCTAGAAAGAAGCATGATGCCGGCCAGCGTTCTGCACCGCGACAGCTGTACGTACAGGCTATAAGGGTCGCATTGGCTCGGGACCGCCTGGCCATCAATGTTGGTGGTCCTGGTCCCTCGCAGCTCCAGYGCCAYCAGATCTAACGTTCTTCCCTGCACCTTGTAGTCCGTACATGCAAACGCTGGCGCACATRGCAGCCCTCTGCGCGAGACATCGACTTGCTGCCATGGCCGTTTCCTTTAGCACTCTATCTTGACACTCGTAGGCGTCAGGAGGATCGTACCGGGGGGCATACCAATGAAGCGGAAGTCTCTCGTCGTCCTTGACCCCAACAGTATCCCCGCCCGTGAGCCAAAATGGAGCACGGTATTGGCGTCGGTCTGGTGGCCCGGGTGAGCTTTGTCGAAAATAACGTGCTGGGCCGTATAACTGGCGCCGCTCACCAGTTTCAGACCTTGATGGGTGTTTTTGTTTACGACGACGGGCATGCCAGGTACGAACACGAAGATGGTGGACACCGGGATGGTACTGTCGCCGCCTTGATCCAACATCGTGATGGCTTCTTCCTCGGAGATGAATATCCGAACCTGCCGCTGACATTGCTTGCGAAAGTCAAGCGTTGCTTCGATGTTCAGGTTCCAACGGTTTCTATTGAGCGGCGTCACCACTGTGATCCCTGACTTCCATGGGATCCGTCTGCCTTCTTGATAGCAATGGCTATTTAGGTACTCCACGTCCGACTGGTCTTGTTCCCCTTTCTGAATGCGTGTCGGGAGCCCACGTAGTCGCGGATCTTGCGCGGCACGGACTTGCTCATCTAGCAGCACCATTGTGGTGAACTTCTTGCACAGGGCGCGAGCCGTGTCATGTTGCCGCCTCTGTTTTATGCCGAAGCCATTATCTCTTTCCCAGGTAGTAAAGGCACTGGGGAGGACGATTGATCGCTCCTGCACAGGACGAAACTGGTGTAAGGCCGCAAAAGATGACTAGCGGAATCCCACCGAAGTCTTAAGCAGACTCTCTCAATCTGCAGAGCTGTTCCTTGACGACGTGCAGCGTCCGAGCGCCCAGCATGCTGACTTCGTCTATGATCAAGACCTGTTTCTCCTGCCAGTCCATCTTGGTCTGCTCGTCGATGCGGAGAGCTGCCGAGCCAGGCGATGCGAAGCCATCTGGGGCACCGGCGCGGCCTACTCTCACAACTGTGTCTTTAGAAAATCTGCAAGCGGAATGGATAGTGATTCCATTGATGTTTGCGGCCGCTGTGCCGGACGCCGCCATCAATAGCAGGCGATAGGATTGCTCTGTACGAACGAACAATTCCGCGACGACAGCAATGACGCGAGACTTGCCGGTGCCTCCCTCAGGTGTGCTATAAACGAACCTCCGTAAAGACACTGTCAACATTCTCGGTCACTCGCTGCCGATATGCCGCTTGCTCCTCTCCTTGAACGTCGCTGAGAAGGGAACTCAAATACATATTACCCTGCAGCCAGAGGAGGCCGTGAAGGTGGAGCGCGCCCCTTTCATTGGCTTCTACTGCCCCATAGTACTGGCTAACCCGCCCGAGTACCGAATCCTTCCCAGCTATCACGTAGTACTGGAAGAACATGGAGATCTCCCGATGGAGGAAGATTGCCGAGCTGAGGGGTTCCGATACCGCGAGTCGAGCCCTCTTGTGCGCCTGATCAAGACTTCCTAGATATTCTTCGGCTCCGCCTGTCTCACGGGTACGGTATGCAGCCAGCTTGAGCTTTATCGGGTTCGTGATATCGCTTGGGTTGAGCGTGAATCAGATGGTGGGGATGCCCTACCGAATTATGAGGGACTTGATCTTTCGCCGCATCGTCAGCCGGCTCTCCCTTGACATCGGCTGACGGTGGCCGTAAAGTGACAGGTTCCTCAGCAGCCGGTTGACGTCTGGATCGACAGTCTTACCGCAAGCCTCTAGCTCTCCCCTCGCCTTCTCAAGCCTTAACGCGGTCAAGTCTTGGATGGTATGTTCTACGTCCGGGAAATCACTCCTTCGCATGCTTGCCATGCTCACACGGCGGTTTCTAGACCGCACGCCGATATTGAAAACGAGAAAGGAAAAGACAGGATGCGTTGCGAAGCGGCCGCCGTGTCGCTGGATCACCATTTTCAGCCAAGCCTCCAAGCCCATGTTCCGGGACGATACGAGGTGCTGCTCAGCGGCTTCCAGCTCGAAAGTAGGGTGCACTGGCCCTGCCGCATCCTTGGAGTACTCTTCGGCCTCACGGGGACCGCCATTGCCCAGCGGGAACAAGCTGGGAAATGTTTTGGCTAGAAACCAGGTGTCAAAGGAATCTGCAAAGACTTCACCACGAAAAATTACGATGTAATGCTCGACGGCACCCCCGTGCCTCACCTTGGCTGACCCTTTCCAGGTACTTCCATGTGTATGCTCCCCGGGCCCCACCTCACCCATGGACTCGACGAGATACCGTAGCTTCTCCGCCTCTGGGATATCTAGGCGCCCGTCTAAGCTGAACATGTCGGATGATTCTGTTCCGTCCACTCGATTTCTGTTATCACCGACCCAATCGTCACCATCCTCATCAGAGGTGAAGTCATCAACTTCTGGTTCTCCTGATGTGCTTAGGCCTTCGGCTAAAGATGCCATGATCTCTTGGATATCTACCGGTTCATGGCCGTCTATATCGCGCTCTTCGGGTGGGGCAATGTGCGCCGTCTGCATCTTCTCCCTCGCCGAAGGCTCGTTCCGTTCCAGTCGATCAAATACTGGGGAAGGCACTCCGTGACACGGCGCATCCCAACTATCCAATTCCGCCTCGTCAATTTCGATGTCGGCATACAACGGATTGTACTTTTTGGGCCACAGTAATGCCTCCTCAACGGCGTTACGTCGCACCGATAGTAACGTTGACAGGTCACTCGGCGCTGGTTTCTCCTGCCCCTGCCATGATATACAGACATCATCCATGACTTTCAAGAGCGGATGTGGGAGGACATTCGTTGTTAGCTCCTGCATGTTGTTTGGGAACACCGTGATATGTCCCTTCACATGTCTCGGGTAGGTCACTCCTTGTCTGTGTCCATCTGAGACGCTGTGCTTGGTGATGAAGCCGCAACACGAGTTCAGCGCAATCAGCTTCTCCTCGACCGGCGTGAGAGCTTTCAGCTCGTCAGGAAACACGTGCTCGCATCCCAACTACGTATGCAGCCGTGCTGTTGCCAATAACGCACCTCTCCCCAGGTGTCTCATGCAGTCTGCGCACCCGAGAATCTTCTGTCCTACAGGGAAGCACTGAACGCACTTGAAAGGTGAGCCGTCGCGCTTTTCGATGGCATTTGCCACCCACCAGTCCCAATCAGCATACTGCAACTCAGCTCTGCTATGCTTACGATAACAGAACATACAGGTGAGGACCGGCAGCGTTCTCACGTCGTGGAACGCTTTATAGAACTCCTCGACCGTCTTCACCTTTCTCTTGTGGCTCACAGGCAGACACCATATCTGGTCATCGGATAGCCGCTCCTTTTCTGTGAACTCTTCCTCCAATACACGCAGCACGTCGGCAAGGTCATCCGCCTCCTCAGATTGGCTCCGCTCCTGGCGCCCTACAGTTCTGGTACGTTTGCATGGCAGCGGACTGTCGTTGCCGCGAGGGCCGGACCTATTCAGTTCATTCCGATGCCTTGACTGCTGTTGAGACCCGTTACCTACTGTATCTTTGGCGCCGCCAACAATTTGGCTTTGACCCGATGACACGGTCCCCGACATCTGATGAGGACGATGACGTCACTGTGAGCTCACGTCACCACTTCCCTGGCCGTTCTCCCCGCTCAACGCCTCTAGAATGTCAGTCGACGTCCGAATGCCCATATTTGCCAGTCCCGGACTATCGACCGTCCCGCCACATACCGCAATTCTCTGGTCACTAAAATGCTCGTACTGGTGGCCTCGAAGATATCTGCCGATGTGCGTATCCCCAAGCCGGCGAGTGCCACATTCTCACGATTCCGCGCATCCAGGCTACGGAACAGATCAGACAGGCTCTCGATTTTCATCATGGCCTATGTTTACTCGCTTTCCTATCACCATGGTTCTGTCATAATGCGAGAGATCGCAGGCCACTTAACCCCCAGGGTCTTAATGCTGATGTCCGCGCATTTAACTCAGTTCATTGCTCCGTCCCGGACACCCGAACTATCCGTCTCTCTCTCCAGCCGGACTACGGCAGGACGCGTTCCGACTCAAACTCAAATAACCCCTGAATTCTTGCCCAACAACGCTTTGGGAGTCTTTCCCACCTCGGACTGCAACCACAGCACCCTCTTGATTTGGAACGGCAGTAACGTCGGCTATCACTCTGTAGGTCGACCCTGTGTCACACTCACTAAGCACCTGCTTGATAGTGAGAACAAGGTTCACGTTTAATACCTCGACGTGACATTTGTCACATGCTCTGAATACCCGACCAAAGTTCCCTTACCAAACATATTGGAATCCCTCTCTTTATAGCAAGCCGTCCCGCTCCTCCCACGAGATGTGGCACGTCTCCAATCATTATCTCTCAACTTCCGTTCAGTATGTCTCTTCAAACGACCTTCTCGAACACCTTCCACCTGCGCGAATTCGTCGACACCGTCACAGACGACCCGAGTCGGGACAACGCATCTAACTACGTGGAAATACATCCTTATGCCAACATTTTCGAGGAGAGCAGCTTCTACAATCCTAATGTCAACGTCTAGCCCATTCGTACTCGCATTCATGCTTATCTCACACGAGAAGAAAGGGACCTCTATGTGTCAAACGCCTTCTTCTGTGCCGATGGTCGCTTCTCTACTACCTTGTTACTGACGGGCCCTTGGAAATCAGTGTCCAGTCCCTCAGCTTGATGAGGCACGTCCTGTCTTGTCTGGTACCCAACCTTGATCCAACTGACTCTCCCTATATACCAGGGAGACGTGTCTGACTTTGACGAGTATCGACAACACCTGCCGGAACAGTGGTGTCCCTATGGTGACCATCATCGACTTCGTGCCACCTCGTAGCGACAAGACTCTTGACCTTTCAGAGCACCGCTGTTTCGCTGTCGAAACACCAGTCTATGACACCTCAAAGCCAGTTCCGGTTGCGTTCTCTGTCGCTTGTTTCTTAGAAAATACCAAGCGTTGGCAAAAAGTCAAGATACCGCCGTCGGGAGCTTTTCTCAGCATCACTGCCAAAGTCGCTGGTCGCACCATTGACACCAATCAGCTGGCCCTCCGTGCCCTTGACCCGGCTTACCTGCCGAGACCTGCTGCTGTCCCCATGGCCACGCCGACTCCATCCTCTACGCCGACTTCGAAGCGATCCGAACGCTGGGTAGGCCGGGCTCCTCCGTCCACTCCTTCTAAAAGGCAACGAGGCTCTGAGGATGTCAGCGCTTCAGGGAATTCCTACAGGAAACCGCTTCTACAGCCTACAGAAGGCTGGTCTCATGTATCGATTTCAGAAAATAGCCCAGATTCTCCGGTTAATTCCCCCTTTCATTCCTCCTCTCCGCCGACCACGGCCAACACTGACGAGTCAAGCATCATTTGACATCCTTTCCCAATCTCAGACCGCGAGACTGGGCCGCATCGCAATCGCCATCCCCCAAAGAAGTATCCTCATAAAGAGTAAAAAGTTGCGTTTGTGCTCAAGTCCTCAAGTCCTCATACATTTTCTACGACTCAGGCGGTAACCCAATTTGTATTTTTACCGTTCCCCTGCCATTCTGGCGTCTTATTTTACATATGCTCTCTTTCTTGCGATTTTTCCAATTCATTCTTTCGTGATCTTTCCTTCAGCATTCCGCCCGTCCTGCACCGCCCCAGCCTCAAGCCTCTCTTCTTGGGTTGACTTACTGCGTCTGATTTCGCATTTGACCCTCCAATACACGCCATTAGTAACAACCTCATATGAGGATCTCTCATTCTGTGAAGTTAGGACTTAAGTGTTTGCAAAACAGCTGTGATAGGCAATCCACAATTGCCGCAAAAGGATTGTACGTTGCGCGACAACTAGCCTCGTGCTCTTACATGAAAGGCAATATGACACGAAGATTAACACCTGCGAAGGAAGATTCATTACGGTCTTCGGACACGGCGGTGACCAGGCTCCCTGGGCTGGATTGTTGAAACTCAGCCCCTCAACTCCTTTGTCGAAACGGGACTGAAGCCAAACTGGACATTTCGCCACGTTTGCAATAAGTGATAACCTGTAGATTCTAAGATTCTGTTGTTAAATGAGCTGAATATAAATCTTCTGACCAAGAGCTTTTCAGAAATTCATTTTTCTAAGAATTCTGCTTTGTGTAGGGTTGTTTTATAGTTTCTGGGGTATGTTTCACAAGACCCGATGTAACCATTAACATCGTGTTTCAACCAAGCCTGTCAAGTAGAGGCAAGCAAGGCTAGAACGAAGATGGTGCGGGTAAAGGAGTGGGGTATTCTTAGGTGTAATGGGTGTTAACCTCAATAACACAAAAAGCTAGTTTCTTGTTGAGGTTGCATTACACATAGCCTGCAGTTATCCGCAGAAAATATTTTCCCCTGCCCAAACTTCATCTTGAGTTTCGCTCCTCAAGGCTCTTTCTGGGCAGCCCGCAAGCGGGTTGCGTCTCCTGTCAAGGTAACCTTGCCATGCGATCACGCGGATTCGTGTCATGCATAGTCACTTTCTTCGCCGTACGTGAAGCTGTTGAAAATGAAAGAGCAAGCCAATAACACCAGGTCGTCAACGCAGATTCTGTCTCAAGCGCAACGATGTGCTAGCTCATGTACCGTGTTCTTCACAGGTATGAGTCAGTAACAAATGAACTCTGTTGAGTCCTTATCAAGACTCAATCAACAGTTAGCTACTGTGTATCAAAATCACGGTACGGGTGATTTGATAAGCCCACGAAAAATGACAGTCGACCGCTGTCTACTAGCAACGCAATACCATCTGACGCATATGATTACTTCATTGGTGGACTAACTTTCTGATTCCGCATTGTTTCATCGTGTTTTTGTGCTGTTTGCATCCAAGATTGCCTCCTGACTGCTACTTCTGAGCTCTCTGTCGCGGCGATCATCCAGCTCAAAGTGCGGCTGTCCCCGTCTTGGAGTAGATGTAACTCTACCCACGCCCAAGGGAGAGAGAGGCATACTGCGTTGGCGTTGTCCCGAGCTTGTGTTATCATACGCGGGTGTCAGTGACTTTAGTTGCAGAATACTTTTGACTAAAGGCCTGAGAGAGGGCGCGCAAGCAGCAATGGTACCAACGTGAAGTTGTAGGCTATCAAACCGTAAGTTCACGAGCTGGAGGAACATGATTGTGGTCGCTTACAGGCCCCAGAATTGAACATCGTAAAGGCTGAAGGAGATCCTAGAGTCAGCAATGGCTTAACTTGGGTGGTTGTGTTGACCTACTATGTGTTATCACCCGCAGGATCATACCTAATCTGCGAAGCAGCCTTTACTATACCCATTGCAACGGCACTGTTGAGCGGTCAGCTTGGTGACGCTAAAATATCGGGATGCCCAAACATGTACGTACACGTAGCCAAGGCTCAATACAACGATGAGATAAATACGCGTCTTGAGCGGCAGTTTCAAGGGCCAGACGATCGGTATAGGCAAGGTAGCGAATGCGACATCGGTAAAGATATTGAAGGCTATTCGAAAAATCAAGATAACTAAAATCCGCTCTAAAGCACTGAAAGATTGACGATTTGCTTACCAGAATTGGCGAGACCGAATGCCACGAACATTGACACTGGGTAGCAAGACCCTTCAAGAGAGCTGTCCCACTGTTTCGCGGTAGGTCTGCAGAAGAGAATGAACGACATCCATGCTTCAAATGTGTATGCGATGACAAACACTTCACAAATCTGCTTAGTCCACAGTTGATCATGGCAACAAGCCAGAGGGGAGAACTAACCAATCAGGCACCTCAAAGCAATGTCGTACCACCGCCATGAATTACCATTGTACTTAATAAGTTCGAGGGCAATTGCGATTTTGAGAAGACCGATGCCTCCAAGAAGTGAGACAACCGTGTGGATGAAGCTGTATTTGCCAAAGGCGGCATAGTCAGATCGCTCGATCGTATCTGCATGCTTACCCAGCCCGTGTGGAATTTGTATGCAGAGGATAATTGTGCCTACAAGCCCTGTGGACTGATGCGGTGATTAGTGATTACTTGTTTGAGGACATGCGTCAACCGCATGTTGATTGGAAGCGACGAGCTGTCCGCGAAAACTTACAGCACTTAGAACCATGAGCACATCTTGGGCGCCGTGGGACTTGGAGATAACTAGGCGGGTATAAGTCCTTGCGGCGACAACAACGAGTGCCAGTAGGTTCACCGAGGCGATGATGCCTATGATCAATGCTGTTTGGGATTCTGCTACCCAATTAGGGTCTGTGTTTAACACAAAAATTGGAGGAGCTGCCATCTTGTAGGTATCAGGAAAGTTATTCATACGAAAATCGGAAAAAGAAAAGAAAAAATGTTGAAGAGTCAAGAAAGAAAGGTACATTGAGTGTTAGTAGTTAATTACAAGCAGGGTTCAGAGACGATGAGATGTCAACAGTCACGTGTGATAAGATCACATTCCAGTCTGTAGCACGATAACACCAAGACTAGCATTGTAGCAGCCTCGGGGAGTAAGAAAACACCGGACCGTAATACAAGGTGCCAAACATAAACTGATTAAAAGGTATCCTAAGTTCCTTTAGGCTCAATTTTTACTAACTTACCAAAGTCTATTTGTTGTTTAGGATCATGGTCCTGAGTTTTCTTTCCAGTCAAGGTCGTCTAGTGGGTGATCTCTCGTATGCACATTAGTGGTCCCACCTCTGCACCCTGGAAGTCAAAGTTCCCCCTGAATACTCCGTACTGCATATTGCATATTGCCACTTATCCGCCACCGCGAAAAGGCCCATTAGGGTATTGCTGGTTATTGGTTGTTGATTGCCACTAAATCTTAGCTGCTCATGTCCAAATGCTCGATCAGATAGATCGTACGAGATACATGTCGCTTATGGTGCATCTTCCTACGCCGAGAAATTGGATTTAGTGATCAAGTGTCGCCAAAAGTAGGAACGTATTTCATACAATAACACTACCAACCGAAACCTGTGCTGATTCGCACCAGGTTATCGTGTTGGGTGTCCCATGCGCCAATTCTGCAATTGAGCGGATTGTGCTTGGCTAATGTGGTCGATCATCCCGGCTCGGCCTGCCAGATTTACGCCCTGGACATGGACCGCCGTTATCGGTGACAAATAGCCATGAGGCAATATTATCACTTAATGGGGCTTGCTCCGGTGTGGCGGTGGCAAGGATTGCGAAAATGTGCATTCCAATTTGTGCCGCATTCGGCTGCGGACTGATTTTCCGGTATTTCCGTGCATAGATTAACTGGTTGCAACTCTTATTGTTTTTTGCCTAATCATTCTCTCTCTTTGTCTATCACAGAATCACTAGGACCAAATGCGAAAGTGGTATACTATGCACTTCTTTGGAATACTCAATATTTTCTTCGGCGTCTTGTCGCTCACTGCGGCCTCATCCGCCGAGAACTCTACTAGTGATCTTGTGCTGGACCTTAACACTCAGGCGATATCTGCACTGAAGGATGTTGAGGCACAACTCCATAGACGATCCGGCCCCAAGAAGTGCACAATTTTCAATGCCTTCATACGCCGTGATTGGTGAGTCTATCTCCTTACTGTTTTTCACCGTGTCGTGACCCCAATATAACGATAATGTAGGAGAGCCCTTTCCAAGAGAGAGAGACGCGCTTTCATTGACGCTGTGTTGTGCCTCCGCAAGAAACCCTCCAAGGCTGATCCGGCTTTTGCACCTGGTGCCCGCACAAGATACGATGATTTTGTAGCTGTCCACATCAACCAGACTCTGAGCATCCACGGAACAGTAAGAGTTGTTTTGGAAGTCATCAATTGCATCTGACCATTGCTTCAGGGCAATTTCTTCACCTGGCATCGATATTTTACTTGGGCCTTTGAACAGGCTCTCCGAAATGAGTGCGGATACAAGGGCACTCAGCCAGTGAGTACATATTTTCGATGATCACCGTTGCGAATCGCAAGCTCACAATTGACTACAGTACTGGAATTGGTTCGAGACTGGCGACTTTGCCAACAATCCTATCTTTGACGGTTCCGAGACCAGTATGAGCGGCGATGGCAAGTACGTCCGGCACGACGGTACTCTTTCCGGCATGCAGAACATCTTCATTCCCAGCGGTAACGGTGGCGGCTGTCTCAAGGATGGTCCCTTCCTTGGCGCTGTCGCCAACCTCGGTCCCCCTTCTCCTGGTATGGATGGAATGGAAGCCACCTCGACTCCTCTTGGATACAACCCCCGCTGTCTCCGTCGCGATCTAAGCCACTACGCCATTGATCAGTGGATGACTCTGCCCAACCTATGGAACATTACCCTCGGCAAAGCTTCGCAGAGCATCAAGTCCATGCAGGACGAGTTTCAGGGCCGATTTGCTGATGAATTCTTGGGTATCCACGCCGCCGGTCATTTTGTCATGGGCGGCGACTCATCCGATCTCTTTTCCTCACCAAATGATCCTATCTTCTTCCTCCACCACTCCATGGTCGACCGCATCTACTGGATCTGGCAGGCTCTCCACCCCAAGCAGTCTCAAGACATTGCTGGTACTATCACTATCCTGAACCAGCCTCCCAGTAGAGACGCCGTCAAATCTGATCCCCTCAACATGGGAGTTAATGCCGACGAGATCACCATCGATGACGCACTAGATACCCTTGGAGGCTCTCCCTTCTGTTACTTCTATCTGTAGGGCACGATTGAGCATGGCTTCCAAATGAAAGAGACTTTACAGAGGGTATCAATTTGCGATTGACAATGAATTACCTTCACTTCTCACTGGTCTCCCGTTGTACTGTCCTCAAGCGGACTCTGGCGTACCATCTCCCAACGATAGCAATGCGTTCAATGAAGAATACGCAATATCAGAGCGAATACTTCATGACGTTATGACGTGATAAACTCGAGGGAATTACATTTTTCTCACACAGGGTGATCTGTTAAGGCTAGGGGTTACGTTAGGTTATGTTATGTACATTTTCATCCGAGGGAGTCTGAGACCACAAAAGTTCCATCTAGACAGTAACCACAGAATGAAATTGGCTAACGAAAGATCGGTTATCCACACCACGAAATTAGTCTTCTTCTCGGATTTTCAGTTGTTTCCAACCGCGCCAGTAGACAGCACTTTATCCAGCACATCATCGGCGCAAATAGCTCGTCCTATCGAACCCGTTGCCCGTGCTCAGGCGCGGCTAGTATATCGTGTGAAGCCTTGTTAGGAGAGTACGCCTTTCCCATCTCACAGAGGTTTTCCAACTCTATATTCAATCGTTACTCGAAACGTATTGTTACTGACCCTTCTATAGCCGAGAGCATTTTCTGTGCCTAGCGTAGGGATAGACTCGTTAGCCCAGTACATCGTGTGCCCGAATATGGGACTTCTGGGAGCTCAAGCCCTCCGAACGAAAAAGTGACATAATATAACAGAGGCGCAATGACATATTACGAGATTGATCTACGGCACGGCAAAATGAGATCGTCTGTTTGTCCCATGCTAGCAGACTAAGATTAAGATTTCTGAGCGTGTCAACAATCCGTTAGCCAGGCTAATTGACTCCGTTCGTATGAAGATCCCTGTCAAAAGTGCCTTCTCGAATCCCTGATAGATAGATAGATAGATAGATAGAGTTTATTACGCCCAGAAGAACGAATCTTATAGGGCCAGTAGCTACGCTAAACTGTTTGCGCTTCTCCGCTGTCGTCCACACCACCCGGTGAAGCCCCATTCTTCTTGCCCATTTCTTTCCAAGCCCCGCTTACTTGACTCTGCTTGACAGGCCTGCTTGAAGGCCAACTAATAATATCTCCAAGTGTTCAGCATCCTATCTCCAGCAGCTGAAGCATGGTCTGTCAACTCGAGGCTGTTTAGTGTTAGTAGGTRTCTATGAAATCAATGCTCAATATGTTCCGTTTGCCCCTTCAGATCAATCTTTCCGTCGCCGTTGCAAATTTGATTGCTGCTCGCACTGCCTCTAGGTTAGGTGTCCATTTGGGCCCCTCCGACGCCGATTTTCCACCGAGAAAGAAGGAAAGGTTTCCCATCATGCTTTGTCCGGCCTGTCGCATCACTTCGCGCTCCGTCTCCCATCTTGCGCATCKGAAGAGAAAATGCTCCATCGTCTCGGGTGCGCGTCCGCACTCGCACATGTCCGACTCGGCCGCGCCTATCTTGCATAAGTAGCTATTGATCCTCGCCATTCCTGTACGGAGTTGTGCGAACACGTCGGCTTCTCGTCTCTTGAGACTGTCATACAGCACCTTTGTGTGCTTGCCTGATAGAGCTTGTCTGGGTAGCATAAGTGAAACTGATCCTTGGCTGGATGATGAGTTGTTATGTCAAACGGGTTCTTCCAGGGCTCTTGGATGGCGAGGGTGTCGTATCGTCCTATGTTGGGATCTCGTAGAAGCGTGGCCATGACTGTGGCTCTTGATTTTTGGACGTTGTACTGTAGTATTGTAAGCATGTTTTCTATTAACATTCTTGACCATCGATTTCCATTGGCTGGCTGTTGTGCTGTGTGATCTATCTATTGGCGTCCAGTGTTTCTAATGCTCTCCTGGAAGGAGCGGCTGTTCGCCTAGGCCTCTGACTGTTCAAGTTTACGATGATCTCGTTCTCCGGGCCATCTGGTGTTGGCTGATCGATACTTGAGTTTACTCTTTTTTGTTGCTTCTTTGTTGGCGATCTGCTTCGGGACGAGTTGATGTCCCGGAGTCGACCCTGTTCCAGGATGGGTCGTCCCGTCCTAGCAATTGGGTCCGATTCGCTTTGCCGGCCCCGTGCCCTAGTTCCGGTTGTGATCCTGGGAATGAAGCTTTCCAGTTCCAAGTGGTATCTGGGTCTCGATTTAGTGGCTGCCTTGGCCTTGTTGATCTCCTGCTTCCTGGTAGGGCACTGGCTATTCCAGGCTTCGTGTGATGCGCCACAGGCGGCCGCATTTTCGTGGGGCGTTCCTGTCGCTCTTGGCTGGGCAGTCTCGGGTCGCGTGTTCTTGCGCGCAATAGCCGCATGTTATCGTTGTCTTGCACTGGGTTCCTATGTGGCCATATTTGTGACACTGGAAGCATTGTCTCACTCGGCACTGTCTGTCATAGAGTTCACATTGGAACACCTCGCCTTGCCAGATGAGGCCCTCATCGATGACTTTGTTTGCGTCTTCTGGTCTCGTARACTCAACTACGACCGAAGATGCTAATTTGGTGAGCGAAGATCTCGTCAGCCAGCCTATGTACTTGATCTCCGCAGTGGGTATGAAAGGCTTGTTATCCTGCAGGATTCCATTTCTGATGAATTCAAAGTTGTCCATGTCCATTTAGCTAGTGCGCACGCCGTGTACCAAGACGCCACTAAGCTGTGCTGGACTTCTTCCATGGCCTGTTGAGCTTTGGTGCTTATGTTGTTGAGGTCATTTCTGAGGCTGTTGGTATTTTGCGCGAAACTTTCTGCTGCGGCTTTTGTTTCGGCTTGATCATTTTTGACAGTTTCGTAGACGTGGCGAAGATCGGGCGTGCTCTGCATTTTGACGATGAGGGTGAGAGCTCCAATGAGTGCGTCCCGAACGCCTCGAGATGCTACGTGTAGGCCATCGCCATCGTTGATGGCTGACAGAGCTTTTAGAAGATATTTGCTCGAATTGGTGGCGTGCTCTCGGTAATCAGTGGGTCAAGTTTCGTCCTGGGGCCACGGGGACGCCATGATGCATGAATCGCACTGGGCAATGCGGCCAGCACTGGGCAATGCGACCAGCACTGGGCTATCCAATTCACTTATCGGACCAATGTTGCGGCGCTGTAAATAGTTGTTGTTTTCAAAAACTTCGTTCTTGCTGGTGCAGATGTTTTTCGCGCTGATCAGACGCGGCGGATCATTTGTTCGCACGACTTGTTTTGTTAGTCATGTGACATCGACACCAATGGTTGACGTGGGGTGGCGAAGTTGTTGATGTGAGATACGCAACATGATTGAATGAGACAGATTCACAGCACTGTTGTTTGCAACGACTGGAGCTGCCAAAACGAGAGAATGATGGCAGGTCGGATTCAGGAGCCACTGGGCATTGCACCTCATGCCCTCGCGACCCTGGTGTCAGGCCTAGAACGAGCAACTTGGAAGCCAAGTGATCTGAAAGGAGTGTCGACACTATGCAACCCGGGAATCGATCTTGTGCGGTCCAGCGCGGCTTTGTGGAACGGTTTGGTCGGAAACAAAAAGGTGCCTCTCAAATATGTGTTCATAAAAACAAGGCACTAATCAAAAGACAGATACGTCGCGAAGAAGATTCTGGCAACCTCCTGCGAGCAGAAGGATTCTGCTGTTTGACGATCTCCAGAACGACCCATATTGTCCCACTGACTATCTCCGGACAACCGCCAATGATTGACAACGTTGCGCTTGAGACGGGTACCATCACCCACATTGAAAAGGGGAAAATTGTGATAGATGCCGGAACGACAGTCCTTTTCGCTATCTTATCCGAATACACCGGCCAGGTCATGATTACGAATGGATCAAATCCAGCTGCAAAGTAAACAGTATACGCATGCAATATCGTGAAGTCGTCCAAATTATGGTGGGGAAAAGGGATGTGATGGCGATGGGGTATCGTGAAGTGGGCGAGATCGTTGTTGCCATGGACTTGAAGCAGTGTCGAAATGGTCTTCTCAAGGTAGCCAGGTTCTGTAGGCAGGTCTGCTTTGTGTCCAGAGTCTTCAAGTCCTTCTTGCTTCTAATGAGAGTGGTGTTCTCCTCGGGGTCACTTGCTTCCATGTCGCTGTCGGGGTAAGCATTTTCGCTTTGTTGCTCTGAGATTTGTCCGCTCTGCGCGTCGTGTCATAGAAAAAAGGTCACGATATTACTCGAACTTACCAAAAGGCTCGAGTGAGCATCAGAGATCCTTGGCAGAAGAAGTCTCCAGGAACTATGCCACTCCTTCTTTCGATCTGAGGCATAGTGGCAAAGGCAGCGATAGCCCGAGTACCTCCATGACAATGAAACTCTTCGTCTATGACTCTTATGTCTAGTTGCTTATGCTTGCCGTGATCTACGACATTCCGCGAACGATATGCAGTGACGTCCCGCTCGGCACACTTGGCGTGCTACGAAACAGCTCCTGAAATTGGATTCGATTCAGCTACGGACTCTCCAAGTGGATAGACAAGAGAGATCAAGCCGAGGCTTCGTGTACTCTGTCTGGATGTATCGCGACTGCGTCCATGATATCATGAATCTGGCCATCGATGACAACAACCCTTAGGTTGGCTTGTAGGGCGGTTGAATGGGTGATTATGATCAGACAAAGAGCAGATAGATGGTCTTAGGACGTAGAAACTACAATCAAGATAGGTAGAAACTGATAGTTGTATGACGAACTCCGTCAGATGCCAAACAGCCATGGCTTCGAAATTCAGAGATTATGGATCCTGAATTGCAGATTCTGCCAATTGTCATAATCTAGTGGCGGCAACGTTTATGCTTCCATGGTTATCTGACGACATGCGGGTCTCATAGCCCATGCAGTTTAAACCCACAAGTTAGCATAGGGCTTAGAAGTATCCCGCTCTTACGTATAGCAGGCTGGACACAGACAACTGGTCATTGCCTCCAACCCAGTCTCACGTAGATGCTAAGTCGGAATAAATAAGGATCACGTGTCCGTTGTGTTCTTACGTCTGGAGTTTGGGACGATAGTTAAGAACAAATCCCTATTACTGAGGGTTCCCATGTCACAGATACGATTTACCAGTCTACCTCACTGTGACCCTTAACCAGGGTCAGGATTGGCTGTGGTTCTTTCTTTTTGCCACATTCTTAACAGTGAAGCAGTAGCTTGCGAAGACTCATACTGCAATGAGGCTTTTATGTTAGAATGTGGCAATTGACGCAATCTTCAACCAAAAAAGTGCCACGCGCCGGATTCTCCCCCTTAGCCCATCTAATTTGATTAACGTGCATGATAAGCGAGTGCTCCACTGCACTGTATAACTAAAAATCACCTACCCTATAAGACTTCACTACTTTAAATAAAATAGTTAAAAATCAAGAGAAAATATTTCTACTAATAGTATAGTGAAAGTTATTGAATAGACTTTTTTGAATATTCTTTAAAAAAACATCCAAAGGTTAAAATGTTATTTATACAGTGTAGATAGATTTTTTAAACACTAGCTACACAGAGATTTATTTTATATATGAAAAAAATAATGTAGCTTATCTTAAAACTCAAAAATAAGCTATCAAAGTTATAGCTAGTTTTAACTTAATATAAGCTTTTTATAAGCTCTTAAAAACCGGATTTTAAGGTATACAAGGCAGTGGAGCACTCGGTTATCATGCACGTTATTTATGATCTGTTCGCTGTCAGTTTCAACGCATCACGATGGACCTCAACGATACACCGTAAACGGTCAGAACCTCGGCATTGCAGATGCTGTCAAACAGCATCCGGAATTGGTTCGCGAGGCGCTTGCTGAAGGTCTCCTTTCTATACCTCTTGAAGATTCGCACGTTACTCGGATCCGACTTCACGAAAATTTCCGTCGCTCTCTCAACGCCAAACGAGACGTCACACCGTATCGGTTACAGAGCGTCATCAATAAGGCTCGTCGTGAAAACCTTGATCCAAACTCACCAGATGCAAAAATCTACGAGCACGGGGGCGCCAATGCCATTGCGGCATATGCTGCGGCGGCGGCAGATCAACAACATGTCTTATCGCTCCTAGAAACACTTCCCGACCATGATCTTCGTCGTTTACTTAAAGCAATCGATGAGATTGAACCGCATCCTGATCTTCGCTATATGACTGAAAGAGCGTGCCGAAAGACATCCACCGTATCGTCCAAGCGTAAACACATAGCTGGACCACGGCGACGTCACACTGCTCGACAGATCAGCTTTCGCTGGAAAAGATGAGCAATTGCAACAGACGGAGACTGGGAATGGGAGAAGGAGATTGAGTCATCAGTGTTCTTCGATAGCCTGAGGTAAGTGGAATCTCTAGTTTTTCCTGTGCATACATAGAATTATCCAAATAGGTAGTCTTAGGGCCAATATCGGCGTTAAAGATACGTGATCACGCGGTCGCAAATCAAGGAAGCAGAAAACGAGGTGTCTCGTAGGATGCAAAGCAGAACAGTGCATCCAGCTCTGCACAGAAGAAGAGGCGAGATTCGGCAGTTTTTTTTAACCAAGAGTTTCTCGACCGTTGTCGGTACCGAAAATGGCCGTCGTAGTAGTTCGTGGGCATTATGCACCTGACAATGATACTATATGCAGTGTCGTGGGTTGTGGTGTGTATTTCCTCTTAACCGACTGTCCAGTGTGATCCCTTGATATTTATTTAGTAGCATATCCATACATAGCAGCCGCCCTCAATCATTTGGCTATGAACTTGAAAAGGGGAGAATGAGGGATAGCAGAAAGAGATAGCGATTAGTGGTTTGCCTCCAGTGTAGCCGGCAATGGCTATTCTCATAATGCTACTCGCAGGGTATGAGCTCCATGGGCCGAAACTTTTAGTGGAGGAGACATGACAACGCCTTAAAACCCGACGCCACTCACCAGCCACGGTCACCTGTGCGACTATGCACGCCAATGTAACATTTATACCTAGCTCGCTCCTCCGTCCTTCGCTTATGCTGAAAATTTTCAAATTTATGGTTTGTGGATCACAGTGCACCTGAATTCCTTATTTTTGACATGAAGAATCTGTGTCTCATAAGGCTAAAGATGAAATATGAGCGGGGTTTGGTTGCCCCCGGCGGGCGCCGGAGCCGCTGTCCCCGTTCGACCCCGATTAACTAGCCCAAGCACCGGTTTTTACATCGAAGCGCTCCGACCTCATTTTTCGGCCGTTATAAGGGATAGGTACCGATGCCCAGTCTAATAAAATCCCTCTTTCTCATCAATCTTTTTTACTTGTCTATCCAAGTTATCATGTTATCCGTTGGCACAAGCTGTCCTCAGTCTTGTCTTACATGGCACAAGCAGAAGTCATCCAAGGCAATTGTTATTGAGGTACCATCTATTACCCTTGTGCGACCTTCAAACGACCAAACCTCCCTCCGACAATACGTCGACATAGGCTGACCATTTAAAAGGTCTAAACGAAAGCGCCTATAGCGAATAGTGGTGAGACTAGAGAGACCTCATGACATCTATTTAAAGGCCATGTCGAAACTCACTCGGTGTAAAAAGATTGTATTCGACGACAACAACCGGCCGTGGGGCCTGGATCGTATTGAGGAGAACATCAAAATTGTGCCTCAGCGTTTGCTGACGTTCGAGTCAGCTTCGAGCGTTGCGTCCGTCTGTTACGCTCTATGTTCTCTCTGCCGCGGTTGCCAGCAAACTCAAGATTGAGACCCTTGATGAAGAATACCAGTCGAGTCAGCCCTGATATGCTTCCTTACTTGCCAGCCCCTATCATAAATCTTGGCCGCTTATACCTTGTCCTTGACTCTGATCTTCCTGAATCGGGTCACGCTTGGGCCTGGGAAAAACATCTTGTTCACTCCATCCAATCGTTCCCGGAATTGATACGTCTAACGCTCAAGTTCGAGAAGCGAGACGCCTCTTCTCGATTTGGTGAAACTTCCTCAAGCATATATATTCCGAAGCTGAACAGTCTTACTCTCAGTTCGGTAGGCTGCACGAGCGATGAGTTGGCGAACTTTCTTGATCGTCATAGGGTAACGCTTCGTGAAGTCAGACTCAGCAGCATCAACTTCACATAGAATCGACCCCTGACATTCTCTTGCCAAGGGTATCCGCGTAGCCTGGATATGAGCTATTTTCCATGGAAGAGTGTTCGACGGGCGACTCGTATGTGGAGGACGAACAATGAGAGGCGACTGGCGCTTAGGGCTTGACAGATCTTATAGTTGCGTTATCGAATTGAAGGCCAGATATTGGGCAGAGAACAACAACGCTCATTCCGTCCTGAAGCGCCCTGTTTCTGACACCAAACATCTGCACTTTCGCGGGGCTCTTTGTCTCAACAGACTTGCATATCTGACGAGGATCTTTCGCTCGAAAGGAGCCTGTACTAGCCAACCAAAATGGGTACCTACAGGAAGACTGTTACGGAAGATGCAGCCAGCGATGAAAACTTATACTTGCCAGATCAATAGAGATATTGCTTGTTGGATCCCCACCGCTCACGATATCGACGGCGACGAAGGATTCTCGGCTGTCCTTCTTTCACAACGATGGGTTCAAAAATAAGTTCTACGATACTCTCGAGAAGGACATTGACCAAACCATATACAGTGAGTTCATGGCGCAGTAAATAGCAAGGAGGGATACATTACCTAAGGAAGTTAAATATTTGGGAGTACACGGCACTTTTCTCAAGGATGTGATCAAAAGATTCCACGCTCCGCAATACGATGGCGGACGTCGACGGCACAGAGTCTCACGTACGTTATTCCTCATCTCCTAATCAAGTGACGTGGTTGATGAGCGAGCCGACCAAAAAGCCCTTACCTTATATCATTACTATCAATCAGAAAACATCATAGTAGCCCCTCAGAGTCTATTGTTGAAGCTTTTAAGTCAGCTACTAAGGCCACAAAGGCAGTTGTGCATGAGGTTACCCTATTGAGGGCTGAGCTTCGCAATCTTCGAGATGCAAATGAGTTACTGAGCCGGCACCGTATGGCAAAAAGGACTAGACTACAGAAAGGAGGCACTATAACTGAACAGAGAGCATTGCAAGTAATTGATCAGATGGATGTTGATACGCAGGTAGTGGCCGAATCATCAAGAAGTGGTGGTCGAGGGAGGTCAGAGCGACCGAGCAGTCGGCGCTGTGGTGTATGCGACAAAGGCGGTCATAATGCAAGGACTTGTGAGGATGTTCTCAAGTCATCAGGGGAGGAGTTTAGGCAGCGAAAGTCGCCCTTTTCAAACTAAAGCTTGAGCTTTTGAGTTGTAGTTTAAAAAAGTTGAGGAAAGTGGTCGGCTCGCTTATCAACCACGCTAGCCAAAAACGTGATTGAAGGCTCTGAGACTCAGGCGCCCAGCAGAACGTGGCCCCTGCTCACGTGAACTTGCATCAGGCTATGAGATGCGGGGTTTTCTGCATGACTACCCTCTCATCACTCGCTTTGCCCTTCTATGTTGTAATAATTGTCATCATTATAGGTACATTGCAATGAGTAGCAATTGGCAGGAAATGGCCGAGAACAGAGGCGAGCATCTCCTGGTGACAATTCTTCCGGCACTAACTTGGAGCAGTACCTGATCAGCCTATACGATTCCTGGCTACAGACTGCAGTGATCTGTTTGAACAGATCATCGATGCCGATTTTTGCAATCAGCAAGAAATAACTTCTCAAACAGTTGAATATCGTGATGCCTTTACTACCTTGACGTCATTCTTGTGTATTTTCAACGAACCTGACTCGTCCCTTGACAACCAGCTCCGAAACCACGAATCCATCCAGGATGTAATGATCCGCCTATTAGAATTGTTGCGACAGAATTTGGTCACTGGTTTGTAATCGTCTTTGGTCACCAATTAAAGCTTGTCCAACTGTGGCTGACTGAGATCTCATAGTCTTCGATTTAGTCTCGAACACGAAATCCGAGCTTTCACTGGATTTCCAGTCAGACGCGAGTGTGGCTCTGACTGGAGTCAAGGACACAATGAAAAGTCTCAATAAGCTTGCAATAACTATCAAACAACCATCCAGGTCATACGCACTCACTCTAGCTCGGGCTTTTGCAACTTCAAAGCGACACCTGGAAAATCTTGAGGAGCTCATTCTGACATCTCTTGAAACACTGTACCCAAATGCGCCTGAAAGTCTACGCGAGCCCATATGTAACACGCTCACTGACAGGTACGCAAGATTAGAGTACAGTGCCTATATAAACGGCAAACCATGCTCCAAATCTTCGAAGCAAGCTCAAGGCGGTGAAGCTCATACGAGGCCGAAGATTGAGGACGAAGCCGTTAGAAATACCTCGGTTATTTCAAGATCCAGAACTGTAGAGCTTGACCATATTCAGAACACGACACAAGAGGAAAGCCCAAACTCACAACTAAAACCACGTTCGTCACTCGACACTGAACTCCTACGTAGGAGTTTTAACGACGAGCACATTAAGAGGTCTCAGTCGAACAGAACCTTGTCTATTTATGAAAGCGATGGCCAATTGTATGAGCCTAAACCACCCAAATTTGAGGCTGGTGAATCCCAGGTCCAACGCGAATGGTGTCATAAGCTTCTCGATCAATCTGTTGTGAGGAACAATAGACGGTCAAATATCGGACGGTAATTTGTCAGCCGATTGGATAATTATCATGTGCTAATGACACTTATAAATCAAGGCTTCACTACAAGCGTGATCTCAAGCCATTTCCATGTCTTTCTGAAACGTGTGGGGAGTCTCGTCCTAGCTTCTCGTCTCGGAAACAGTGGCTTGAGCATATGCGATCGAATCACTCTATGGCCTGGCCCCAGTCTCTCCATGGCGCTATGATCTGGGTTTGCGGCGACCACGTTGAGGATGGCAGGAATATTCCGTACGCTTTCTCTTCTAAGAACGACCTTGACCAGCACATGCGCCTGATACATCATTCGGATAAGCCGTTATCCGACGATGAGTCCACGGAGTATTTGAAACACCAAAGTTCACTTATCGACACTATGTCGCCTTCATATTGTCCATTATGCTTCTTGGTGGTTGAGAACAGTCTTGAGGCGAAACCAACATCATCTTTGAAGTCCGGCGGGATCCCACCAGAGCCGTCTGAGAGGGTTCAAAGAAACAAAAAGGATCAAAAACGCGTAGACTCTGGCGCCTGGTTCGCAGACGATGTCAAGGCAGCTTCTGATATTGATACTGGCGATAACCAAGACCATGACTCCTCCACTCTCTTTCCATTGGAAATACACATCGCAGCCCACTTGCAAAACTTGCTTGTTCTGTCGCTGCGCCTCATGGGAACTCTGGAACATGATAGAGACGAAGAATACCTCACTGGCCCGCATGGCTCAGACAGCCTTACAAGGGGATCCGTTTCTTCTACGCAAGACGGCCCGGAGTTAGACATTTGGTCCACCGAGGATCCAGCGTCAGTGTGCATTTCTGAGTGAGCGACGTTGGATGACGCAGAGGATAGACTGGGGTTTGGCGCGAAAGAGGGCGAGCTGGTAGATCTATGGAGGAAGAGTGGGGGACAGCCACTGAAGCTCTGCCGTTATCGATCCTGATTTTATAATGGTGGCAGATGGTTCGCTGATGTGTCACATGTACCTTGCATTCGACTCAGAGCTAATAGCAGCTTGGCAAGCGCCAAACCCATTCTCCTAGCTCATTGAAAGTCAAATATTGGACGGATCGCAAAAACAGACTAGCCAAGATCGACAAGGCCAACCAGAGGGTGCCATCCAGCCCCTTAACAATTCATCAAGGTGTGTTCGAAAGACTTGCTGACTTTCTATCTGGACCAAAAGGCTCGGACTTGCCTCGAGGTGGCCAGAATGGGATATTGACAATAGTTGCCAATGAAACGGTCCTGGCATTGCTGTAGGATCTTGTCAACAATGCACTCAGCCACTCGAGTCATCCCAGGGAGCAACCTCACGCACTAGATCGGAAAGGCTTTGAAGATGAGGTGAAGTTTACAGAATAGCTTGCTCTCATCGTTTACATCTCTGCAGCTAGTATACTCAAACAGCGTTGCCACGTAGTCTACAACGTCACGGATTAACTCAAAGTATTCACAATGCAGAGTCTAGTTTGAAGTGAGCCAGCCGATCCATAACCGTTAGAGAGCTCCCTCAACCCATATGTCCTGCACCCTATGTTCTTTATCTCAATCAGATCACATTTCCAGCCCGTCACCTGTATCGAATAACCAAATCATGACTCGTACCTACCATTTCACTGAGGTTGTGCCCCCGATGGGTACAAATACAACCTCGATCAACGCTTTTGTCAATCGCATCATCAATGATGCCAACCGAATGGCCGACGATGCCAACCAAGTCGATCACAAAAAAGGCGTTGTAGCCAGAGAATATGGTTATGGTGGCGGTATCATAAACCCCACCGTGATAGGTGGTGGCAGACAAATCAACCTACTATCTACCTCAGTCTGGATCGTGAACCCCCTGGTTGTAGGGAACGGAGTGCAGGTCAACTATGCGTATTTTTTTGCGACCTACCTTCTGGAATACCTAATTGAAGACTCTGTAGCTGAGCTGGCCAAGGCTTTGTGTGATGGACTCCACTTCTAGATGTGACCAACTGGCTGCGCTACGACTCACGTACAACTACTGCTTGGTCTTATGTCCGGACTCCATTCCTGACATGCGGGTTGGCCAGACTTACCAGGCAACGTCAATTAATGAGTAGCCCCAACCAACCGGTCACAACCTCATAACTCATGCTTCTCTTGCCGTCTATCATCGCCTTGATATCCGTGTTGCTCGACTAGATGTTACTCATTATTTTACTCATTTGACTGCAGCTTACTATCTATACTACCTGTCCAGTTTGGTTGTCGAGATCCTCATCCGTAAGCTGTCGAGTTGACGATTTTTAATCTAGGCTTACAGACCAACCTGGCTATTCACCACGAAATCTCCCATTCAATCCCTTCATCGCCTGTCTGCTCTTCAGAACCGGTCGCATCCCGCGTTGCAGCCACCAAGACCGCGTGCAGTCCATATTTATATCCGACGGCAAAGCAGCGGGGAGCGTCCCTGACACATATTGCCCTCGGGGCCCAGCTCATCTCCAAGACGTCTGACAACAAACAGCATTTTTTCAGCAGGTTTGGTCGCTGCAGTATCTGAAAACTGTCACCTCCCACCACCACAGCAACTCCGCCCTGAACGATCGAGCAAAGCGACAGGCCCTATTTCGCATATTCGGTATCCTCCGCCTCCTTCGACCCTGCACTTCAATTGTTCTGCTGATCATTGGGATGGCCAACAGTCCCATCCATCTCATTGGCATATGAAGAATCACACGCAGGGGCATCTTTCGATGGCATTTCCAACTGAATCGAGGCCTGGTCTCATGCCAACACCTGATATCCGCACCTCATGTGAAGCAGACGGCAGTGAAATGGGCATTGAACGTATCTCAGGTGTGGAGACTTACACTCTTCGAATACGGCAGCAACCAACTGCCGCTCGAGCATGTGGTTGGGGGAAAAGGGACAGGAGACCCGTCGATCCAACTCCAATCGTCGACCTCCTTGTTGACGCCCCAAACCTTACCAAGGACGAGATAAACAATATTTTACACTGTTCACGCTATGCAATGCTCTGTCTCATTCGCGACGAGTCCGGAAAATGCGATGCCTCGATCGTACCTGGGGACGAACGGAGGCGTCACCAGCTCCTGGGTAATACAGCCAGCGCTCCTTTTTTGGCAAGGATGAACATGAAAAGCAGGGTTGCTTTTTCTGCTTCCCGGACTTATCTGTCGGAGCTACGGGAAAATTTTGCCTCTTATTTCGATTGGCCAGGGTTGAGCTAAAGCGTGAGGGGGGTCGAAGCGTTTTCCGGTTTTAGCTGAGATAAAGAGCGAAGTCTTTACTGTTTACACGGCGAAGGACTTTCCAGGAATGCAAGCCATCACTGCGTTGACCAAAACGCTCAGTAAACAAGGCTGCGCATTCCCCACCAGGCAAGGCAAAGAACGTTCCAAGAATGCCAGGGGACACGATGATTCAAGCGAAATGGAGCAAGATGATGGCAATGGAGAGGAGATTAATGAAAGAACGGCCGGCCCAGTGAAGAGGCAGCGGGTTGCAACAAGATAATGGATACTAAACACGTCACATGCTGCGTTAATTTCTCTCTCGTAGCAAGTACATTTGCACGACGTAGACAAGTAGAACTGGTCAACATGACGCTGTCCTTCTCAAGATACCAGGCATGCGTAGATGCCCCTCCTGCAAAGGGCTCGCAAGACGTTTTCTCCCAAGCACTGACGGTTCAGCACCAGACCCACAGCGGGACAAGATGCGTTGCCGTGCATTGCACAGTGCATTAGTCCGACTGAGCGCGCGGGGCTCGGCTACGACGCGGTTTCCAGGATGGCTCGCTTTGATGGGCGATCCCTGGTTTGCGCCAGTGGTGCCGCTTCCCCGCACGCGAGACCGCGCTCAAAACGTTCTTCACAATACCCGGAGTGACAATATTCAGTGCTAGCCTTGATACGGCATCAATTGTTCTGCCCGACAACGGCAGTGTGCTAATGATGCAAGACCAGCTAAGGACCATGATCTTTTGGATACAACCTTTTCGCCCCCATCCGGAACCCAGAACCGAACCACCAAGCTTTCGATTGAGCCTCGTTCCCTTCTCGAAATTATGGACTGAGTACTACAATCAACAAGCCTCTGGTGAATTTCCTGCGGTGCCACCATGCACACAGGCAATACTTCTCCAGGATCAGACAACATCACGGTCAATCTTCTCAGAGCCGTGTGGCACGTCATCGGGACACATGTCCGCCGCTTGTTCGAGCGATGCCTCAACATAGGCCACCATCCGAGACCGTTCAAAGAAGCAGAGATAGCCATGGTCACCAAACCCGGACGCCGTGATCTCACGTCGCCTCGAGCCTGGCGACCCGTCTCTCTATCCTCTTGTCTCTGTAAGGGACTAAAACGGCTGACCGCACGCCGTCTGGCCTGGGCAGCTGTTCACTTCAGCGTCCTGCCCTCAGCAGGCCGAAGCGCTCCATAAGGGGTCGGCGACAGACCTGGTGGCCGCCCTCATCCACGACATCGAGGAAGCGTTTGCACGCAACAAGGTCGTTACACTAGTCACGATGGACATACAATGTGCGTTTGACACCGCGCTCGTCCTGCGAGTTCGACAACAAGCCTGGCCAGACCATGTGGCTCGCTGGGCTGGTTTGTTTATGGACGGCCGGTCCGCGCGCGTCAAATACCAAGACAATGTGAGTTGGTGATGTATCGAGCTTTGTTTCGGCTTCCAAGCCCTCACTTCGTCAGAGATGAAGTGTGCATCCCAGTACTGATGCGCCTAAATCGGCGTTCTAAAAGAACGACGGCTTGGCGAGAACACGGTACTCAATGTAGTCCTCGCCGTCAATATTGACAATGGTGCCTTGCGAAACGAGTTTCCCAGTAAATGAGCCTTGCGTCTTGCGTTCATACTTCACCCCGGCGTACATCTTCGCGTCTTCGGCATTCGTTCTGAGGCGAAGGCTTTCCTGGCGTGCCCAGACCTTATCAAGTCGTTGCATTTCGTCCCGCTCGTGTAATTGTTGCCGCCCGTTAACAGCTATGCCAGGGATATTCGCAGCAGCAGCTTGGGCGGCTTGGGCGGCCGCGGCCGCTGCACGTTCACGGTTCGCTGCGCACTTATCAGCGCGTTCCTGAGCGAGTTCGACGCGTGCAATCGCGCGCTCCGCTAGAGCAGATGTTCTTTCGATCGCATTGTTGTTTAGCGATGTCCTGCCCGTGCTTTGGCGAGGGGCTGCCGCAGGCTGAGAAGGAGTGTCGATATCTATGTATGCCTGGCGTGCTTCGGCTCTGGCAGCCTCAACGCGGCGACTCTGACGCAGCTCATGCCCGTCATATCCTATTCGCCCTGTCTGGTCAGGTTCTTCGCCATAATCACCTGGGAGACGGGGTAGGGCGGGTGCAACAGACAAGGGAGCAGCTGCTTTGGGGTTCGCTCCCGCAACCCTTGCCTTTGCTTCGATTACAGCTTTGGTCTCGTTGGAGGTTCGCTCCCCTTCTTTCTCTCCCATATCTATCTGATACTGTCGAACACGGCAATATTCCTTGATATCGTCTCGTGTCAGGTTCTTCAAGTGCGGCTCAAAGGCAACTTCCTCGTATGCAATCCAGAGTGCACCAGCCCCAGCTGGGAAATTCCCTTCAACGAAACGTCCGTCGCGCGTCTCTCGTACCAGCTTGACGCGGAACATGTCATTCTGTCCCAGGATTCCGTATACGGCATGGCGATCCCGAGGGTCCGGCGAGTTGGACTTTGCCCAGTGCCCAACAAGAATTCGAGTAGGTCTTGAGCCGGGTAGGGGATTGACGGTATGTCGCAGAGGCTGCGGGCCACCGGGGGCTGGCTGAATGGGAGTATGTTCAACAACAGAGCTATTTGAGGGAGGAGGGTTGACTGGCGTAAACCCTCCGCTCGTCCTCCTCCTTTTGGCATCGTGATTCTGTTGCAAGTGTTCGGGAAGATCAACACCATAAGCAACCTGAGGTTGCAGATTTGTGCCGTGCTCGGTAGTGGAGTTGAGATTGGCTCGACGGACTGCTTCTTTAACGACAGCCTTCTTAGCAGCAGCTCTCTCTCCCTCAAGCTCGTATGTGCCAATTGCTTCAGCGCGAATCTTGACATACTCCTGGACCTGTGACTTGTCTAAGCCCACAAGATGATCCAAAAACACAATCTTGTCGAACGCTACCCAACCTCCACCAGATCCTGGTGGCATGGGGTATTCATCTGATACATTTTCTCCAGATAATGTGGTCGGCTGAATACGGGTCCGTAATCGTTTGCGAACATCGATAAAACCAATGACGGCATGTTTAAGATCCACTGTAGGAGCCTCTGAGTCTTTCCAATATCCTATGGTGACGCCTTTGACACTTCCATTACTCGATGCAGCAAACTTCCCATTCGTGACAACTTGTGGTCGCGGATCACGACTTGGAGAGTGGTACGTTCTCTTGAGCCGTTTAGAAGTGACGTGTCCATCGCCTGGAGTAACTGTGATCTCATCCTTGGCAGAACCTTGTGTTTGTTGACGAGATGCATTCCTTATTGAAGTGGTGTCTGATGAATCACTCGAATCTATCACTCTGGTCTCGGTTCCATTTTCACTGATGGTGGCTGAGAATGCAAAGCGGCGACGGCCCTGGCACTTGGAGTGCATCGCAAGATCAAGAATCGCTTGGGCGAGAGAGATGTAGTCAAACGAATTAAGTCAAGCGCGACGTTTGTGAATATGTTCATAACAAAGGAAGGCGAGGATTGACGAGCAGGCAGGAACCGCGTCTGTTCGGAATTCGAGTTGATGTAGTTGTAGAAAGAATATGATGGCTGTGCGTTGATGGTTACTTTGAAATTTTGGGGACTGGGCCCCGGTTCAATGCAACAAGGGTAGTGACCAGAGCTGAACTAAGCTGCGTCGACATCGGCGAGGCTAAATGAGGGTGGTGCGGTTACCTTGCATGCATCCTTTGGCAAGCGAAACTGTTGTTTCCCCTCGCTTTTTACTGGTTGTTGTGGGCGTACGCCAAGGTTCTTGGCGGGGTCATGGGAAGTAGCATTTCCTTTTCAGTTCTAGCTCTAGCCCATAGTAAGATGACGTTAGCCTATCGGAAATCGACCCTGATTTTCTAATGATGGCAGATGGTTCGCTGATGTGTCACACGTACCTGGCTGGGAGCGGGAACGTGGCAAGCACCAAACCCGGTCGCCCCCTAAGCTGCAGTGGCAAGGAGTGGGGAATCAATATCTTGCTCTAACTGGCTATTCTGTCATCAAACAATCGACCGGATACGGTATAGGCAGAGACAGCCAGCATTCTTGTCACTGGATTCAAAACGCTTGCGTACCCCGACACTGGGAGCGAAATGCAAGCCAACACCAACACACCGAGCAACCTTCTTTCTCAGGCTGGTTGATTCGGCCCGTATGGTGAGTCACGCACAGCCTATACTATTTGTCAACGTCCCGACCTTCAAACGCTAATACAACCGTCCCAAGTTCAGTGTTCTGCTAGTGGACACCCTGAATTGCTACCTGTATTCACGGTACGCTGGTGGCTCCTCGTTGAATGACTCAGACACTGCGTCACAGACGACCTTGAACCATGGTTGAACACCTTCTATACATATTGCAAGAGCGTGGTAGGGCAGAAGAAGGCTCCGCGGCAACGAACGAGTGTAGTTCGATCCCAGGACCGTCGGCACACCCACAGTATCTCGTGCCTCCCTCAGGCACCCAGCGACCATCTCTTAGCGACTTTAATCTACCTGCTGTAGATATGGGTGGATTCTCCTCGACTTTCGATGGCATACAACGAGCATCTTGGGAAGCAACATGCGCTCCTGATGACGACGTTTTGCAACCTCAACACCTGTCTACAAATAACAACGATCCTCCCAGCTCGGAACGGGCAATCAATAGGAAGCGTCATCGTAGCGGCAAGCAAAAGGCTCGCAGGGTTGTGGGACAAGTTGGAGTGTCTAATCCAGCATCTCGCCCCCCCAGGACTATAAACAAGTTCACGCCAGAAGAGGTGGAGCTGTTGATCAGCCTGAAAGAAGGAGGAACGCTGGAATGGAACCAAATCGCAACAGAGTTTTCCCGCCATTCTCTCAACTCATTGAAAGTCCATGAATCATCCGTATGCAGCATCGGGTGCCGCTACACCGGTCCCCAACCCATGGTTTCCTGATAGCCTTTACACACATGGACTTAGTTTCCAAACAGAAAATATGGTAAGGGAAGCCCAACAAGCATTGATTCAATATTGAGAATATACTCATTAACAAATGGCTCAGTCCAGTATCCCTGGTGTCTCCGGATCGCAACATTCTCCAATAGCGAGCGGGCAAGACCCTTTCCTACAAGCCCAGCAGAAACAACATCAGTGGCAGTCCTATTCCCGACCGAAAAGAGCTACAACCTTTGGGCAGCTATCAGAGGGTTATGGTAGTCGTGGACTTATGTATGAGCATGAAGATCCTTAACCGGAACTATTCAGCACTGGAGTGGCAAGCATGTGTTGATTGGCCTTGGGAAACACCTTCTTTTACCAAGACATACACCCTTTGTCTACCATGATTACTTGTCAAGATGCCAAATCTGGAAGACGCGTTGGTATCTCTATGACCTCAGGCATTTCTCTACAACGTACGACCAAAGTTCAGCACCACCTCGATCCAAAGCTAAGTGTATTTGGCTCAATTTGGGCGCATCTGTTTTTTCTATTTTATTAATCACGTTCATTCGGTGGCCACATTCTTGAGGCAAACATTGGGATACGGAGTGCTTCAGGGGGGAAGTGCGAAATGACAGTCACCAATATCAATTATATCATTCGTCACAAACTCTACAAAGACTTGGGCTTGTGTCCTCCTAATGTTCATTCTATTCCATCAGTAGTTTAGTAAACTTCACCTCATCTTCAAAGCCTTCTGGATCTAGTGCGTGAGGTTGCTCCTTGGGATGACTCGTTGGCTAGTCTGTTTTTGCGCTCCGTCCAATATTTGAAAGTTGTTGGAACGGTTCTGATAGTTCATCTTGGGCCGGCACAGTCATCATGACAACACCTGGGTGCCCTGTTCTGCTGACACCGTACGTCTGTTGAGTCACAGCATCTTCTTGAAAAACTAGCTGAGTCTGCTTGAAGATACCATGATAATAACCAGGGACACTGGTTGGGATCTCACGTCGCTTATCCTGATGTTAGTGCATGTGGCGACCTTGGAATTGAACTGGAAGGCCGGCTAAATAGCGCGACCGATTCCGATAATCATCCTGGGAATCCAGGTCCATATCATCCGGATCGTGAGGCGAAGAGGTCATCGGGGAGAGCTGAGGAGTGGCGGGAGGCTGGCCATCGTCCGGCGAGTAGTTGTCGGTGCGATTAGGGGTCTTTCCTTGGTTGTACGATTCCTGTTGATGGTCTTGCAAGGTTTTCAGTTTGAGAAACCTAAGGCCCAAGTTAGCAAGTGATGTATTCAATGGTCCCGATCGTACCTCTTGGGACACCCATCGATATCATATGGCAGGATTTCCTTGTTATAGAGTCGGCGATGCCAACGTCGATGCGGTGACTGCGCTAGCTGTCAGCCTGATGTGAGTCCTGAGCTTGCTCTACACTCACATGTCTAAATCTTCTCCAACAACCGGGATCCTTGGATGAACAAGATTTCCCTCTTGTGCGTGGTCGGATGTGACCCTTCAGAACGCCCTGCTGAGCAAATATGCTGCCACACCCATTCATTTGTGGCAATAAAGATGATGTAGAGAAAGGACGGCTCGCTGATGAAATGTTGAAAATCCAGTACTGAAGAAAAGTGGACAGTACGCCCAGTCCTTGGCTTACGCTGTAAGATGCAGTTGGTGCTATTCAGGTTTGGGCGGTTGTCAGGAACTTGAAAACAGGATACGACACGCGCATGCTGGCTTTATGAATTGGCTTACATTGTCACGGTCCAGGGCTAGCTAGCCCCTAATTCTAAAGCGCGTCTGGGCCCCGCACCTCGGATGATTCCCCAAGGGTTGAGATAAGCGACATTTTTAACTGGCGAGAAGGCACTTTCGCCTCATCTCGAATGGCTGCAGATGAAAGGCGGGCCATACCCCTGGCTATTTTGGATCGCCCTGTTCCGTATTGAATGTCCCGCGGTTCCTGGCGATTGACGGCAAGACTTCAATCATGTCAAGACGGTCAGTCAAATTACTTAGCCATCAAAAAGCGATCTCAAACGCCAACACCATCGCATCTTCTCCTTGTAATTCATCTTTGCCATAGAAACGTGCCTGGTTTGGGCTTCATAGTGGCATGAGCTGGCTTCTCAGTCCGAGCAAAAAGGAAAGACCCGTGAAACCTTTGTCCAGGTTCGTTCACGCACGAGGTCAATTCAATGCCGATCCTTGCCGTGATGTGGACAAGCCTCATGCGACGATTCATTTCGCGGCCGTTAACGCGGCCATGACACCATGGCAGTATCAGGCCGTCCCGCCAACAAAAGTCACTTTGCGAACTGCGCGACCCACCAGGTATTGATGTAGCTGCTGAACGTGGTTCACGCGATATCCCTGTTCTCAAGCTGTTGTGTACTTTGTAAAATTTGAAGAGTACCTCCACTATGAATTGCTTTTTGCGCAGAGGACTCGTGTATCCCTGTCTACCCCTGGTGTTGTCTCTTTACGCTCGACAGGATCTACGGGGGAGAGATGGACCAAGCTCGCTTATCATGGTGCCCCACTCAAGCCATTGAATAATCTGGCGGCTGGAGGTCGCTACCCGCTGCAGGCTGCAGAGTCAAAGATTCAGGGGTACAGTTCCGCGTCGCGCTAACCCGATTGAAGTACCAGCCGCCAGGCTAAGGGGGAATAGAACACAGACACAGATAAGTGGATCGCCAGCGAATTTTAGTGCATGCTAAGGGAGCCGTGTATTTTTTCCCCGGAGCCAAGGCATCAATCTTATGCATCCGTGCGCCTTGGTCCAGGCTCAGTTGACTTTCAACCCCCCTGCAGCTGATTTACTACGGCCGCCAAGACCAGGCTGGGAGGTGGTGATATTCGCTGTTCGCTGTTACGGCTGTAGCGATCGACGGTTCCCCTTTGTGTGTGAAGAAGCATGTTATTAGGAGCATCGCTATGACTCAGTAGCTCCCTAGCTTATACATCTTCGACAGGCTTACTGATGTGCCAAGTTCAGACATGGCCTCGGACGCTTCTATTCAACTAACTGCTGTGTCCGGACAGTGTATTGTAGAATATGCCTCCTTGACGCAGCCCTTCAATCCACACGGATGCCCTGGCTCACAAACCCGCTTGCCCATTGTCTGTAGCAACCCTCTACGTCACGCCAATGAAACGGTAGAACAAGTCCTCTTTTCTGAGAGGAGTGAATGAAACAGCGGAAGGACATGACACTGCGATATAGAAGAAAGGCACGGCAACGTCTCGTTTTAACTGCGAAGCAAAGCTGTATCGGACATACGAAACCGTCACTAGGCATGGACTTGGTGCGAGCCACAATTCGGTTCGAGATCACCCCATGCCATCTGGAAAAGAGATGACAACCGCGCCGCTGACGCATCAACCATGGCCTAGAGTATAACCCTATATAAATAAAAGCAGGTACGGCGTCGGCCGCCAAAGATAGGGGAAATTGGGCTCCAAGTTGACCTGCTGCTGTTAACTAGAACACGAGTGAGAACAGCAAGCCCCGCGATAGAGTACCGTTGCAGGATGACGAAGCTGATTTTGAATGGAAGGGATGCTTAGGAACTTGAGTTTGGCAGACGTGTTCCCTGCGGTATCTCGCAATGGAAGAGCCAGTCAATCAACGGAGGATATGAGAGTTAGAGCACTGCAACACTCTTTCGTGCATGTGGCTGGTTGGTAAATTGGACTTAAGCTCATGAACATCGTGACAGAGCGGGCATGACGTGTAGTCAGTCATCAAGATAATTTTGTACTGGCCAACAACGAGCATAACCAATTGAAACATATAATATTTAAATTACCACACGGCTCACACGTTGATCTCATTCCCGGAATGCTATCGCTAATTCAGCTTTTTCTCTCCTACGGAGACGGTAGCTTTCACTAGTACAGCAAAGTCGGTCACGTTCCTGCTAGCAGTCAAAGTTTCTGCAATTGCCATCACCCTTCCGGCGGAAACTGACAGACTCATCGGTAAGAATCGTTGCACGTAACTCTGATTCTCCCATACTGACAGCTGCGGCAGCGTCAACTATCGCTCGCCATCCGGTCACCGGCTGTCATCTCGTCATCGGTCGAATTGACCAAACGCAGGTCGGTCGAGCCTGCCAATCATAGTCTTGTCAATATCGCTCTTGTTTGCTACATGTTTCGGGCACATGAGCAAAGTATCTCCTCCTTGGGGCTGCCATTCCTGTCTTGCAAGGGTAGATGCACCACTTGACCCAATGTAGCCTGTCGAAGAACGACCATTGTATGCAGGAACTGCATAACTATTGGTTGTTGCGGTCGCCACCTGCGGCAGACAGCCACTTGCTGGGCTTTGTGGGATCTGTCGCGCATCTCCATACGGACGGCAACCTACCCCATCTGCTTCGATATGGTTCAAATACTCGGCTGGAGATCTTCTTCTTCGGTTCTCGTCCACTGCACTTAGTTGGGGAGGCGGTCTATAAGCGTGATCTTGTTCATCTGACCCCAGGCGACGGCGTTTCTCCACAAGTTGGCTACCATTGCCACTTCTCGCATCGACGTAGGGCGAGAGAGATTTTGTGGGTGACTGGACAAATGCGTAGCAGTTCGCCGGACGGGGAGGTGCGGCAGAATGCTGATGAGTGGGATGGGATGGTGAAGATGCCGAAATAGTGTCTGGCGTAAGTGGCTGCCCATATGTCCCAAGCACTTGAGTGCCTGGAGGAACACATCCTGACAACGCTGACACCGGGATGGCAGTGATCAGATTGGACGCAGACCCGAACCAAAAGACACAGTCGTCCCCTCTCCGGGTGCAGTTCTGGCACTTGCCATCCATTTCATAGCCGTGGCAGCGAACCTATATATAGTCAGCGTTGTTGAATGGTAACAGAAGAATGCCTAAGCATCGCATTAGTCGCAAACCTTTCTTTTACGACATGACGTACAACGAATGGCTGCTCGCCGGTGTGCTCTGCTATTTCGGGGGGATGCATGTTGCGAGTCAGCGGGATATAAACCACGCGAAGTAACAGGCGGCGAGTCGTACCCGCGATTGTCGTAGATAGAAGGCAAAGCGGTTGAGGGAGCCATATCGGGAGGGCGAGCGTCGGAGAGCCGCCGGGTGGTATCTGGCTGAGGTCGAGATTGGTCGTCTTCTGGGCAGCTATGCTGGGGATACTCTTTGGGCGTTTCTGCGAATGAGCGTTTGGTAATCCAAACAGTGCAAGTTTAGATCGGAGTGGAAGGTGAAGAAAAGCGTCGAGTAAATTAAACCAAATTATTGAGATACTGGCTCAGTTGTCACTTTATTGTCCCATATTGCAAGTCGACGGGATGGCCGAGGGCTGTAGGTGGAGAATGAATACACGAGTGTATGTCTCCATGCGAAAGGCTGCGACTTCTACGAGGTCTTGCGATCGCAATTCAAAGCCTGGCGTGAGGGGCGTTCTGACTCCTGAAAACGGAGGGGCATGAAGGTGTTTTCCGGTTATGGGCGAGGGGGCTGCGGCGCGACAATCTGATCCTTATGAAGAAGGGAGGAAGCTTGGATTTAAGATGATCCCTGGCGGCGGTGTAGGTACGTGCGACCAGCGCCCAGGAAATTCAGGAACGAGGCAACCGTCAATAGAGGCTGTGGTTTTAGCGTTTATGGCTTTTTGGGGAGGAGGGCGTAAGCCTAGCAAATGATACCGGGGGAAGTATCGGTACAGGGGTTTTCACACTGCGCGGTGTGGATAGGTCTAGAGCCGTGGCGTGCCTGGGGAAACAGGGACACTAAACGTTATTTATTCCACATGAGCTGATATCGCTTATTGGATAAATGCTCAATCTGGATAATGACTGTATCTTCGCCAAGCCAAGTTTGCACGAAGATCACGATAAAGAACACGGCAATTATTGGTGAAAGCTATGTGCTTGAAGCCCATGAGCCCTGTATGTACAAGGGAGCTTTGGAGCTTTCTACCACGGCCAATATCTCACCAGACCATGTCTCTATGATGTGCTCCAAATAGGGGGGATAGTGCCTCTAGTTCATTCGACCCATAGAGTTTCTTCAATATTTTTCGTTAGCCCGCGGGTATTGTCAGATCCCGGCCGTGGGGGAAAGTGACAAAAAGACCAGAGTGATGTATACCGCGTGTTACAAAGACTTCATACGCCAACTCGTGTCCCTATAGGAAGAGAAACTCGTTCAATTAATATACCAGCAGTCACAAGGAGCGCCATTTTGAATGTGTACTTTGCTGCATCACATCCCGCGCCCAATGCGCTACGCATTGCGTGTCGGTGCGCAGCGTGTCTAATGGCGTCTACAAAACATATCAAGTGGAGGTCTTCAAGTGACCGTGGGATGAAATCAGTAGATAGTCTATTCAACCTTTTCTGTGAGAGCTGAATAGTCAGCTGCTTGTCTGGTGGACTAGGGCCTACCTCGTTATCCTGATCACCAAATGCAGGTACTGTATTTTCCTCTAAATGGACCACAGGCGGAAGCAGACTTCTTGGGCTATGTCACGTTACTCCCTTGCCCCGCACAACCCCGCGTCCAGTCTTTTAGGCGCGGGGTTCTGAAGAAGGGGATGAAAAGTAATAAGTATGAATATACACATTAAGAGTAACAATAAACATTACGTACTGTACTAAAAATGCTATGCTTCATCGTGAGGCTGAAATTATTTTGGGGATTCCTCAGCTTGTACGCTAGATCACTCATGAGGTAAGAGATGAATTAAACGGGCCTTTCCAGTTGGGGATTCAGAGGCCGGGACCAATCAGGTCGCCTGTTCATTTCTATTATGAGAGGCATACAGCCTATTGGTAAACACATAGTAATTCAGCGGCTGGTCAGATGTCATTGATACAGTCTGATCAGGTCATCTATGCCCTCGCTGTAGCTTAAGCTATGGTGAACAATAAGACACAATCTAAGTTACACTCCATGCAGTTCACTGCAACTAACCAGACGGCAAATGGTTCATAATCATCGTAATCCAGATTGAGTACTGGTTTGAGACTTGTAGCAGCCTACTGGGGCAATTGTGCGCTGGCTTTGGCAATAAAGTCTCGAACCACTAAGGTAATGTCGAAATCACGCTGTCTTCTCAAGATCTTTTCTGATGATTTCGCTTGCTTGATAAGGCATGATGAAAGGGGCAAACTGAATCAAACATTGATATGGCAATTGAGAGCATAGGTCCGACCATGTTGACCGGCGGCCCCAACGCACACATTACCCAGTTGGATAATAACTGCAATCCTGGAACGAAACGTTTCGCATCGCAAAGGGCGAAGCTACTTCTTAACAGTGACAGGATGACGTGCGTGGGGGGAATCACAGCTCTTCGCGTGAAATGTCACGGTCGGGCGTTCTGAATCGAGAAGATTACCTTTGACCATCCCGAGAACACATATCTGCCTACACTACCACTAACCTACATTGCGCCTTGGTCTTCGGACCTGACGCCCCCTAGATTTAGTCCTTCGCGACGCTCCGTCCAATGAGCGTGGATGTGTCTGGTGAACAAGACGCCGGCTCATCGTCCATTGTCGATCGATACCTTCCACCTGTCGTCCTTCCTCAGCGGCAGCTCGTCAATCTGACTCTTGGTAATTTGGCGTGTCCATCTACGGGGCAATGCCAGCGACCGATCAACATTCCTGTAGATGGTACGTACATAGTACGCGACGTGTGGGTATTCCGATGATGCCTATGACTCGCTTGTTTTTCGACGTCGATGTAATGCCGATTCAGTCCTCCGCTCAGTCCCCGAGTCGTTCTCCGATTAAACCAAGAGCCATGGGGATGAATGCTAATCTTGATTGGAGGCTGTGCACATTTGTTTGCACATTATTTGGCTTGGCTGACGCTTTCGGAGCAGGCGCACGCGAGTCTCCAGCCCCATCCGATCGCAGCGGTTCGAGATCTCGTCGATGGTAAGGCGTCCGTCCTGGTGTCGTTGGGGTATCCCTGTAAACATTTCCTCGGCGACGTCGCCGAGGGCATCGGAGCGTGTAATTTGAGCCGTCGCAAAGAAGCGGAAGCGCGATAACCATGACGGTACGCAATTCAAACTCGCGAAATCTCCATTCTCACAAACCGGCGGCCCCGTGACTGATAACCTCATGAATCTGCATTACACGGTCGAGCCCGAAAAGCAATGGCAAGATCTGGGGAAATTCAGTTCCTTTCTTCGTAAGAACCCGACCAAATCAAGCCTCCATGTGACCTGCCAGGCCTACGACTAATTCTTAACAGTTAACGGTGTCAACTATCCCGTCAAAAACTTTATAAAAGTTGCCAACAAAGCTACCGTTGAACAACAAAAGTCTCGGAGTAATCAGGAAACGAATTACACGGAGCCAGGTGATTACTGGGTCGCCTATATCATCGAGATTCGTGCTTCTGATAAGCACCACGTTTACATACTTGTCTACTGGATGTATTGGCCTGATGAACTACCTCTTGGAGCTCGCATTGGCAGAAAAGTTGTCCAAGGTCGTCAGCCATACCACGGTGCCAATGAGCTGATTGCCAGCAACTGCAGTATGTTCCAGAACACTGGTCGATCCTATTCTGTGGCCCGGCTAAACGATTACTGTAGTGGAGGTTATCAATGCTGCCAGTGTTACGGGGCCTGTCATTGTCAAACAGTTGATTGAGTCAAACAATGAGGAGGTTCAGCGGGCGTTGTATTGGCGTCAGGCCTATAATTGGTGTACCTCGAAGCTTTGGGTAACCTTTTCTGACAATCTACTTCTTCTCAACCAGATGCTAACATAGACGTATGTAGCCAGTCAGACGCTGGTGCAAATGTCAATCTCACGCGAATCCGGACGAGATCTTCATTGGATGCACGAATACAGGATGCATGGAGTGGATGCATCTCAAATGTATGGTCCATGACATACTCATGAAAGTCTATGAGCAACGGGTAATTGTTGGGCAAAGACCGGAAGGGGTAACGCACCCTCTATCGACTATTGATACAAAGGCGAGAGAGGTCCAACATCTGATCGACATTCGTCCGAAAGAAACTCAAGCCGACGATCACACTCAGCTGGACGTTCGCGAGAGGGTTTCAAAGACTGAAACATCAACGCCCATGTTAACGTCTTTCAAATATAAGACCCTAAAGATAGTCTATGAACCGAAGAAGGAGGGCCGCAAGAAGAAGGCAGCAGGTCTCAAGCCATACGAAGGACTTTTCGAAGCCGACCTCAAGAGCCAATGCAGCCCCCCAGTGTGGGAGATCCGTGATCTACGTACAAACGGAGGGGCTAACGACGGGAAATCGACTGAGGCAGTCCATTGCCTACAATGCGGTGTTCTTGTCATGTGAAGCTACGGGAACGAACCAGGAATTGTCGCACGGGGTCTGGGAACCGTGGAAAGATTGGAAGGTGAACCTGCTGAAAGTTTCTGCAATCGAGGACAAGGTGAGTTGTGTGACTGATGTCTTTCTCTGCAAAGATTTGTTTGGCTGATTTCGAGCTAGCCTAGATATCATTGCCGCTCTCTATTCCACATGAGGACGCCATCTATTGCCATAACGCCTCCACAGCTGCAGCTGTTATCCGGATCGCGGCCGAGATGACTATCCCGAAGTTGATAAACGACTCTTGACGAGATCTTGTGTCTGGATGAGACCACCTTTGAGCAGGCTGGTTCCATTCACGAATATGAGACTCAGGGCCGGTCTAGCCGGCCAGAGAACGTTGTCAGATGTTCCTGGCTCACTGAAAGATAGATGCCCAAGCTGGGACAGAGGCTTACTCCGGAACCGAACCGTCGCAAAGTTGCAGCCCACGGAGAGGAAGTACCGAATCTCGCTCAGCTTGGACTTGGCTAGTCGTTGCTAGCATTGACAGCCTGTCCATCGTTGCGACTCGTCAAAAAGACTGGCCAGCTCTTCTCTTAAGGCCTTTGTGGAACCCCTACAACAGCTTGGCCATCTCTTTCAGGTCGGTTCTGGGGCGCGTAAAGTCAAAGTTCCCATAAGGGCGCCAATTATGTGTAGGGAAGGATTGAACTTTGGATCGTAATATACTAAAGAGGGCTACCATTTGTCTTGACCATAGCTGTCACGTGCTTGCTAGTTTCACCTATGTACAGTGGGTCGAGCGACGATGACGAGAAGAGAGGTGAAATTGAGAGGGTGCGGCAGCTGAAAAAGCCGGGTGGCACAGTTCAGGATCAATGCACGGTAGACACGCTTGTACCTTTGAACGTTGCGTCGCGTGCCACTAATGTCTCAAGAAGAGTAGAGGTTGGAGAAGCAGCGTGTCTCAATGGTAATGACGGCCTACGCGCACCGATTCGCTTGCTGTGTACGTGCACGCGCGACTTGGGCTCGGTGATCAGTCGAACAGTTCCCCGTCGCCGGAGGGAGATCAACTGTGCCAAGTACGGACACTGTACGTAATAATAAAGCACTTGGCTGCTCATTGGTCATGCATTGACGCGTTGGGATCTTTTCGCGCAGAAGATTGGCCCATGCCGATCTAGGCAACCATCGGTCAGGTTACAGTTTGGCGTGGGATCCATAGCGCTCCATAACAGGAAGCTCATTGGCTGTCCAGCTGCTCGTTCCGCTAACGCGATGCAGATCTGCTCAGAATCCTTGGCATCGCATTTTTAAGCTGTGTCCGAACCATTCGTGCTGTGCACGAGGCTTCCAGGATGGTGGGCCGAGAAACCAAATAAACAACATGGGCAATCGCTTGGATCAGTCGGGTGTCTATGACACTCATTTCTTCCCTTCAATCATTCCCAATGTTTCAACAAAACACTTAGGTACTCGCGCGATTTCGACTCTTGAACGGCATACAAGCGCGCATAGATGAACCGAGCGGCGCCAACCATAACCTCAACGTTCGTTGTCGCATAGCTATCTGGAGAGAGAAAATGTTATCTTGAGGGGCTCAATCGAACACAGCGCCAACGCGTCGGAAGCCATGGCCGCGGAAATGACGGATCTAAAGCAGCGTATGACCCGGCATCAGAACGAGCTGCGGACCACGAAATAGCTCAACCAGTCGCTGAATGCCGATGTTTTGCGACTCTCGAACAAGACGCAGGACATGAGGGTGAAGCTAAAGAAGGCCAAGTTCGACGCGACGACCATGAGTATACGCAAGCAACGCCTCCAGAAAGACCTCGCCGTCGCCAATGGAAAGCTGAACCTTTTCTCGAGAAGCAGATGCCCTACGACGCCCTCGCTCGCGACGAGACTGAAGATGGCCTGGCCTTGGTCAAAAGAAAACCAGAGAATACCAAAAAGCAAAGGAAAAAGCTTGACCAAACCAAGGGCAAGGTCGCGGCGAAGGATGAGGCGCCTATGGCCGCCATGGAGAAGGGCCCAGAGGACGAGATTAAGCGCCTCACAAGGTCGCTCGAGGAGAAGTACAAAGAAACACAGGAGCGGGAGATCAAGATGGGAGAACTGCGAGCAAGAATCGAGAGCAACGCGCATGAGCAGGAAAGTATATAACGCGAGGAAAATGAGGATGAATCGGACAGTCAGACCGTCGTTGCAGTCGAGGACACCGAGGTCATGGAACAGTCCAAAATCGACGAATGGTATGTGGAGGCGAGCACGCCGGCTGATGAGCTGGCGAGGCTGTGAGAGGAGCTGCAAGATGCGTGGGAGGAGATAGACCAACTGAAGGAGACAGTCGGGGGCCTGTATGGGGTCACACGCGACCAAAAAGCTGAGATCCGGCGGCAGCGGCAGAATGAGCAGACAATGCGGGCCGAGGCGGATCGGCAAGGAACCATAGCGGCCGAGAGTCAGGAGAGGCCGTGGGGAAAGGAGTACCAGGTGCTCGAGCTCGAGCGGATCCGGACGCGTGCCAACCTCAAGTTGATCGGGAGCGGCATCATCGTGATAGAGGCGTTGGTCCACGACACAGCCCTGCTGATGCAGCACGTGCTTATGACGGTGACCGGGCGGCTGGACGGCATCGACAGCGCGGCCTCGGCGAACCGCGCATTCGATGAGATCGACGTCTTCCTCGAGAAGGTCACGGCCACACGCTGAGCTGCATAAAGCAGGTTGCGCAAGACGCCTTCGCCATCAACAGCGTGGTGCGTAATATGCGGTGCCTGCTGCCCAGCCTGGCCGACAAGAACGATAGGGCGACGTGTCGCGCCTCTTCGGAGAGGTCCAGATGTTTAAGACGGACGTCAAGGGGCTACTGGAAGGCATCAAGCAGGAGCTGGCCGGCGCGGGCACAATCGCGGGTGGTGGCGGGGCCATACAAAAGAAATCAGAACAAAAGGAAGCCCCCTCGGGTCGACGCTTGTAGCTAGGTTACCGGCCGGCTCAGCTCGTCTCTTCCTTGAACCTGCCCAAGCCAGGGAGAAAGAAGATGACGTATGTCGTGGATATTCTTGGCTAGATGATCATGGCCACGGTAAGCTTCTGGATCCTCGACCGCCTGCGCGTCTTGTTCGAGCTCAGCGACATCACGGCCAATTTCGCGCGCGCGTGCATCTGCATCTGCATTTGCCTTATCGCTGTGCTATCAGCCCGATCCATCGAAAGGTGTCCACGCACCATTCGGGAGCGGAAGCGGGCCGCCGTCAAGACGGGACCACTGATCCACGGATGAAAAAGGGGCGAACAACGACGTTCACGGCGCCGATATACTGTACAATGCAGTAGTGTGGAAGCAAGCCACAGACGAAATGGCTGCTATTCAAAGCAGATACTGCTATCTATGATACTTTTGAGGGCTATGGTACCCCGGTCCCTGTTGGCCTTGGTTGTGGCGGTGCGTCGGATGACTGAGCCATGGCGGAGGCGACCGTCCAGGTTTGAAGCACTAGACGCCAGGTCGGTCTGTCAATTAACAAGATGTAGCTGGCATCCGAGGATATGACATACCGATTGCTTCAGACCTAGACGTTCAAGGAAGCAGAAGTGCTCATGATCGCCAAACCCGGACGCCGTGATCTCACGTCGCCTCGAGCCTGGAGACCCGTCTCTCTGCTCTCTTGCCTCAGTAAAGGACTAGAACGGCTGATTGCACGTCGCCTAGCCTGGACAGCTGTGCACTTCATCATCCTGCACCCTCAGCAGGCCGCAGCGCCCCCCAAAAGGTCGGCAACAGACTTGGTGACTGCTCTCATGCACGACATCGAAGAAGCGTTTGCACGCAAAAAGCTCGTCACACTGGTCACGATGGACATCCAAGGTGCTTTCGACACCGTCATGCGCAACAGGCTCGTACTGCGATTTCGAGAACAATGCTGGCCCGATCACCTAGCTAGATGGGTTGAGTCTTTCATGATGGAACGATCAGCCCGGATTAGATACCAAAACACCACGACTCCACTTTCTCCTCTCTGGTGCGGCCTTCACTACGGCTCACCGATATTTTCAATCCTCTTTCTACTCTACACTGAGCCAACCTACCGACTAGGCATTCATTAAGGCCGCTTTGGCTACGTAGACGACACGACCATCCTGTCCACAGCCGACACAGTCGCGGAAACTTTTACAATGGTGTCCGGCCCTATCGACGAGATGGTACGCTGGGGCGCGGCAAATGGCGTCTCTTTTGACCCAAAGAATACCTAAGTCATGCCCTTCTCCCGTATAAAACTCAGAACTGCCCGAGCAGTACGCCACGGCGACGTCGAGAAACATCCCGAGACAGCCCTGCGCTGGCTAAGCATCTGACAGGACAGCGGGCTATCTCTCCGGATCTATGTCGAAAAGTGGGCGGCAAAAGCAAAAGTAGTAGCATATCATTTACGGGGTCTCACCAACACGATACACGGCCCTCTACCGAGCGCTATACGGAGTGCAGTCAGAGCCTGTGTTGAACCAGTGGTGCTACACGGCTCTGAAGCGTGATACCCGGGCAAGACCAGGCCACGGTGGAAACAATCTATCAACGATCTATTATCATCAGCATCTCCTACAAAGAATAAGCCAGGCGATGAACGAGGCTATGGGAGCCATCCTTCCCGTCCGGAAGACGACGCCTATTACCATCTTACATAGAGAAAGTGGTATACCACCAGTCGACCAACTGCTTGATGCCAGGCGACTTCGGTTCTCCGCTCGACTCAAGTCGCTGGACGAGGCTCATCTGGCGAGTCGAATGCGCCCGCCTCGACCACCTTGGAGCAGTGCGTCGGGCCATCGAGAGAGGGGTGAGAGTGAGGATAAGGCAGCCGATCGAATTGGCAATGCATAGCCTTAGTAAAGGCTGTGAGAAACGAAGACCGCATCAAAGTAGTATGCCAAGACAAAGGCGCCAAGAAGGTGGTAGATAGGGCGACGGTGGAAGGCACAAAGGTGCTCCGAGACCAGCTATACCCGGTCAAGACCAACGGTACCAATGGGACATGCGTTCCAGATTCATACGGTAACATTCTGTCAAGTGAACCGGAGTATTGGGAAAAGATAACGGGGCAATGACAGCAAAGATTACAGTTGCTCAGCAATAAGGAGAACGGGAAGGTGTGTGACTTTATGGTGAGACTGCCCTGCCCTTGAGCCAAAGTGCGTTCTGTATGGGGGACCGCACGAGTCGTTCAGTCAAAACTATCGGGTACCATAACTACATACTAACAATGGGCACTAACCTACGAATCTTCCAGCTCAGTGTACATAGAAGCAGCGCGGTATAACTAAGCATGGTGAACGAAACAGACTTGCAGGACTATGCTGTGCTGCCAGTCGCCGAACCATACGCTCTCCATGTTAGAGGTTGGCGGTGACGACATCAAATAGTCACAGAAACTGGATCAAGTATATACCTATGGAGAGGCACGAGATACATTGGCCGATCCCGAGTATTCTCTGGATTCGTAGCTTCCTAGAGGCGGAGCAGGTGCCGATGCCCTCGGCCAATCTCGCGGGGGCAATACTTCGGTGGCCCGACCGGGAAATATTGATGGTATCGGTGTACGCGGGTAAAGGTCAAGAAGCTTTACGCACCGCCATGAGACAGCTACATGCGACCATTATGAGCTTCTGTAGCAGCACGGGGAACAGAACGGACATCACCCTTGCCGGCGACATCAACAGGCACAATCAGCCCTGGGGAGGCGACGACGTGACGGGCAGGAGACAGGGTGGGGCAGGGCTGATCATTGATCCCATGGACGAGCATGACCCGCTCAGTCTCCTCCCATGAGGCGCGAAGACATGGGAAGGGCCAGGCGGTGGGCGTATAATTGACTTGGCGCTCGCACTAGCTGAGCTAGCAGACGATTTGGTTCACTGCAGTTTACATCCGACCGAGCATGGATTAGACCATAGGACCATTTAGACGGAGTTTGATCTCGCGACGCCCGAGACGACAACGGAGCCAAGATTGTTGTTCAAAAATGCGCCCCAGAAAGCAATCAAGGAGAGGGTGAAGGAAAAGCTCTCTCCACTTCCGTGGGATGGCGACGTCCAGACCCAGACGGACAAGTTGATTGGAATTGTTCTCCCTACGACCCATGAACTGGTCCCGCGTGGGAAGTCATCACCATATGCTAAGAGATGGTGGACCATAGACCGCACCAAGCTTCGTAGGACGGTCGCGTTCTGGAGAGACCTGGCAAGGGCCCGGCGTCGGGCCGGTCAGTGGATCAACAGTCTGGAAGATCGAGCCAAAGAGGTAGCCAAAGAGGATCGCGATGCGATTAAAAGATATAAAAAGGCGCACTGAGATCACTCTCTTGTCGATGGATCCAACATCGAGCAAGCCACCAAATAACTCAAACCTGGATAAGAGGCGCATAGTGATAAGATGCCTCCACTAAAAAGAACCAATAAAACGACGCAGGACAAAGTCGAACGGACGGAGGGACTGCTCAGTGTCTTCTTCTCACTGCTACCGACATACATCGAAGACGCAGGTCCGCGACCGCGGCGCAGAGAGGTGACCATGTCGAATCTCACAATGGAGGAGGTGTAGAAAGGCATGGAAGGCGCCTGGTCAAGACGGACTGCCGGCGATGATGTGGAAACAGCTGTGGTCGGTGGTGAAGGAGCGGGTATTGCACCTGTTTCATACGTCACTGAACACTGGACAACCACCTCGTCAATGAAGGACGGCCAAGATCATCCCACTCAAGAAACCGAATAAGAACGACTACAAAATAGCCAAGGCTTGGAGACCGATCTCGCTTCTATCGACGCTGGGCAAGATCCTGGAAGCAGTAGTGGCGGACCGCATATTGCATGTTGTCGAGACGTACGGACTCTTACCCACCAATCACTTTGGTGCCAGAGTGAGGCGATCGACAGAGTAGGCTCTAGGGATCCTTCAGAAACAGGTCTACAAAGCATGGCGTAACCGCAAAGTGGTCAGTCTGGTCAGCTTCGACGTCAAAGGAGCCTATAACGAAGTGTTCAAGGACAGGCTGCTACAGAGACTCGAGGTACGTGGTATACCCAAGAGACTAGTCAAGTGGATCGATGCCTTCTGCTCGAACAGCACGGCAACTATCACGGTAAATGGCTACACCTCCATGCTACGAGATCTGCCTTAAGCTGGTCTCCCGCAAGGATCACCACTATCGCCAATACAGTCTCTATTCTTCAATGCAGACCCATTGCAAAGCAAAATAGACTCAGACGGAGGCTTGATTGCAAGTGGCATCAGGAGATCCGTAACAACTGCGATCGCGGGATCCACGCCGTGTTCAAGAAGCAGGACGCCGACATCTGGTGTGTGACCATCAACGTCTCCTTACTTGAACCCGCTAACATGAGGGTGGCCCTGAGCCATCTCAGATGTAACGAATCACTCAAGTCTGCCCTCGGCTCTGCCATTTGGGGAATGTTCGGGTGGCAAGTCTCGTGGATCGAGGAGCTTTTCCAAGCGACCATGCCGGCCTGGAAAACGATCTTTGAAGACTTCAAGATCAAGCAGCTGTTCGAAAGCTACGACGTTCAAGTGAGGTCCTATATCATTTTCTTGATGCCTCTGGACGACAAGGGGCGTAAGCAAAACAAGGTCCAGAAGTTGCTTTAACAGGAGAAGGCTTAATAGCGGAACGAGGCTGTGGAAAATCTTTTTGAGGACTTCATGAACGAGGCTCGACTGGTGCTCAAACTAACTTACGGTAGGAAGGCGAGTAACCGCTCTGCAGAGCCTATGGGCGGGATGGTAATTTGAGGATATTGCCAAATAAAGCCTGACACTCGTTGCTGGAGGCGGACCGTTGGGATTATTTGTCTTGCTGATCGAGAAAGGGAGAAGGGAGGGAGAAGGGGTTGAAGGAGAAAGCGGGCCAGAAAAAGGCAAAGGTCATAGAGGTCAATACAAGCAAACAGTTTCTCTCAACCTGAGCGATTAGAGGATATGTTGACCGCGATTCACCCCGTTTCTATCTTCGTTATATGCAGAGTATATATCCCTACCCATTGTTTCAGGGTTGGAAACAAGCCTGTTTATCAGAGTTACCTACTTGGTCGCCTTCATGTTGTTGTTGGAGAGATGATGAAGTCCTCGGGACAGTTTGTGAACGTCGAGAAAAACGGGGTCATAGCTTGTTGGGTAGGTACGGATAGTATACGTCCTTTTCCTGCATTGGAACCACGCGCGGTGATTAGCACATAGATACCCACATAAATGCTACCCAGGCGAAAACGCGCAAATGCAAGGTGCGCAAAACGCGCCCCTTACCCATACTGTGGCTTTTCCTACATCCTAAATGCTTGTTCGCCCCAGCCTTGCTGAAAAAGGGAGAGTCATCTTAATCGTCACGCCAATCCTTGAACTAAGAGCCCATTTTCCTCTCCAGGAGTTACTCCACTTCGAAAGTATACTGCCACTATTGAAACCTCCGACACTGCTTTTGGCAACTTGCTCCATGATACGGCTGCAGCAGTATCTTATACTCTAGGAGCAGTCATTCGGTCGCAGACTATGGTTCGGACTCAACTGGTCCTACGCAGGCTGGGCTTGAAGTCGTTCCTCCCTACGAGTCCAATCATTATAGATTGTCGTCGTCGTACTACGCGCGTGGCCTACAGGCCAATTTGGGTGTACCCATATCTTCGGCTACAGACCCCACTTTGACAACCGCCAATGTTGACTCCATACCCAGACTAAGCTAGCCCCCATGAATCTGAAGCTAGTGCACCCGTCCAAAATAACAGAATGGAGACCGTAACTCATGAGCAGCTTATGAGCAGACCAACGACTCACGAGCAGACAAACGACTCACGAGCAGACAAACGACTCACGAGCATGCTCATGATCCCGGGACACGTACTCAAATAAAAATACACATTCTTGAGAACTACAGATATCCATCTCGCACGATGCTATTGAATGAGGCACCCAAACGGAATATCAAGTCGCTATTGCCCAATTCTAGCAAATTGCAAATTTGTTACTAGATCATCAGTGATGCCTAGTACACTTGATATATTACCGACAGAAATTATGTTCATGGTGTTGTCATTACTCCCTCGACACGATCTACTAAACTTCAGAAAGGTCGCGCATAAAGAGTACTTCTCTGAGCGAGTAGACGATATGATGACTCCTTACCTCAAGACTTTGTTTCTTCTATTTGAGAAACGGAGCCTGGCAAACTTCTTGTATATCCTCGAGGTTCCCTCGCTCTCCTCTCGAGTTCAGAAACTCTATATATGTGCATTGTTGCTTCAGTCAGATGCAGATCAAAATTTACTACACCATAAATGCACCAGTAATCAGAGTTTCGAGCATTTCAACTGCGCATCGCGATCCATTGCGCACCCGAAACTTCTCAAATCCATCGAGCGGGCCCTGAGCAGCCTAGACAAATGCAAGCGTCTATCCATCACCGACAAAAAGCTTCCCCAGGGTCTATGCAGCCTAGAGAAACCATTTGTGGCCAGTCGACTCGATCGTCTAGTGTTGAATTGCAATGCGAGTGTTACGGCTTTTTCAACAATCCTGTCCGTCATTCTGCAGAATAGAGTCCCACTCAAACTGGAAGCTCTCACACTTGATGTTGGGTATTGCATTGACGAAGACTACCAAGACGGTATTAGCACCAGCATGCTTCCATCCCTAAGAGTTCCTCTTAGGACTGTCCGTCACCTATCGATCAAGGTTGATCTTCAGTCCTTCCGTGGAGTGCAAGTGGACACGTTCTTGGAAGACTTTCCAAATCTGGAGAAGCTTGAGCTTGAGATTATAGGTGAAACTGCGCTTGAAAAGCCACTTTCGCTCTTTCCTTCAACTTGCCTCACCTTTGCAGGCCTTAAAGAGCTGAAGCTTGCATGGTTTTCTTGCCATGGGAGTCACCTATATCAGTTTCCTACTCGACATTCGAAGACCTTAGAGAATGTTCACTTTGACTTTATATGTCTTTGGGGCGGCCTGTCTTGGATTGATATAATTGTAGCATTAGGTAGATGCGAAGTTTCACGTCAGTGGTGTGGTCTTGAGTCTGACGCGCTGAACAACACATTGAGTGGTTGACTTTATGCCCACCTGAACTAATACGCTAAGCCAGGCTTATCTCACTTACAAGACTGGCTTCGAGGCAGACTGGTGCATAGATTATAACACTGTCAATCTCTCATCTACATTCACCGGTGTTCCTAATGGCAATTCCTTACCGGACTTGCAACTCTCAAATGAGAATATGATTCGTGGGCTTATGGTGAAAGAGGCTGATTGCATGAATAAAAGCTATTCTTTCGGTCAAAGTACTGACGGTGGACCCCCGAATGAGTACCTGCAGCTTTTAACGAACCCTCTACTATTAAAGCAACCTCTTACTATCGCGACCTTGCAGAGGGGCCAGAAAACAAATGTGCTGTTTGTTGCTGTCTGCCAAGTTTACACTCTGCGCAAAAGGTACCAAACCATCTTTGCGTTTCACAGCGTACTTGCTTATAACATCGTAATGCTTCAAAGGTCGTGCGTAAAAGGCCAAAACAATCCGATGTTAATACTATCTATAGCCCCAGAGCATTTTACATCTTGCATTTGTCGAATGTTTCTTTCCAGCCCGTCGCTCATTTACGTCCCCAGCAGCTTTCCCAATCATTCAACAAACATGATGCAAAAGGATAAAGACCCGTGCTTAAGTAGCCATAAACGCCCCTGGAAGGTCCGCCTGTTGAAAATACGCTCAACGCTGTTGCTGCTGGTGTACGTGGCTTGCACGCTGCTACACTTGTGAGATCCCACCAGCCTTGCCGACACAGCCTCATGGCGGCTAGCTCCATCGGTCATGAACAACATCACTCAATGGCCCAGACGACCGCACGGCTTTCCTCGAGGACCAAAGCAAGTGGCATGGAACAACTGCAGACTGTGGGAAAAACGCCCCCTGCAGACGACCATATACTACAAAGCGCAGGCCTATGTAGGCTCGGTGGTCTTCTGGTTGACACTCAAGAAGGATGAGCTATATCGGTGATACGATTGTTACCAGCACAATGCTAACTGAAGTAACGTTACCCGCACAGTTCGGCGCGCAACTGGCCCAGAACCTTTTTCTGTCGTCATGGTGCTCAAAGACGGCCAGAGAGTTGAGGCTTGTCCCATATACTGTGACCCAGCACATGACTTTGCGTTCTTGCAGCATGATCCAAAGTCGATCCAAAACGTAGATCTTGTCGCTTTTGTCCTTGTTTCGAGGCCTATCGTGTCGAATTCATTCTGTGATCTACAAGTAATGGTTGCAGTATCCGCTGTAAGCCGTTCATCCATCAAGTATCTTCATCCGTGGCACAACTGGGCAATTATTAGTTATGATGCCAACAGCGTTTCGGCTAAGAGCTCAAAACTAAGCATTGAGGACATTTCGCAAGGGCAGTAGATTACATTTCTAGGATGTGACGGCCATGGTGAGATTGACGCAGATTCTTCTACATCAGTCACTGCAATCATTACGCAAGAGATTGAAATGGAGACAGCGCTCAGCTATAAGTGCGATACTGAGTTTTTCATTGCGGCTGAACCACTGCCCAAGGGCTCTGAATAGCCCCCGAAGATGCGTACCAGAATAAACTTGATTTGGAATAGACTCGCAGGGAATAGCCACAATTGCCGAAAACCTCGCCTAAGGAGTGAATATAAGCTTCTGGAGACTTCCCCTTGATCTTCGATCGGTCGAGATTACCGACGTTAAAGCCATAGGCATCTCAATTGAGTGTTTTAACAATGTCCTAGATGAGAGTTCGGATCGCCGCATGTCGATGGTCGAACAGACCTGGAGCCAGGTGCCTCGTCAATTTCAAGTTGGGGATATACTGCAGCCTCATCATCCGGGTCTCCGACGTCAATATTACAGGTCCGGAAGAGGCTTGTGACGTGTTAGCATCCCGCGAGGGTAATGAGATCATCATCCCAGCTTCTCCCATTCCCAAGCACGATTTCTGAGATAACGAGGCTTGCAATCTTTGGTGGCCTAGTTGTGCACAAGCGGCACAGCGCTATTCGGCACTTTAATACAGACTTCCCACCGAGATCTGGGTTGCCAACTTTTACCCAGGATTGCCTACACACTGGTATAGTATACATTTCATGAGTTTCATCATAGATGTCAATGATAGACCTGTATCGTGTATTACGTCGTTGTTGAGCGTCATTTCTCAAGTTCCTAACAACAAAGGTATGTTTTGCGCGACCACCTTGTTGGAAATGGCCATCAACCGGCATCTCTGTAGAGTTTACGATGATTCTAAAGACCGAGAAGTCGGTATGAAGAAAGGTAAGTGCTTGATCCCAACACTAGAATGACGTTATTGTCTATCGGTTCTTCGAGGCTGGAAGATAATTTTATATGACAAGAAAAGACTGAGACAATGTGCTCGACCAGAAATATCCCAGGATGTGGATAGCAGACCTCTCATGTCATGTTTGCCAAATGCTTTAGAGCAATCTTCGACTCTGTTTCAGAGGATTCTTTTGAAACTGTCAGGCAATAAATAGGTTTCTACTTTGAATTAGTTGATCCAGCACCATTCATACCATTGATTGATTTTATTTCCTCGACAACCTTGGCTACTTATCTCAAACCCGGCCTCGGTCCATAGCTGCGTTAAGGTGCTTGATTTTACCAGGTCTGCAAGCATGGCCAGTGATGCAAGTCTAAAGCATAATTAGTTTTATGTCACCATCCGCTTAGCGGTCAATTCTCAGTACATAGACTCCAACTTATCTGCCTTTAGACACCTTAAGACTGAAATGAGCTATCTCTGAGATAACATATCGGGTGGAGCATCTTGGGACTATACTATGGCAGAGACTATTTTTCATTGACTCAAATGATCAGTCAGCGGCAAGCTAGACCCGTGATAAGGCCCCGTGAACGTTGGGACTTGATGCTCCATAAGAGCAGGGCAGGGCTAGGCTGCCAGGAATGGGGCTATTTCCTGGAGGTCCGGCCGATATACGAGGTAAGTGCCTCAGGCACATTCAACATATATCACTTACACCTAACCACCGTCCTTCCAAATGCCCAATACCGCCAACCAACTGATCATGCCACTGTGTTACTAGCCTGCCTTAAGCCGTGGTCCAGCAATATCAGAACGACCTGGGACGTCACAGGCACACAGCTTTGAATTCTACGACAGCGGCAGACATGGTTTTTGAGAGAAAAGGCCTGGAAACGTTAGCCCTTATGTTGAATAGTGGTATTGAGTGGAAGAACTCAAGATGTTACCAGATTGACGTTGACGCGTTATTGATTCCTTCCTTGTCAGTACGACCTCGATATGCGTCAGAGATGCCGTTGATAATGTCGATGTATAGGATCCTTATGATGAGGCAATGATCAGGAAGGTTACCGAGGCCACGTATACTTGAGACTCTCCGACTTCCAGCTCAAGATATAAGAATTGATTTTAGTATATAGACCTAGGCCCTCCCTACACCAACTCGCGAAAAAAGAGCTAGGGATAATGTAATGCACTTATTAGTATAAGAAGAGGAATAAGCACATTTATCTGATACCAAGACCAGTAAATATCATTCACCTCCTTAGCCAACATATACACCCCCAAACAGCCTTATGACACGCCAATTATATTACTTGTATATCTATTTGCTTAGAGCGAGATAAACGGAGGTCTGCGAGTGGCAAGTCATTGTCTCTTGGCTGAATATCTGACATGTTGTGGCGGAGTGGGTAATACTGCGCTAGGTGAATACCCTTGGAATCAGGTCTGTGAACAATGCCGTGTTCTCATTCATTACCTGTGTTTGCGGCCTAAAGCTTAACCTTGTAGGCCGTAGTCAAGGCATACTGTCATAATCTGGTTTTGTTTGTAAGATCTCGTCAATTGTTCTCTGGTATCTCATTTGGAAAGTCGCGAGTCTTGACAATACACGCCCTCTTCTCAATATTCGCTCATCGTTGTCATTTGTTGTTTTATTTTGGATATGTTAGGTCTTCCTCTTATCAGCCTTGTGCTGTAGCAATTGGTCAGACATCTTGGTATAATGTCCAAGTTGTGAGCTAGATGTGTTATTTGGAGTTGTGACTTGTGGCTGAGAGTTTAAATTAACAGAGAGAACTTATTTTTCGCCGCGCTTCCCTTATCTTATCTGATGTCTCCACAGGTAGTCACCAAAAGCTTTAGCGTATATGTTGGCCTACCCTACAGTGATAGCAATTTCTAGGCATTATTAATTTCTAGCTTAAAGGCCTCACAAGCCTTACTTACCTTGATTTCAGTGGGCAGATCGTCTCGTAAAAAGGTATCAGAGGTACACTAGCGTGCGTCGCAGTCTTAAGAATATGCGCACTCGTTGACACCGAGACAAGCTTCATAACCAAACATATCTGTCGAGCTGACGATGAACAAGGCTTTTGTCATCACATCCGTTTATATGTACAGAAACATCGTTTAATCGACAATAATGACTACAGCAAGAATAAAAACTATCGCACAAGAGAGTTGATAGCTTGTGTGCTGTGTTATACTATGCTATTGCAATTGCCACCGTTGCAACCAATGAATATAGAGATTACCCTACCGATAAGTACATAGAGTTGCTGCAACCGTGACAACCGGCCATCATATCACCACAAACAGACCCTACATTGCAACAGCACATACTCACTCACAACTCACAGGCTTGTTGGAATAAACAGGGTGATGTTTGGGAACGGCGAGTTAGCCTAGCCGAAATAGGGAGTCAGCTGTTAGGTATTTCGTTCTTAGATCTTGCTAACAGGTAATGCATAAATGCATTTATCCACGTCTGATCCAGTTTGAGCAGCGCTTTCCCCTTTAGAACTATCTTAATCTGTTATTAGATGAATGGACATTTCGCTAGTTTCAAATGTCTTGTGATAACCATTGTCAATGATGGCCCGCTGGTTCTTTTCGGACATAATGGTGCAATGCCTAAAGTGAAGCCGCCAAACTAATCACTTCTCGAGTAAGCCACCCTATTTAGGTCTAGTATCCAGGATTTACAACCAACCATCTTACATGGCTGCCACTAGTGGAGCTTATTAGTGTTGAATAGGTGCTAGGGTATCACGTGCATGCAGGGATGCTTCAGATTACGCGCCAAAATGGCGACGCGCTCAGGGAACAGATTCTTGACAGAACATAACATGAATACACCAATTTTACATCAATGAACCGAATACACGTAATATCTGACAGTTAGCAGCTTGAGCAGTAAGAGGGCGCTTTAATTTGATACCGATCTGATATCAACTCAGGCCGTGGTGAGTTCTGTTGGGCAAGCGAAAGTCATATACATATCAAGGCACGAGCCTGAAAGCTGAGCAATATCGCTCGTTGGAAGAGGCATATCCTTTCGGTTATATTATGAACCTTGTTATTATTGAAAAGTGGCATAACATGATACAAATATTTAATGTATGTAGAAGCCGGCTACTTCTCCACGTTCATTTTAGTTAACCGCCTTTCAGGCAGCCCTAACTAGTAAGAAATGAAACTTTTTTTTCACTGGGATTCTCCTCTGCTTGATTCAGGGTATCGGTAGAAAAACAACCATGGAACTTTATTTATGGGTGAAGCTCTTGAACCATTTGGGTACCGTTTCAAAGAAGATAGGGCTCATTAATAGCTGAAAGCAAGAAGAACGATCTTGAGAGGCCATTAATCCCGAAGAAAGTCCCCACACGCCGGGCTTGCGAACTCTACAATTCAAACTTCTTCATAGCGGAGCTCATAGTGAAACAGATAGATTTATTCAGAAACATGGCTGAACTAGCACCAGGACACTAATACTGCCATTGAGCCTCATTTGATTGGTTTCATATCATCAGAAGGAGTAACGTAAAAAGCCAAGGCGATGATGACATAAAGACCTATAAGTATAGCACCCTTGAGATAGTTGGACTTCCCATCCCAAATGGTGCATGTGGCGACGAGGACAGACACTGCGAAGGCGGCAGTTTGAACTGTAATTGTAATGTTAGAAAATGTTAAATTATACGGTTGGGGATGCCAAACTTGCACGTCTCAAAGTGAAGAGTCATCTCAATGCCAATGATCCAGCCAACAAAGACGAGGAAGGGAGCAACCAGGAGTGCAATTTGGATCGAAGAGCCAGCGACAACATCCATGGTGAGGTCCATCTTGTCACGGAGCGCAAGAATAACGGCGGTAACGTGCTTTGTGGCATTTCCAACGATAGGAATCAAGATCAGATCAATGAATTCTCGGCTAATTCTGGATAACGTTATCTCGTTAAGATCGTCAATACTATCAACAAGGTAATCGGCGCAGACGGCGACAAGAACGGTAGTGACATAAAAGACGGTAATAGCGGCAATGGGTCCAATAGTAGGCTCCTCCGACTCAGGATCCTTTGACTCAGACTCCTCGCCGCCCTCGTTCTGGTTCTCGGCGTCGATGAGGTTGCTGTGTGTTCGGAGCTGGAAGACGACATATAGTACGGAAAGCAGGAGAAGAATGATTGCTTTGCCACGAGAGAGAGTGAGGATGCTGTGGGCCTTCTCCTTGGAACCACTCTGGTTAAGAACTGCGTAGAGCTATGAAAGTTAGTCGAGTCGTTTTGTGAGTTTCTATCAACATACAGCTGCTGGGATGGCGAGGGAAGTAGAAGACAATGTCATGAAAGGGCAAGTTATCTGAGCAGTGGCTGAAGAAAAGCACTGCTCTCGCCCACTACCAGACTCGCCTCGATGTATACTACCACCAGACAGGAAACACATTCCCATAACAAGAAGAAGGCTAGAAAGAATGCTATCGAGTATAAAGCACTGGGCAAACTCGATCTCGTTTCGCTGGAGAGCAACAATGCTCACCTAAAGATATGGTTAGCCGTTGCAGACAGGGTAAAACTTAGGAGCTTCATACAATCAGTTCCACAGCGTTTCCAAAAGTAGGATTCAGGAGTCCACCGGGTTTGACCGAGCTTCATCTAGATCTGTTCGGTAGCAAAAGATAGGACAGCGGTGAGAGGGATGATAGCGCGGAAATTGATGGTGAAAACAGAAGTTGAACTCCACTTTAGCTTGCCAGCAATGATGCCAAGAGGCACCATAACCAGGAGAAAGTTAACATAGTCTATTGGATGGTGTATTTATAAAGGCGACTGAATATCACCCAGCATGAACGTACTGCTTAGAAGAGTAACCTTGGCGATATGCCAGAAGCGAGCTATGTTCCAAACGGCGGAGTTGCTTTTATCGATACTGGTGGTATGCTTTGAGTGGAAAAGAGAAACGATAGCATTCGAATATCGACTGAGGCTGCTGTGGCCGTGGCAAAGACCATAGCCATTTCGGATAACATCATGCAGAGCCGACGAGGCACCGACATTGACAATCGGGCTGTACTCGTCGGTAGCTCTATTGCCTGCTGATTCAGTCGACGTTGAGCGTTGATCTGAAGAGCGCGTTCCTCTGGAGTGTCAGGATGAACAGTAATTTGTTCATTCCACCTTCTCTTGCCCCCTTGCTTTCTTCCCAAGAGGCAAAGTCAGGATCACGTCTTGCCTAGGCAGTCGTCGATTGTCAACGTATTGGCCCTAAGATGACTTGCCTAATCAGAGACATATGCCCACGACATCAACGGACGTTCAATATCCAACTCCTGTTCATTTCCAAGAGTCTCTGATAAGGTTGATGGTTCAAAAGAGGCTTCGGCGGCAAGGGCACAAAGGTAAAGAACACCATCGGCTTGGCATTACACTCTTCCACGCGCTCGCATGCGAGTTGAATGGCAGATTCGATGACATAATTGGTTGCTGTTTAAAGATGGATGGAGGGTTGGTGTGGTCAGCCCCTCCCGTAGCTATAGCAAAGGCGGCTGCACGGAGTGGTGAGGAGTCTAATATCCCAGTTTGAAGGTTTGGAGCATGCCGTTGTAAGAAACTAGATCGTTGTCCTCTATAGTAAAGCGACGTGTTCACTACCAATATCGCAAAGATTGTAAAGATATATTAACACAATTCTAGAATTATAATAGTTGCCAATCCGGTGAAGCCTGACCCGCAACAACGTGGCCGGTCCCAGCCAAGAGGACACTTTCGAAGCTCACCAATTCCTGCTTAACACTGAGGATCGATCAATTGACCATGCTTCGTGACAGCAATTCCGTTGCTAGTGTCGATCTCGATATACGACCGATCAGGGATCGATGGGGTATCGTAGGAATACAGCGAGAACGATTCGCGATGCTGGACACCGATGGTTCCATCTCCACCCATGGCGGTAGTCTGATAGTAGATAAAAGTAACTAGACCCGGATGATTCTCATAGAGACTGACTGTGAAGTGATAATATCGCGAGGTATCATGATACCGCGTTGTTATATATTCAACAGTGAACGTCCGTCCCCTCGAGGTTTCGTAGACATCATACGCGATCTGCTCGCCAGTTCCGGATATAGCTACCAGGTCAGTCCAATAGGCTACAATAGCCACCGATGGAATCGAAGTAGAAGGTAGTATATCATTGGTATAACTGGAGGACGCTCCGTATAGCGACACATAGCCGTTCGAGCCGACGTAAACAGTCTTTTCATAAGAACCATATATTCCAACCGGGAAAGGCAAAGTAATGGCTTGAGAATCGTCATCGATGTTGTCCCACAATACTGTTGGTTGGGGTAGGGTTCCAGTAGGAACTCTGTGTGGATCACAAGCAGTCGTCATGGAACTCTCGCCGGCTGTCGCTATTTCAGCGTTACTGGTCGTCTCAGCCGTTGTAATGGTCGTTCTGCTACTGGCGGTAGGGGCAGCGATGGTGGTTATAATGAGGGTAGCTGGCCCATCAGTTGCAGTGGCAGTTGTTGTTCCACTAGCCGTAACACCTCCGGTGCCGCTGAAAGTAGTGCTGGTAGTGATTCCATCCGTGGTGGTATCAGTAGAAGTCTCAAAAACCACGGCCGTCGTCTCGGTAGTCTTGTCATCTGTTGTAGTAGCCGTTGCAGTCTGGTTGGTTGTATTCGTGGTGTCGGCTCCACTATTGGCTTCAGTGCTAGTCGTCGTGCCTTCTTTGCCACTCGATGAAGTTTCTGTTCCAGGCGTCGTCTTTGCCGAGACTGCGGAAGATGGCGCGGAGAACGATATGGTCATAGACTGGGACACAAAAGTAGAAGGGCCAGGGACTAAAATGAGTGAGTGTTTGCGTCAGAGATGGAGGATATTCGCATCGTAGCACGGAGCTCACCGAAGACAGAAGAGCGAGGTTTGCATGGACTTGCGAAGCCAAGTGCAGCCAAGAAAAGGCTCAGTGCCGCAGAAAGCAACATCGTTAAAAGCAGGATGTATGTATAGCAGGTGACAGAAATCTCAAAAGTGGTGGTTTATGGAAAGAGTGACTGAACTCGATGCGACATGCGGGACGGCCAGATTGACGCTCTCAGCGATGGAATAGTTAGGGGCAGGGACACGCGGGCTAATAACGTTCCCGAAGCTGATGCAATGGGAGTTTACTCTGACAAACATAGTAAATAAGCATGTCAGTCTCGCTATACATCACAATGAACGCTGTGACCTTCCGTCGACATGCTGGCAACTTCTGAACCAATCAAACCCAAATATCGATGTTTTTGTGAGATTGATAATTTATCGCTAGCTTGTAAGACCCGTCTCCAGCCTGCCTTTGTAGACCTGGTTCACAGAAAAGACCTAGTGACAAAAATTTTTAGCCCCGACTTATTTTAATCTCCACAAATGAACAGTAGCGTTTGATTCAGCTAGTTACATTAAGTTTTGAAAACACGCTTTCCGGGGTCAACGGAAACCAGGCCATCCCCTGTACGAGCTTCCTGGATGCTGCTATCTGTCACAATGGTCTGAAATGCGTCGTAAAAAGCGGGAAAGAACTCGGCTTGGAAACGTGGCTTATATGTCTTTGGATTAAATGTCCCATTTCTCGCACAAGGTCTACTTCAGCAGGCTGAATTATCCGAGATGAAGAGGCTTAAGGAGAGGAGACGAATGGGGCGGCATACAGAATATAACAATCTTTTCTGCCAGGCGATATTTCTCCAAGCCGCCGGAAGATAGTGGCTTTCGTGGCCGTCGAGGGTTAGAAGAAGATAGTGACCAACTGATCGCACACTTGTGGTGTGATCAAAGTGCTTCAGCCCATGATACAGAAATTCTCTTCCACAATGTCAGCATTGTGACTTGACTAGGTAGTAACTCAGAGGCAATATCCCACACAACATCCTCTGCTTTATGCTGGCGCCTTATTGTTACGATGGCTAGCTCGTCAGGTGCGATAGATGGCATACTAAGAACACGCTGTCCCATAAGGACTACCGTAAATTCTCAGTAGAATGAGACGTGGTTGTGGCTACCTTTTCTACCAAAGATAGTAGCAAATCTGATATCTCTTCAATATCACTGGCCTGAATGCATCTAAATCGGCTCTACAGCCCCTTTCCATTCTATCGAGTCTTGACGGTACCATTGACTCATGTACGGGGGACATCTAGGCTTACAGGATAACCTTCTTGCTAACTTGCTATTGCTATGATCCCCTGAATGAATTGAGGGATCTCAAAAGGCCTAAGGCTAGCAAGATTAGCCATGGTAATAGGTACCCACTAATCTCGAATTAGATCATAACGGCCTTCCTTTCATAGTCTCTCTAGCTACCAGGTACACGATAGCCTAGGGGCAGGGTTGCGGCATGAAATGGGTTCACCCGTGTTACCCGGACCAATCCACGTGTGAGGCGCGTGACGTGAGCATTAGCTGTCAGGTCTATCGACTTAAAATGACACTTTTATAGAAGCCACACAATCCGATGGCTGAAGTTAGCGCGGGTATACGGAGTAGACCATGGTGAATTGAGTCAGGTTGAAGAACCTGCTGGTTGAAAGTGGGGCCTGGGCCAATGGCTAGCATCCGTGCTGTTGAGGCTCGGGCTGGCCCTTGCTGGCGTAGAACCGCGGGCGGTGTGTCGAGGCTAGTACGGCCGGCCCTTTGATCAGCTACCTCTCGTCACTCACATATGTACCTGACACCGCCCTCAACCTCGAACTCCACTATAACCTAGTATTTATGGTTCTTGGGATCGAGTTCGTCTAGTTCTGACACTTCCTCCCCCGAAATGCCTGCCGTCTTGCTACGGCTCTCCATTCCAGCAAGCTGTCTAAAACGTCTCATAGTCAGACTTGGACTCAGATTCGTACTCCTCCCACGTTCGGTGGGTTACAGTGCCTCAGCTAGAGCATCTATCAACGCCTCCCAAGGACCACGGTAGCTCTGTTTGGGTCACACTAGACGCCTTAGTGACTGGAACAAGCACAGATTCTCCAAGCTCAGTAGAACCCGACGCCCTGCATGTGGATTCAGTATATTTGCTGGATACGACTCTTATTCCGATGCCCTATATCAGGCACATGATGCCTCTATGCCGCCGTGTCGCAACACGTCAGTCCGTGAGCCGTCACTACCGTCTACTAGCCAATCCTCGAGAGCGCCACAGACAGGTGCAAGGCCACCGTATGGATACCTGCAAGATCTCTCTGACTCGAGATACAGAGTCGAAAGCTCCGTGAGCAGCTATGGTCAGGGATATAAGCCGCGAACGTACTCAAGTGTCGATCCATCTACTGCCGCTTATCGAACCGACAGGGCTTTCTTTGCTTCAGATTTGCCCTCCAGCCTCGGCGCAAGTAATTCAACGATCTGGCCGATACAAGAATATGAGGTGCCGCCGTTCTCTTCAACTCCGCAAAATCAAGGTCCTGATCTAAACCAGGAGAAGAGACTGTTGAAGCTGATCAACGACAAAAGGTCCACAAAAAAGCACATATCAAAGGAGGCGAAGATATGCCAATGCGAAGCCAAAGGATACGGGCGGTCTTTCGTTCGCGAATCTAGATACAAATTGCACTCGAACACTCATAATGAGAACCGCGAATATCAATTTCCCTGTACTGTCGACGGGTGCACTAAGAAGTTTGCGCGAAACGACATCCTTCAACGACACCACCAGAGTGCGGGCCTGAAGGAACGCAATCATAAGTGTGACTCCTGCGAACGCCATTTCACGCGAAAGGAGACTCTGAGAAGGTAAGCATGCCATGCACTCTGGCGCTCACAAACTCTAATAGTTGAATTGATAGACATATCGAGAATGTCTGCTCGAAACAGGTTGATGTCGGGATTCCTAACTTGCCAGACGTGCAATTCTTAGTCTAATCAGACCTTCCGGTTGAGATCCTCGCCGCCAAGGGTAAACTTACACATAACACGACACGCGTCTCTAGCAACGTATTGGCTCTGGCCTTATTATGATGAACAATAGATTGATATGGTAGAGTCTAGAATTGGACGGATTTTTGGTATTTTCAGCATCTCTCCCTCAAGACATCGCATATTGAAAACATCATTAAAATGCCTACCCGAAATAAGAATGGAGTCCTGTGCGTCCATCAACGATTAACTCTCTCCTGTAAAAATTCTTTCTTGGCACGCACTGTTAGTGCGGTGCTAGGAGCGGGATTTTCTGCAGGCCACGCGGCCACACAAAAACTGCGGAGGACGCTATCGGCTCCCTAACAGCAGTTTTCAGAGAAGGAATTTTGGAGAGTTCGCCTTCTCTGACAACACCTTTGTCGGATCTAATGGCGGCACCTCAGAACCAGAACGCCTTAGATATCGGAGGGCGATGCCCAGGGCATTCGTAACGACATCCTTCCGATCAACGACGCCGATTGCGATGGGTTTTTCTCCTTTGAAGGCAAGCCGCACCGTCGGCCTCTGATTCCTTCCCGAGGTTTTTCCCTGCCGCCGCGACATTCGACTACGAGCTACAACTTGGTTACTGGGGATTGTGGACTGCGTCAGCAGATGTAGTGATGCGCGAGAGAATTCTGGTTGGTGGAAAATGTTCGACAGTAGATTGCCCCCGAACCCGCTGACGGGTGACGGGCTTGGGAAACACGCAGCACTTTTTGTGCCATTGGTATGCTGGATGGTGAAGGAAGCGGGGTTTCCCTGTACCTAGCTAGCTCAGCACGTCTTTTGCTCCAGTAGGAGATTTGGCTTCGTTACAGCCACCCAGACGAAAAATACACAAACAAACAAAATCTACCACAGAGCCTACTGCCTTATGGCCGAGTTCCGTCTGCCCTAGTGATTGGCAGCCGCTTGTAGTGCGAAAGCACGTTCCAGCCGCTAACTTCACCTCCAGATAAGCCCTCTCGCCTAGAGATGGGGTACTTGATAACCGTTAGAGGGTACATTCTTGCGTTCAGCTTGCATGCATGGAACACTGGTGTCTTCCTTCTACGCGCGGATACTGGTATGGTGCATGCCACGCCTCAGCCCGTTGGAGACGGCATTGCCGCGTGGCGGCAACGCTCGTAGCAGCTCAATTTCGGCCGGGTTTTTGATTGGCCTTGAGTGACAGGTTTCAACAAGTCACGCAGGTTTTTCTCTTGACTAACTAAGAGGCTGAGATAAGATAAGTAGTCCTCCCTTGGGTCTAGGAATCCCTCGAAGATAAAAGTAAAAGAATTCTACATACTAATTCTAAGCATACTGACTTGGTGACTTGACGACTACGACCTGAGTCGACTTATTTGTTGCCCTTTTTCCTGACTTGCGAGTCAGTGATTCGGACTTGAATGGAGTTGAATGACTTGAAGTATCAGACGGCTGGGCGCGCTAACCACCAAGAATTCAGGAGATCGAGAACCAGGTTGACTTTTGCACCTCACACCAAGCCTCGCAGTCGACAGCGCATTATCAATCCACAATCCGCAGGCCCAAGCTTGCAGAACTATCATTACACTGCTTAAAGAGTGTTCTTTGCTTCCTTGAGCCCGAGAGGCATTCCTGTTCCCAAACTTGACTCACCCAGATCTTTCCTTTCCCCTACGTGAGAGTTGATCGTCCAAGCATCCTGGTCACTTCAAGGTCACTTTCTCGGCACAAGACCAGAACACGATTCATTATTAAATCTCGTTGGAGTGATCATAGCGCAATTGAATTTGACCCACGTATGCTAGCACAAAACGTTGGCGAGCACGCATGGGGCTGGGCATTGTATATAAACGCGAGCATCTAGACTTGAAGGGGTTTGATAGTTCACAACATCACTTCCACCACCGCCGGATGAGTACTGAAATCAGTCCGCAAGAAGGCCCTGTTCTAAGGGTTCAACGCATTTGCCTGCTTAGTAGCAAAAGAATTCCTCATCGTTCCGCCATGTCCCAGCATTGTATGACATGGATCCTGCTCGCGTACGGGTGAGTGTTGACCTCTGCAAGGCGCTGAATATCCTTCCTAGGCTCGCCCCACTGTATGAATTCGCATTAGACAAAGTATCATAAGAAAGTTAATAGTGTATCGGACTGACCGGCGGTGGGGGAAGTTTCCTTGTCTGAGTAATGGAACCTTCGCAAATCTGCTTCGGCCGTCCATACTATTCTCGGTTCATTTTTTAACTTCTCTCTGGCCTCCAGACGTCCGCTCTGCAGAAAGTCCGCCATGGAAGGAAGATGAATGGAAGATGGGACATTAACCACAATCTTTGCCTCACTCCAGCCGCTCGCCTCTCTTCTTCCCGTATCATCAGGAGTGAGGTTGGTGGCTGCTGAATAGTATTGCTTAGTAAGTCTATGTTCAGGGCCACGTGGGCCTGTTGCAAACGAATCTTGTTTAGGTAGAGGTGTGAGAATTTCACTAAACCCTAAGGGGATCCCTGAAGGAAGCGTAGAGGACGGTATCGGCTGGCTGATGGGTGGAAGAGAGATGGGTGTTGGTCGAGGTAAGTCAATGGGAAATCTCGGTCGTCCAAGAAAACGTCCAGTAGCATGAATTGTTGCCAATTTCATCGGTTGAATTGCTCCCATAGCCTGGGTCGCCTTGCCGACAGTTTGATCAATATCGTTGGTCTTGGCTGCCCCGTCTGTATGGTATTCAATGCCTCCCAAGTCATTCCTGGATGCTTTCTTGATTCTTTCGTTCTTCCCAAGTTTCTTTCGACGTCGTTGACCGGCAAACCAGCGTTTGATTTGATCTGTTGGTGAACATGTTAGTTTCCAACTTTCACTCGTCTTCTTCGTACTACCCGGCTCGGCCTGACCGAATTGAACTTACTCCACTCTAGCTTAGTTTCATGCAAAAAGCTTTGCATTTCATTACCATCTGGATATGGCCGCTGAGTGTTTGCACAATACCACTTTCTGAGGCGGGCTTTAGCTTCCTCCGGTAGTCTTGGCCTTTTACGTGGCTGGGTGGGCAGAAGCTCAGACATTTCCTCACAACGCTGCGTACAATTGTCGAGTTCATATCGCGGGGCGCTTGGTTGAAACGCGATGGATCGTGATGGAGGCAAATTTTCAGAATTTTCCTTCCGTTGCAGCGCATAATTCGAACTGGGAACCTCAGTCGGGAAGCCTAAATGTCCGGGACAGGAACTATTTATCGACTGGTGACGGCAGTCACGAGGTTCCTCAGCTATGCAAGCTGGTGCAACGCTGGAGGCCATATGACATAGCTTCTTGGGTGAATGGTACTGAGGTATAAAAGCTCGCTCCTCAATTCGTTGCGGCCAAGGTGCCCCTGGAAGCGCTGGTCGTTCAGAACATCCAGTCATATTGTCGTTGGCATCAAGCACATCAACGGGGGCTTTGACTGTTTCGTTATGACAGTGCTCAGGTTCTCGTGGTGTTGTCTGCCCCTTACCAACTGATGCTAGCTTTGCCATATCTTCAGAGGCAGCTGTATTCTCTCTCCATCGTGAGAGGAACTTTTCCATCGTGGGATTCGTATTTTTGCTCCCTTCTTGGCTTTCAGCTTCAATTCGATCCCAAATAGACCTTTTATCTTCGAAAGTAACTAAGATCTCTCTCCTTGTGGCCATGTTTCCAGGAGTAAGCAAGGTGGAGTGATTTCTCGTTCCTACGTTGTAGCCTTGGACTATGGGAGACAAGCTTGCTGGGAGCAAACGTGAGCCATATGATACAACCGAAGCTAAACAGGAAGGCCCACGAGGAAAGTGAAAAGAGTCTATAGAGTGCGTTGTCCGAGACTTTGGAAGAACAGAGGTGTGCGAGATGAGTATTTGAGTGGTATTTTAGGAATAAAGGATGAAGGTCCGTGGTGTAGAGCAGAATGAGAGTCAATTACTCAAGGGAAACACTCGGTCGTCTAGTTCAACCTGCTGCAAAGTTCTTTTTAGGAATCATCCCCTCTCAAACTTTGCTGGTTTTTCCTTCGTACTTGGGTCCTAAACGAAAAGAAGACAGCTTGAACAGCTCTGTAAGAAACGTATTAGCCCATCACATGAACCGCCCGCCATTAGAAAGTATCATTGAAGTAGCCACTAGAGAGGAAAAGGACGCACCTGTAGGATATCAAAGATTGGTCACACCCTTTTGCTGGTCTGGTAGAGTGTTTTTGCATGGATATCAGCTCTGAGCTACTTGACAGACAGACCGTGTTTACAGTTCTACAGTCTGTAGTCCATCACTGCCAAGGTCTGTTTGAGAACCCGTGGAGGCTAAAGAAAACATCGACTTAGCTTTTGTGATGTCGGCCGCCCGCTGTCAAGTAAACGACTATCTTGATGTGACACCCTGGCATGCTGTAATCTCTAGCGCCAGAAAACTTTCGTCACACACACAACTATCATCGCGTTGGCGAATCTTATGCACACGCTCGGTGTTCTCCCGTGCAAGCGCGGTGGGCCATTTAGCACCAACTCAGTAGCTGAAGCAATCCTTTCTGAGGGGATGCTGCGGTAACAAATTAGACTTTTCCTTTGATTCAAACCTTTCCGCAACCAAATTTGCCCCACCTAGTCTTGGTCGGGTCCACGGAGCCGAGGCTCATGACCTTCTCCCCCCCGCACCTTCATGCATGACGCTCGCGTCGTCCCTGCATGTAAGATCCCTGCTCAGCTCACTAGTGGCATCTCGCTTTCCCTTTCAGGATACTAGAGTGGACCGACGAGAACCTCACTCAGTTTAAGTCATCCCCCTCTAGCCTGAGCGCTATATTACCATCGGCAGGAAATAATTAGCTTTCCTCAGCAAGTCCTGAGTCTCTTTTCGTCCTTTTCGTCTCAGCATATCCCAAGACATATTAGTAAACCAAGCCTTATCCAAAATGTAAAAGAGAATATCCACAGTTGTTCCTTTCTCGTCGTAAATTTTCGTCAACAGCTCTGATCTGTCCACCACAACAGATTTGTTCATAGGTCATGGGGCTGACACAACCGATTTACCAAAACAGCAAAAAGAAGACTGGCCGTGGTCAAAAGATTTTTCTTTAGGAGTGGCGATAGAAAGACAAAAAACGCAAGCCATAAGCTGGCATGGACAATAGAGGTGTAGATGGAGTGATGAGTTGACTAGACAAAGCTAGTAGCCCAGCGGGGGTGACAACATGAGGGCCAAGATAAGCCTAGCCTCCAAGCCGAGAATATAGTGCGATCGTTGAGACACTCGGAGAATACGGAGATCAAGCATCATAGGCGCGACACATGGCGCGTGGTGCTCATCAAACCGTTGCGCCATAAAATCAGCACCCGGCTTTTCAAGGTTAATCACTGTTATGCCACCCTTCTTCACGATGGCCGTTTAGCAAGCTAGGGCGATGAGGTGCAAATACGCCATGTACAAGTCCGTCGCTTCGTATCAGATGGCTCGATCGGTACAAACACACGTCACACACGAACTCGGATGATGACGGAGTGATCGTACGACCCGCGATGATCGTACAGACGCTACGTCTGATCCTTCATCCGCCGTCGCTCACGAGTCGCTCCGCTCTTGACGCTGGACCCGGAGAAATTGCTTCGGCTCGTAGGTCTGAACTATGGAAATGCCCTTAGGAGGAGTCGAAAAGGTACTTATTGCAAAGATAAGAGTTGAATTGGCCGGAATCTACTTCTTCTTCCTATCTTTCACTAAAGTATCTAAACTAAGTCGACATAGGTATTAAGCTCGAACTCGAAATCTAGTCAGTCAACCATGACTGTTTCCTGATGAGGGAATTGCGGGTTTCCATCAGATGATCCATCCCTCTCGCTCCTCTGACTCTAAGTCTCTTGTAGAGAGGGCGTGGTTACTCTTTGTAGGCTCACGGGCCCTTAAGCGGTAGCCACGCTTGTGGGCACGAGTTCTCGGATAGGAGTCTGGTGGGTCATGTCCCCTTCACCAGAAGCCATACTCTTCAACCTGCTATTGGCAGTGTTCCAAGTTCAACCATTAGACGACTGGTAGAAAACAATCCCAAGGGAGTGAGTCATTCTTGTTGATGGAAGAGCTGTCAATGACTCGAGGCTGATCACAAATGTCGATTCCGGCCAGCAGCTACTAGCCTAGCCTCTTCCCCCTTTCCACCTTATCTGTAAAACATCTCACTGCTTTACAAACATGGCAAGCGTCGCTAACGATCACTACGTCCAGGCTCTCACAGTTACAATACCCTACCCAAGATAGCTGATGAGAATGACTTGAGTGTGCCTGCTTATCCTCCGCCCAGGCGCGCAACAACTCGTCAAGTCCGGGCCAGCCAGTAAGAATTGTGCGCTCATTCAACGCTCTCACACGTGCTCTGTTGAGCGAGAGGCGTGTCTATCGCCGTGACGTTCCGACACAAACTTCGTAACTAAAACTACCCACTTATCTAAAGCAGGAAGAGAAATTTAGATTGTGAATCTGTTTTAAAAACTTCCTCAGCCAAGATTCAGATGCGATGCTCGGACATGGACGATCAAGAAGACCAATCTAAGCCTCATGATCTAGTCACCTCCTCGCCCTGGTCATACTGGGATCACATTCACGCTTAGCGACGCTCTCTATTAGACTTTTTACAGAGTCACCACTCCTTCGCTACGTACACCCCGCATACATGTGTAGACATCGAACAAGAAAGCTGTTGTCGCCTATGTATGATGCTTCTTACTCCGCCCGTTCTTCGCACTCGATCGCGCTCCATAATGATACCTATACTTCGCATTGGGTGCCCCCAGACCCAGTTTTCAACAGAAAATGTCAGGATTCAAACCAAAGCCAGGTGTCAACTTCCTTGGAGCTAATACAGGAGTTCTTTTTAGTACGTCGAAGAGATACGACTAAACGATACTGGGCATTAGTTCCGGCTATGGTAATCGGTACCGAAGTTCGTATCGTAATTCACAGAAACATATCATTCACGGCTACGATTGATGTGAATGAGGGGCATGACTAGTGCCTTGGAAGCAGCGCTCCGTTCACCTTGGCCGTCGCTGTCTGAAACAAAAGTACGTGATCCGGGTTTGGCATGGAGGTGGGCTTAGCGGGGGTGTTGCGTACAAACTTTCTAGCATAGTGACGAAACAAGAATGGTAAGTACTTATACAACATAAATGATTGGCCACTGATTCTGGCACATGATGCAAGAAAGCTGTTCGGTTTGATCTATTCTCTATATTGTCTAGCTGTAACCTTGACGAGTGTATCGGATTACCCTAGGGACGTAAATCACCCTTGCCTGACCGCGGGTTCCTTTTCGCAGTGCATCACGCCTCAGCTTCCATAGACCAACATCAACTGAGGTGGGTTTTGAGTGATCGGACGCCCGTAGACCAGAATAGAGTCAACAAGAGCTCCAATACCGGCCGCAGATCCGTTTATCTATGACGAATTAACCTTCTCATCACTTGACCATTCTCAGCAAAGATCCGAGACCTCGAAACATAGTCCACAAATCCGGCGCATCACCTACTGGTGGCCACGATCACGTGGGAGATCATGGTCCTGGCTGCTTGCGTAATACGCGCGCATAGCAGCCATTGGCTCTGTTTCTCTTTGTGATCCATGGAAGATCGTTCTGCATAACGCTCAAGTGCCTGCATTCTGCCAAGCCTACAGACAATGATGGCAAGACCTACAGAGTACCTCTAGACGAATAATTCAGGCTTGTATCTGAGTGTTTGAATGCGGAAGTGGAGATACTCCACCATCATGCGTGCGATCCGGTAGGTCTAGTACAGCACGTTATGCTATGATACCCCGGCCGTCGCTTCGCCGGACGACATTCCATGCTTGGGAGTTCCTGTAAAACAGTCGAGATACACGAGCTCCAAACTGAGTTTTCGGGGGCGCCTGTCAAATTTTTGGCTTTAGTCGATAATGTTCTTCTGTTCTCTAGTGCCATTATCACCGTGTCTTCCGTTTTCATGAGGTCAGACGCTCAAAACACTGAGCTTGAGCGCTCATGTTCCTGCTGAACTCTGCCTTCCAGTAAATTAGCCCCGATGATCTGGCATATATTTGAGGCAATTGCCCAACTCTATGCTCTTCTTGAAAGCGTCGTAAAGTTCTTCAGATTCTATTCTCAAGCTGCTAGTCGAACACTTAGCTCAATTCCAGCTACGGTCTTACTACTGCAAACTTTTATTCCCCTAGAGACCCTTGATCTGGTATCCTCTAAGGAAACTAGCTTATTCTATCTCTACGCCATACTTCTGGAACGCGAAAGCATTGAGCATTCCGATTCTTTCAAATATGTCCAGAGCAGAAGAAAGGCCTGTTTGGGCTGGAACAGAACGAAGTCAGTTGAATGAAGTCCGCAACAAGAAGAGCCTTGAGAATTGTATTCGACGGGTGGAAGAAACCCTCGGTAGGCTCGATATTTTAGAAGAGCTAGCTCAGGTATGCATCGAGCTCAGAGAGCTCAGAGCTGACATGTCACGGCTCGCTGCTGCGGTTGATAAGGGGGCCGCTCAACAAGAGCAGTCATCTCAAAGCCTCCGCACTTCACGTGAAGCGAGAGACAATGAGACCAAAGCTGTCAGGACTGAGATAAAAAGGCGGGCCGAAGAAAAGAAAGGAGAAAACCATAATGCCCCAGACAATAGGGGTGTTGAGTCGGAAGGATTTATTCTGTCCAAAGAATTGCCAAGGCTTTCGTCAGCCGCTGGCGGTATACCAGCACGATGGGAACTTACCAATGGCACCGGCGCCGTGGCAAATAGGCCCGAAGAAGCAAGTGATAAACGGAGCAGCCTGAAGTGCCACGACATTAAGACAGCCAAGACACCAGAGGTTCAGCCAAAGCTTGAGCCAACAAATCAACTAGAGCTCCAAGAAGTTCCGCAGGTCGGGATGGAGATCGTACCGTCCAAACCGCCTCTACCACCGCGCTTTTACGAACCACCTTCAAGAGGTTGTTGGAAGCAACCTACCGGAGAATCTAGTCGAGGCCAAAAACGACCGTTCCGGGGTCAACCTGATGGGTTCTCTGAGCAACAGACAACAGCGACTGGACAAGTCTTCCACCAACCTGACAAGGGGCCAATTATGAGAGTCTCAGACTCAAATAGAACCCCAACAGAATTTTCTAGAGATCTCCAGTCGGTATCCCAAAGACCATCGTACGGTCCACTTTACGGGACTTCAGGCCATCTGTCCGCGGATTCAATTCATAAACTACAGTCGGGCTCCTGTGTTTGTAACGTCTGTCTATCGGCACAAAGCTCTCAAATGCGCTGTAGTGTAACAAACGGTCTACCTCACGGAAATTCAATCAATCCGGCCACAGCTCCAGCCCCCTGGCCAGAGCAAGACTACAATGCTCATCCCACATGTCCAACAACGCAAAACCCTTCGATACGTTATGGGCCAATTTATGGCTTACACTGCGGACCTCCAAGCTACATAAACTCGGCCCCATATCAAGTAGTCTCCAAAATGCCTTCCATGTTTCCACAAACATCAAACAATTCTATGTATCCTATGTCTAGTGATCCAAGGGGGCGGTTTCCAGGCTACCTAGCCACGGCTCCGGCTCAGAGATTACAACCGGTCTCCAACATACCTCCTGGACATTCACAAACACAAAACCTTCAGATAACCGACCCTTGTCCTCGAGATTCCTACGGAACCCAAGGTCGAGAAATGAGGTCTGGGGAGTCTACAGCGACGAATAGCCAACGGCTATCCCAAAACCGCGTGACCTTATTCCACAATACCACGACCAGTGATGCCTCTATTATTATGCACAGTGTCGCACCAAGCGGAAGCCGCAAGACCCTTGAACGACGAAAACGTGAGGCACAAGCCAGGGAGCGAAGGCTGAAGAGCGTGGCCATCAGGGCAATCCAAGTGGCAAACGCGCATGTCGGTCTCCTAAAAAAGGAGCCTTAGCCTTTTGCCCTCAAACTTCCGATTGACCTGAACTTATTGATCTTTAGTTCATGGTTCATGTGCGGGATCGCGTACTTGGCCGAGGCTTTCCATGCCGTCATTCAACTTGGCATTGTCGAGTCTACACTTATGAATTTATGTAACAGATGATAGTTTAGCTGTGGGACAATCGTAGCCTGAAGCAGAACTACACCAAAGGACGATTGTTGAATGGAAAGCGGTGAGGAGAAAGCGACACACTTCATGTGCGAAACTAGTTCAAAGGTCGGGGGCACGCTGTGAGCAGTAATTTATGACTGTCCTGGGTTTATTCTTCTTTTCCATCCATCATGCGCTAGAGTTAATCAACGTATCTAAAACATTACTCATTCCATTCTACAGTAAAACCGAAACCATCATACCCAACCAAAGCCTATCGTCTACTGCTCACCATACACGCTCACGGCGCTGCGGAAACCGAGCTTAGCTATACCCAAGCTAGGGGAATGGCGGAGACGTAGCCAACGAGAGCCAGTAATCACGAATCGTATAGTAATCTATACATCTCGTACGGCATTATCTGCGTAGTGGACTTTTTGACTTATAATTCAGACAAGTATACATAAACAGCAGACATAGCAACGGATGTGATCAGAGTGCAATAGTAATCTGGCTTTCCGACGTAGATGGGCATCGTCAAACAACAAGCTCAAATAAATGACATCTCCTGACAATTAGTCATAAAATATCGCTATTATCGCGACTCTCTTTTCCTCCATCTTTTGCACGCAGTTTTCGAGTTCTGTGGAGCGCAATGTTTCAACATATTAAGAGCTCAGAAAAGACCGTAGCTCGTAACACCAGTGCATCCAGTGTGCGGTCTAAACTGACCTGTGCGACTCGAAATTAGTTGAAAAAGTAAAAAAGAGCTTATGCGTCTTGTTGTGGAGGAACGAAATGAAATAAAGATTGCTTTCCGTGGTTCAATCTTGTGGTATAGCCTCTTTTTCTGAGGAATGGGCTTGCGCCGTACGGAATCTTCCAACCTGTAATGCTTTCCAATTAAACTTGCGTATCTTGCTCAATGTTGTGACCGATAAGGAAAAGTAGAGGAAGAAAACACTGTGTTGTGTTAAGTGCTTAGACACTGGTGATGCGCTCAAGAGGAGCTCGAGCGCAGCAGACCATGAGCTTCAGGCTTGTACGGAGCTCTTTAGCTTCAGAGAGTAGAGACTTATCGCTCCAGATGCTCTTCTCAGAGGGGTTCCCAGCTGCGTTTTCGTAGCACCGTGTGTACCACCATCGGCCAACCCGACTGACCATCTTGGTGATGCCCTCGTCTGCCAAGGGACTGTTGTCGCTCATCATCTCGGATAGACTTGGCGGATCCTTCTTCTTCTCAGCAATAGCTTTGCCCTTGTCGGCCTTGCTGTCTGAGCGAGTGACGGAACTTACCACGGGCACACCCAATCGTGCTGCCTTGATGGTAGTGAAACCAACCTTGCCAAGGAGACGAAGAATGAGATCCGCGGTTGATCCGAGACTAGTATCAGGCGTCTTTTCGTTGATCCTCTCTTTGAGACGGCGAACTGTACGTCGGGACGTGTTGCCCATGTTGTTTAGGTCAACATCGAGAATGGAGAGCTCGATGAAGCCTCTTGGCTTCAACACACGGCGAGCTTCGGTGAGAATGCTGCGGTAGTATGCGACAGGAGCGGCGACAGGGAAGCGATAGATAACAGCCGTAAAGCTCTGAGGGGCGAAGGGAAACTTGTCGAGGTGAGAGACGTATTGAATCTGGTGGTGGTTTGGAGGGCTGAGAGGAAAACTCGAAGGTGAACTCTTGAGTTCTTCAGGAAGGGGAGCGCGAGGAGACAGGTTGAAGAAGGTGGCAGCCGGGTATGTTTCCGCAGCGTAGAATGACCAGTCATCGTTACCAAGGCCATCAATTACGAGGATTGAGTGCCTCTTCAGTGATCCCTCAACAGGAACCAGTTGATGGCGAACGTCACTGAAGAGAACATGCCCGAAGGTAAGCCACTTGCTCACCGTCATTGAACCAACTCTGAGATTGACTTGTGCGAGTGGTGACCCATCCTCGGAAGAGGAGCTGGCATCAGATTGTCTAGTCTTACAGGAAGATCGACTGCTTCGTCGAGATACCTCACCAGCCGCAGGAACCTCGGTGTTGGTGTTGCGGTCCTCGTATCCCGAAACAAACTTGGAGACTGAGAGGGGAGTGCCGGGGCTTGGGTGAGGTTGGAAAGCCATCCGAAGGCGTTCAGTCATGTCAGCACTGCAAGTGCTGGAGATGGTTGTTGCCTTGAATTGTCGGTTTGCCTGCTTATCGAAGAGAACCGGCGGCGACTCCAAGGGCTTCTCCTTGCTAGCCAGCTTCGACTCRTAAGTCTCAAGATGAAACGGTGTGCCCTGTGAAGAAGTTGCCGAGGGAGGTGCTTTGCCAGCATCTTCTCCAAGGAGATCATCATACTCACCCCACACCTCATCTTCTGCGGGGGGGTCATAAGGCTGTGGGATTACGGCAGTAGACCCAGAGAAAGCAAGAATGCCAGAACAGCTTGAGCTAGATGTACCAATGGTTCCCTCGGAGTCCTTGCGAGGCGAAAAGGCCAAGAACTCCTGTTCAGCCCAGATCAAAGCAGGAGGGTAAGAGGGTCTTGATGAGAGATTGTCGGTGCTTCCGGCTATTGAACCATCGGTAGTGAGATCAGGAACAAGAGTCGAGGGTCTCGAAAGTGAAGGCCCTTTGGCGATTGACTCAGGATCATAGACCTCAAGGTTCTCGGGTGCCAAGTGCATGCTAGCTAAGCTCATAGGTGACACGCGTTCAGTACGGTTGCTCACAACCTTGGGGATTCGCCCGACTTGTGGAAGTCGGCTTTGTCGACCATGAGTCGTGTTTATCAAAGGAGGTTGTAGAGTAGGCTTGGATATCAAAGTCTGCTGTGGTACAGGCAACTGAGGTTTGGTCTTTATCTCAATGCTCTCCTTCTCAGGGGCTTGAGTTGTACGTACAGGTCGCACCGGAGGTTCGATTGATGATCGCATCTCTGGTGTGCCTTGGCAAAGCTCAGGAGTACCGCCGACACCAGGTGACTTCCCATCAACCTCGACAGACCTCAAGGCATCCTGAATGTCCATGGGCTCCCTATCCTCTTGTTCTGAAGAATATATCATGGCGTAGAAGGCAAGGGGTTTCTTCTCCACTGGTTTAACAGTAGCCGAGAACTTCTCGCTGTGCTTAGGTTGCTCCGTCTGGACTGATCTTCCAAACAAGTTCCACTTGCGAGGTGACCGAGGTCTTTTGATAAGATTCTTGGGTGCAGGGTGAGATGACTTGGCCCCGTGAGAAATCTCCCGCTGCAGCTCGAAGTGGGACTCAACAGACATGACACTAGTATCAAAGCTTGTCATAGGCGACGACGCATAGCCTGACGTGTTGCTGGGCTGAGGTAGCGAAGATCGGAGAGGACGCACAGATCTCTGGAAAGCCAAAGTCGACTTTATTGTAGAGCCTTCAGAATCGTTGCTCTTGAGGAGACGGCGACCGCCCTTGGCTTTTGTTCCGTTGGCGTGCTTGTTACGACGAAAGAACGGGAAGGAGGTAACAACATTAGGACTCGGTATGCGTGTCAGTCGAGGTGGCTCGGGGCCTTCATACTTCTTCGATTCGGTCGTTGTCTCGGCTGCCGGTTGAGCGTACAATTCGCTTCTGATGGGGAGCTGTGAAATTGACGCTGTTTGGCCTACATGAGTGTACTGTGGCTTTGGGGGTGACAAAGCTGCTGTAGCCGCAGATTCACTTCCACGTCTTTCGGTTGTTGGGAGGGACTGAGTGGAAAGATTGCTGTGAATAACTGGCATGGGGTTGAAAAGTTGTTCTTCCATGTCGGGGATGCCAACTCTACTTGGTCGTGAGGGCGGTACGGCTCTTGGGGGGGCGGAAGATTGGGCACTTGTCTCAGGGGAAGGTGATCGCAAAACAGGTCTTGGTACCTTGCGCACAGACTTGGGCGACGAAGTCTCCTCACGAAAGTACTGCGACGATTTCCGTGGTGGAGAACTAGGTGGAGGAGGAGGCAAGTTCTTCGTCTTTTTCTTGGTGGTGACTTCTCGAGCGGTAGAGGTAGATGAGGATGAATTCTGGGACTCTTCAACAGCTGCGAGGCCATGAGAATCAATCGTGATGGCATCAAACTCGTCGGGGAAGCTTCCATCAGCTCTTCGTGTCACAAGAGGTCTATTGAGGATAGGGCTTCGCAGTCGGTTCTCGTTCTGAGTGCGAAAAGATCTAACAAGACCAGGAGACTGAGAAGCAATTGAGGCTGGCGTGGTGTCGTGACCAAAGGACTCGGCAACCTCGGAAGGGCTACTGGTATCCAGTTGAGAGCCGAGAACAGGACCGAGTAAGCCTTGGCGCTTATACTGGGACGAAGAAAAAGAGTCTTTCCAAGATGAGCCAGATAAAGATGACTTCTTCCTACGCAGAACATTTGGGTTAGACTGGGCCAGCGATGATGACCCCGAAGCCCCCATGACGGTTGGCAATCGATCGTGTGGATGCTGACGTGGAGAAAGAACCCGATGCTTGATTTCGTATACTCAATACCATATTTCGCCGGGAAGATTCTGAATGGATGTATGATATACAAGAACGTGAATCGGGAGAGCGAGGTATAGTGGTTGTTGTTACTGTGGCGAGGACTCGTTACTCTGAGAATTGGTGGGGATAAGTTCATCAAGTCGAAGGGCATAGTCCACTGGATGGTGTGGCGGACTGCGGAAGGAGCTCGTGCATGGAAGTTTTATTTACGCTGCCGGTCCAGTAGATGTGATGATTACTTAAGGTGCCGAATTTAACGCAGTAGTGTCATTCGAGTGTAAGTGGAAGTGAGACAGGACAAGGAAGGGCAAGAGCAATTAGAGGAGTTAAGAGTCTAAGAGACGAGAGACAAAGCGACAGAAGACAGGATACAGGATAGTAGAAAAATTAGACCGCGCATGGAGAGCCCTAATAAGATAAGAAAAGCAAGTAAATTAGACAAATATTGTAAAGCGGGGAAGGCTGAGACGGAAGCGCAAGTAAAACTAAGAATGAGTAGTGTTCAAACAAAGGGCGACCTTTGTGGGGCTATCAAGAGTCGGCGACGCCATCTAGTACATGAACACATCGACTGACGGAGGAGGTTATTGGCGAAACCTCGTCGTTGTCTTCTCCTGCAGTAGTGCTGTTCTCAATGGGGTCGGATGATTGAAATCACCACACTTTTGGCCTCCACCCCTGCCGATCGACAGTGTCGTGCAAGGAACCCGGATGCTAAAAGACAATGTTACTCTGACCGGCAATGCCAGATTGACGAGCTGCAGAACCCCTGGGCATCAACGTCTCCCACGTCGAGCTCCTTGTCACCCTGGATCCTTCTAGACCAGGCTCAGCATACCACCTACCAATCAATCAATACATCCTTGGGATCGGACAACCCTCTCTGTACGGGCAAGCAGCGAATGTAGCGCCGCGGGACGCTTGGCCCGTTGAGCAGGCGAGAATCATAAACACGAGATCCCCGAAGGAGAAGTGGGTTGCGAGTGGGGGTTTGTTGAATATTGGCTGTCCATTGACGGGGCAGACGGAATGCGGGTCTGTAGTGGAGAAGCTGAAAGGGTGGGGCCGCGGGTGTACTCGAGTACAAAGAAAGGAGGCAAGCTTAACAGCTGCTGCGGCACGGTAGCGGCAACGCGTCCCCATGCGCAGCGGTGCACCTCGCTAAGCACGGCTGTCGTTCTCCGCCAGATCGGACAACGTCCATTGCAGAAATGTTTCACATGCAGGCAGTGGATCTCCTCGCCTCTAGCCCTACAACGAATACAGGAACGCAAACCGCGGGAATGACAATCTCTGACGTCATCCCGACCGCTTCTCGGGTTTGCGCCGGCTGGAGATGCATCCGGCAACCTCTCAACACGGTTTATCCAGGTTTGACGTGCGCAAATTCACATCCCCCAGGCACACCAAGCGAACTCGAGTGCGGGCTGGTAAACCATTGCTTTCTTATTCCTTTGGTGATTTATAGTTGAGGCAACAACAAGGCATCGAGTATTGCACTCATCACTGAGTCGTATCTGCTCAACCTGACCTTTCGAAAAACAAGTCATGACATCCAAGATTATTTCGTTTTGTCTACAAGTCACAGCGAGCAATTTATAAGAGTATTGATTAAGAACAGAACATTATGTTTTCGCGACCTTTCCATCGAGGCTTTATCAAATCATCTCGACATGTAGAACATGAATATGACGGCCTTATGGAAAAGAGGTTGAATGACATGAGGCGGTGACCTTGGCCTTTGTAGTAGCATATATGTCGGAGACAAAGAAATGGAACCTGCTCACAGACAGAGCGACCAATACGATCCCATTCGTTGGGTTCATAGTTCAAGAACGCGTATGCTTTTTAATTCAGTAATTCTCTAATGATCGTGTGCCTGTTACACCGTCCAGCGCCTGCACGTTTCATGACCCAAAGAAATTGAAAGGAAAACAAGAAACAGAGATAGACAGTCAAGTATAATGACTCATCTTTTGTGCATGCTCTGTGTCCGGGGTTAGGGTTGGAGATGCTGGTTCACCCTAAATTTTGTTGTTATCCAACACCTGTTTGATGATCAAGGACATTCTTCTCTTGCGTTGGAAGGAGGAAACATATTGGACTATATTGGTGGAGTAGATGGCCCTCTATCAGACCTGTATTGAGCCTCTAACGAAGGTCGATGCTGAAATAGAACTAGCGGTACCAGTATCATCCATGCCACCATGCTTGTGAATGATTCTCGGGTAGCCTGCGCTCCTTCCCTTTGCACTCAATTGTCGGCATATGAAGAAATCGTATTTTTCCCATACATCCAGATACTGGAGGCGTAATCCACCACCACATCTACAATAGCTGTAAAAGACTGTCGAGTTGTATAAGGAGCCGCCCCAGTCAGTCGTCTTCAATACCATCGCCTTTGTGATGTGCTGCTTGCAGTGAAAGCGCAAGTTCGTGATTAGTCCCAGAACCTTGACTACATCCCTCGCCCCCAATGGCAGAGTTCCGAGTTCATATGCTGGCGTATGGCATGAATGTATGGTCCCCATCTTTTCCGATTTAGCTGTTGCGCCGCTACGCGTCTCCCAATCGACAACTTTGTCAATTATTACTTGTAAACCTTCTACGTTTCTCCAATCCATTGCCTGCTTACCAACGCAGGCAATGGATCATAAACGTCCGTCGATTTGAGCTTGCACCAGATGTGCGTTGAGGAATAGAGACGGCTCAGTTTGTCCCTTACCGTATCCACAACTCAGTATTGATATCCTTCTTGGAAGTATCAGTAAAGAGGAGTCTTTCGTCCTGTTTCGACGCTGGAACTGAGATTTCGAACATTGTCTCTTGCGACGATCTGATCCTTGCTCCGTACCATGTATCACACGGTTCATACGTGCGTCTGCAGGCTGCCCGAAAGCCAAGAACCATATCGATGTTTCCCACAGTCTCCGCTTTCCCATGTCTTTGCGCCTCGCTGGAGAGGGCTTCGAAGCATGGATTCGTTCGTGATGTCGATTGTTGGATACACCACGCCCTGTTTTGCCACCGACACATCGTCTCCTCCGTACATCTGGTCGTGCTGGTTGAAGTAGCCGGTAATCACTTCACCCACTGGCCTTCGCCTCACGCCAGTGATGGCCCTGCCAAGCTTTCTGCACGTGTCCTGTAAAGCATCTCCACCGGCCACGTTGACAGACGCCATGAAAGCCAGACGCTCTAGCCGGTGAATTATCACCGCAGTCACATCTAAGGACTCCGCTAACACCAGCTCTGCCTCCACGTCTTTGTTCCCATCTACTTTCTCTCTCAGTCGTCAGCACCATCTTGAGTCACCTGTGATACCCCATTAACACTGTCAGAAGCTTCCCTCAGATTTGTTGTGCTCGAGGTTCTCGGTAACCCAATACTGCTGTAACCGAATATTCTTGTACTTGATGAGCTCCTTGTGTGCCGGTCCTTGCTTCTTCATACTCAGCTGTAACAACTGGAACATGCCATTCATATGAAAGTGGCCGGAACCCCGATAGTTCCTGCTGTCTATCTTATGAGAGCCGGCTCATGGGAGACGTTTTGCGATCATTTCCGTGCATCCGCTATGGGGGTCATCTTCTTATGCACACTCGCCACAGACTTCAGGTCGATCGCACTGATACAATTGGTTCGTGATCTGTGGGCTCCCATAGCATTGTTTTATCCGGTCGAAACGTCAAAGCACTCGCGGTGCCAAACTCTCATTTGGCTACGAAAGCCCTTCGCCGATGAATAGTTTTGGCTTCAAGGCGCTTCAAGTACACTACCATGAAGCTGTACAACTTGAGATCGCTTCGCCGGCTGAGCCATGCTAATCTCGACCACTCCCGCCATCCCCTCGATAAAGAGTCTTGTCGGCTTCCACTAGAACTGCGTTGGCCTCGTTTGTCATCGCATTGTGGCTGACAGTGTCGACTTCGATCGGGGAATGCCGTTTCGTACGACGAGGGCTCCGGTGTCCTTTGGGTTCCTAAGTAGGGCTCGAAATCATCCCATAGAACTATACAGTTCGGTCCGTGTCTGATTCTCTACTGTCGTTCGGATCGTCGTCTTGTACTCGCAAAACATCAATCGTGCAGTAGAGCGTGTAAATCATTGGGACGCGAGGAACTGTCGAGCTCGCGGTGCCGGGAGCGACTCAAGGCATAAATTTCCAGGGTTCTGTGACGGCATTATATAATCGTTGAGATTCATCCGTTGCACTCATCGCGATGGTTTTGAGCTGCCCGTGGACCAGCTCTCACACTTCGGTCGTCGGTTCCTCCGTCTCGTCCATTTCTCTTCATATTTGGCAACAGTTTAGGGTGAGCTTTTGACAGCCCCTCGTTATTTGCATCTGCCTCTTCAGCGCTTCCTGCAATCCTGGAGTCTCCCCATCCGCTCCCCCCGGAAAATCCAGCGGCTTCTGCAGCATTGCCCTTCCATCGCTACCACTGCTGCTGCAGCTACTCTTGTGGGTTTTTGTCGGTTAGTCTTTTGGTTGTTCGGTCGGTACGTTTCGCGTCGCCTTCCGGGTAGTCATTCGGATTTATGCCACTGTATCTTCTAGTTACGCATGGTGTCTCGACTTGGCTGATCAGTCTCACCAACCGTCTCGTTCGTTTTGACGTCGAAAAGCGGTGTCATCAGCTCCACCTGATCTCGGCTCTTATTGGGTCCGTCATAGCGGTAAGCTAACTAAAGCCTTCATATCGATAGGCTAGGTAGGTAAACCAAAATAAGTTTGACTTCAAAAGTGAGCCACCATCACCCTCTATTTACTCTGATCAACGACGGCGACTTAGCTGAGCAATGACGCAGCCCATATAAATGAAGCCCGTGAACACAGAGCAACAGCTTCCGAATAGAACAGATGATCACGTATGGGTTTTGCCGGTCAGCTCATCTCGACATGGCTCATAACGTCCCGTTCCGGCGAGACGTCGGACAGAACGGTATTACCGCCTGCGCAGCGGAGCACCAGACATCTGGCATGCTGCAAACTATGCCAAACAAACCATCAGATCAGACAGACGTGTCGGAGTATCACAATATATAGCGCTTATTGGTGCCTGCTGCTGTCGCCATCGCCATCGCCAGCAACGATACATAGATTGTGAATGAATACATGGCCACAAAAGAATCTGGCTGAAGGCAATAAAAATAGAAAGAAAAGGATCGTGATGCAATTGAATAGCCTTTGGGGTTTAAAGAGAAGTTATCATATAGACAAAGCCGACAGCTGGGGAGACTGTAGGTATCCTGGTTGCGAAGCATGGTGTTGCCTTGGCACGAAGGAACGAAGTCAAGATTCCTGGAAGTAACGAGTGGATGAGAAGACGAGGGAAAAGGATACGGAAAGTCTGGGTTGCTCGGACAGGAAGCAAGCAGTCTGGACCATAGATAGTGAATGACGATGGAAACGAGATGCGCGTCTGCACGACACACGCGTGGGCTGTTCGCCGAGCAAGGGGTAGCGCTGTCCTACAGTCAATCCGGGGCGGGTCCTGGCTACAAGTTTCGCCTTTTCCACCGCTAGCTTAATTCTCTGCTGCTCAGCCTCATATCGGCACGCGGCATTGATGCGGCTCAGGTTTTGCGTGTTCGAAGTGACGGCGCGGTACCTCCAACTAACATCGCTTGAGGCACGCATCTATCTTTCACCACACCTGACTGTGCCTGCCGTGATCTTATCCACTTCCTCTTTACTCGCTCTGAAGACATCGAACGTGCAGAACTGTTTATCGCTATTGAGAGATGGCTTGAAATCTATCGACAAGAGGGTGTGGACGTTGCTAGGTTGACTCGCAGGCGGTATTCGGACAATTTTTTGGCGTAGAATGTCTGCTGATTTGTCTGGATACACATGCTTATTCCTTATATCTGTCTTAACTCTTCCGCCGTCTGGTCTTTTGTGCGCTACATCTCTTACTTTTGTTGTAATTATTAGATCCTCCTTTGCTAGTCGTCGATCATGCTCCGTAACGCATCCTGTTATTTACCGAATTCCCCTCTGGGGACTCGCGGGTCTCCAAAGACCTTCTGTAGCTTTCCCGCGCTTGCTTTCCTCAAGACAATCGCTTGTGCTTCTTGAGGTGGTTCGTGTAGTATTGGTCGCTGTTCGTTTTGTCGTTCTTACACTTTTTTTCCGGGGCCTTCTTTCGCTTCTATGGAGTGTGAATCTGCTGGCGCTTGGGCGAGCTCGAATCTACTTTTCAGAGGAACCACTGAGACATGGCTAATCTTTGTTTTATGCAACGTGGTGCGTAGTAGGTAATAATATGCGATATTGAAATAAAGAGAATAAGGAAGAGTTCACATTAAAACAGTTTAATCAAAACATAAGTTTCATAGTTTTCATTGGCCACAAGATAGACTATAAATTCACCTTACTTTCTGTTGATTAGGTATAGCCGTTCACGAAGAATGACTTCTGTACGCAGTGAGAAGAGTACATTCTGGCTTTACATCTCTATGATGATGGCCTTGAAGTTTACGTCTGTGAAATAGTCTCCAATAGTTAGAGAGCTGGCTAACTGGCCATTGAACGAGTAGAATCCCTAGGGCCCTTCCTCTTAGATGTGAAGCTATCACAAAAAACCACGTGCTGCGACTCGGCGCGGTCTGTACGTAGTTCTCTCTCACATAGCACATCCGGGGCAGTAAGGCGGTGGACTCGGCTGTCCTCAAACAGAGGAATCCCCGTAGGATTCTCGGAGAGCCGTCTGAGACGGAGTGCAGGCATTCCAGAAATTCTCTTCATAGATATCGAAGATAGCTTCAAGAAGACTAAAAGAAAGACTAAGAGAGAGGCACAGGCGAGCAGGATTTGGCCCTCAGTATTATGGTCTGGTATATTTTATGATTAAGAATCAATGGGTTATATAGAAATGATGTAACTAAGTGAAATTTTGTCACGCGTGCTTATCATGTACGTTATCCTATAATTCAACAAACTTCATCTGGATTTGGAAAGTGAGGCTACCAACCCAACTAGTCGGAGCTGTACGAAACTATCACCGGCTGCTCTTGACGACCACCGCGATCAACAAATACTATCGTTACGCCAGCTGTAATGCGATGCAACTTTTCCCGAGTGCCGTGGACTGACTTGGAAAAAGGTTCGTTGCTTTCTTGTCCCGTGATGGCCATCTCGACTTGTCGGATGAATGAACAAGATTGCACCAATGCCAAAAGGCACTGAAATGCAAGCACTTCGTTCGGCTGCAGGCTCACATCCAGCTGCGGAACTCCTCCGTCGTCCTTCTCCTTTTCCGTGACAGGCCTATAAGATTCGTCAAGTAGTGACTTGAACACATTCTTTCGTCGCTTCTGCGCCTCTTGCTCTGTCTCCGGCGCTTCGAGTAAAGTGACTGATGCTTTTACTCGGTCAAGCGAGAGCATATCACGAACGTCTGAGGCATGCGACTCTATGCGGTTGTGGACCTCCGAGAGCGCCGACATTGACGGAAACCCAATAAGCCAATCTCTCAACTTGGCCACATACTCTCCGCGACATCGCTCAACAGCATCTACCGCCTGCGACGGCCATGTATACACATGAGGACTCCTCTGGTCGGGATTAAAGGCCTCCTGCCTCGGTGCCGTACCCTGTGCTTCACTCATGTTATGTCACTCTCGCTCCTACATTCTCGCCAGATCAGTCTCATCCCTCGGCCCTTGTACTATGACCACTCATACTCTTCGTGGATCAACTCACGTCGCAAGATAGACTCCTCGGTCGTCGAACCCAGTCCCTCTGGTACTTTTTGATCGTAAGAAATCAAAAGACAATTCGCAATGGCAGAGACACTCTCTTCAAAGAGATGGTTGGACTTGTCCAATAATGCAACGAAAAAAAAAAAGAAAGATAAATAATTTTCCACTAGCCTTGCTTGAATAGAAACCACTGAGCCCCCATTTAGATTATGCCTTTGGCGCGGGGCATTTCCTCCCCTTATACTTTTTTGCCCCCCAAAAGTAGAGTCTCCACTCGGTCAGATTGTTCCTCCGTCCCTCAATGGTCAAAGTACCCAGCCCCACTTCGTCCCTCGTTCTGGTTGGCGACAACTCAGCATCCCTTGTTCCTTGGGCATTGCTGCCTAAACACCTTGCTCACTCATTCTTCGTTAACCTATCTAGGCTCCTCCTTCGTCGTCGTTAGCGGATGTGGCAGGCTCTAGTAGTCGGCCAGTACACAACAGCCCATTGATAGCGATCCCGCATGAACAGGGGGCCATCCGTCTCGCCTGGGCTGAAGTTGGTGGCCTACCGCCGGCGGATACAGCAGGTTCCGGGGCGCAAGCCCCTGTATGACGAGCTAAATTGAAAAACCTGTTAGTTGAAGGTCGGAGAGGGGCCCATGACGAGCATCTGTGCGTACTAATCTAGGTTGAGGCCCCTTTCGTGTCCATGGAGTTAAAGCCATGAATCGAGATGTAGTTTCACTTAGTTACAACATTAAATTGGGGTCCGCTCGTGAACTTGCAGCTTGCAGTGAAACATACTATGGATACTATTTTGGGTTGATGAGACCTGACAGCTGATGCTTCAGGTAGAGGCGAAAATCCATAATGACTCCAACCTCGACTTGACCACTTGAAGTGAGCATCTCGCCCTTCATGGTGAAGGGCTCCGAGTATGTTCTGCTTGTGTAGCGCGTGAAATGTACCGCTATGTCTCTCTCAGTCAATAGCTTTGTCAATCATCGCTTGTATCCCTCCACACTTTCTCCGGACTATTGGTTCAGATACCCAAGCAGTGTAGGCGTCTACTAACGCGATAGCTAACCATTCCCGCCGACGTGAGTTGCACCAGATTTGGTCTTGTAGAAACACGAGGGCTTATGCTGTTGATCGTTGCCTGTTCGAGCCAACGTGATCGGACGGGAGGGGCCTGTGAGCTTCTACAGCAGAGGGCACTCTCTCAGCCATAGCGGACTACAACAACTGGCCCAGCGTGGGTAGAGCGAGATCGGTCTGCAGGCTTTGCGATCGTTTTCATCTCTACACCCTTCTTGGGCGATAGATCACGTGGGTATGCCTCCAATGTTTCGGTATGATTTCTCCCTATAATAATTCTTGGAAGATGTCGAAGATATCGCGCTACACCGACGGCCAGTCCTGCTTCCAGACGATCGTTGGGACTTTGTTTTCTGTTGGTGCCTTCCAGCAGTTTGTCTTACACAGTCGGCGCTCCACTTCACATGTACACAATTTAGGCATCACAACTGAAGCTCTCGGTTGCCTGAGTCAACCGAGGTTCTTTTCTTGATTCATAGATACTCCCCTAATTATCATTTAGTACCATTTTCTCCATCGATTGTGGTCAGAATCTACTAATTGACTATGCGCACATTTTGTTTCTCTATTCAGGCCAAACTCTGTTTGGGATCGTACTCACAATGGTTTGCAATATTGTCACTCAAGATGTTGAATAGAATTAGCAGCAGTGATCATCATGTTCTCATGGAAATGAAATAAGAAATGGCCATTCCGAACAGTTTCTTCTTTACGGTAGACCAGTGACTAAATATGTATCCTTTCGGAATAATGGATCAACGAGAGGTGTCCTCCAACCAGGTTGAGTGGTGCATCAATATCTTCATTCGGCACTAATGTAATACCAGTAACTCTGCTGATCCTGATACAGGTATCTTTAAGAAAGCCCCCCGTTGTTCATCAGGTCCGGGCCTTTTCGAATGAACCCTCACACAAGTTAATATCGCTAACATGTATTCACACAAGTCTTTTCCATGGGCCTTCCGGCGCAAAGCTCCATGACACAAGCTCACGTTTGCCAATACAAGAGAATGCAAACAACTTCTGATGTTGCGTAGACAGACCCATAGTATCGATTATTGCTACTTTTCTTTTGGTCGTAGCGGGCAAATTGAGCAGCATTGTCACGATGCAGCCGGATGGTGCGTGAAGTCCGGTCGTTACCTCACATCCGATACAGAAGCGGCGGACCGGCACAAGCTGGTCTTGCCCCACTTCCTGCTCCGGTACTAGTCGGTCTTGTGGGTCAAGGTATATCAGATTGTTACGGGGTCGAAGCACTCCAGGTTTTCGAGTCGGCGATCGCTGCAGGAGTGATGCACTCTCTTTCACCGGCGAGCAGCAAATTTAGTAGTATGGAAACCTTTGTCTCCTTGAGCAGAGGAAACACATAAACCCTAGAAGCTCTAATGAGAGGTATGTTGCGAGTGGGGGTTTTGTTCTAAAGATCTGGGGCTCGAGTACAGAAGGAATGAGGCAAGTTTAACAGCCACTACTGCACAATAGCGGCAACGGACCCCCCATATGCAGTGGTGCACCTCGCTAAGCACGGCCCTCGTGCTTCACCAAAACCAGATAATGTTGGTTGTAGGGAGGTTTCACGTGCAGAAAGTCGTTTCGTTTAGATAATGGTGGCTGAGTCATCGCCGTGATGAGGCCGGACACGGCCGCATTGGTGGCCTCAATGCTAAGACTGTATATCTCTCGAAATACTCCATAGTTCATGATACCGGGTGAATCGATCCATGTAATAAATTGAAAGGATTCATATTCAGGACGGTGAGTTGGCCATCCGCTTGGTCTCTGTTCATCATTTACAAAGCGGTAAGACATTTGTTATCTGAACAATCACACATACTTCGACCAATAACTCCAATGCAACCCTGCATTTGGAAGTAGTGTGCAATATCCTCACCACGACCTCCTTGGCGCTCAATACCACATGGACATCCAAATGTATGAACCTCGATCGTGCACCATATCTCTCTCGCCTAGCACATTTCCTATGCATGACTCAGGCCCTCTACTCCTCGTATGAGTAGATGAGGCCCTGCTAGAGGTATACCTCACCAAATGGTGTGATACCCATTGTTAAGATAATATTTGACTTTGCACTTTGCTTCACCGTTGTTGCTCTCGTGCTCTCAACTTTGGTAAGTTCACTATTAGCTGGTCTTGTACACCGACTTAGTATCAGAGAACATTCCCATAGGTGCTCCACTTGCATCACACATATGCCCATAGAATACAGCAACAGTTCAGTGTCAGCCCTGAAAATTGACTGACCTCCTAGCCGTCAACTGACGCCATGGCTTTCGATACTAAGCCTTGATTTGTTTCTCTTTCTCTCCTTTTGGTTGATAGCGCTTAGATCTCAACAGAATTTGGGGGTCCATACCATGGTCTATTACTCCGCTATGTGCTCGCAAGCAGGGTCACCGAGTCTCCTTCTCTGAACAGGTGAGGAAACAAAGCTTCTGCAAGTCTCTGCTAGCTCGCGTGTGTGCCGATAACACAAGCACCACACCTGCTTCTGGCCTCAAAGTTCACTGACTTTTATCACCCAGTGTATCAGATACTAACTAGGGTGCTAAGGACCTTCGAGTCTGGGTCTCGTATCTACCAGAAGTCCACAATTTCTGTGCAGGATCATTTCTAATTACTTTAGTTGCTTCTGCAAACCCAACGCCCATTTCGGATCTTGGTGACCGGTTCACTTGCCAGCACATGACAATCAGCTGCCAATGTCACGACGTGTCATACTGATACGCGGTATCATATAATGTGGCGCTCTCTTGCATTCCTCTTTCGGAAACTGACCGCTATTTTATTGTTGTTTGCAGGGAATAAGGTGCCGCTTCGCTGAAGTTTTGTTGGTTAGATCGTCATTGCGATGAGGCCCAACGCGGTCGCACTGCTGCCGAAGAACCAAGATGCTATATATCTCAAATTGCTGCAACTGAATGATGCTAGATACACGGCACTAGCTGAGGCTAGCTCTAATATTGACTCATTCGATTATGCAGATGGTTGTACAGTAGATCTACCCTAAATTAACTAATCACGTAGCGTTGTGGTATTTGTTTTCTGCGCAACTGTCCATATTTCGGCCCGCAATTCCAAAGGACCCTGGCATGTAGGAGGTGCTGGACTAGCTTCGTAGCGTAACTCTCTTGGAAATCTCTATGCGGCTGCGGGTACAGAATATGGCTGGGTATGAATGACTCAGAATCTTCTCACCGCTCCTTCCATATGCGAGTTAATGTTTGTATCGAAAGCTATAAAACAACCCTCCTGCTAAGTCCTTTATACTCTTCCTGTCCTTCCAGCTAACTCAACAGTACGCAAGAGCTCCTTGCTTCATCTGGCCATCAAGTCGACCACTCACTCGGGCTCCTGCTTGGCTAGGCTACGCTTCCGCTTCTGCCACTACTCGGAATTGGCAAACATGTGCGAACCGCCTCATGACACAGCACCAGCCTTGGTGCGCCAAAAGCTTCAGTGCCTGTCCTGTTACCAAGAATTCACCCACGTTGAGGGCGACTACGAGTGCACCGACTGTGGCTGCAAAGGTTTCGCTGTGATATATTGCTTCTCGGCATCTCTTCCTCATGCCCACGAAAATGCTGATGCTAAGGAATTGACAATGTTAGAAGTTGCCAAGCTCGAACTACAAGGTCGTATTTCGCGGAGCATGATAAAGCCAGACGTTAATGTGACTCCTGAACTTCTTTCATACATTTCAGTCATTCGTTTGCGTTTAGCAGATGGATCCATCGCTTCTTTCACCATTCAACTGCGCCCAAAACCCGAATCCCAAGGCCCTACTAATAAGACCTTCATTGTGACTTTTCCGCTTGTAATACTTGGCAGATATCTTAAGTAAGTTGATGCATTAAACGTTGAAGCTCTGGTACCTAATATTTTGTTGCATAGGGCCGCCTTTCTTGTGTTGCTGTTGCGTGATTACGATCCAATTTCCGCCGGTTTTGGCGGTGAAAAGAGATCATCGGGTAAAGCAACAATCCCATCTTGGAACGGGTATTGGATAACTACAATCACTGCGGAAATTTGTCGGGCGTTCGCGAGCGAATATGACTCTATACTGCACGAAATAGGCCAGTGGCTGAGCGGTATGAGTCGTGACGGCGAATGCGCTAAGTGTATGAAGCTCGGAAAGCTCGTTACTTTGCCTTGCAACCATACTTTATGCAGTGGCTGCTATCAATCGTTGGCACTGGAACCTGCCAAGTGTCCCTATTGCCTTAGGGAGATTATTGCATGGAACTTCAGCCTCGAGACTGGCTACCATTTCCGTTGAAGAACATGTTCTCGGAAGGGGCTCAACAGCCTTATTGTTAGTTGGTTGGAGCAATTTGCTCTTGAAATATTGTAGGATTGAAATCATCTCAAAACTCTACGTACAGTCCTTACCATTCAAATTATCGTGTCATAGCGACGATTACAATCATTTAGCGAGTCAAATTGTTACTTCTGTTGTCATCCTTATTCCCCGGCATCATTTTTGTAGAAACCATGCCATGGATGGACCTGAAGATGAAAGCTGAGTCAACCCGGTTGTTGAGCGTCGTATTCGACGACACTGGATATCAGTGTCGTTTTCTTGTGCAACAGTCAAAAGCCAGCACTAAGGACTTCAGCTATGCCATTCAGTGAGCCCTGGTCGTTCACAGCGATGGTTTGCCTCAGCGCGGCAAATCTTGCGAATGAAACGTCGTATCAATTTGATCTTTCCCAATATAGGCTGCGCTATGGGGTGGGTGGATAGGGGGACTTGGTCAGGGCCTGAGCCGCTTCGCACAAATGCTCATTGTTGGTCGATCTCCCATTTGCGATCAGCAGATCGCCGGACTTCGCTCATCATATAGGCGCCTACGCCCCGGAACCTGTTGCAGTCGCCGGTGGTGGGGCACCAACTTCAGCCCAGGCAAGACGGATGGCCCCTTGTTCATGCGGGATCCCTATCAATGGGCTATTGTGTACTGGGCGACCACCAGAGCCTGACACATCCCCGCTGTCCTCTCTTTGCGCTTCGATGGCTTTAAGGGGTGATACTGACCTGTTCGGCTACACGCCAGATAGCCCCGGTTCGTTCAAGTTTGTATCATTAAATAGCGGTGTACTCACCACTAGTGATGCTATTGCTTACCTCGAGATGTTACCCTCGGCGTGTCCGCCGCATCAGCGCTGATGGACAACACTCAAAGCTATCTGGCTTGCACGTACCAATATATCATGTACATATTGAACTCTGTGGATAGTATGACACGGTTGTTGTTCCAGGCGGTGTCTAAGCGTGTACCTTACATGGTAACCGCATCCGTTAAGCGGGCCGCTGTCTCATCCTGGCACCAGCGGCACAGATACTAGTCACACCAAGCGCCCGTGCATCAAACGAGCTAAGCTTTACACCGAACTGACGGGTGGCACCATTTAGAGTGTACATCCTGGCTCGCTCAAACCTCAGCCTTGTGATCGTCTGTAGTCAAGACGAGCCCAAGGATCAATTCGCAAGTTCGCCAGGGTATTGAAACTCACCGCCGACTCTATTCATCTCGCAGCACCGCTCGGTCATGCAGCTGCATCTGCAGCTTCAAAACTTTTCACCGACTCAAGCGGCATCCTGAACCATTGGCATCGCCTACGTGACTCCAAGCTAAGACAGTAGGTTCCAGGATACAGAAGCCTCGTGTGTGTAGACTATACGCAAAGTTAGTCTCTGAATATGCGCCTCCCC